CATGTGGAATGGATCGAACTAGCCGTAGTCGACCTGGGTACCACCCCCCTATTCCTGGGCCATGACTGGCTACAGAGGCACAATCCACTAATTGACTGGAATACAGGGGCTGTTACCTTAGCCCGCTGTGCTTGTTGGAAGATCCCCTTTTCTTTGCCGGATACGGATCCTTCATCCCGATGGGAGGAATACGAAGAAGGAGACACCATTCTGGTTGTCGACTTCGAGGAAGCATTCCATGTGCGAGCCATGGGAACCAAGGCTAATGAACTAGCCGCCCAGGCCAATGCCAAGAAGGCCTCAAAATCCTTCAAAGAAATCGTACTGGAGGAATATAGGGAATTTGGAGATGTTTTTGCCAAGGAAAATTTCGACGAGCTACCGCCACGAAAACCTTGGGATCATGCCATTGAGCTCATCCCTAATGCCAATGCCAATTTAGACTGCAAAGTCTACCCTCTTAATCCCATGGAGCAGGGGGAGTTAGACAAATTCCTCGATGAAAATCTTTCCACAGGCCGTATTCAAGCATCGAAGTCTCCCATGGCTTCGCTGTTCTTCTTCATTAAAAAGAAAGACGGGAAGCTTCGCCCAGTGCAGGACTACCGAAAGCTTAACGAGATGACCATTAAAAACTGATACCCGTTACTGTTAATTGGGGAACTAATGGATAGGCTAAAGCAAGCCAAATATTTTACTAAGCTGGACGTACGATGGGGGTACAACAATGTTAGGATCAAACAGGGAGACGAGTGGAAGGCGGCTTTCAGAACTAATCGCGGCCTATATGAACCACTGGTGATGTTCTTCGGGCTCACCAACTCCCCCGCCACCTTTCAGTGGATGATGAACAACATTTTCAAGGATCTCATCGCAACAGGAGAAGTGTCGGTATATTTGGACGACATACTCATCGCCTCTCAGACCAAGGAGGGTCATCGACGCACCGTACAAAAGGTGCTCAAAATTCTTCAAGCCAATAAGCTATTCCTGAAAGCCGAAAAGTGTGAATTTGAAGTGGAGGAAACCGAGTATTTGGGAGTACTCATCAGTAAAGGGAGGATCCGTATGGACCCCATAAAAATTGTGGGCCTACTGGACTGGCCTGTCCCACTCAAGAAGCAGGAGCTACAGTCATTCTTAGGCTTCTGCAATTTCTATCGATGATTCATTCGGTACTATAGTAAACATGTCAAACCCCTCACCACTCTCATGGGGAAGGTCGAATGGAGATGGGGAGAGGCTCAACAGAAGGTGTTTGAGAAATTGAAAGAGCTGTTCCATGAAGACATGGTTTTGGCCATTCCCCTTGATGAAGGGAAATTCCGAGTGGAGGCAGACTCTAGCGAGGGAGCAATTGGGGCCGTATTATCCCAGTGGCAGGACAAGAAGTGGAGACTGGTAGCCTTCCTCTCCAAAGCGTTATCCGTAACAGAGCAAAATTACGAGATCTACGACAAGGAGCTCCTTGCTATTATGATCGCCCTAGAAGAGTGGCGACAGTACCTTATGGGGGCACGAGAAGACTTCGAAATCTGGACGGATCACTCCAATCTTCAGTACTTCCGCAAACCCCAAAAGCTTAACCAACAACAGGCTCAGTGGGTGACAGAGCTAGCAGAGTATCAATTCACGCTGCACCACAAGCTGGGAGCCCAGAACCGTAAAGCCGATCTGTTATCTCGACGAGCAGACCACGACCAGGGAAGGGAGGACAATAGGGATGTGATCGTCCTGAAAGCCGAAAATTTCAGGGCCCTAACAATGCCAACACAGGAGGAGTTACATGAAGAAGTCAAACTGGCTACTCATGACCCCCATAAATGGGACCGGGGGATTTCCAATTCCCTTAACCATGAAAAGGGGGTTTCCCGAGACCAAGATTTACTCTGGTATGACGGACGCATCTACGTCCCTATGGACAGGAGGTTGCGGGGGAAGATCATAGCCCTCCGACATGATCATGTCACGGCAGGACACCCCGGAGTGGAGAAGACCAAAGAACTCATCCTTTGGGACTACTGGTGGCCCCACATGTGCCGAGAGGTGGAGGCATATGTGAAGGGGTGTGAAATCTGTCAAAGGACCAAGGCAGATCGCCATCTTAAAAAGGCGCCTCTTCACCCAAATGAAGTACCGGATCGTCCATGGACCCACATATCTGTCGACATGATCACTAAACTCCCCGGTTCGAAGGGGTACGACTCTATCCTAGTAATTGTCGACCGGTTCTCCAAGACAATTATTCCAATCGCGTGCACTGAGGAACTTACCTCCTTGGGCTTTGCCAAGATCCTAAGGGATCACGTCTACGTACCCTACGGAGTAATGCCCAAGAAGGTCATCTCAGACCAAGGCGCAATCTTCATCTCGAAGTTCATGAAGGAGTTCTACAAACTCGTACAAGTCAAAGGCAATCCATCCATGGCCTACCACCCTCAGACAGATGGGCAAACAGAGCGGGTCAATCAAGAGATAGAGAAGTACCTCAAAATGTTCGTTAACTATCGACAAGATGATTGGAGCAAGTGGCTACCACTGGCCGCCTTCACCCACAACAACCGAAAGCATTCAGTGACGGGGTACTCACCCTACAAAGTAGTCTTCGGAAGGGACGGGCAGGTCATTAAGACTGCCCAGCGACCAGATAGCATCCCGGCTGCATCCAAGTTGGTGAAAGGGATCAGGGAGGTTCAAGAGAAGGCCAAGGAATCTTTAGAGCAGGCAGCGGAGTCCATGAAGAAAGCATATGACAAGCACAAAGGCAAAGCTGTCGAGTACGAAGTCGGTGACAAAGTATGGTTGGACTCCACCAATCTAAACCTCTCTCGACCCACAAAGAAGCTTGGAGATCGACGCATAGGACCCTTCGCTATCCTAGCAAAGAAAGGTGCCTCCGCTTACGAACTCAAGCTCCCAACAGGCTGGAAAATTCATAACCGGTTCAATGAGCCCCTCCTCACTCCGTACCATGCTCCCGAGTTCCCTGATCAACCACATCCTGAAAGGCCGCCGCCTGAGCTAATTGAGGAAGAGGAGGAATATGAAATTGAGGAAATCGTGGAGGAACGAGACAGAATCATCAGTCACGGACGAACCCGCTGAACCATAACCGAATATCTGGTGAAATGGAAGGGATACCCGACAGAGGAAAACTCCTGGGTAAAGCGTTCGAACATGGCTAATGCGGAGGAACTCGTCAACGACTACGAGGCCCGCATCCAGAAGGTTCTATGGAAGGTCGACGACAAAGGGAAGACAGTCGGGACAGATACCAAGATACCACCAAACACCTTAACAATGTATCATGAACCAGACAGCCCTTGCATCACCGAAATAATCACAGTTCCATCCTCCCAATGCTCCGCAGTAGCCCACTCTGAAGACATCGATATGATAGTCGTGACAGATGAAATACCCTTCACAGAGGAAGAAGAGGACAGTGAAGACGAGATAAATCTCCAAAACCTCCAACGCATTCATGAAAACTGGAACGCAGATGCGGACGAAGAAAAAAGTGACGATGAACCATCGTCGTTTTACTCGGAATCCAGAGGTTCCACCTCAGATATGGACGAGTGGGAGTCTAATGACTCATTCGGGACGAATGAGTCTTAAAGGGGGGGTAATGTTATGGTTTATTCATTTTTCTTCGTTTTACTCAGCCTGATTACTCGTACGCGATCACCACGGACGGGTTCTCACAGTACTATTATTAGCATACCAACGTGTATTTAAGTAGAGCCTCAGCTGGCTTGAAACCCAGCTTCGGCTAAGGTTTAATCTACCCAACTCGAACTCCGTCCTTCGCGTCTATCTGCCCTCAATTCAGCTTTGACATCACCTTTGACCTACTAGAGTATCATCCACCGAAGTGCGAGTGGTGATCCTAGTGCGATCTAAGTCGACTATTAGTTGGTTGATAACACCTCCGAGTCCGATTTCAACAATGACTAGTCTCCCCTAGACAGACTCAAATCAAGACAGTCGAGATTTGAAATAGAAACAATGACTGACTTGGGTTTCATAGAGAGAAAATCATGCATGCGGTCAAGGCATTGCATCAGCTGGGCTATACTCATGGGGATTTCTTGAACAGTATCTTTTGGTCCATAGATGAGGACCTGGTTGCTGTTGGTCTGGGGGGTGTGAGGACAGCTTGCCCAATCAGTCGGCGACGCTCTTGGATTCGAACTTGCACGCTCGGCTGGTTTCCTGCCTTTATTTGTTTGTTGGGTCCTTCACCATGTGACCATGCGGCAGGGGTACTTAGGACCCCCAATTATCCTTATAGAGGTCGATCAGAAAGTTTGGACAGATTTAGCCTTCCTGCTCGCTGAGGTCAGCACAAAGTTCAGACAAATTGACCTGTCTGACTTTGTAGGTCGGATTTTTTGTTCAGACAATAGAGGACAGACCCACAATGTCGGAACAGTAGTTCAGACATGTTACATGCTGGGTGCAACCCTGTGCTACCTAGCATTTAGAACTGTGCATTGTCTGTCTTAATAAATCGGATACATGGTAGTTTCCGGTGTTTTGTTGTGGATAATCTACAAAGTTTCTGGTGTGCGAGCAAAGTTACTTTGTCTCCAATGTAGAGAGCATTGGAGCGATTTCCTATCTGGTTGCGCAAACCTATGGGCACCTAAATCGAAGGACTTCCCAGCGAGTGCACCGCAGCTTGTCTCGAATTGCACATCTGCCATCTAATTCCTTGTTCCTAGCAATTCCATAAAGATTTCAGGTGATCATGTCAATATCTCAGATGAATATTTTTGAGGACTTGATTGCAGAGAAGGCTGAGATTGTAAATACTCTAATCAGTGAATACGGTGTGGAGGAAGGGACAGGCACATTACAATGTGCTAGCAATGGAGGAGATCGATGACATCGACCATTAGCTGATGTATTTAGACATCTGTACGGTTTTGGCAATTTTTAGTGATTTTTGGCAATTTTTCGGAGGTCGGAACGAAAGTTCGGACAAAATTTTTCGGATGAACCCTTTCAGCGAAAGTTCAGACGAATTTTGGATGTTGGCTGCAACAAAAAGTTTGGACAAATTTTTGAAACTGGCAAATTTGGCGTACCGACCTCTATAGGGATAATTGGGGGTCTTGGGTACTTGTTGGCTTTTGGGATCAACGCTGCGTTGCGCAAGACTATCACGGTGCGTAGCTCGTTTCTTGTTTTGGTTGTTAGACTCACTCTTTCTAATTAGGAGGGTGGATCATGGGAAGTATGCGTCTCTCTAGCGGTCTCTGGGTAGGGGAAACGTGTTTCTACAGACTCAACACGACTACGACTCTCCAAACAGACGGTTGCTCTTCACAACCACAGATGTCCCCGCTTCTCAAGCCGTCTCCTACAATGCCCTCTGCAGCTACAGACGTCCTTCCACCCGCCCACGCAGTCCCTCGTCTTCTTTCGCAACACCTCCCTCCCTCCCTCCTCTCGATGTAGTCGGTTACTACTCCCTCTCTCTCGTTCTATCGTTTCCTTAGGCCACCGTCGCATCGATCTGCTCCCAAGTCTGCCTTTGATTTATCCCCAAACAAACTCGGCTTCGACTTGGATCCTTATAGTTCACGCCGGTGAAGAAGCGTTATACGTCTAGGGCCCGGCGCATCTTTTGTGCATCCGTGCGCGCGTCGATGTTAACCGGCTCTCAAAGACAACCCTTCCACCCTCCAAACAGATGACTACCTTCCCCAGTGATACCGCTGCACGCCTCTCAAGTCGAAGACCTCCCTCGCGTCGATTTCTGAATACCCAGGAAGGGAGGAATAAGCTGAGGAGGATTGGGGCCAGGGCTCTCAGACCTGGGATGGTGTATGCAAGTCTGAATGCCTGGGGCTGGGACTGTCCATGAAAAGACCGACGGCTCTACTGAACATGGATATAAATTGACTCCCTCATCTAAGGAGTCGGGTCCACGACCCCTTCCCATCCAAGCGCTTGACCACGCTGCGGGGTACTTGTTGGCTGTCTCTGGCTGTGTACCTAGGCCGCATACTGTATCCTTTCCCTCCCATCTGCCCACGTCCAACTCGGAGCCTCAGTAGTACTGAAGGATGCTTCCACGATGAGTCACCGCCTGATTTCAGGACGCTCAGTGTTGCGGCTTTCGCGAGAACGGTTATATGACTCTTTACTTGAGTGTCATTGTGACCGTAAAATTTGAGGCTACAAATTGATCTCATGCAACACGCTTATGCCAGGTGCTCTTGTCAATTCTACATATTATCAAACAGTCATAAGAGACATCCTCTCGCTACTTAAGTATATGTCTAGGTCATTAGCATTCATAGTAAACGATTTGCTACCCCCTCTGAGGAATCGCTTCATTATAGATTCAATGACCTTTCCTGCACTACTGGCACGCAAAACCTTGGCAAGAGAGTAATGGAATTGAATGAGCTGGCGTCTTGGTCGAAGTTCAGCCGAACATCCTTCAAAGGAGATGACACCAATATCACGCCCATTCACTGTCAGCGGAGGATTGCCAATAAAATATTCAAAGTGGTACCGGTCGTGATGATCAGGCTGGTGTTATATCCTATCAATATGCCCACAAGAACGATAAGATAGCAGCTTACATCGGGACACAACGACCACCCAAATTCATCAAAAATCGAATGAAGAGTGTGTTCCAGCGTTATTCCGTTGTAGATATAGTCGATGTTATCATCAAGTTCAGCGACCTGTTCTTTGGACAGAGCAATAAACTGGCGCAAAATATTCCAGGTGGCGTACTCGGCCAAAGAATTCTATATCATATTTATACTCAGTTGAAGATCTAGTCGGCAAGGCACACCTTGGAACGCTTTCCGGCTGCCACCGCCCCCTTGAAGATATGAGCTGTTTCAACGTCCGCTACGACCTCTTTCAGAGCCCGAGTAGCTGATTTCCGATCGATAACTTTTGATATAATACAGCGAGAACCATCACGTTCTTTCACCTGAGAGCATATATAGGAGCTCAATCCATTCGATGGGCATATTTGATACGCACCATATCTTCGAACGTTCCTTTACGTGGACGACTCGATGTAGCAATCTCCGAAGCAGAATGATGCCCTCGAATATCACTTTCATTAGCTTTAACTACAGTAAATAGTCAATAGTATTGCAAACGAGAAAAATGAGTAGCTATGTACAAGGCCAGAAGAGGTACCAGACCCAGGTATTAGCCAGTTCTATCAGCTGGTCAATGCCATCAGCGGTAGTGATTGCACAGGCGACGTAGCGACGAGGCGTTTTGCCATCGTCTTCTTCGGCTCCAGTGGCGTGATCGAGCATGGCCTCCAAGACGGCCTCTGGGTGGATATCTTTATCGACGGTAGAGGGTCGTTCGAGATGACAATCTGGGTCATCACGGAGAAGTGAAATATCTAACTGTGCTTGAATGATAAACGTGCGTGTGGGTGTCTCGCTCTCCATTTTTTCTTGAACAGAACTCAAGAAGATGTCAGAAATAGTCGACCAGCTACTCGAATCGGACTCGTTGGAGGAAACAGAGGCATGGGGCATTTAGATTCTTTCCGAAACTTGTTGAGGCCGATAGAGAAATAAGAGGAATTGTTGAATTAATTAGGTAATTGATTATGTCACGGGGGACCCCGGCGCCTATGTACACATCCGCTTGCAGATGCTGGCCTTTTCCTCATCATCATGAACGCAACCTGTCCCTTTTTGTAGGACATTCTCCTCTGCTTGCTCTCCTCTTCTGATAATAAACGTTTGAACCGTACAAAATTCCCAATTCCATCGCCTCGAGAAGGAACACGAAGTACTCGTTTGAGTACTATACATGTCGTCTGTCGCCTGCAGGGATTTCTGCTAGTAAGACGGCCCTCATAGCTCGAGATTCTCTATGTGGTGAAGTGACGGTACGCTGGAGCTCAAAGGCGACTAGGGGGGAACCCGGGCGTTGAGCACCGTTTTCTTCATCGGTAGTGGTGGTGGTTTTTAGGGTCACCTCGTCTCGGTGCGTCTTTTCGCCACTATGGAAACGCTTCAAGGTCTGATTATTCTCCTTAGGAAGGACATCACCGCGAATAGTTCTCGATGCGAACTCTCAGATGCTCTTCGTTAGTCAATGTTTCATGGAATCCACTAGCACTGATTAATCACCACCTTCGGCCTACCATGTTCACGGGATAAGCATCTACTCCAGAAATAATTCTGGGTACCCAGTCATTGTAGCTCGAAAGTCTCAGCTATGCTGAACAGGGGCTCGCCTGTCTCTCCTCCCACCGTACCCTCTATTCCCATGGCACCCTACAGAACTCTGACGCCAATGGAATTACTCTCACCATTACACCTCGATCCACCTTCTGGCAGAAACCGAATGCAGCCCATCTTACCGTCCCAGAAGGATATCCAATTCACTGCCTCTGCTGATCCAACTTTACTCTCTGATCTCGACGAGGACCTTTCCCGCTCTGCTGTCCTCTCACAGAAATACACCGAATACTGCAATGGCATCAAACATGACTACAGTCGCACTCTGCAGAATTACGATAGACACTCCGACGCCGATTATTCGTTCTGTGAAACGATCGTACGCTGTTTTAGCATGAGATTCATAACACAGACATGGGAAGCCATGCAGGATCTGATCCCCGGGTGCCATCCACACTATCAAACTACAACACGGCCTATCCGTGGACCGGAGATTATCCCTGACAGCGTCCTCTTCTTCGCCCGTCGGCGTAGTGTTCTTCTTGGAAAAAGCGAGGGCCCACTGCTACTGTTTCCTGCAGCAACCGAGTTGGTTCAGCAACTGAATACTGTCGGGTCTGTCAAGCTGGGCTCCCCCTATGACGTGGAGAACGACGATAACTGGTGGATTCTTCTTAGCAAAGTGAGTGTTCTGGGTTTGCTGCTGAGAAATCGGTTAACCTTGGTTGATAGGGTGCTTTATACCTAGCGGAAATGGACGCTGATATTATTCTGTACTACTCGTGTAATACACTCGTCATTTTGCGCCGACAGCGGAATGTGTCTGGGCCAGATCACCTCTTTGTCGACGTCAAGGCCAATTTCCGGCGTGGATCTCTCAAGGAGCAGTTCCTCAGCACCAGTCACCCGGGCCTTGAACGTGCTAGCGCATTCTTTCCGGAACTAGATGGTGGGTACCAGCCGTTCGTGCATCTGCATGACGTGTACTTGGCTTCTGCTATCGTCACCGCGCTGGCTGCTACGGATTCGGCAGAGTTCCCATCGCTAGAATCGTTTCGCAATCGACGACGCGTGCAACCGCTAGTGAAAGAATCCGATGTGTATGACGTGCATGGGCGAGAGTGGGGTCGGGATATGCCTCTGTCTGCAGGGTCTCGCAGTAAGGCTCTCCTGCGTGCGACGGCCATTCTCAATAAATTGCACGGATGCGCCGTCGAGGTGAACATCTATCTGGGGGGTCGCCCTATGCGCGGCAAGTTCCTATCTCTGATCCCGGCTCTCCAGGGACAGGATATCATCGTCGACTCTGTCCTTCAAGGGAGGGACCCGAACTGGGACTTGGACATGTATCGGGTTTGTGTTCGTGGACAGTGCAAGAAAAAGTTCATTCTCAAGATCTTTCCGTTCGGTGCGTTTGGCGAGGTCGAGTTTCGTGCATACGTGGCTTTGAGGGAGTTGCAGGGGTGCGTTATACCGGTGTGTTGTGGGTTTGGGTATGTGGTGTCGGAGGAGGGTGGTCAAGAGCGTCCTTGGATTTTGGTGGAGTATATTGAGGGTCGGGAGGTACCTTCCGAGTCCTTGCACCGGTATAGCCTCCGAGTCCAATTTCGACAATATCATGTTCTGACTGACTGACTTGTAGAGGGAAAATCATGCATGCGATCAAGGCGTTGCATCAGCTGGGCTATACGCATGGGGATTTCTTGAACAGTATCTTTTGGTCTGTGGATGAGGACCCGGTTGTTGTTGGTTTGGGAGGTGTGAGGACGCATCTGTGTCGGGGGGATATGTGTCCGGAGATTGAAGATGTGCGAATGCGTCTTAGTTTGACAAGAAGGGACGCAGAGTTGTGGTCTCGTGTTGTGAGGCTGAAGAGGCCGGAGTGCTTATAGGATACACAATATTTATTGTCTAAGAACGCGAATGACGCGTACTTGTGGTAATAAATCTATCGTTAACAACCACTTAGCCTCTAGGAGCTGGGTCTCTAGATCGATATCCCAAACCAAGCCAAAGATGGAGACAGTTCAAATTCGACAAACGTTTGCGTTCTCTGCCGTTGTTGTCGTCACAAACAAGATGTCGGGAAGGAAATATTTTGAACACGGCCTATCCGGCCCGGTCCTTCCTCTCTTCCTTCACGCTCACGATGGAATCTGTTTCAAAGCTCTGGCTTTCAGCCGGGCTCCAAGCAGCCAATCTACACTAATTACACGTCAATGAACCAGCCAAGCCGACATCATCTTCATTCAAACTGGGAGACGCGTCTTTTCAACCGAACACTCGTATTTGCTGTGGGTTTCGATCTTATGGAAGGAAGGAATCTGACAGCAGGGTGCTCAGGCGAAAAAGGATCCGATCGGGCATACAATTTCTTAGTCTCCCCTAGGCAGACTCTCAAATCAAGTCTGAAAATCGGAAATTTGGGGATACATTCAGAAGGGTGGACGAATCCCGTGAGTGTCCAGTATTTCTTCATAGGCGCTCTAGTGTTGAACAAGGATCTAGTACGCCATACCGTCACGGGTACTCTCCTCTTCCTAACCACTACGATAGACCAGGCGTAGAAATTTTTGTGAATGGCATGCGTCCATTTTGCGACCGAGGCAATATCCTTTCGACTTTCGACCAGCTTCCTGAGGAACTCAACGTCAATAAGATGGCCATACACGAGGCCGAGATCAGGTTCATCACGAATGGCTCTCGCCAGCATCTCATCGCATCCCTAGTACGACTCCACAGCAATCCTGCGATTCTCTTGCACCGACGTCTCTCTATTGCGAGCATGTGGTTGGACAACAAAATCCAGGTCGGTGCTTTTCGATGGTCTTGATCTTCACATCAAACTTGTAATGGCGCGGGGTAAGCACCACTGTGCTGGGGCTTTTGTTTTTCACCTTGCTTTCAATCATAAAGCAGCTATATGTAGCTTATCGCAACCACCCACTTGTTGCTGCAACCAGGCCTCCATATATTTGAGGACTATTTTTGAGTACGTGTCCATGCTCTCAACATTGATCTGACCCTTCTCACAAGTACTAGCACGACTAGCCACAGAACACTCTGTAATACTCAATGTACACTTGTGAAACTCCGGTCACCGATTGCGCTTGACTGCGAGCTTCGCCAGGCAAAGTCTACTACTTATGTAAATAGTAACCGGTCAGTCTGCTCTACCGTTTGACTCGGAAGTGAGATCATATGGCAGGAGGTGGAGGGTGGGTCCATCTTATCCTTAAACACAAAATGTACGTCCTGTATTCTTGGATCCCCACCCCTTTACCTCAGTATGCTGAGGACTCACTGTGAGTAGATTGAACCGTCGCTTGCCCGCGTAACGGCATCCCGGTTACTATCAAATAGCTCAAAATACCGACAAAGGTATACCCTGCTCGGAGGAAGATCTGGCTCATATTGAACCATCATTGCCACGTAGTAAGCCTACGCGGAGCTTCATCAGAATGTTTACATACACACAACTGATCAGCTCCTTCCTGCTCGGTGTCTTGTGGGGCTGTGGCATCATCCATAGGCTTCGAATCCTCTCAGCGCGGACTATGCAATGCAGGGAAACCCTAGCCGGAATCTATATCATGATCCTAGCTCTGCTGCCTTGTTTGGTTGCATACCTTGATCACTGTATGCATTCTGGGTCAGAATTGGAAAATGTTCAACGGAGTAAGTAGTTCGTCAATATGATTAGCGATCCAAACCATGTCTCACTGTCGCAACTAAGTTCCCATCAGATCCACTGGCAACTTGGGGCGTCTGTGATGCATATTGATGTCCACTGCACGCTGGTGCCGGTATAAAACGTCTGCGTATGCAGGGCTTTGGACTGGCATAACCAGCATGTCCCTGGTGATCTACGTTGCTCCCATGGCTCTGATCATCATCTTGTCTGTCTGGTGGAAGCCTGTAAGGCACTGAGACTGATTGTAGCTCAGTTTAGCTGCTAAAACTATGACGTTAGCGCATCCTGCCCAACGGACATCCTCCCATTATCGATATCCCGGTAGGTTGTTTCTTTTATGGGAGCGTCGGGAGTGCTCAGTGTTACTCAGGCTGAAGATATGTTTCGAAACCCCCGAAAAGCATATGAATCGGCTTTGAAAGAGCACGGGCCCGTAATAGGTGTATACAGGAAAGGAAGGGTATTCATACTTCTAACGGATTTGCGGTTCTTTTCGCTGATAGTTCTGCAGCTCGAGTTCATAGTCAACGATCAATTTACTACCGAAGTTCTCACCAATGATTCCGTCTTTAGCTTTGAGAGTGGTACTCTTACGGTATGTGACATTCGTTTAAGGCTTATAGCCGCCCGCTTAAACGAGCATTCTAGGTACTAAATCTGCATCCGCTACTACTGCTTCCTCGGAGTTTCATCCGCGACATCGACAAACTAGTCAATGAGGGCCTTGTTCCCCTCATGAATCAGATAATTCAGAAAAGTCTGTTCTCGCATCCTGCCTATCTGAAATATTCAGTGACGAAGGATAGTCACTCCAATATTCGAACAAAATATGCGTGAGTTGACCGACAAGGCGCAAAATGCTACATCCAGGAATCCGGTTCCGGTCGATTTGGCCAGTTTAGTCCACAAGACTATGGCGGAATCGATGCTTACGATCATCTTTGGAGAGGTAGGTGTTCTACTCGGACATTGCACTGCGTGCTAACTTATGTTCTCTCCCAGACGTACACCACCCTGGCGGATATCCAAGCGGCGGAAACAATCGCTTCCGACATTGCTGTCCTTTCAGGAATCTATCAGAACATAGGATACTGGTCTCGGACATTTCCAACTACGTGGAGAGTCATCACATGGTAGGGGTTTTGGTCAGTTCTTCAAGGCGGTTGATATGAGCTATCTCCGTCAGGGTACGCGTAATGGGATTCTCAATTCCTTGGAACTTTGTTCGCATAATCGGATTCCGCGTCTGGAAAGACCTAAGACTCAGCTCAAAAACCGGCGCTACAGGTCACCTCCACAAGGTACGAAAATTATTGCTCCATTGAGTTGATTGAATAAACCAGCCTCAGGAATCTCTGCTGCACTACCTTGCCCAGCGCTACTCTTACAAAGATGCGCATGTCGTTCGGCTAACACTGCTCGACAGCCTATGGATATTAGGCCTCACCCTTGGGTATGCTTATCAGCACCCAATCTCAGCTGAAAATGATGCTGATGTCGTAGATAGTTTACTCTTTGCCTCGATCCACCAAACGTACGCTGAAAAGTCTACCTCTTGTGATGCGTCGGTTTCTCACTATCTACTCAGTGCTGCGGTCATCGTCTGGGTTGTGTTCGAGCTGGCCGTGCGTCCTGAAGTCATACCGACCTTGCGTGCAGAGCTCCAAGATATACTTGAAGTGGACGAGCATACTGGAAAGCTTGCGCTGACAAACGCTTCCTTGAAGAAAGCTGAGCGGCTCGACTCGTTCATTCGGGAGGTCATGCGCACGAAGGGTGATACTTTGTCAACGATTCGGCTCACTATGCGAGATGTCACACTCGGTGGATACACTATTCCAAAAGGTAGGTTCGAGGAATTGACACGGGTCCTTGTTTATAAGCTTATCTTTGTCCAAGGACAGTTAGTGTGTCCCCTTGCGACATTGTCCCACAGGAATCCCACATACCATGGCGAGGATGCTGAAGAGTTTGTCAGCGATCGGTGGGTGGGCCATGGCAAGCCGGCAGTCATGGTAAGTCCCACCTACTGGCCGTTTGGTCTAGGGAGATTCGCATGCCCAGGACGAGCGCTAGCCGTCGCAGGTATGGTCCCATTCCTGCATCACTTCGTACAGATGCGTTGAATAATCGGTTACAGAGATCAAGTTGGCGGTATTCTTTTTAATATCTCGGACTTTCCCAGCCCTAGAGGGAGACAAGTACGAAGTCGTAGACCCTTTGAATATCACGTCGGTACCACCCGTGGGACGATTGTTGATTCGACCAGCTCCTCCGGTGTTTTGAGCATGAAAGTCCGGGCCCCACATATTTGATAGCACGGAGCGGTGTGTTTGTGTTCCATTTTGATCTGGTCTGCTGGCTGTGTACTTTTTTTAGAGCCATGATTCTTTTCGTACTTTGTATACATTGCCAATAGATACCGATTGTTAGGAAGGGCGAATACGTTCACTTCGGATCAAGCGAGCTTTAGAACTTTGTGCAACGTTATACCCAGGAGTTCACATCGGAAAGCGAAGATAAGAAGAATAAATCAAATTGATTGATTTAAGTTTAGCTATATATTTAACTTGAAGCGCGGGTATCTATTTCTGCACGTAGAAAGTGTGGCAGGGCTCGGTGCCTGCACCTATAAAAGAACGCCGTTATATATCATGGAATCACAGAACTGTGAATAGCATAATTCAATGTAGTCAGGCGATGAAGGAGCTTAATTTTGGTAAAAGACCAACAAAAGACGCTATACCATGAGATGTTTTGTCACAGAAGTACCATCTTGCCTTTGGGGCGAGTAATCACCAGTGTCCATCTCAACGAGATGACTGACATTTACTGCGACGGGAGTTCGGCGGCTCAAAGAGAAACTCTGTGGGCCGCTGCTCTGTGGCCCGGTTACCGACAAAGCCGTCAGTTCTCGAGAGCTGATGCCGAGACTGACACGAAGAATAATTATTGTGAACGTGATTCCGATTAAGGGTGCGGTCTGCTGGTGTTTAGAGGCATGGCATCACGAATAGGGAGACATGGAGACCTACCAGATCTAGGACCGTGTACTGAGCATTCGAACCGAGCGTGTAGGTGATCATTAACGAAAGTACAGAGGCTGAATACACAGCGGCTGACTCGATGACCATCATGAGAGCAGAACGAGCGGGTTTCACTTGAATGACATTGCGAACGGCTCGTTGAATGCTAAGAATTCGATAGGCTATAAGAGCTACGAGATGTTAGCCTCGTCGGATATCAACTGGGAGTTATTCAATGGCAACTCACAAGTGCAGATAATATTCGTGCATAAAGTCATTGAGATGAAACTAGTGATCCAAGGAACAATATTCGGTAAGAACACTTCCGCCCCAGGTGCAGCATGGGAAAAGGCAACAGTAGCACCAAACCCGCCCACTAGAACAGAAGATGGTACTCAGACAGAATAAAAGTCAAACTAGTATATCAAAACTCACCGCCTGTCCCGCACAGCAGTAAAATAGGGCCAGGTATGATGCACCACTTGCCATTCCATACAATGAAGCAGCGATAAATCTAGCGCAGCCTTTCATTCGAGTGCAAGAGTGACCAGAAATCAAGGCACCTACCACAAATCCGTCTCCGACGAGGGTCAAGGTGACATATATCGCTGTTTTGGCAGCCTGCAAAGGATTTGATAAATCCAAATAGTATTGCTGCGCCCCTCCACGCTCCAACTCAACAAATGCCTCGATGGCACGAACTATATCTAGAATCAAATGCTGTAGAGGTAGTTCAAGAGAGGAAAAGCAGACAAAAATTGACGAGAGTAACCAACCACAGTTGCTAGAATCCAAATGATGACCACCGTCGAGAGAAGTTTGACGTTTATTCCCGATCGCTTCCGGACGATGACATATATGGCAGCGATAAATAGAACCGTGAAGGACCCTAGACTCTATGCAGTTAGAACAGTGAACTAGTGGCCTAATGAGAGCAATGAGGATACCGTATAACAAGGTCTCGCATACTAGGGCAAGGAACTGTAAGAAAGTATAAGCAGCATAAAACCTTTCATAAAATCAATTCTGACGTTAGCTTTATCCAGTGGTATGGAAGCCATGGAAGAGCACCACAATGCAGCACGAAGAAAACAGAGTCAGTTTGAAAGTCTTGTTGAACGAGATTCTAGTAGAGAGGCCTATGCTTCAAACTACGGAGAGAATAGAGGAGTCGCAGGATCGACGGTGTATCACTATCAGTTGCACAAGGCTTAAATATTAAAATATGGCTACCTTGCCATCCATCACTAGCACTCATCATCCAATTCATGCGCACCATGTTTGGGTACAGCTTTCTGGGTGCTAGTAAGTCGGCTCTAGACTAGAATGCGGTTCAGAAGCCGCTCGCCCGTTGCCACTGCAGCGGTTCCAGTTGGCTGATCGGAGTTCGATCTGAACTGGCTCACTCCGGGCTCGTATTTTACCCGAGTCCCGACACCGTTACTTTCATTCAACATCAACACAAACGACAGTTGATGGTAAACTTGCTCTTTTAGACGTACAAGCTGATGCATCAAGTGGAGAACACATGAAATTTATAATGTGGGCTGCAAATATCTGGATATATCAGTGTACTCGACGCTTGTGGTGCTCTGCCACTACCTCTTTACGACTTTTATCTACGAAGGTCATTCTATGCGTAATCTCATCCACTTTTTCTATAAGTTACCTATCCAGGCTAATAACACGATTTATCAGGATGCATGATAAGGATTCATGGCCTGAGCTGTCTCAAGCGGGACAGACCATTGTAAAGCTGAGAGATGGAAATACTGGAGATATACCTTTGATAATCATCCACGGTTAGCGCTGGTTCTCGTTGCTGACCTATCAAAGAGCTTGATTCTGACATTCCTTAGGAGGAGGCGGAGCGATTCATGCTTTTGGCCCATTACAACGCAAATTCCGTTCTGCTCTTTGGGCCCTTCAAGTTACCCCAGACACACCCCTTACAACGGTGGACGAACAGGCAAAATTTTATTATTATAAAATCAAGGTAATGTATCTCGCAATCTATGTCTCTTCACTCCACTAATTTTTCTTAAGAGTGAGCGAAGAACGGGACCTTACCGCCTTGCCGCATTCTCAGCCTCCAGCATCATCGGATTTGCGCTTACGCGCATTTTGGAACGCAATGGAGATAAAGTGATCCAACTCGCACTCATTGACCACTTTCCGACCACATTTCTTGCTCCTGCGCTTGGAGTCGATGTCACCAAAATGCCACTCCAACATCCCCGTGCCCGGAAAGAGTTCATTGACACCAGTTTCGACAACTTGGTCACCATAATCCGTAGAGACGGGGGTGGAAATGTTCTTCGACGACATCGCCTCGCAGATGGGCTTTCTGACGCTCGCAAAGGGCTGCCAACAGCGCCCTTCATCCAGTCGCACAAGGACATTTTAGACCGATTTCTTAATCAGGTGTTTGACTTCATCTTAGTCGTTTGTAGGAACTCAGAAATGCCGGCGTCTGAGATAGCACAACGCGGGTCGGGACACAAGACTATCAATGCACTAGAAGAATGGCTCCAATCTGTCAATGCGCCCGTGTCCATTTATCTCGGGTCCTATGGGATGATAGGATCTATTCCCGTGGAGCATCGCAAAGATTGGTATGATTTAGGGATTCACCGTTGCTTCCCTAGTGCCAAAGTCATACATCTCCGGGCAGGACATTATGACATTTTGGATAATGATGTCCTGATTAAATCATTACAAGACGGGTTTATCCCCTCGTCTCGACTGTAGACTGTATATATCATCTTCAAAATTATGCTTCCAATGAAAACAGAATTACGCGGCAAGAAGGGTTCGCTGATTCCGACAATTAGATTGTGTCCGGTGCTATAAATATGGACCAATAAGGACCCACGTTTTGCAGACAATGACTGGAGATTTTTCAAGGGGGTAGTGCTGGTGCTGGTGAGAAACAGAATACAGGGGCATCGGGAACAGCAATCGACAACACAAGTATTTTTACTGAAAAAGGACACAAAAATCGAGGTATAGCACGAGCAATGGGTCGATGACTTGTGATGGAGTAGAGGACGACGTAAAAAGGGTATTGAGGGTACGTAGAGTCAATTGTTTGGTGTACCGCATGGGCTGGCATCCGTAGTACAGGTTCAATCACTATCATGATCTGGCCTACAACCAACTTACGTGTAGGCTTGTAGCCACGGAGCAACACTGGAGAACTCAATCACACAAAGTGCGAGGAACGAGCTCTGTAACGACGTCGAGACGATACAGGTGATGGTAAGCTAAAGAGAAAGAATCGTACAACACTGCCTATCTGAGTATCCCGAAGTAGCCGGTGAGTAACCGGAGTCCCTGGTTACATTACGCTAGTATTCAACGAAACCAGGTGAAAATAAAATAGAAGGCCAGCGTAGTTCAAGGCCTTTCCATATGGTAAATCTGAATTCAGGGCGGCAATTGGGAGGGTCAGAGTTGCGATTACAGTGGGTTTATGCAATCAGTGATTGTAGGGAGAAAACCCGATTTCGTGGCGGACCGAAGTAGCTCGGTTCCCTTTTTGGGCAGGGCGATTCGATTACGGGTGAGGCCTACTGGTCGACCCGTACATAATCCCGGAACCGAGTCAACCGACTCTGAAGTTGGCTTTTTCTCGTTCGCGCAAGTTCTTTGGAACCTTTTGGAACCGGGATCAATTTCTCAGTGAGAACTTGATCCCGGAATCAGTTTGCCATGGCGGCTGAGATGGCCGCCGTTGGTAGATCTAAAAGACTCGGCGTCTACATCCACTCTCCTTGAGTTACTGACAATGCCAGATTTCCACTCCAAGGTTGGCAGACTACCGCATGTACCGGACGACCTCACCATCCCACAATTTATCCTTGATCATGACCATCCCATAAGGTCAAAGCGTCCCAAAGGTGTACCCTGGCTCGTTACTGACAAGTCAGGCAGGAAGATACATCTCGATGAGGTGCGCCGATTCGTAGCATTGAAGAATTATTCGAGAACTCTGAATAGATCCAACGCCGAGCTAATGGCCTTGCGGTGGGTCTCAAGGAGAGGTTTTCCATAGGTTAGCTTGACCATAGTGCGCCATTTCCATGCTCACAGTGCCTTTCAGGTTTGAATGATCCAGGTGCATTTCTTTCTTGAACCCAACTCGACCACAACCAATACTTTGCAGTTCTTTTTTTCTCTACCAATCACGTCGGTGCGTAATTGGCCGTCGTATTTTGCTTTGCTGCTGATGCACACAACAGATTATCCTGTATGTATGTGGGCTGTACACCGTATCTTGGGGATCGTCACGTTTGTCTCACGCTGATTGTCTTTTTCCGTCACTAATTTCTTTCAGACCTTGCAACCCCTCATTTACGGTCCCAGAGCTCGTACAGCATCTCCGGTTGTCAAAATCCAGTCTTATCATCACCCACGTCGACTTTCTAAACACAGTTTGTCGGGCTGCTCGTGAAGTCGGACTTTCTACGAAACGGATCGTCGTTCTTCTCGATCAAGACTCCCAGACCGCGAATCAAACAGGATTTGTGTCTGTGGATGATCTCGCTGTGCAGGGTATAAAGAGTGAAAATACCTTAGAAAATGTTCAACTAGCACCAGGCCAAGGAAAGGAGATGATAGCCTTCTATAGCTCGTCGAGCGGTACCACCGGAGCGCCCAAGGTATGTTGACCAGGCTGACTTGATGTCTGATTCTTACGGATACTTTAGATTGTCCAAATATCACATTACGCCTTTATAGCTAATGTACTCCAAATTGCTTCCCTCAACAAAGTGAACGAGGAGTATGACAAATGGGAGAAGCGCAGGTACAGACCGGGTGATGTGTGTTTGGGTGTTCTTCCCTTCTATCGTGCGTATATCACGAAAGGAAGGATATTTTTTTAACCCTTTGATTTCTAGATATCTATGGCTTGGTTCTGATTGTAAGTAATGATGATTGAGTGCGACATTGAATTCCGCCGTTGACTATTGGTGGTTGACAGCTTCATTTCAACATTTTTTCTGCGGTGAATCATCCAATTGGCTATAAAATATTCAATTTTGTTTCTAATGCTCATCGTTCAGATGTCTGTGGTCGTGGTCCCAAAGTTTAACTTCAAAGAGATGCTTCAAAGCATCGTTAAATATCGGATTTCCTCTCTGATGGTTGTTCCTCCGCAAGTGGTTTTGTTATGCAAGGTACGCCTGACATGCTACCAAGAGATATCCAATGACATGGGATTGATGCAGGATCCTATCGTCAAAAACTTTGATCTTTCAAGTGTTAGAGTCGTCTTGTGTGCTGCTGCTCCGCTTACTGGTAAGGCGTTTCGTTCTAGCAGCAGGCTTAAAATTTCAAATTCACACAGCGGAGCTCTATGACCAACTCGGTCAACTTCTGCCAAACATATACATCGGCCAAGCTTACGGTATTTCGAAGTCTGCTTACAGATGGTGTACGTTACATGAACTGTGTCTGTACAGGGTCTACTGAAGCTACTGGTGTTGTATCCATGTGCCCTGTTCAGCAAAGATGCGGCATGTTTGGGGGAGTACTCGCGCCAGGTATTGTCGGGCGAGTGGTCAAAGCCGATGGGACTTTGGGGGATTACGATGAGGAAGGTGAATTGTATATCAGGACTCCTGCTGCTGCGGCAAGTTATCTTAACAATGATGCTGCGTACGTTGCCTCGTACTTAAAGAATATCTTCTGACCTCCCGCTTCTGATAGAACCCGAGACACGTTTACTGGGGGGTATGTAACGACATAATTAAGCGTTTATTATAGATTCTAATTGAGTGTATTCTTTGCAGATGGATCCGTTCCGGGGATCTAGTGAAAGTTGACAAGAACCATGAAGTTATTTTTATTGATCGTTTGAAGGTACTTTCTGATTTTCTTTTTCACGATTGAGTTTCTAAACGAGCCTTATAGGAGATAATTAAGGTTTGAAACCAGTTATTCCTCGTGGCCCTTTTTGAATTTATATGTAGGTTCGGGGATTCCAAGTCGCGCCTGCCGAGTTAGAGGGTTGTATTTTAGACCATCCCTTTGTAAGAGACGCGTGTGTCGTTGGAGTTCCTCATGCATACAGCGGAGAAGTTCCATTGGCATTTATCGTTCTTACCAAGGATGGGATGAATGCAGGCGAGAAGGATGGAGGTTTTGCAGGTGTTAAATCGTCAATCCGAAAGGTATCTTCCCTTGTGCATCCGAGGAATCTGACTGTGCTCATTACCTTTATAGCATGTCGCGGAGAATAAAGCTCCATTCAAGCACTTGCATCAGGTCGAAATCACAGATGTGATTCCGAAAACTCCTAGTGGGAAACTACTTAGGCGAGAGCTTCGCGACAAGGCCCGGGACGTCGTTCAGAATGCCAAACTTTAGCCAAACAGACAATGTCGTATTTTACTGTGTATATAAGAGAAAATGATCCGCTCTCGCCCCATAGACAGATGGAGGATATACAGCATGTTGAATTTGGGAGGGATACTATCCAAACATCGGAGTCAGCACTGGGCTGGCTTGGTTGTGTTGGTTGTGAGCACCAAGTCACGGCCCCACTGAGTCACAGTGATCTCCGAGACCACCGTCAGAGGACACGCAAGTATGTCAGTTAACCTTGCCAACGCCGACCTCTATGTAATCACATTTCCAATACTGTATAGACGGGAGCCCATCAAAGATCCACAGGCGACGCATCATGATGATGCAACGCAAACTTCTTCTGTAATATTCTGCGGCTTCTACGGTGATGCACATAAAGCACCCGTCTGATTTGAATGGAGTCAGCTTGGAATTCATTCGTCGAACCGATCTGACCTATTCTTGTGCCGGATACCACTACTTCTCCGCGTGCCATAACCTCCTCCTTACACTGGCATGGCCGACTCTGACTATTCGCTGAGGAATCAAGATAGCAGTGGTACACTGGCAGAGGGTAAAGACTCAGAAATTAAAGTTGTAGAGTCTTCGGACTTGCAGAGCAACCGCTTTGACCATGGGATCCGTGCGTGGGGAACTGGTTCGTATACAAAGCTTATCGAATTTCGAACCCTATTCATGTTGTAACAGTCGTAGGATCATGGCTGGTGCAGTTTTGTATCATTGGTATCCCTCTATCGTTTGGCGTCACGGAAAGCTTCTATGCCAGAGAGTATCTCGCGGCGTACACCCCGTCTCAGATTAACTGGATAGGTCCTCGTTCCTTCAGGTGTATCTATTTACCTCTCTGACGCCAATACCCGCTGTAGGATCACTACAGTTTTGTCTCATGTACCTCCTAGGCTTAGCGGTCGCAGGACTGTCTGTAGAATTCATATACTCACCATGAAAAGTAGGAAAGGCTGATCTAAAATACAGATTCGATGCTGGGCATTTTCACCTCATATCCATCGCCGGGTCTGTTCTATTCCTTTTCAGGTCTGCCGCCTCGTTTAGCTTTCCTTGGAAAATTGCCTGATCCTTCATGGCATGTAGCTTTTTCATGTTATCGCTGGCCAGGGAAGGGCAGTATTATCAAGTATTTTTATCGCAAGGACTCGGGATGGGGATTGCGACAGGCATTATGTACACGCCGACCTCTTCTGTGGTTGCTCACCACTTTAGAAAACGAAGGAGTATGGCCATGGTACGTGCTTCCGAAAGGAATCGTTTTCAATAAAAGCCATATTGTGTCCACAGGGAATTATCACGACCGGTAGCGCCATTGGAGGCTTCTTTTTCTCTTCAATATTGGGCCACTTTTTGGATGGATCCATTGGATTTGCATGGGGCATTCGAATTGCAGCGTTCGTGTGTCTGGGATGCTTATGCACCGCAAATCTGTTGATGCGAACAAACTATCCTCGGAGTCAAACCGCTCGGCCAGCCCTGTCGACGCCCTTGGCGACGCTCCTCAGGACACCCTCCTACATATTCATGATCCTTTATGGTTTTATGATTTCTCTCGCCCTGTATAACCCTATGTTTTCAGTGGAACTGTTTGCTCAGGAGCATAACAATATACCGAGTACCCTGACGAGCTACCTGGTGGCTATTATCAATCTCAGCAGTACACTAGGACGCACTATCCCAAATTGGCTGGCCGACCGCTATGGTGTATTTCCTGTGTACATTCCGTGCGTTGCCGCTGCTGGTGAGTAAAGTTGGTATACATTCGGCACTCGCATTTAATCTGTCTGCAGGTGTCCTGGCGCTAGTTATGATGGTCTGCACAACCGCAGCATCGATTACCGTCTTTTGCATCCTGTATGTCTATATCTTCTTGTCCAAAGCATAGGATACTTCTCATTCAAAATTTGTGAATTAGGTATGGCTTCTTTTCGGGCGCTTGTATGTATTGTCTTCCTTGAGCACCAGGTTGACGCACGGCTTACCGTCCTATCACGTCAGGCGTATCGCTCTTCTTCCCTGCCGTACTGTCTCTCGATCCGGACCTGACCCATTCTGGGTTCGTCACTTTCCCCCACATCTCCCGTCGCATTATTCGGCACTGAACATTGAAATAGCCTTCGACTTGGTCTCGCATCCGTCCCCGTCGGTATTGCTTCCCTCGTGGGCACACCGATTGCAGCGGCAGTTGTAGGCGAAAACTATAAATGGTGGGCTGGGAGCGTCTTCACTGGGGTAACGAATTTGTTCCGTCACTCTCAACGACTCGGAGGCATTAATTCTTTTTTCATTTTTGTAGGTCTTGGAACTCGCGTCGGCGGGACTGTTATTGGCGGTATATATTACAAAACCACAGTTTTCCGTTCCAGCTTGAATTCGACAAGATTCTATGTCGGTCTTCGTTTCCTAGTACTATACCCTTGAATACATAGATTAGTTGCCCTCAGTATACCAGACATAGCGAAGTAGGCCGCCGCAGGGGGAAGTCCGAAGTCCACGCGCTAGGTAATCCTTATTCACAGGGATTCTGTATCAAGAAACGTTTTTTTGCCACGTAGCTCAGGTGCTTCGCTTCAAGTGCTATTTAGCATTCCACAGTAGTGTACCGTACCTTCGTACCTGGACTATGTACAGGCGTACAGCATCTCTCCAGTGTGTTTTGCTACCAATCCCGCAAAGTCTCAGCATCGTAAGATGATTTCATCTAGTGATGCATTTGGCACGTAAAAGTACGAAGTCGACATGCCGGAGATAGTCCTACACGGCCCGAGAATGTTGTCGCCAGTATACTGTGGATTGACAAATCGTCTAAGATGGCAACTACGAGATGTACGTCACTGGAACTATAGACGCATTAGAAAGCTCGCTTCGAAGGGACTTTTGAACTCTAAACGTTCGGGTTGCAACTAATAACCTATTGAAATCGACCGGATTCCTGGACGTGGCATGTTGTATTTTTCCGGGTGTTTTGGCTTTTGATAATTTCCAGGATTGCCGCCCCAAAGGGACGTATTCATTTTCGCTTGGCAGTTCGATGAGTAGTCGGCATGCTCAGGTAGCCATGCAGAAAGAATTTCTTCTTGTCTACAGCTTCGTAGACACTCGCTTTCGCCATCGCTGAATGGGAGCATCGGCCATTGTTGCAATACTCTAGCATCTTGAAAATGTCAGGATAACTGTTTGTTGGAAACAGATTCTGGACTGACCATCTTTGAAGCCGCCCCGTTACAGGAGACGTCCTGATATTGAGGGACGCGCTCTACTGAAGCTCAAGCTTCAAGTGTAGACGACCCCCATTCTCTCATGCTTCGACTGAGCGGGCCATGTTCCTCAGATCCAGTTCCTTGAGTTCCCTGAAAACTAGGGCGGCGAGTAAAAGGCAAGGTTAAGCTATGCCTAGCCGGTTTTCAAGGATAATCCAACGAAGATTGCGGGTGTCGAAGAAATGGTAAGTAGCCAAGATAGTCGTGATCACTGCCGCTTTCGAGCTGACGGCAATCAAAGCTGCTTCCTTCACTTGCGAACATCCTCTTCGTTACGTCTCCTCATCTTCCTGCCCTGCCTACAGACACTTCTCTAGGCGAGCGCACCACGCAGCTGGATTTGGATACTCAGGACGGGAGGGAGAGCTATGTTAGAAGGCGGATGTGTTTCTACAAACGTATCGACCGGGAGGGTTGGATGCGAGGGAGATTTGGAGGCGACCTAGGATGGTGTATACGTGGGGATGGCATGGCATGCACACCTAGTGCATGCAGCCTTCACCGCCAAGTTAGCCAAAACAACAATATTTATGATAGCCAATGCAATGCTTACCTCGGCTCTTCACAACCCCAGCGAAGCCGAGTTCAACCCTTGACATAGATTCGTATTCAGTCCCCAGTTATTACTGTCACAGTGGAGTCTGGAGGAAAAATGCTAACGCGACAAACGGTTTGTTAGTAGTAGAAGAGAGAAAAATCTCCGGCTTGCCTTGAGCTAAGACTCGTCAAACGAGAGCGTTGAAACTCGAGATTGGAACTGGCAAAGCATGTGTTAATGACTGGCAGGAGCCGTCTTGAACGACGAAGAATTTGCCTACAAGGTTCAGATAAGGTGTTGCACCTGAAAGCCTGTAAGACATTTAGTCACATGTAGGCGAGAAAATGTACGAGCTCACTGTATCCCGGATGTCTAGGCTACCGTGGCAGTGCGTGAAATATCAACACACATCTCGGAGAAGCTTGATAGCACTTGTTAAAGCTCGGTCGCGGTAAGTAAGAGCCTACCGGAAAGGATGGGTCGTTAGTAAACACAGAGGCGGGAAATTAGATCTGCGCACCTGGTATCAGCATCTTAAATTGGCACCTAGCAGTTTCCGCTGTGTTTCAAATATTGAGAGGGGGTCCATTTCATAGTGGTATCGTACATAGTTCCTGATAAAGCGAGTTAATGTATAATTTGAATGGAAAAAAGGGTTACCTGGCTGACTGTGTCAGAATCGAACTGGTTCCCGTAGCCCAAAGGACAATATTAGACCTAGAAAAAGTACAGGTTAGGTGGTTGCTAACGAAATTAGACGATTCACTCACCTTTAGCTCGCTATACTCAAGAGAAGCCATGAAACTTGAGGACGAAAAAAAAAACAATTCCAGCGACATTAGAAACAGAGAAAATAAGTAGGAGAAATGACAAGCTCACAGTGGAATTCAGTGAGCTCGACGCTATCGCCGTTGTGATTGCTGAAGACAAAAAGCCCCAAGTCCAAAAAGGCGGGTGATGGCAATCACGAGGATAACGACCATCAAGTTCGCCAGCATCGAAGACGCGTACATACAACGGTGAGAAAGGCTTTTTGAAGACATGCTCAAGGACAAGCAGAAGGTGTAAGGGAATATATTATGAGAGCGGGAGACAGGGTCCAAAGTGGTCGAGCATCGATTGCTACTGGTGAAAAGTAGATTGGGCTGGTGAAAAGTGCGTCAAATGGTATATCCTGCTTAGACACAAAGTGGATTTGAGACTCGGAAGAAAATAGATATCATGTTTTGAGATTGTCGAACTGAGGCGAGATTGCGGATGTCGAAGATATATAGTAGGCAGCCAAGGTAGTCACTTCCGTTTCGGGCTGGCGGCAATCAAAGCTGCTTCCTTCACTTGCGGACGTTCCTGCCCTGCCTGCAGACACTTCTCGAGGCGAGCGCACCACACAGCTGGATTTGGATACCCAACAGGAGGGAGAACTTTGATAGGAGGCGGATGTGTTTCTCTACGCGTATCGGCGGGAGGGTTGGAGGTGAGGGGGTTCGGAGTTGGGGTGGGTAGACCTGGGATGGTGTATGTGAGTTTGAACGCGTGGGGATGGGACGGTCCGTGGAAGGATCGGCGAGGGGTGAGTTTGGCCTAATACCAAGCTTTGAACGCGTCTGATGTCTGCTGCTAGTTTGACTCTCTTGTCCAAACTGCTACGGGCTTCAACGCAGACGAAGAAGGCTGCCTTTGGAGAATCGGGACCACGTCCCCTCCCGATGCAAGCACTCGACCATGTCGCGGGGTATCTTTTGGCTTTTGGGATCAACGCTGCGTTGTGCAAGACTGTCACGGTGCGTAGCCATTTCTTGTTCTGTCTGTTAGACTTACTCTTACTTAGGAGGGTGGATCATGGGAGGTGCGCGTCTCTCTAGCGGCTGTAGGACGACGGATTCGGTCTCTGGGCAGGATGTCGGTGCCGGCGGAGTAGGTCGATGAGCACGTCGAAGAGTTGTTGGTTGATTGGGAGGGAGAGAGGAAAATGAGGGCGCTTAGACATGCAGCGATCATGTCTGTGACGCTGGTTAAGGTGGGAAATGCACCCGTGGGCCTTGATATACAAGCGCCAGAGTGGTTGCCGATATGATGGTTTACTTATGGCATATACCATCATAGACAGGCAATCAATTCAGTGTCGTGCAAAGTTTTCCTTTCAGAATCAGAAAAGCTGTTACAGCGAAGCACCTTCATCCATGTTGATAGCTGATTTCTCTGTTCTCAGGTATTCTTTCCTGATGGGTCGGTTTGAGAGCGAAATTTTTACTCGGCGCCTAGGCGGTAATCTAGCCCTCGTTGATGAAAATTTTCGCTGTTCATGCTGAGAATATAGTACACAGCACGTAGTAGTTCTTCCATTCTTGGGCGTACTACCCCTCCTACGCTATCTGCTCCACTTGGAAGATCACCATTATGCTTCAAGTCCTTGTACTTGGCTGGGAAATAACGTAGGGCCGATAATTCCCGGACCGATGTTAAGATTAATACCGATTTGTTTGAGGCCTGCCTTATTGGTGTCTGAGATTGGCTGGCAACGGAGGAGGGGCCGGATACATCTTGAAGGATTATAGACGCGCAATTCTAGAAGAACTCGCAAGAATGGAAGAACTACACGCTGCTCAGCGTTAACAGCGAAAAGTGCCTAAGCGCTGAATAAAAGTTCGCTCTCAGAATGAAAGAATTCTTGAGATGAAAACTTCGCTGTAACAGCTTTTGAAAGGCAGATTTTACGCGACACTGAATCAGTTGCCTGTCCATGATAGTATACACGTCGGATGATAGGGATTTTGGGAAACTACCATAGCCCCATCACCGTTCCTACTACCACTCCCACCACCACGTATTCGTAACGTCAAAAGTAATCAGGACCTGGGAAGATTCGAAAGCCAGTCGTTATCAAGCGCGACGGGTCAGAACCATTATTAGTATACGAGATGCTGCAACGACGTGGGCGCCCTCCGTTCTGGCTTTATGCTTAAAGGCGGTGTCAATCCAATGAGTGCGCGGAGACGTGAGGCTCGCAGGATCTCTTCACTTGCCGAGGCTTAGGGAGAGACAAAGCTACCGGCTAGGACAAGCGATGCGAGTGCCAAAGAATGCTCCGGCGATACCAAGCTTCCAGTGACGCGGAACTCAGCGTACAAGATGAACATGGCGTTGGTGTTGCTACTGCCTCTGTTTCAAAGTCTACCGAATACCATTGGAGGAGTGCGTCTTGTACTTGGGCGTGTGTCAGCGATAGGATGTCGAGGATGCCTTGAGTTACGGTGACTGGTGAAACGTTTGGCTTGTCACTCACTGAAGGAAGTTTGTATATATGTATCCTTACACGTCCACCGTCTCGAGCCTTAGGTAAAAGGCCCGGCTGTCGAATCCAAGATCGAGTTTGACACTATTGAGTATATCGAGTGCTTATCGATATCTTGAGCACACGAACGGCCATTATTGTTTAACTGTAGCACTCACGAAACTCCCAATGCATGACCCGAATCCACCGAAACGTCCTGCTCGATTCCCGTTCTCAGTTGGTAGTACTAGAAGTGAGCCGCGGATAAGCCTATAGCTAATGCATAAGAATGCTCCTTGTAGTTGAAAAGACGGGTACCTGTGCTGCATCTCCCAGTTTGAACGAAGACGATGTCGGCTTGGCTGGTTCGTCAAGGTGGAGGTTGCCTCAGGGAGCCCGGTTGAGAGCCACTGCCAGAGGGACCATCAGCAATCTCGCAACTGCTATAGGATGCATAGGATAGCTCTGCCTATGCCGCCCTATATTCTATAACGCGGTATAGGGCTATAACGGGGGTGCATGATTTCTATAACCATAATCGTAGGGCTACACCCTGCATATACCACCTGGTCATAGATCTATACCTCGGTTATGCGTCACTCACTGATATCGAATCACTAGTATCCAGTTCTTTCGCATCGTTGCCACGCCGTATGTCAATTGAGACAGGCATTATATTCATTAAATGATGTACCAACAAAGCACAAAAATAGCAATCTAATCGACTACACTGTCTTTAGTTCGTCCATAGGAGACACTGCGTACTATGACCCCCGTTGAGGCTTGAATCTTCACTGGCACTTGAATACTAGTAGCTGCATGTAAGCACTTTGTAGCGAGGATGGCATGGAACATACCTTTACTCAGACATATCCACTTCATCGCTTTCTTCCCCCGAATCTTCATCTGAGTCTTCATCATCCCCTTTCCTGCCTGCGCTAAACTCCCGGCAACGCAGGTAAATCTCATTCCATTTCTCCGTTGATAGTGCCCAGGTGTTCTTGTAATGCTGCTTTGCTATTGCGCCCCAAGGATCTTCGCCGAAACTGTCAGGAGAATTCTTGGACTGTTTTCCGGCCAACGTGTTGACCCCTTTCTTCCAGACTTGCAGCGCACGCTTGACCTATGGATCTCATTAGCAACCTTGCAGCAAATATAAGTTCGCACATACCGCTGCGGCAGCAAGTGCCAGTGCGCCTGCTGGTGGTCCAGATGTAATCAGAGTGTTGATGGTACGCTGGACGTGGTAGGCCATCTGCGTTACCTGAGATTAATCCCTTTACTCTGTCCCCCACTACTGAGCCTGTAGCCATTTCTTGATAGATAATTATCTTGAAATGAATAACAGGTCAGGAACTGATGGCACCTGCTAAGCAAGTCTTCGAGCATGAAATGAAACCTAGAACTTAAGGGTTCTGACTGGCAGCTGTAAACGATTCTCTTTGCCACACCGAAGATGACCAGTGACCTGTTGAGCTCACTGTTACTCAATGCTGCAGTAGTACGTGAAAGAACCTAATACATTTAGAAAAGATAAGATGAAGGGGAGCAAGAATGAGTTCACCATAGCACGACACCCGTTCAGAAACCCTAGGGTCGCTTCATCCTCGTAAAAACATATTCGTAACGTGAGGTGAGCGCGCTTTGATATGTATCGATTGGGTCTAAAATTTCTAGCTGTCTGAAAATCGGAAATTTGGAGGGTGTACTTATTTCTCTTGTCGGTACTTGTGGAAATGAATGTCGTAAGCAGCCCTAGTCGTCATCATGGATAGGCATATTCGGACCGATATCTCCTCCCTCTCTGTCATTCATGGAACCACCCTCCAAATTTCCGATTTTCAGACAGCTAGAAATTTTAGACCCGATTGATATCAAAGCGCGCTCACCTCACGCTACGAATATGTTTTTACGAGGATGAAGCGACTCCCCCGGGGTTTCTGAACGGTAAGCATGACGCATTGCGCTATGGCGAACTCGTTCTTGCTCCCCTTCATCTCGTCTTTTCTAAATGTATTAGGTTCTTTCACGTAAGTACTACCGCTGCATCTAATGGTAACAGTGAGCTCGACAGGTCACCGGTGTGGCAAAGAGAATCATTTACAGCTGCCAGTCAGAACCCTTAAGTTCTAGGTGCTCGAAGACTTGCTTAGCGGGTACCATCAGTTCCTGACCTGTTATTCATTTCAAGATAATTATCTATCAAGAAATGGCGGTAGTGGAGGACAGACTTTTCAGAGTGAAGGGATTAATCTCAGGTAACGCACTTTTCTTCGCTCATTCTTCCCCCTACACCAGGCTTTTGCTCCTTACAATCATCGACCACGACCATTCCGAGAGGATCAATACGCACCACCCCAAACACGAGTGGGCTGAAATTTATAGAGATGCCCCACCGTACCGTATGAGAAACAGACCTTGACGGTACGGTACGTATCCTGTACTGTACCCGTATACAGCTGTCATGAGAGGAGGCCGGCTTAGGTCAGGTATGTTTTATGGTAAAAATCATGAATGGACTCACCCAAAAGAAGGGATATCCGTGCAAATTCGGCCTACCTCTACCCGTATAAATACGCCGACGGTACGGGTACGGCAGCTGAAAAACAGTGATCGCAATGACGCCTGCCTTTTTCCTCATCCATCTCTTGAGTTCACACAGCGTCGAGGATTAGGCTAACCTCAAGTATGACGATCGAATTCTTTGTGATGAGTACTCATTTATCGTGCTTGAGGGACCCAAGCATGGTGAGCTAAACTATTCCGTTAACGCCACCTCTTTAATCGTTGTCGTCTCAGCATCTACCTACGGAGTCATTAACAAGCACGCCATTATGATCGGACAAAGTGAGCCTGTAGTGTGAAAGCCTGAGACCCACGAAATGGACCAGGATACAGGGGAGGAAGGTGAAGCAGTGGAGGGTGACGACGGTGGTGAGTGGATTTGCTAGCAAAGTCGAGGTTGGGTATCGGGCCGAATATGCCGCTCCCTTTCCTTGGGTTGATGATTTTTGATTTCCAACGTAACGCCGTCTCTCTTGGCTCTCATGTCGTATTCTAACGGAATCCTCGTTTTCTCGTGATGCAGTGCTACTCTTTTCTCTCTACCATTGGTGAGGGGGGGGAATATTCTAAACTAGACTCGGAAATTCCTTTGACCGTCCTGGCAGCCCTTTTTTTAATCCAACCGGTGGGTGGGAATGACCGTACGGCGTGATATGCTTTTTTATAATTATCGAGCCCGTCTAGTACTAACATTAAAGCTTACCCATGATAGTACCTTCGAACCCAACGCCAAGCCTATTTCCTCAGGGGAAATCGGCTCCAAAGATCGGGCCACCGCTAAGACGCATGCAACTGCTCGCGCGCAGTTCCATCTCTTTCTCCTCCGCTTTTCTCGAGGTCGAGTCGGTACGCGAAGTGAAGCCCGCGATACCCACGCTAAAAGCGATTGTTTGATTATCGGCACAACAATTCAGGCACATTGGCATATGGGCCCTGCTATTGAATTCACGAACCCGCTTCTACACCCCGTTGGAAGCCTCCTTCAATGTTCATCATTTTTTTTTCCTTTCTTCTAGGCAATCAAGTCATGGGAACAGCTCGAGGTGCGTTCCATCTATATCACGGGGGGGAAAGGAACACTATAAACATAGGGACGCAGAGCATGGATAAATTACACGCGATCGGACGTCTTCCGCCGTCTCCCACTTTTTCCCGGCGTTTTCGTCTCGCTAGAGAGCGCCTAAAAGCCAGAGGCCAGGCTTTGCACCTTGTTTTCTCTCGCGATGATGTTTCGACGGTGCGTGCGTAGGGATGCGATGTTGCTGCTCATGGGAGCGTCGATGATGCACTTGTTTAGCATGTTCTCGACTCCTTCGATGACTCCCAGTATCCGAAGTACGTGGTTCTACGAGGCACCCGTAGATTTGGATCCCCTTCCGCCTCCTCCTGAGCCAAAGACAGTCGTACCGCGAGACGTGGAGACGGTGACCGTAACAGTACACCCAGATCCGAAGCCAACACCCCTCGCCAACCCAAATCGACCCACCTCCCTCCCTCACACGTCCATCGTTCACCATGCCCCAGGATGGACACTCTTCAGGAATCTGTACATGTCCGACGGGACATTATTTATCCTGTCCAATAACAGGTCATTCCCTGATATCAGGATGATGACCAGCACGGGGTTCCCAGCGGAGAACACGCGGGAGAATATTGCGATGAGGGAACCGACGAGGCATCATATGGATATAATTACGCCTGAGGGAGCGAAACGGAGGTGGGGGGAGAGGGTGCTGAGCGTTGAGGGGAATACGGTGCGTTCAATGTTCTCCCGAGATGACATCAGATTAACATTAGCTTTAGCTCCTGGTAAATGAACCAAGCCAGTTCCTACGGCATTACTACCATCTCTGTGCAGAGCTCTTCTTCGGCGTCCAAGCCTTCTGGCACGGAGCCCATTCTCAGCCTACCTCAGAATCTGAAGGAGAAGTCCTCACCCACCCCGCCCCTCCCCCCCTCGATCGCGTCATATTCGCCCACGCCACCACCGACGGATGGCGCGACGGCCCCGGCTTCAACGGCTTCTTCCTCCGCGCCGCCTATCCCTCGCTGACCGTCGAGACCTGGGATGACTGGGAAGACCGGATATCAGCTACAGCCGGGAGCACCGGTGCCTGGCGCTTCCCCCTCGTCCTCCTCACAGACCGAAGCGCCGCCCATCGAGGGCCGATATGCGGGAGCCAGACTCAGCGGATCGCTTCCGAGGCATGGGATTACATGCGCCGGCATGGATTGCTGATGGGTATTCGCGTTGGGGGGTGGTGGGAGCCCGTACGCGCTGCTGTGCTCAAGTTTGCTGGGGCGCCTGTTAGTCGGAGTGGGATACGCGAGAAGCCTATGCCGGAGAGGATTGTTATCACGTATATCAGTCGGCAGGGTGGGCATCGGCGTAAGCTCATCGAGGAAGACCACGACGTTATGGTCGAGGCGCTGGAGGAGCTCGTGCAGAGGAAGAATACGAGGAGGGACGAGGTAGAGTGGGAGTTGAATGTGTTGCAGGCTGAGGGGATGACTAAGGATATGCAGCTGAGTGTTATTGCCCGGACAACGTTTCTTTTGGGTGTACATGGGAATGGGCTGACGCATTTGCTGTTCATGCCCCCGACGAAGCTCTCGGCTGTTATTGAGATTTTTTATCCTGGAGGGTTTGCGCATGATTATCATTGGACGGCGAGGGCTCTCGGTATGTCGCATTTTGCGGTTTGGAACGATACGTGCGTACTCTTTTATTTTGTCATACTCGGATTCGCTCAGGCATCATAGGTTCTATACATACCCCGACGAGCCAGGGGTTGATTACCCCGAGGGATTTCAAGGAAACGAGATACCAGTCTATGGACCTACTGTCGCTCGGATTATCGAGGACAGGGTGGACGGAAAGCTGTAAAAGTATATAATATTATACCTATCTTGTATCATACCAGCGAACAATCCACGCGTTTGCTTTGAGGAAAGATGCAGGAAGCAGCGAAGTAAGGATTACTGACATGTATGCGTGCCCAAGAATTGAAGAACTACCTGCTGTGTATCATGAACAGCGAAAATGCTCATCAATAAAGCCTAGAATACCGCCTAGGCGCTGAGTAAAAATTTCGCTCTCAGCAAAGAATTCCTAAGAACAGAGAAATCAGGTATCAACATGGAGGAAGGTGCTTCGCCGTAAGTAACAGCTTTTCTGATTCTGAAAAAAAAAAACTTTGCACGACACTGGATTAAATAATTGCCTGTCTATGATGGTATATACCATAAGTAAACCATCATATCGGCAACCACTCTGGGGCATGCATATCAAGACTCGCAGGTGCATTTCCCACCTTTACCGGCGTCGCAGACATAATCGCTGCATGTCTGAGCGCCCTCATCTTCCTCTCTCCTTCCCAATCAACCAACAACTCTTCGACGTGCTCATCAATCTGCTCCGTCGGCACCGGCACCCTACCCAGAGACCGGATCCATTGTCCTACAGCCGCCAGAGAGACGCGTACCTCCCACGATCCACCTTCCTAAGCAAGAGTAAGTCTAACGACCAGAACAAAAAACGAGCCTCGCACCGTTACAGTCTTGCACAACGCAGCGTTGATTCCAAACGCCAACAAGTACCCCCGCCGCATGGTCGAGCGCTTGCATCGGAAGAGGACGCGGACCCGATTCTCCAAACGCAGCTCCTTCGTCTGCATTGAAGCCCGTAGCTGTTTGAACGAGGGAGTCAAACTAGCAGCAGAAATCAGACACGTTCAAAGTTTGATAGAAAGCAAACAAGTACTCACACCTCGCCGGTCCTTCCACGGACCGTCCCATCCCCAAGTGTTCAAACTCGCATACACCATCCCAGGTCTACCCACCCCAACTCCGAACCCCCTCGCCTCTAACCCTCCCGGCCGATACGCCTGCAGAAACACATCCGCCTCCTCACACAGCTCTCCTAGCTTATCCCTCCCTTCCTGGGTGTTCAGATCCAACTGCGTAGTGCGCTTGCCTCGAGAAGTGTCTGCGTCCAGGACGGGCAGGGCAGGAAGATGTGGAGACGTGACGAGGAGGACGTCGGCGCCGTGTGCTGCTAGAGTCCGTCCTGCTACGGGACCTGCTAGGACGCGGCTTAAGTCTAGGACGCGGATGCCTTCCAGTGGGCGTGTTCCTCCAGTCAGACGGCGCTTCGGAGCTTCTCCAATTTTGGTTAGTGTGACTGGCGGGATTCCGCGGAGAGCCTCTGCTTGTGGATGGGCGTTCCATTCGTCGAAGGACCGGTAGGCGGTGGCACACATCCCCCGTCGTACTGCTTCTGTTTCAAAGTCAATCGAGTCCCATTGGACAAGCGCCTCTTGGACTTGGGGACGCATCACGGTTGGGGTATCAGGGATATTGAGGATGCCGAGTATACCTTTACGGTGACTTGTGAAACGTTTAGCTTCATTCGTAAGAACACTTACTGAGGGAAGTTTGTGTGGATCCTCACATGTCCGCCGTTCCGAGTCTTGTACAATCCCGCTATCGAATCCCAGATTGATCCAGGTTTGACGCCGTCGAGAGTATAGTGTGCTTCGCTATCTACGACTGATTGAGCAGACGAACGACCACCATTAAATATAGCACTCACGAAACTCTAGTGCTGCGTGCCTCGAATCCACCGACACTTCTTGCTCAACACCCGTTCGCAGTTGGTGAAAGTAGGCGGCGGACAGGGCTGATAGACCTATAGCTGCCTGCGATAACGCATTTGTAAGGCTGCCGTAGTTCAATAAAAGACGGATACCTGTGCTACGTCTCCCAGTTTGAACGAAGACGATATCGGCTTCGCGGGTTCGTCGAGGTGAAGGTGGCGCAGACTTGCTTCTGGGAGCCCAGTAGAGAGCCAGAGAGACGAGGCGAGTTCCATCGTGAGAAGGAAGGATCAGCCCGAAAATGCCGTGTTCAGATTATTGATCATCCTCATCGGGCTTGCATCGGGCCGTGACATCGAGGTCGATTAGGAGTAGTTTACTTCTATTTATCTGAGCTGTATCAGCGGAGATGGCCAATCAACCCAGTTTTCCTTCCTATTAGATATGAAGGAATATGCTATGGTAAGCGACTGTTTCAAACGGGACAAAATCCTGGTGTCTTTGCTATCTACGTTGCGCTGCGCCTGCTAGTTTGAATGACGAGAGTGTTGGCTTCGCAGGTTCATCAAGATGTAAGCGGTGTAGATTGGCTGGTGAGTGTTGAGGCGGGAGGAGGGAGGAGGGAAGGATCGGGCCGGACATGCTATGTTCAGATTTTTCTCGATGGACGACCAGCATCTCGCTTCCCGTTCCTCCCAGCATAAATATGTTGATATCACGCTTTCATCCACAGATAGGTACATGATTCCGCCATTCTCTCCTCTCCATTTTTTTATGATCGATTTCGTCGGAACCATCCCACTTTAAGACAGAATCTCTGTCTACATGGCCGCAATCGACCCTCGGCTTGTGGTGTCTATTGATATCGACCTAGGATCGTTGACTGGCTGGAGCGTTTATTCGCCGTCTCCTTGGTATCACAAAATGATCACCGGTAGCAATACTCTTCTCAGAGACTGGAATGCGGCCCGTCAAGCTTCGCAGACTGACACTTGCCCTTCGATACTAGCAGTAATAACCACACCGAACTGTCTCCACTCCCCGAGTCGGCTTGGTTTTGGTACCCGGATCCCAGAGGCTTACGACATATTCATTTCCGCAAGTACGCGACGAGAGAAGGATTATCATTCTCACTTCCAATTTCCGATTTTCAAGCAGCTGGAAGTTTAAGATCTGATCAAAGCGCGCCTACCTCCTCATATTCCGTCTAGGCTCACCACAAATATATTTATACAAGGGCGAAACGACTACAGGTTTTCGTGACGATAGCGTGCACTACGGTCAGCTTGCTCTTGTTCCCGTTTATCTCGTCTTTTCTATGCTTCCAGTCGTCGCACATGGATGATCCATGGCATCAATGTAGGTTTCGTGTACATCAAAGGACTAGCTTGTTTATAAAATGTACAGATAAAGAATTACGAGATTGGCATCGTTTCCCCCTTGAAAAACAGGGAGGGTTTGGAGAAAGTGACATTTTGGGAAAGGCCACCCAAGCGCTATGATGAAGGTGGACCATGGGTATGTTTCAGCGTTAGGATTTTCTGGTTATCGCTTTGATTTCGTGTACAGATACGGGAAGAATTCAACTAGCAAATAGAGTCTGTCCCTCTGGCGATCTTATGGTGGAGGATGATAACATTCTCATATTCTTCACAGTTCATGAATTCTTCAAGCTGATGGTATATCTTCCTCATCAAGACCGGAATTTTCATATAGAAATAGAGTTACACACCAATAATTGAGATATCAATTTAGAGACGAGTCGTTGCGATCTATAGACTATAAGGGCCGTCCCTTCAGCTACCGGTTGACAAATGAAGTCTACATGCTATTTCTACGATTTTCTTGTATTTGTCTCATTTTTATTTATTTTACCTGCCTTGTTTAGCGGTGTGGACAAGGTTTTTCGGAACGTCTGTATACGCAGCTTATTTCCACCAACCCCGAACGGACGTCGAACAGGACGTGTCAGTCCAGGTCACCTAGCACCGGAGTTTCATGAATATAGCGCCTAATAAAGATTGCTTATATGGTCAAATCACTCGTAGATAGCGAGGTCAAACCTGGGTTGATCTGAGATTTGATAGCAGGTCCGTACAAGACTCGAGATGGCAGACATGTATGGGTACATACAAACTTTCCTTGATGTAACTACTACGTGCCGTGTATTATATTCTCAACATGAATAGCCAATGAGGGCTAGATTACTGCTTATGGGCACTAAGTAAAAATTTCGCTCTCAAGACAGACTTATCAAAAAGATTCTTCAGATGAAAGATATTAGTCAACGACGAGGAAGCCTGCTTCGCTGTAACAACTTTTTACACCTGATTCATGGGGGTTCGAAAAGGCAGACTTTACGCGACACTGGATTAAATAATTGCCCGCCCATGATTGTATACATGCCGAGTGAGACCGTCGTAAAAAAATAATATATGCGGATTTTGGGAAACTACCACAGCGCCATCATCGCACCCACCGCCAAACCCACCACCAACGCCACACCACCACACGCCTGCCCACTGCCCCACCCCCACACCACCGAACTAGCCCTACTCGCAAAAGTCGTAATGAAAACCTTCGTTGGGTTCGGCGAGCCGCTTATCGTCACCGTCGGTATCGTCGAATCCGGTGTTACCGATGCAGATGCTGACGCCGAGGATACGTCCGTAGCATTAACAATAGAGAACCTGTCCGACAGACAATGCCTAACCATATGCGTAGAGTTTATGAACACCATAAAATAGTCGTCTCCGGTGGGTACGTCCTCGAGGTAGATATTCAAAGACGTGGGGGAGGAGGGGAGAGCTTGCACTACACCGTACGTTAGCACGGGCAAGTGGACGTAGACGCAGACATACGCACCATTGAACGCTACATACGTGATCCCCTTTACGTTTAGCCTCGTCATCTCAATGTCAAAAAAAGTCAGCCCATCCCAGACGCCCTTCTCCCATGAGAGGACGTTCACAGCGTTGTTCAACCATTGAGTGCTCCCCTGGGGTTCTTTGATCGTGAAATATGCTGGTCATAGTTAGCTTAGAACCTACTAACCGTATGAAGGGACGTACAGTGGGTGGTGTCGTAGCACGAAGCGAGAGTAGCAAAGCAGAGAAGACATAGGGATAGGAAACATCGACATAAGGGCATGAATTGAATACGTGTGTGCATAACTCGGACTCTGGGGTGGTTCAAATTTGAGGGCAGGGAGGTGCGAGTGCGACAGAAACTGCAGATTAGACATGCACGGCATCCTTTATTACTGTCTTATACTGCGGTCATGGGGAGCATGTAAATGCAAGCGATACATTGTAACGTCAGAAGTCCTATCGGGGCTTGGAAGATTAGAGAGCCAGTCGTTATCAAGCACCGAGGGTCAGTACCATTATTAGTATACGGGATGCTGCAACGACATGGGCGCCCCCCGTTCCGAACGAAGCTAGCTTTAATCGTAAAGGCGGTGTCGATCCAATGGGTGCGCGAAGACGCGAGTTTCGCGGAATCTCTTCACTTGCCGAGGCTGGTATAGGCTAGGAAGGAATAGGACAGTTCTCGTCAGAGCAAGCTCCGTATCCACCAGCTAGGCGAGCAATTCGAGTGCCCAAGAATACTCCGGAGATACCAAGCATCCAGTGACTCGCGATCGGAAATCAGTGTACAAGATGAACAATGTGTTGGTGTTGGTGTTGGTACCAGCACTGGCACAAGCACAGCAGATGCCAGGTCATTTTAGCTCGTAAAAAATGAAACCTTGAAAGGTTTTGTTTTAGCGAAGCCTGTGTCAGTCCCGAAAGGCTGTCTGTAAAACGGTACATGAAAAACCTTTAAGTTTCCCACTATAGAACAACGGAATTGAGAGGATTTTTCGTTTTAGAGCACTCAAACTGAGGGCGTAAAAACTGAAGCCGAAATCAAAACCTTTAAAAATCCCGTTTTAAGCCATCAGAAAAGCACCGGCTTCTGCAGTGAAAGTCCCAATCAAGAATGGCTAGGTTCATGGCCCTGAAGTGGCAAGTCAGTTGCTGTGCCACGAAGGCTTGTACCGTTGTGACCGCACAGTTTCCGTATGTCTCGCAGAGTAGACTCTTCATAGGGTGCATTCTTTAAATATATAGCAAATATGCTAGGACGCGGCTTAAGTCGAGGACGCGTTTTCCAATGGACGTGCTCCTTGGCTATATGTAAGATGGCGCTTTGGAGCTTCTCCGATTCTGATAAGCGTAACTGGAGGAACCCACGGAGGGACTCTGCTTGTGGATGAGCATTCCATTCGTCGAACGTCCGGTAGGCAGTGGCGCACCGCCGTCGTGCTGCCTCTGTTTCAGAATCAACCGAGTCCCGTTGCAGAAGGGCTTCTTGGACTTGGGCGCGTGTTACTGATAGGGTGTCGGGGATGTCGAGGATACCGTTACGGCGACTTGTGAAACGTTTAGCTTCAGTCACTGAGGGAAGTTTGTATGTATCCTAACATATCCACCGTCTCGAGTCTTGTAGAGCCCGGCTATCGAATCCAAGATCGGGTTTGACGCCATTGAGTGCATGAAGTGCTTATAACGAGCACGAACGACCATCATTGTTTAACTATAGCACTCACGAAACTGCAGTAATGCATGTCCCGAACCCACCGACACGTCCTGTTCGATTCCTGTTCGCGGTTGGTGAAGATAGGCTGTGGATAGGGCTGATAGACCTATAGCTGCCTGCGAGAACGCGTTTGTAAGGCCTCCGTAGTTGAGTAAAAGACGGCTACCTGTGCTACTTCCCCAAGCTTGAACGAAAACAATGTCGGTTTGGCAGGTTCGTGGAGGCGGAGATTTGCTTCTGGGAGCCTGGTAGAGAGTCAAAGCGTCGAGGCGGGTTCCATTGTGAGCGTCACTGAGAGAGGAAGGATCGGCCCAAATATGCCGTGTTCAGATTAGATCATCGATCATCCTCGTCCCTGACATCCATGACGACGACTCGCCTTCAAGCTTCAAGCTTCAAGGCTTATTTAGCTCCTTCTTTATCGCACTTGGCTTGGTTGGGGATTCAGCTCCTAGAAGCTAAGCGGTTGTATACGACGCATTCGTTTTCACCAGTACTACGCGATGAGAGAAGGATTACATGATATGCGCACCCACCAAATTAACACTCCAGTCTCTTTGGCCTCGCAGCAAAATACCACAACTCTACATTCGACCTCCTTGTCAACCCAAGACGCACCTGCACATCTCTTACTGACACCGGTGTGTTCTAGTCGCATTTCTAAACAACAGGGACTTACCGCACCGAATACCAATCTCTCCCGATTCATGGGCTTTTCATTGGGCCGACCAATTTACGGATTTGCTTCGAGGAAAGATGCAGCTACTATCCAGGAAAGTTCGGATCATCAATGCTCAATTCTAGATGAGCGCTAGCGCCCAAGAATGGAAGAACTACCTGCTGTGCACTATATTCTTAGCGTGAACAGCGAAAATGTTCGTCAATAAGGGCTAGATAACTGCCTTTGGGCACTGAGTAAAAATTTCGCTCTCAAACAGACTCATCAGCGAAGAATTCCTGGGACCTGAAATCAAAGAATCAGTTATCAACACGAAGTCTGCTTCGCTGTAACAATTTTTTCATCTAACGGGAGTTCGAAAAGGCAAACTTTATGCAAGACTGAATTAATTGCCTGTCCGTGATGGTATACACACCGGGTGATACCGTCGTCGAAAATTGGTATATGAGGGGGAGCTACCACAGCACCATCGTCGCACCCAGCACCACTCCCACCACCAACGTCATGCTACCACACGCCTGCCCTCTGTCCACCCCCCACACAACCGAACTCGCCCTACTTGCAAACGTCGTCACAAACCCCTTCGTCGGGTCCGGCGAGCCACTTATCGTCACCGTTGGTATCGTCGAATCCGGCGTAACCGATGCAGAGGCTGATGCTGAAGACACGTCCGTAGCATTAACAATAGAGAACTTTGCCGACAGACAATGCATAACCCCATGTGTTGAATTTATGAACAGCATGAAATAGTCGTCCCCCGTGGGTACGTCCTCGAGGTAAATATTCAGGGAGGTGGCAGAGGAAGGGAAAGCTTGTACTGCACCGTACGTTAGCAAAGGTCAAGCGAGTGAACGCAGACACACGTACCGTTATACGCAATATACGTGATCCCATCCTCGCTCAGCCTCGTCATCTCGATATCAAAATGCGTCACCCCATCCCATACGCCCTTCTCCCACTGGAGGACATTCACGGCATCGTTCGACCACTGGGCGCTCTCTCGAGGTTCTTTGATCATGAAATACGCTGGGAAAAGTCAGCCTCAAGTTGAAATCTAAATCTGGGAAAAGGTACACACAATGGGTGATGCACGAAACGAGGGTAGCAAAGCAGAGAAGACATAGGGATAGGAAACATCGACGTGAGGGCATGAGCTAAATGCGTGACTTGGACTCGGACGTGGTCGTTAACGTTGAAATTTGTGGGCTGCGGGTGCGTCACTGCGGATTAGAGATGCACGGCGCCCTTCATCACTGTCTTGTACTGCGGTCGTGTGGAGCACGTAAAAATTCGAACGATACATCGCAACGTCAGAAGTCAGGCCTGAGGACTTGGAAGATTCGAGAACCAGTAGGAATCAGCCGCGATGAAGCGCCACGGATCACTAGCATTATTAGTCCTCCATTCCGAATGATGCTTTGTGCATAATGTATAGTAAAGGCGGAGTTAAAGCAATGGGATGCGCGAAGAGGCGAAACTCGTGAGCTCTCTTCACTTGCCGAGCGCAGGCTGATGCTGATACCGTCGAGGGAGAACAAGACAACTCTCACTCGGAAAAACTCCATATGCACCAGCTAGGATGAGTGATGTTGGTGCCAAAGAAAGTTCCAGCGACATCAAGATGCCAGTGACTCAGAAGTAAACGCCGCACTTAGTATAAGATAAACATGGTGGAGGAAAGAGGAAGATTAACCCGGCCCTTCGGCCCGCCATGTGCAGTAAGTACGCCATCACGTGATGTTTCAACCTCACTAAGTAGGCCGCCCCTTCAGCTTTATCACTGCAATCGTGTGGAGCACGTGAATTTGAACTATGCATCATAGCAACGTTGAATATTACATGGAGTTAGGCTTGGAAGATTCGAAACGGACGGCGACCAGTGACCAAGCGCCACGGATCGCTATAAGGATGCCAGCGACCGTGAGCGCCCTCCGTTCTAAATAAAGGTTTGCGCACAAATGCGATATCATGATATAATGGGGTGCGCGAGGATCGTAGGATCTCCTCACTTGCCGAGCGCAGGTAGGTAGCATTACACGGCACGGTCCATCGGGGTTGAAGCTGGTGGTGGTACCGGCGCCAGGTCCCAATCAGGACCGGCGGGATCCACAGCCCTAACATGGCAAGCCATGCGCCGTGGCCGCAAAGGCTCATACCGTTTTGATCGCACGGTTGCGTACGTCTCGCGGAGTAGAGACTCTTTGCAGGGCACTTTAAAAGATCAGTGTTTTTGGTATTCGTATCCTTCCACGGAATGCTGACCTGGTACGAGCACAGGACTGCGCTCTTGTCAAGAAGGGAAAAGGCTCGATATTCTTCCTGCGGAGATGAGAGATACGAGCGCCAACGAAATTTCCGGCAACACCAAACTGACTCAGAAGTCAACGTCGGACTTTGTATACGGAGCTGAACATGATGGGAAGCAGAAGGAAGGTATTCACTGAGCTCGGCACTCGGCCCGTCATGCGTAGGACGCCATCACGTGAACATCTGCCTCCCTCCCGCCAAAGCACACTCAAAACTTAAAAGTCATGAAGTACGAGACCCGGGACCCCAAACTCTAGACCGTCCTTTTTTCTTCCCGGGGGGGGGAGAACACTGCCTCATCAGAAGGATCACGAACTGGAAGCCTGCAGGAAGTGCAACAGATATTCTCAGGAAAACCTCAGTGCCATCGAAGAAGTTAAAAAAATTTGGTGGGACTCGAAACTCAGCTCACTGATCTACATTGGCATTCTGTATATGTTCCAGCAGACTTTATTGAGCACCATCCACTACTGGTGATATTCTTGCTGTATAGCACGAAGAAAGAAAATGTAATGTACCACTTACCCCCTAGAATCAACTCGACTCTTGTCGATGAACGGCTATCACCGTTTGCACCTTGACAAACACCAGGTCATTACGTCGAAGGAAGGTTTGTCGCCACACTCATATTACCCCGGATCAACCATATTCCCCAGTGGAACGAATCTGGGAGGAGATCACGCGTCACCCATTTGGCTCCTGGTTCTTTGCATATTATTATCACCGTCTGGAATCGAAGCTCATTTACAGCGGCGCGTTAAATAACTCTGGGTCCGGGATTCCATATGTATGCTAAGGATCAGAAACATTACACAGACGGATCAGTCAGTATCTTTTCAAACTCATCTCATGGCCAAGAAGGTCATTTATGCATGTGATACACGGGTATAAAATCCGAGATAACTAATAGACAACGCAGAGTAATGACCATTAGTGTAAGCTGTAAGCTTTCGAGAGAACAATCCCTAGAATTATGACTGGATATTAAGTTAATGATGTAACGATATGCGACCAAATCCATGTAAATGCGTGCGTCCATAAATAAATAGCATGATTGGAAATGTAGGAACTGCCAGTAGGTTCACCCATGTCTTTTTCAGAAACAAGCTGCATTGCCGCCACGATATGCATTCGCACGACCCCCATCCGCTAAGAGTACACTTCCGTTCATATAGGCACCCGCACGACTGCCCAAAAACAATATAGCACCCGCCATATCCTAGAAACCGCAACATGTTATTAAGCCGCCTCAGTTTCCACCGGTCCGACTCACCTCTTCCGAACCAGCACGTTTTAGTGGCACATCATTGCAAAGCACACTAGGATCCAGCCTGTAACCCATATCCGTAACAGGTGACGTTGTCATTTCTAAACAAACGTTAGCTCGGTTCCGGCGTTGACGAAAGACCCAAAAACAATACTAACCACTAGGGAAAACGCCAGGAGCTAGAACGTTGCTACGAATACCCCATGGCGCCAATAGATTCGCCATCACCTTTCCAAGATGGGTGCACGCCGATTTTGACAGCGTGTACGACATTGAGAGAATTTTTGGGTCTATCCGGAAGGAACCAGACGACGATATTGAGATCACTTGGGATGAATGGTATGGCGGCTGACAGTGGCTGAATGGGTTAAAGTCTGCCGCCTGCTGACGGAGGTTACCCTGATGGAGAAGGTCGAGAAACGCAACAGTAGTGTAGTATACCGCAGTCGTGTTCGTAGCAAAGACAGACGCAAAATCTTCTGGTGAACCCGTATTCCAGAGAGCAGACTGGAAAGATTTGATAGAAGGAGGGCCGAGGTGGGAGACGGGAGATCCGGGAGGAGAAAGTGGGTTCTGAGCCGGAGAACCGGACGGTGAGGGGAGAGGATGGGAGTATAGATTCTTAGCGATTCCGGCATTGTTAATGAGCAGATCAATGTAGCCGTGTCGGGCTTTCACGACCTCAACCATTGAGAGGAGACTCTCGCGGTCGGTCACATCTCCGGCAAGGGGAATCAAATTGCCGAATCGCTGAGAGAAAGCTTAGTGAGGGACAGCGTCGGAAGATAAGGACATCGACGTACGTTGTTTTCTGCAGCGGCTTTTTCAAGGACGTCTTTTCTCCGTCCTGTAATATAAACGGTGGCCCCGTTGTTTTCGAGGGTAGTTGCCATCATTAGCCCGATACCTATAAGAAAAGGTTAGAGTGCATCAATGGAGATCATTGAGCCGGACATACCAGTACCGGCACCAGTGATAACGACGACCATGCCATCGACTTGGAACAAATTTCCAGGCATATACCTGTTATATCTCGAGGACGCGTCGTGAGAGTTGGAGCAACAGTGAGGGAGAGGGGCGTGCATCATAGAAATCAAGGGGTAGAAACGCAAATGTAATCGGAATCGAAGGGCGTGTATATATGTCGTCGGTGTTAGTGGCAGGACCGAGTAAGTCACCAGTGAAGATGCAGGGACGACGTGTTCGAATGGGGTGATGATCCCTCCAAGGCAGAGGTAGAGGGCTTTTATAGGCAGAATTGCCAGCCGCTCTTTTCAGGACGATGTCGTGAGCTTTCAGTCCTGATTACTGCATCGTACCTTTTCCGTGCGAATAGATTTACGTCCGCGCATGTCCGTGTCTTCCTCTTGATCCTCCATGGATGTACGTCGTTATGAAATGGTAAAAGAAGCCACGAGGAAGCTCAAACTCACGAGAAGGTTGCTTGTGGTGACCTGTTAAGGGGAACAAATTGAAAATCACGCCTAGTCTTATGGAGTTCCCAATCAGGAAGTCAGAGTGGTTTAACTGAAGAACCGTGAAGCTTGTGGAAGACTCAGCTAAAGTTGAGCCCGTTTTACAGATCCTGGCCCGCTGTTGAGCAATGTCAATGAATTCTTGAGCATTAGTATTCACGCATAACTCTCCCGATACTTTCAGTGTCAGTGTATTGCACCCTGAGGCTGGACGTGGGGTTGCTGGTAACAAGAACCTCGGAGTTTCGAAGGCCAACAAGTACTCCCGCTATATCCGACATCGAGGTGAAACGCACTACTCTGCAGCGAGGCGCGTTTCCCGAGTCTCATTCCGTGGTTTCTGTACACTGCGCGCAGATCGCATGACAAATTGCGCACTCCAGTCCACGTCCGACGCTGCTGATACTTGAATTCCGCGGACCGCAAGTGTCCACCGTTGTCCATAGTCAAATATGTTCGTAAATAGTTCTTCACTTTTATCTTCGACCGTTGCTCCGTGGCGTCGAGCGCTTGACGCGGAATCCGACGCTCGTCTCGCTTTCATTTGGTAGGCCGAGTATGAAGGGTCGCCCACGCTGTTTTGGTAGAGTCACGTTGATGACGAATCCCACTAGGGGCACTAGGGAACGGGCAATGGCCTCACGCTTGCCATTTGATAATCATATTCAATTATGATTCGAGTCGTCTCCAGATGCATCGTCTATTTCAAAAATTTGGCTAGTCCGGTTTCGTACTGAAGGCAACGGATTCGAGATTTCCAGATCACTGATACGGCCGTGGCTGTGATCGGGCATGATGTCGTCAAACCCCAAGGTGGACCTACATCATCTTCACCGCCGAATGAGCATATGTGGCGTCCAGCCGAGATTTCACATATTCCCCCGCGGTAACGACCTCGTATTTCGACGGATATTCCGGAGAGATGCAACTGGGAATAGGCTACGCCACGAGATTAATATCTTCAAATTCCAAGCTGAAAGCGCCACACCTCGAGTAGGACATCATAGTCGGTACCAAAAAATAGTGGCATGGAATATCGCTCTTCCCCAGATCTGTTGATTGCGCGATGAAGGGTAGATTTGAATCCATCGTCTGGGCACATGGCAGAAGCGATCAGATCGATTAGAAGGGTCGCAAGCGTTAAGTACGTACTCGTCCAACGCGCAAACTGATCCCCTAGATTCAACACCAATGTTCCGGGGATAGGAACTGCGTCTATCCATTTACCAGCCGTGTTCTTCACTTGCAGTGCGGGAACCTTGTCTTGCCAGAGAATCGTGAAGCACTAAGTACGTCAATTTTTTCTAATTTTGGATTGACTATAGCCGATCGCATACTCACTTCATAACTACAAGCTCAGGGTCATTAGCTTTCAAGGAATTTTTAAATCTGGAAGGAAATCGTACTCAGTATGTGCTCCTATGCCAAGCACTTTCTCATGCTCATCCACGCTCGATGGCTTCTGGGAAGGGTAGTGCAAAAGTCGCATTATCGCAGCTGGTTTCGTCGTCTGCCAGAGCATGTGCAATTTGGTCAAAGCGATTTCGGATATGAGATTCACCTTGTCCTCGAAGAAGTTCTCGGGTAAGTCCAATGCTAGTGCAAAAAGAGGAAACAGTTTTTGGCCCAATCGAACGGCTTCATGGCTAGGGAACGTCAGTAAACCACAACCAGAAAAGACCGATTTTCAAGGATTCACTAATAATTCAAAACGGGTTCCTTGAAATCAGGAACCGCTTCGGGCCAAACGTTGCCACCCGACATGGCATTCTTATTCTTCGTCTCCTCTAAGTTCTCATCTTCCCATCCTAGGTCAAACCCTACCGATGAAGATCAGCCTGAGAATGTTGCGACGTAAGAAGATAGTCCTTCTGTCTACCTTCATGCAGATCGCCATGTCCTTTCGGATCGGTATTTTCTCCCAGGAGAGTGGTATAACCTTTGTAATTAGATGATCGATGAATATCCAGCTTGGAAAGGGGATGAGCGCATTGAACCGCTCCAGATCTCGGCATTACGCACATCCATCTTGGAAGAGGTTGGCAACGCAAAAAACTTCTTTCCTGCATCTATGGCAGCTGTAATGGTGTCCTCAGCAATTCCATGATTGTTTACTAAGGCCATTAGCTCATAACGTCGTTAGATAGGCCTGTAGCCACTGACTGTAGAAAAAGCCGACTAGCTTTATATCAATAGATGGTTCAAAATCAGAAGCTGTGGTCTTACCATTGATACACGCATCCCTAATCTCGTTAGCCAAAGCGCGTCGCGCCACTGGATCGGTACTGGTCGCGTCCGTGATGTCACTACAATGTATCAGACATTGATGAATAAGAAATGACGGAAACTCTGACATGATGGGTATCTCTTCAAATGAACTTTCAGTGCGCTGATTGGACAACAGAGAACCCAAAGCAGATTCGAAGTGCTCATGGTGGTCCATGGCTGAGTTGCACGGACCGAGATCTGCGATACATGTTTCCAGAATCGTCACGTGGATGTAATTCCCGCTTCGGCTCCGTCAATAGTTGCTGACAAGTGTAACATGCTAAGTCTCCAGCTATGCGTTAACGTTTCTTACAGCAGGCTAGACGAGGTTAGGCTACCCGACCTCAAGTCGGCTCGGCGTGCCATAGCTACCTGGTAGAACAGCATTCGAAGGACTGACGAAGAGACGGCGCAAGCTGCGCAGCGGACATCATGCTACGAGCCATGCTGGCATATGGTAAGCCATTGGACGGCCAGTTTAGAGTCAAGTGAAGTCATGATAGGTACACACAAGAAAGTGGACAGCTTGAAGATGTCGAGGATTCAGACTAACCTCATCCGGCCGTTTTGGCGCAAGAAGCCTGCCTGAGTGATAACAGCATGCTTCTGTTAGATTTTTCTTGTCAACATCATTGGGTGTTCAAGTAAGGTATAGCTCGCTCGATCTTCGAGCTTTCCGATTCCGTGACGAATGCAGTTGCAATCTCGACGGTATGATGAAGAGGCCGGCACTAGGCAGCTTCGACAGCCTTGTCATTAATCATGGCGGGATGCCGTTGACGCTCCGATGAACTAAAGAACTGTCAGAATTCGCATATGGAACCGTTCACCTGCTCATGTGTTTGTGTGGATCAGCGACTAAAAGGACAAACGGCAATACTAAGAATTCCGTTCGAGGGGAGAACATCATACCGGATAAATGCGCGTCTATGTGCCTGGAAGAGCCGGTAGGAAGATCACTCCGGGTCAGGATGCGCTAAGAGCCTGAAATGAGAACTCCGATAGTCGACATAACGGAACTGACTTCGTAATGGGCAGAAGGAAACTCGTCAAGAGTAAGCGATTGTTCATCGCTTTGCTACAGGTAAGACAAAAGAACGTGACTGTGTTGCCTCATCACCGTTGTTCCACGAGCGCCAGCCCATTGAGCAAAATCAGGAGCAGTCGTGAACCCAAAGTGGCCCGCCATCTGTCATGGTGTGATGCTTAGTGGGGATATAAAGCATTGACCGTTACCACACATTAATCGGAATGTTGGGAGCCCAAAAAATGAGACGAGAAAATCCGATTGACCTGTATTATATCTCTTTCTTGTACATGTAAGTCTCTAGCAAAAGCAACTTTTCAAGCTAGTAGCAAATCAAGGACTTGCCAAGTCCCGAGCAAAGTGGAAGAAGTCTACACTTGACCCATTTACGCCATATTTGTAAATCTGCGCAGCGGAGATTTAGCTCATAGAAATAGGCTGACATCAACAAACTCACGAAGTGCGACGCGACCCAACTTGAAAAGAGGGCACGTTGGTAGGGTTCGGGTAGCCTCTTCAACAAAGTGTCCAACCCAACTTTGTCGACAAGTGTCTTTGGAATCGCTCGCCGCATCACTCCTTTACGGCTTGGCAAGTCATCGTACAGATCTGAACTCTCCAACTCAGCTTGGAGGTTGTTAAGAGTGGAGGATAGCTCGTCAGAGATGATCGTGCGAGGTTTGGCACCCTGGAGACGTGAATGCTCGCGCCAGATACATTGGAACTCAGAGGCGGCATTCTCGGTAATCTTTTGCTGGATATCTCGGACGTAGCTTTGATAGAATTCAGACGGCTTGCCGTTGCTGAATATCATGAGGTCCAAGTATTCCTGTGTCGAGAGGGCTAGACCCGCAAGGACCTCCAGGGAAGAGCTGGTGACGCCACCTACAAGAAATATCAGTAAATTTGTATCTAAAGATAGGATGGACAACACCCACCCTTGTTCGTGCTCGAGTCCTTGAACAGCAGGACCTTTCGCTTTTCAAGATGGAGGCGCGCTTGCTGTGTCAAAAACAAATTGGCACCCTCAACAATATACTTGAAGTGGGCCTTCCCCTCGGAGTCGACGAGGGCCGCAACATTTGAAATGTTGACAGCTTCCGGACTGATAGGGAGCAACATCAGCAACATATACATAGGTCAACGAAAACCCATACACACCGACCGCCACAGGGAACAAACAGATCCGCCTTGTATCGCAAATGGGCCCCGTTACGGAAGTCAGTGCCATCCAGCACTACCTCTCCGGCTATGATCATTGATCATGGTGTTAGACTGAAAGGGACATGGCATGAACGCAGCCTTACATGGTAGCTTGATATCATGCTCCTCGACCTTGACTAGATAACCGTCCTTGCTCAGCTTGGACTTGTCAAAGTTGGCGACAGGTACACGAAGTTTCGCAAGACGGATCAGCTCTTCACGGTTAAGGCCAGCCGGATCAGCGAGTACACCACTACCATCGATAATAGCAATAGTCTTGTCAGAACTGAGTAAAATCTCATCTAACAAAGGCGATGAGCAGCCATGCGCATGAAACGAAACCAATAATATTTACTGGATCCGAGATCACCATCTAGAATGGGCAAAATGACGAGTGAGCCGAGTAGAGCTGTTGAAAAGGAATAACCCACCAGGGCCGCCGGTCTGAACTTTGGTGATGTCCTTCTCCCTAAGGCCGAGCTGTTTGTAGATACCAAGGACATACTGTCGAATGGACAGTGACGTCATTCCATAGGTGTCGTGAGGCACACCGCCGAGAGTCTCCGCGCTCTTACCCGTAGTGAATGACTTCCACCAGGTCTCAGCGCCTCGGGCACGAGCGTGCACTTTATTTTGAAATGATAAGGCCGAAACATTCACGAAGCGGAGAAATTGACTTACAAGCTGCCCAGTCCATCATATCCGCAGTGCCCTCTACAAAGGAACGGGCTAATTAGCTAAACTGAGCAAGTCGCGATGATGACGAGTCGCACCATCAGGGCCAAAGAAAAGAAGCTCTGGCTTCCCGTATAGATCAATAAGATGCTCTTTAATTCCGGGAGTCTGCCCAGGAATTAAAAGGTCGATGATAGCCTAGACGAGTAGTAAATCAGCATCTATTTTGCGCATCGTCGATGCCTCCCCGATACTCACATCAACATATTTTTCGAAACATAATCGTGGAGTAGCCCCCAGTCTAGAGAACAACCGTCGATATTGATACGCTTCTGTCTGAAACAACGTCGCTTACGAAGGCAAGATGGTTCCCTTTGCACCTCCTTCCGGGATATCTTTGTTTTTCAAAGACTGCGTCGACGCCAAACCATAATTCTCGTCAAACCTATGCTATTGTGAGCTTTCCCCGACACATGACCCTGCATATGAACGTACAGCATCCTCTGGTTGATGGAATAATTTTCTTTGTTTCTTGACATGACAATCCGAATACCGCCGCGAGCGACGTCGCGGAAGCGTATATGGAAGCCTCGGAATTCATTTCCTGGAAAGCGTTCAGTCAGAGTACACTGGATGTAACGAGACCTACCAATCACGATGAACATGCCAAATGGTTTCTTGGGATACTCCACCTCAGGTAGGAAGTCGGGCGCGAGACGGAACGACAGAGCCACTTTGGTTGGCTGATAGAAGTTCGTCTTCAAGACATGTCTACAAAGCATAGCTTCTTTGGTATGTGTTAACACACCGCCGATACAACTTACTTGTTGAAGATCAAGAAGCTTTCCAAAACTTGCAATTCATGCTTGTTGGGCACAGCACGACGGAGCTTGTCGTGCAATTCGGCATCCGACAAGGGTTGAGTAGTCTGTAATCGCTGATAAGACAGGGTCGGCCTACGAAAATATCAGCATATTAGGCTTGGCAAACGATAAGGAGTCATACATCAGCTGGGAAGCATCATCGGCAGTTGGATAGTGCGTCATTGCAAAGTTAACATATAGAAGGCGGATCTAAAGGGAAAGTCAATGACTGTATTCATTCATTCATTGCTCAGATACCTACCAGCTCCGAGTGACTATGAATGGTTTGTGCGATGCTCTCTCTCGTAAAGGTTTCTTCTCTGAATCTTCTCTTGATGTTATTCAGTACCTCTGCTTCAACCGGGTCGTTTTCGTTTAAAACGTTCTTGAGTTGCAAGTACGCTGGCCCCAGACGGTTGCAGAAATGCTGCGCGAATATCCAGCCGCAGTCTAAAGAACAGCGTGAGACCCGTCGGCAATGTCGTTATATAATTAGACCCACACGCATAGGTAGCTTCCTGCACTGCATGGCTGCCTGACGCATTCGGGAGGAAGAACGGGTTATCAGGCAGACAGAAAAGCAGTGAAGCTTCCTTCATGACTTGGAAGATAGAATGCTCGATGGGCGGCGCGTTGCCATTGGGGATAGGGTTGAGGTAGAGCGAAATGATGGTAATGCCGTTAGAGAATTGTTCTACCCGCACTTCAGCATCCACAAAAATAGAAACAGAAGAGGAGATAATAACGCACCGACATATTTACGCGCGGAATACAGAGAATAGAAGTGGTAGAGGTTCGATAGCGCGCTGAAGAACCGGGAGGTACCACCCATCTTGTAACCGATGACAATTCGCCGTTCCCGCGATCCTTCCACCTCATAGACTTCAATGACCGGACCATAACGTTCCTCGACACTGGACATGATCTAAATAGAGTAAATGAGACTGTAAGAGCCCCACAAGTGAATGAATTAACCTGCTGATAGATTTGGATCGTGTTCTCGCTAGCCTTCTCCAAAAATGCCTTGTCCGACACGCTTCTGATTTCAGTCTTGCCATTGGCATCCTTAACCCCCTGGCGATTCTTTGGGAAGACACATTTTGTAACGAAGTAGCAACGGAGCTGCTGCGAAGCCGTAGCTGAAATAGATCCGGCAGAGCGGAAAGTTTCTAGTCGGTAGGCTTTATCTGGCGTGGAATTATCGAAGAACAAGGAATCGATCCTGAGATGAAAACGTTAGCACCAAGCATAGCACGTTCAGAGGACGCATATATGCGCTAAAATTGACCAATGACACTGACCTTGACTCGCACGTTGCTCCGGGACCTTCCGTAGTAGTCAATCCAGGCTTGCTGGTGTGAATGAACGTCGCGCCATTGTCGTCAATCTTCTCCAGGTCGATGACGAGCTTGCTAGGGTCGTGCTTCGTGTAGGCAAGGATTTTGGCTCCAAACAAAGCAATAATGTGATCACAGATAACTTGACGAGATTCATTCTGAAAATAGGTATCGTCGATGCCGAGGTTGGAGTAGAACCAGTTGACTTCGTTGGCAACCAGTTCAGGCGGAATAAAGCCCTACACGACGAGGATCGAGTCAGATACGACGATGGATGAAGGGCATGGTTACCGTACCTTGGCTGCTACCTCAGCCTGGACTAATGCGCGCTGCTCCTCCTTGCCCTTGAATACTGGGGTGTTGTACCCAGGCACATTCTTGATACGATGCACCGAGGTGTCGCTACCCGTCCTCGAATTTGGAACGGACAGATGGGCATAGGGACCATGGCTAAAGCGCGCCGTTGCCGCGTCAGATGGAGTCGATGACATGGAAAGGGATATAAAAAGACGATGTGGATGATGGGAGTAAGAGAGAGAGTGGAAACAAGGAAGAGACGGGACTGTTTATATAGGAAAAAAACAGGTAAACCGATGTAAATTAACATCGTAAAAAAAGCAGTGTCTTGCAGCGGGAAATTCGCGGTACGCTCATTACTGCATCCGTCCAAGATCCGATTCTCGTAGGGTCGTAGAAAGGCATACATGATAATTCATCGGTGCTAGCTGGTCGTGTATAAGAGGTTGGTACGTGTGGTAAGGTGGCAAAACAATTTGAGTAACGTTGACCCTGCCGTTGATTTGCACACAGCCGAAGACGACCACATGATGAAGCGCGTATTGCACGCTCCATCCAAGCACCAGCAGGTGCTCCTTCAAGGGGACCATCCCGGTAAGAATTAGCTTCCCCAACCGTTTCATATCCTTTAACGTATTGTCATGGAAGGCTCTAGAGTCTCGCCTGATGACTCGGACCACCTTTTTCCCCACTTTTTTTCCAGGGCACGTTCATGTTGGTCTCACCTGACCGGATCTCCGTTTATTACGCTGATGTTGTTCTGCTTTATTGCTCACAATTACGCCTAAGAATGTCACGATGGCGGTACGGCGCGTCACTTGACGAACTTGCCGGCTTTTGCACCGAAAAGTACGACCACCGCCCTCTCATCATTTGACCCCAACCATGCAAGTCGGGGAAATAATCATTATAACACAAATTAAGCGGTAGGTCTGTGCGCAGTTCTTATTTTATCGCGTAGGACTGCGAAAATGGCATACAACATCATGATGGTCTCATTGGTGCAATGCTATTCCGAGTCAACAATAGCTCCTTCCCACCTGAACTTGGAACTTCTCCGAGCAGTGGCACCCTTCGTTCCCAGCGTCAGAAGTCAAGACGGTGTTACCACCCCAAACATCATTTGACTCGCTTTTACTTTCATCAATCGTCATATGGTCAGTACCGTGGGCAGCAATCCCAATATACGGCTGACGTACATCTGAAGGTAGAATCGACGTCCGTGCACGCGACTGGAAAATCGCAGTCGCCCCGGGACTTTATCCGTTCTGTACGTACTGTCAGTCGGATCAGACACCACCAATCTTCCGTGTTTTGGATTTTGTCAATTTGGGCGTTCGTTTGCTGTGCACTCCATTACCTAAGCAGATCCGGTTCTAACAGAAAGCTGCGCCAAGAAGCTTTACAAGACCTCGTCCTACCCTCCGCTAGCAAGCAGCATTTCTATTACTCACTTTCTTTTCTTGCCTTAAGCCGGCCGCGCCGCAGCTTTGATACCTTGTTAACACAAGGTATGACAATATTTATGTCTTCCTTGTATGCTGATGGTTTTTCTCGATTTGGCTTCCTGAACGTCATGGCCGTAAACAACATCAGCCGTACAATATTTCGCAAGTCAACGTTAATACTTAGGAGCGGCCTCATCATATTTCGTAGCAAAGTTGTGCTCTAAACCAGGCGCCGATATTCACTCAGTTTCCCCCGTGCAAAAAGACAAGACGACGTGATTGTTCTATAACGCCTTGTCAAAGACGCGTGCCTCTTGTGTCTTTGAGCGCCATTTTGATGTCCGACCTTAAGTAACTTCTTTGCACTTCTGACTACGCGACTCGTATAAAAAACTGATAATTTTTGTGTCATCTGTTGACATTAATATTCTTTTCGTAAAGTGCTCCGCTCACCTGGTGGAGTTATCAAAGGCCCGAGCTCTCATCTCTTAGCCCAGCGACGCGTCGTTTTCTTCTCTCCGCTTCTTTGTCTGCAATGCAACACGTACTTGTTGCTTATGCGTATAGCGCATGCTGACGGGATTGTCAGTGTCTCATGGTTCTCATGATCCAACAACGTCGAAGTCGGGTTTTGTTCCGTCAAGCTCGGTCTAGGAAACGGTATGCTTCTGTCATAGCACATTTTCTTGACAACCCAGACTGAATAAATGACAACTACTACGTGACCTTCTCGTCGCTATCTTCAAGGACTACCCACTTCAATTTCCGAACTTGCCGTACCTCTTCACTTTGAACGGCTTGACTACCGTCGCAAGTTCTGATATTTCTCTACAGCGCAGTCTGTTGCCCCAAGTGATATCTTTTTTTGTGGCTAACTCGCGTCGTACTAGAGACATTTGACATTTGCATGCGCGCTTTCTTATCTCTCGATTGTGATTCTGTGCGCTCTTTTCTGCAAACAACCTCACAACCTTATCTTTACGTTCTGGTTCTTAAGCTATGTCGCATGGATATCTTCTGCATTGCGACGGCTGTCTTTTGTGCGTATCAAAAAAGAATCCTGGTAACAATAAATAGATGCAATAGGACCTTCTTTCCCATCACTCTACGTCTATCTTGTTTAAACTGAAAATAGACCTCTCTCTGTCGAAGGTGACCGTCGTTAGCCAGAGCCTCGTTGCTGATGTCCATCCAAAGATAAGGAAGAAGTCTGCTCTTCCTGTTCTTGTTCAACAGAATTCAGTAACCGATAAGGTTCGGATGCACTTCACCGTGGACGGCCAGACCTTGCATTAAATAATACCCTGAGACCGTCAATTGGTGACAGTGGCCATCGATGAAGGGAAGCATCAAGGGCGACGCTCGCGCGCAGCCCCGAGTCAAAGCGGCGATCAGGCTGAACCACGGATGATTTTTTGTGACAAAATATCGGGAGAAATAAACATCGATGGCTCTTCAAGCTACTCAATTGGAACATTTCATTGATTACCAGAAGGCTTCTCAGGCTAAGTTACCAATGAACTGATTTCAGAAGGTTCACGCAACTTGGTCTTCGGCTTTCCGCGCGGGTGCAAGTGGCCGTCGATTCCTGGACGTACTGCGGAGAAATTAATTTCTTGCTGCCTACAAAATAGACCTTTTGCTTGACGCCGACTGAGTTAGTGATAACCCAGAACTTCAAGTACTCCTTCGCGAACTTGAAGTTTTGAGCGCGACGATACTCTCGATGTAGGCCTCACCTCTGCACTCTCGCTTTTGCAGTACTTGAAAGTTCCAAGAAACGCTAGCGTCCGTAGCTTCCGGCGATGTGTATGCTGGCTCTAACACACGTGTGAGTCTTCACAAGTCCGAATTCATGATTGCGGTTGATCCCGCGAGCGTGTTGTACTAGCTCTCCTTCTTCATGTGCTCTAAAACGTTCGCGGATGGCAATGAATAGCTCAGAGATACATATATTAAAACCTTACGGTGACAGCAGTGGCTCTCCGCAGTTAGAAGAAGAGCAATGCGGCCTGTATCTCCCGTACAAGCGTCTCCCAATCGCCGTGTATGAAAGCATACCGAAATGATACTCCACGTCGGCGATGGGAATAGCACGGCTAGTGTATTCTTCATGGATATCTGTTCAAGATCTGACATTCGGCAGGTCCCCAGAGAGTGACCTGGCTGTCGAACAGATCTCTTGTGTATTCTGTATGGATTTCCGGTCAAGACAAGATCATCACCAGTTGACGGGCCCGGTTGATGCAGGGCGCTTCCATGATATTATTCGACTCATGATGGTCCATTCCAGATCGCTCAAGGTCGTCTTCAATTGCGATATCGGTGATTCCTAGGTGTTCATCGCTCCACTCTGATTGTCCTGTGGCCGCGCAGCTTGACGACACCGACTCGTCGCAGAACTTTGTCGCAAGTCATGTGCTTTGCCGGCTGAGGATCTCTGACAGTACCTCGATGCTGTGAAAATCTTTTACCCAACTGTTTGAAGGGATAGAATCATGTTGACCGTGCCCAGTGTATACACTTGACGTTGTTTCTGACAATGTTTGGAGTAGCAGTAGTATCAGAATACAAAGGCAGCCGAAAAGGCAAGTCTGGGCCACAACGTGGGATTTGGGTCACACCCCTTGACAACACCCCAGCATTGCTCCAAGGGGCCAACTCGTTTTTTCTTCTTCTCTTGTTGGCATCCAAGTCCAAGTCGATTCTCTCGCCATTCCTTGCGCTGACCACGTACGCTAGACCGGCAGGCTCCGCTGGTCTCGTCTAGAACCCAAACGCCCAGCAGCACCCACCCAGTGCTCCCAGTTTGTTTCTAGCTACTCTCATCGACCGACTCGACGTCGGGAACATCTAGCCCACCCCCACCAAAATCGGTTTACACATTCTTATCTCTTTTAATCTTTCACCATCATCATGAGTCTTCGTCCACCCGCTACGAGTCGCAGCCCGTCGCCGGCAAACGACAGTGGAAGGGCTGCCACTGCACGTCAGTCTTTGGGGCCTTCTACTAGGGGCAATGGCGGTCTGGTGCCCTCGTCTCCCCGCCCCGGCGGTATCAGTTCCAATGCTCGTCCGACCAGTGAGCTGCTTGGCGGTTCTGGCATGTTCCAGACACCTGAGGGTGCGTGACAGTCTCTCACCATTTCTTCACCTAACCTAAAGTAATTCTAAACAGCGGAAGCGCTCGACCAATGGTTCGAAAACCTCCAGAGCTACGAAGCCACCCTAGAAGAGATGGCAGCCGCCTCCTTGGACGTTAATTTCAAAGAAGAACTCAGTGCCATCGAGCAATGGTTCAAGGTTCTCTCGGAAGCAGAGCGCACAGCCGCTCTTTACAGTCTTCTGCAACATTCGACGCAAGTTCAGATCCGGTTTTTCATTACCGTCTTGCAGCAGATGGCAAGGTCGGACCCAATGACGGCTTTGCTGAGTCCCGCAATGGGTGGTGAGATTTTCTTTGTTTCACGTGCACTAATACTAATGCTAGTTGTAGGTTCGATGCAAAGTCAGATGGAGGCGAAGTTAGCGTCTATGAAGTCGCCGGGCCTGAAGTCAGGCCTCCCCGCCTCGCCCACTACCCGGAACTTCAGCGGAAACAATCGTCAGTCGCTCGTTTTGGACAACTCTTCCAACTACCTTTCTCCTGATTCTGCTGCCGGTCCACCTCCGTCTGCTGACGCCGCTGCGACTCTGGTGCAGCAAAGGGCCAAGTTCAAGGCGACCAATGCCAATGCGGTACATCGCATTTCGGCACCCGTGCTTTCGTCTCCTTCTGTTGGTGATGGGCGCCCGACTACCTGGGGCTCACAGCTCAGTCAGCTTGCTGAGCAGAATGGACCCGCCCAGGAGATTGCTATTGGCTCACGCCCGAAAAGCACCGAGTTCGTGGGTTCGCCCCGTCCCTCCAATGGAGAGGTGACGCTACCCCCAAGCGACAGCTGGGCTAGTATGGTCAATACGCCTCTCATTCCTATGTTCCAGAAAGAAAATCGCCTGAATACTCAGTCACTCGACGCCGCGAGCTCCAAGCTGAATGATTGGAACAAGTCTGCTGCGCCGGGCGTTCCCATGATGGGCGACCCTACGATTCACAAACGGTCCTCCAAAACCTCTGCAGGTAACGACAACCGCGATATTCAAGGCACCATCTATGACGATAACGGAAATATGATCAATGCAGGGCAACAACAAAACCAAAACCGCGGTGGCGGTAACTTGAGGAACGCCAACTTGGGTGCTGGTGCACCTGGTGGGGCCAATTGGTCTGGGGCAAGGAGCCCGGGGCTTCCAGGCTCAAACAACGGCCGATATGATGACGGTGCGGGGAACCTCAACTCGATGAATGGGCTTGGGATGCAGATGGGTGGATTTGGGATGACTCCGCTGGGTATGCCCAATATGGGTGGGATGCCCCCGATGAGTCCGTTCAACAATATGCTGAGTGCTATGGGTATCTCTCCCGAAGCGCAGTTGTTGGCAGCTCAGATAACTGCGAGCGGATTTGGACAGGGGAATTGGCTCGGGATGCAGCCCCAGAGTGCAGGGCTGAACAATAACAATAGACGCCACCCACCCAAGTCGGCCACGATGAAGAGCCCGAACAGTGCTGGAAGCGGCGGTACGCCCAAGGCTGAGGACGACGTTGACCCGCAGTTGTTGCATGATGTTCCTGCGTGGTTGAGGAGTTTGAGGCTACACAAGTATACGCCGAACTTTGAGGGTATGAAAGTGGCAAGAAATGGTTGTGCTGGACGAGGCGGCCTTGGAAGCGAAGGGCGTGGCTGCGCTTGGAGCACGAAGGAAGATGCTGAAAACGTTTGAGCTAGTTAGGAAGAAGATGGGCATTGAAGGTGGACCGCCGCAGTCTAGCTCTGCCGTTGGCTCCCCTTGAAGTGGACAGGAATAACAGGCCGGATCCTTTGCTGTGATTCGAACAGGCGAAATGTCGCAAGTCTCGGTTCTTGGATCCATCTTTTCTCCGGTACATTCAGTGCCTCCATTCCCAGCTCTTTTTCTTATTTAAAAAAGAATCCTTGTGATGGCCAAATTTGGACTACCCACATATGTATTGGCTTCCACCTTATACTATTCTATACCTCTCAGTGAATGAACGAATGTTTTTTCCTCGCAAGTTCCGGTCATGTTGCTCTTTTCATATATTCGTGTAAATATAGCAGTTCTCTTGCTAAATATACTTGTGGATTTTTTTTAGCTAGGGTGCCATGGGGCATGTAAGTATCAAATTTGAACCGCAGGGGCGTGTTAAAAACGAGCCATGGGGTGCGTTGCATGATTCGGAAGGGAAACAGTGAAACAGTTTGAATTGGTCGACTCCGCTAATACAAGCTCAGGTAAACAATAGTAAACTACTGTGGACCTCGCCGACACATAGAAACTAATTGGTCGACGAGTGTCCGACTTATCGTGCAAGTTTACGGAAAAATTGCCCTTCTGGGCACAAGTCAAATTGGGGGAAAACCGGGCACCGCGTGTATGAGCGCCGGGAGGGAGACATTACTGCACATGAGTCTGTAAAGTATCTAAGTCCGTTGTGGTAGTTTAAGTCCAATAAAGTAACTACGTGTCCAATGTCCTAGTAATGTCGAGGGTGGGTGCGAGAACACACGGAAAGCTCTGTCAGGTCAACGAGAGCGTATGGTAAGCTAAGGTTCACTACGAAAGAAAGAGAAAACGTACCTGGCAGGTCAACGAGAGCGATAAGGATTCTCGCCGATTCTGCCAGGTAGATATAGTCCATTGGAATGAGACACGGCGAGGAAGCTAGATGCCCGTTAGCTTCCGCTGTACCTCAGTAGTACTGTGGCTCGCACTCACTGGTGAGACGGCTGAGACTCCCAGGGGGAGGCTCCCGTGGGGAGGCTGAAACCGCACATCATAGATATGGGAATTACGCGCTGAGGAGCGGCCGACGCCTGTAGAAAAGCGTGAGAAGCAGAGGGAGACCCGAGTGACGAGAAACCCGTACCAATTAGACTTGTGTAAACAAATTTCTTTAAACCCGACTAATTGGTCGACGAGTGTCCGACTTATCGTGCAAGTTTACGGAAAAATTGCCCTTCTGGGCACAAGTCAAATTGGGGGAAAACCGGGCACCGCGTGTATGAGCGCTATATGGTAATAGAACTGAAGTGCGTGGGGAATGTACGTGGTGGCTGTTAGAACGAGGGCGCTCGTGAGTCGATCATCGCTAGCAGCAAGACTGGGTTTTTTTCGGATGTATATTCTGAATGCGTCTGAGGACCAACGACCACGCGCCTGTATGAGGTATGGGAGCACCCCTCGCTCGGCCAAGTCTGTGGCACCGCCAGCCCGCATGGACTGGCCAGCGATCTTCTTGGTCGGGAAAATCTGGCGCAACCTCCTCATGAACCAGGAGCGCGTCGGGACAGCACCCGTAGCGGTTACCCACAGTGCCGGGTGAACAAGGTGTCGATCGTCCCTGCGTTTGAGATAACGCCGGAAAACAGGGAGGGGGTTGACGGTGGGGTCGTCGTCCTCCGGGATAATGACCTTATTCCCTTCAAACAAGGTGTCGGCTTTGTGCGCTGGCAGGAGGAATGCGTAACCCTCAGAGAGCCACTCCACTGTCGTTCTCCGGGTGATCTTCCGCCAATTGCGTGCTTTTTTCGCATCTGGCATGCTGAGTTCTGCGAGCCGAAGAAGGCCATTGAATCCGGTCACTAGCAGTGCGAGGAATAAGCAGTCATCATAGTCGGTGGATTGGCCCAGGGTCTTGATCGCATGACGGATGTTGTCGCGAGAGAGAGGGGATTTCCGCTTGACCTCTGAGCCTTTCAGTCTTTTGCATCCTTTAAGTGTGTGGCTGACCATTGGAGAGTTTCTGACTTCGCGGACGTCGGGGAAGATATTTTCAAGTCGGTTACATATTCCAGACAGGTATGAACTGACAGAGTCGGGCTTGATATGGGCAGACATGAACACGACATAGTAGCTGAGCGTGTCTTCGGTTGGTTTCACGGGGAAATTGTGGATTTTGCAGAAGGTGATGTAAGAGTTTAGCGCAGAGTTATATGGTCCCAGGGTTGATGTGTCAATAGCGGAGCCTAGAGCGAGGCACCGCTCGTGATGGAGTTTCTCCAGGGTCCAGGGCTCACGAACCCTCTGTCTGGACCCGGGAGTGACGTCTATCAACATCTTGATGCCCCCAGCATGTCGTGAGGGGGTGAGAACGGCAGGATAATGAGATCGGGCACAAGATCCCGGGCCTTTGAGAACTGTGAACGCGACAAAGCGTCCGCGACATCGTTCTCTGAGCCCGGGATATGAAGAACGCGCAAATCGATGCTGTGAGTGATCATCACGTCGACGGCGGACTTCAGTATGGGATTATAGGTGGGGGACGCCTTCAGCGAATTAAAAATGTCGACGGTGTTCGAGTTATCTGTCAAGATCGTAACTCTCTTCCTCAGCTCTGGCGAGAGCGTCTCTGCTATCCAATGAATCGCTGCACATACACACAAGGCCTCGAAAAAGAAGATGATTTCTTCTCCATCCGGCAAGTCAGGTGTCAGACACACAAACCCGCATCCTTGATGTTCTCGATGTTTATGGCTATCCAAGTGATGAGGCCATTGACGCTGTACCACACGCGGAGTCCTGACCAGACTTTCAACCCCACCAGCAGCTTTCTGCTCGCTGGTGAGATATCCTGTGGTCACAACCTGCTTGAGCTGCCACAGTGGGTGCATTGGACACAGCCGATAGGCCTTTGAGACGTCGGACTTGAAGACCACTAGGACCTTTCGTGCGTTTTCTGGCGTCTTTCGTCTGTACCGCAGAATCGCAGAGAAAAGCATGTGCAGGTTATCCAGGCGAGATCCAGCTATATCCGAATGCCGGATCATCCTGTTGGGAGCGTAGGGACCCGCGGACATGTTTGAAACCATCCTCAACTCGTCTGAACGAGGCTTGGGCACAGCGTGTACAGGCGTACTATACATCCCGGGCAACAGCTCAGGCCCGAAAGGTTCTGAGAAGCGTCCCGCCTTGATTTCTTCATCCCGGTACCTGTCTATGAACGTCTGTTCCATATCAGACCGTGGACTCATCCTGGCATTGTCCCACGTCAACGGGAATTCACCCGATGGTTGAGTGTCTGCCCAAGGCCAGAAACCCTCCTGGAGTGCCTCGATCACAGAGCGGACAAACTCTTGGTTTGGGTGAGTCTCCAATGATTTCTGCAGCTCGTCAACGTTGATTGGCGTGGTGATTTTAAACAGATGCGGGTTATCTCTGATTGTCTTCATGGCCTCCAAGTTCTCGTACTCCTTCTCCGGAGGCTTCGGGACCGGCAACTCAAATTCCGTGCAACCGGCGGTCCGGCTCTTCCCGGTGTCCCGCCCCGAAAAAACAAACCCCCTTTTGTACTTCGGGGCAAATTCCGTTCCTTCTCCTTCCCACTCGTCACCCTTCATCCTTCCTCCAAATCTCCCCCGTCCTTCCAAGTTACCTCCGCTCCCTTCACGCCCGACTCGGGCAAGTGGAGACGATGTGTCCTCCCTTGCAGTGCGAGCAAACGTGGCGGTATCTACATTTCCCGTCGGTGGAAGGGCAGACTCCAGCATTCCACCGTCTACAAGCGTCGAGGCTACGTGCTCGTTCGGCGTTCTTCCTCTTGGGTCGTGTCTCCGACCTTCCTTCTTCAAACTCTCGGTACCCAGTTCCCGAGGTCGAGATGTGGGATCGCTCGAGATCCCTGAACTTGTCAGTTTCGGAGAGGAGGATATTTCGGCATCGTCCCACTCTACTGCGGATGGCACGATCGAGGACAAAGACGCGGCTGTGAAGGGATACTGCAACGGTCCTGAAGAGGGATGACATATACTGCTGGTAGAGGGAGAGCTCGCGATATCGATGCGGGAAAGCAACGAGGACTGCTTGAGTATAGGTGTGCCAGGTGGTGGTCCATTCGTCTGCAGTTTTAATGGTTCTCTTTGGCTCTGCAGGGTTCGACGCATTTTCGGAGAGTCTGATAGCAATCCCTTCAGATATCTCGTGAGTCTGTACTTCGTTGATCGAGGTGGAGTGGGTAGCGGCAAAGACGGAGTCGAGGTTGACGGCTTTTCCTGCCAAGAGAGCGAGCCACTGCTCCTCAGGGAACTCGGGACACTCGGGAGAGTTGGTGATGCTTCGTCTAGCGGCCTTGAGGTCAAGAGTGTAGTTTTCGACGAGAGTAAGGGTACGTTGCAGTTCGGGGTGGAGGAGCGCTCTCCTAATCTCTCCAACAGGCTGCCATGGAAACTGGGACTCGTCAATTCGTGGTCGCTTTGCTGGTCCTCGACCCTCGTCGTCGTGATCTTCATCATCCGAGTCCCCTCCGGGGTCGGATCCGTCTCCTCCTCTGCCTCCCTGGTTATTCTCCTCTTCGTGGAAGTCCTCAGCCCGTGGTCGATCAGGTCTTCCCTCTTCCTCTTGATTCCTAGCCCTTGCCCGAACTTGGGCTTCACCTTCTCTGTGGAGCGTTCGCTGCTCGTTCTCATAATTGTCCAGCATTTCGACGTAAATCCGGAGGGCGTTGTTGAAGTCATCGTCGTGTCCGGGTCTGGCAGCGAAGAATTCAGATAGGATGCGGAGGATTTGGGCGAGGACATCCGGCTTCGAAGGGTTGATGCCCGTGCGGAAAGTCTCGACAATAGCGTCGCACTGGATGGTGATCTGGGCCTGGGGAGCATCCGGCGGAGCAGGTGATCCTTCACGACTGGGGGCACGTCTGGTTCCTCCAGTAGTGGCTGACTGCTGAGTCGAGCCTCCAGAGGCAGGCGTGTTATTAGAGGCTTGCGAAGATCCATTAGAACCAGAGGACATAGCCAGATAGTACGTTTAGGGAGTCTTAGAGGTGAGTCTTTAGTAGACGATGGAATAGACAGGGTTTATTCAGTAGTGCGAGAACACACGGAAAGCTCTGTCAGGTCAACGAGAGCGTATGGTAAGCTAAGGTTCACTACGAAAGAAAGAGAAAACGTACCTGGCAGGTCAACGAGAGCGATAAGGATTCTCGCCGATTCTGCCAGGTAGATATAGTCCATTGGAATGAGACACGGCGAGGAAGCTAGATGCCCGTTAGCTTCCGCTGTACCTCAGTAGTACTGTGGCTCGCACTCACTGGTGAGACGGCTGAGACTCCCAGGGGGAGGCTCCCGTGGGGAGGCTGAAACCGCACATCATAGATATGGGAATTACGCGCTGAGGAGCGGCCGACGCCTGTAGAAAAGCGTGAGAAGCAGAGGGAGACCCGAGTGACGAGAAACCCGTACCAATTAGACTTGTGTAAACAAATTTCTTTAAACCCGATTAAGCTAATGTTAAGGCCATAACGTGAAATAAAGAAATTAAGACATATCAATGAGATCTGTGAGGAAATCCGGTACAGTAACTGAGGAGGTTTTAGGTTTCCGTGGTTGCAGTTGTCGAGAATGACGTGTCGCGCGAAGTGACCGTTGGTGCTCACCCCAAATCCTGCCTGCCAAACGAATTGCCGCGGAACCGGAAGGGAGCGAGAGCGTGCATGCCCTTACGTATGGTTCGCAAACGTGATCCTTTCGCAAGTTGCACGAGCGTTGCATAGAATCGGTTGTCGCATTTATTAGGCAATATTATTGTGGGCCCACCCCTTTATGTACTTCGAATTCTGCGGAGGTACTTATAAAAGAAGGGCCTGGTCCTCGAAAAAAACCCTAACCACTACTTTGGCTCCTACCACCACCTACGAACCCTTCGTTCTTCTCACCGTCGTCTAACACTAGCTCTTTATTCACGCTGCTCATTATCTTTGCTCGCTATGCCGATGTCAGATCGTAGTCGCAACGGCTCCCCTCTCCGCCCTGCCTTTATCGCGACCTCGTCGTACAAACCCGATAGCATGCAGGTCGCCGACGAGCTCCACCCCGTTATTCACTCCGGCCGCGTCGCCGTCATCACAGGCGCTGCGAGCGGAATTGGCAGGGCTGCTGCGCTGGAATTTGCCAAGTCAGTCACACTTTTTTTCCCCTGCTCGCCCCAGTTTCTCACGAGGTCGTCAGACTTGAGCTGAAGGTCGCTCTAGCTGATATAGACGAAGAGAAACTAAAAGCTGTGGGCAAAGACGTGGCTGCCGTGGTCGGCGATGCCAACGTGCTCGTCGTGCCCACGGATGTGGCCAAGCTTGAGGAGGTTGTGAGGCTCAGGGACAAGGTCTACGAGCTCTGGGGTGAGGTGAGGATCATGAATTGCCAGTGGTCCTGTGCTCCCCCTCATCACCCTCCCGGCCGCTGGACCCCGTAACGTAAACTCATCTTTATCCAGGTCGCTGTTCTCATGAACAATGCTGGCATTGGGGCTAAAGGCACGTCGTGGGATGGCATTGAGAACTGGAAGAAAGTCTTTGACATCAATCTCTTTGGGTGGGTAATCATCACCTTCTGGGCGGCATTATCTGATTTTTCACCCCTCGTGCATCAGAATCGTGAATGTCCAGCAGACTTTCGTTCCCGTGAGTCCCCTCATTCCGCGCCCTGCCGGCAAGCTTATTCATTTGCGGCGCTTGAGTCTATGCTCCACCAAGAAAACCAAGCCATGGTCATCAACACTGGCTCAAAACAAGGCATCACCAATCCTCCGTATGTCCTCGTTCCACTTTTCGTTTCCGGTTATGGCGGTCTACAACCAAATCTGACGTCATTTTTTCCCATCCCTTCTGTAGGGGCAACGCAGCGTACAACGCCTCCAAAGCTGCTGTGAAGAGTTTGACAGAGGGTCTGGCATATGAATTAAGGGAACGTCCTCACTCCAACGTGACCGCTCATCTGTTCATGTGAGTCTCCCTCGCTCTCGGAACCTCCCTTCGTCTAATTAATCTCAAATGTAGCCCCGGGTGGACCTTCACACCCCTAGCCGGTTCCCTCCACCTCCCGAGCAAACCAGAAGGAGCGTGGACTCCCGAAGAAACGGTGCTCTACATGATCGACAAGGCGCGGAACGGAGATTTTTACATTCTCTGTCCGGATAATGAGACGAAGAGGGCTGTAGACGAACTGAGGATCATGTGGGCCGCCGGGGACATCGCTGAGGGCAGACCGGCGCTCAGCCGATGGCACAGAGACTACAAGGCGTTGTTCGAGGAGTATATGCGAGACGGGTTGGCGAGCAGTGATAGTGGAAGAGCCTGAAAAGTCAAAGTTGATGCGGTAGAATCGCTATGTAGAATTCGTCCAAGAGACTCTAGTACTTTTTTTTTTGTTCTGGTACCTTGTTTCCTGCTTTGTATGGATGGATGTAAAGAAATTTACTTGACAAAATATTGCTAGATCCAAATTCAAAAGCACTGTTTAACTGTGGAGAGACCAGTCCGGGGCCTCACCACTGACCAGTTATGCCAAGAATGGAGGAGACACGGGGGAACAAATACAGCGGGAGTAAGGTCCCACGAGAATCGCTCTCTCGACATCCCTTACGAATGTGCGTGAAGAAGGAACGTTTAAGTGTACTGGGGTCCCTGCTGACGCTTCTCGAGGACCTGTTCGCTCGAAGAAGTCTATTCATTGGGAAATCTGGACTTGTTCGTGACCTGACGCCTGTGACCGTACAGAAATAGAAGGATTGACTGTTAAGGAGGACTCCAGTCGAGATATGGTGTCATTCTGCCGTCAAGAGGCGTGTCGAAAGTTCGACTGGCTGGTGGGTCTCACCGGTGACAAGATTAGTCAACGTGTGTCGTATGAAGAAGTGATTGGAATAAGTAGCTATTAGTTCCCTGGAAAGCTAGTACACGCTGCATATGCTGCGTGAAGCCACCGCAAAAGGGTCCTGAACATGTTATATTATGAGATGAAACTTGGTTTGAAGTACAACTGCCAGAATTTTCTTCTGATGTCCTCCCTGATACTTATGGGTGTACGGTCCGAATCCGCTCTTCATAGACGGGGAGCTGGCATTGAACATAGGAGGCGAAGCAGTCTCTTGAATGGCTGGTACTTCCAGATCCTTGCAGTTTTGCCCAACATTTCTGGTAGTGCTTCTCGCGCTGTAGCCGTACAATGAACTCAATTACAAGGAAAAACGCAGGCATAATATCATTTCTCTGTGTTACATCCTATGGCGGTTTTATAGAAGAGTTTAATGGCGAATCAGTGGTCATTTTGGTCCGTCATAGTTCCTCCTATGGGGAGAAGACTGCCGCAGAAGATCATATCGTTAAAATTCAACACCTAGTCGAAAGTCAACATTAATTAAAGTCCCTACAAAAATTTGTGAATCACTAGAGTTTGAATCGACATCTAAACGCAGGTAGACCTCGGGGTGTGACACGACGAGAAACCTGCAGTAGTGTGATCGACGTGGATCGACAAGTTCGAATTTGAATTGCCGGATGATCCCCTTGTCCAATCCCACCATCAGGTACTTACCACTTTCACTTCACTTCTATCGAGGGAGGTTTCTGTTCTGCAACACGCTCAATAGGACTTCACCCTATCAAGATCTGCCTTCCATTATCCTCGGTCATACAAGCCCTATTGTGAAATTCCATTCAAAGACGGCGGCGGAATAGGATTCGGAACAATTACAACGAACACCGAGGGAAGCCACTGTTCAGGATATTGCTGCAACCACGTTTCCGTCCTTCGTGGTTGAAACATTGAATGAGCTATATTGGTATCCTTCAGGATTCCGAGGAGCCAAACAGTAATGGCTGATTTACTCTGGCCTGTTGACGGAATTCCAAAACAGATCATGGTAAGCTCGAATTGACACATTCACTTCGGTGTTAAGTTTTCCCCTAGTGCTTTAACATCGGACGGAGCTCTTTATTGTGCTTAACCAGATGCCGCGAAGCGATTGGAACGTTTCTATCGCTTATACAAACAACCTTGACTACCGTCTTTTCTCAATTCAGGGAAGCTACTATCACAGCGTCGGCGGCCACCTCGCTGCGGACCGACACCTGGTGTAACTAATGCATATGATAGTTTATTCCCAGATGGAGTTTCGTCAGGTTTCACAATAGCTCACAAAATCCCCCGAAGTCAATGGTAATTTGTCGATCACGAGCTTCCGTCCGAGGTCAAAACAAGTCGAGGGCCTGACGATCACTTAGCCGAGGGGTCGACGCCCGAGTCCAAGTCGCGTGCCCCGGATCGGAAAAGAGACCAGGCATCCTTAGAACGAACCTCTAGAGCCAGAAGAGTTTGGAAATTCCTGCATAGCAAGGTTCCACGCGTATGTTTCATCTACTTTTTTCGAGCTTTAGTCAACTCGCGTTTTCTACGTACGTTAGTGCGCTCAAGAACCTCCATGACGGTGTAACAGGCCGCGCAATGATGTCAGGTGCCGCGTACCACGGCATCTCTCTATCTATCTCATAATGGAGAGAACGGTCGGCATCTCGAGCCGTGGCTAAGTATATATGAGGTGCAAAACAGAGAAGGTACATCGGAGATTCAGCTACACAGCTGAAGCTGAAGCTTCGGATAGACTCGGCTTCGCCCAGTAGGAGCTGGCCCGCGTTGAGAACCAAATTTAGCCTGAGGCTGGCCCGACGTCTTCAACGCATCCTATGTTCGGCGACAGATACCCCCAGCACAAACCAGCCGCAGCTGAGCACGCCATCCACATGTTAAATTTGGGAGTTTGCCATTGTTTTGCCCATGTTGAACTTTGAACTTCAACCAACACCATCGTTTCGGTGACAGCTTGAAGTTCCCTCCCTTTTTGTATCTCCCTATGCATGGCGCCTGTGCCATTTCATCACACGTGGAGGCCGATGAACCTTCCTGGACATTGTATAGGCGGGTTTGTCGCCTGTCCGGTAGAAGGGAGCACTGTGTTCACACATCGCGCTAGATTCTTGTCTGCCTCCGTCTTGTATTGTCCCCCCTCCTTTCGAAATTTCAGCAGCAAACCGGCATGATGTGTCTGCTGCGTCTTCAAACACTCTAGGTCATCTTGACGGCGATGTTCAACACCCTCGGTGAGTCAAAATATGTTCTGCTAGTGTCTACCATTCTGATTCCCTGTCTTTCAGTCTTTGCCGCACAACTACATATGGCACTATGACCAACGGTTGACTGTAGGCTCAGCCATAGCTTACTTATTATGCGTAGTCTATGGCATGTACAGTAGTGCATTAGAGAACCGCTAATAAAATCATAATATTGTCCATTGCTATATGAAGTCGCGATGCGAGCCGATGTGAGCCGGGGGAGTGGAACGGGAAAGGAGGTTGCTTCAGATTTCAAAATAGCGTATAGACTGGGACCAAGACAGTTTATCCTGGGGTTGGCCCAGTCGTCATATAGCCCGTGGCTGCTAGGCTTATTTCCACCCGGAATGCAGCCGGCGGGTCGCTTTGTTCTATCCACGCCCTGATTAGCCCGTGGTTTGACAAGTGCACCACCTGTGTAAGCATTATTATGATCCGCTCAGACGCAATTTTGCAAATCGCTCTCGATGACTCTCAAAGCCTGGACCATGTTATGTACCTGCAGAGGCCTGCAGTCTATAAATGTCTATTCATACAGTAAGGGAGAGAGGTATGTTAGTCACTGCTTTTGACTATGACGCGTAAAGCGCAGTTTATGGTATTAAGAAAGAACGTATTTTCAACTTCAAAGAGCCAGCCACGCAGCAGCACCTAGTCCAGCAGCAGCCAGCACCGCAGCCGTTCTCGAATCCCACAAGCTAACGGCGCCACTGCTTCCTGACACCGTGGTGTCGGTCCCGTTAACGCTGTACACACGTACAGATGCAACATCAAAGTAAGCCGTGTCGTAATAAGAGGCATTCCCAATGACATAGTCGGTGTAGCAGGTACCCGAGCAGGTTTCATTAAATACGGACGCTGAGCCTGCAAAGTCTGCACCAAGAAACTTCAACATTGAATCCTACAGAAGGTCGGTCGATTACTTACCTCCGCAGAGAGTGATATCAAAAATGAGACTCTGTGCCGAGAAGAACTCGTCGATGTTGCATCCACCATTGGGCCAGTTCGCAACTGGTGTACCCAGGTCATCAGTATTAAGGGTACTCGAATTCGAGGAGATACTATCGGGGACACTGGAGCGGCTAAAGAACCAGATACTGCGCAAGAAATGTCACGAACGGAATGGAACTAAGGAACGGGCAGCCGAAGCTCACGATATTCCGGTCTCCGCGTATTCTGTAACGAAGACACCACCTCCCGACGAAGCGAATTGGGCTCCATACGACGCTTTGGACGGGTCTGTCACGACACAACCAGAGTTGCTATTTGCTTCATAATTGCAATCGGTGCTATTGATGAGGGTGGACGATTGGACCGGGTCTACTTGTGTACAACCGCTCTCGGTATGTAGAGCCATCTGGTTCATGGTCACAAGGTTCACTCCTTCAAAGGTGTCGATCTCTCTACGATCAGAATATTAGGAGCGGCCGATCTGAAGAAAGCGTTGTAACTTACCCGCCGGTCGGCCAGTCGGGTGCCTGGGCCCACCTAAATAATTATGCATGAGCACCTACACGTCACGTCAAAATAAATGGCGAAGTACCATGCCGGCCAGACGGAGCACTGTAGGGCGCGGAAAGAAAATGTTACTGCGGAACTGAGAGGGGAGGGGACAACACTTACGCCGTACGGAACATGGTACATGTCCGCTATCCAGATGCTTCCAACACCGTAGCGGTCCTTTGATGCGATCCGAACGGTATCACGCTTGTAGTTGTATGCAACAGTGGAGCTGTTGTCGACTTTCATGATCGCGCGGTTCGTTGTGGAGTCTATATACGTTAGGTCGGAACCCGAGCCAACGAAGCTGTTTTGCGGTAGATATTAGCAGTCGAAGGGACCCTTGAGAAATCAACAAACGTGGCATCTCCGTTGGTGAGATTGTCGTCTACAACATCGCATGAAATTCGGGCCTATAATAGAGCGAAGACACGCACAGTGGTCATAATATTCCCAGTCATCAAAGAAGCCCGACCCAGAATATTCTTTGATTATTTCGTATGTGGTTCCTGCGGCAAGCTCGCAGGCAATGAAGCTGAGTGCGATGAGTAGCGCCAGGTTTGGCATGGTGGTCAAGTAAAGAGGGTATGAGGGTAGGCAGTGAAGAAGCTGCTTATATTATCGGTCGCCGGAAATATCGACTGTGCTTTCCCCGGCAAGGTTATCGGCAGATGGATTTGGGTAAGGGATGAATGAACTGACTGCGGCAGGCTGCACTGCGGATAGTCACGACTTTTTCCACGGTCGGCGTGTTGATGGGGCCGCTAATATCGAGAACGAATTTGTCAACTCTAGATGCAGAGGAAGGAAACGAACTCGAACAGCGTATACAAAAGTTGAAGTGCTCGCAATCGTCTGAAGTGAGCTGCCAGGCACCAATAACGGCGAGCTAACTTTGGCGAGAATTTACGTCATGTTGCCCTCACGACTTCTTATTTTCCTTGTTGCTCCACGGGGAGTATATTCCGAACTACGGTGGTCCGGTATCTTCGATCCAGCGACGCCAGTGAATAGAAGTTCTACCGAAGCTGGTGGAAACATCGTGGAGCGTTGTGGTTCCGTGAAAAAGTAGGCGATACAAGAAAAAGAACTTTGATCTTGCTTTGATCCGTCGGCGTAACGACCAGAGTTATCATACAGACTGAGATTAGTCCTCGGAGTGACTTCAGGTTACAGGATAAAATTTATTGGAGCGAACAGAAGGCGAGTGCAAGTGCCAGTGCCAAGGCGAAGGGAGGAGCATGCCTATTGTACAGCTGTGATATCGCAGGCAGTCAGAATTTGGAATTCGTACTACCATCTGAAAGGGCAGGGATCATTTGAATCATGATCGTCACCAAGTCAGTGACTCGGATAAACACAATTGATATGGATGATAGCTTTTGATATAAGATATCAATTGTGAGGCCTTGAGGCCTCGAGACTTCGAGCTCCTCAGTTGCCGCCATTCGAGTTCTTGTACTGATTCACCTATGTGTTTGCTTATTTCCGCGGGCATTTGGTAGCACATATACTGGCATATTCTATGGTTAGCCCCAATGTCACAGCCCATTTCTGCTACTTACTTAGTTTGATCTCAACACCATCTTTTTTGACGACATTGATGTTAGGACCACATGCTACTCACAAAAAGGGCGACTCAGACCTATAGTGCAGCAACAATTCTGTGACGGCTGCTACAGAGACTCAGAGAGAGAGCGATCCTCAGTGTCACAGCGTGACCGTCGAGAATGTAACAAGGCAACCGGGCCGAGTGATCGACTATATTTAGTCACTCACTTCGAACAATAGACAACGCTTGTTCTTTCTTACCCCCAATTTCTCTTCAGCCTGCCGACTGTGTCGACAATTCCTTGCTTGACGCAGGGGTTTTACTTCAGTTTCTACACTCTTTCTGCTTTTCTGAAAGCCTTAGCCGCCTTCATTAGCCACATTATCCACTCCTTCAACTACCAGATCATCAAGCATGAAATTCACTGTAACTGCCCTCGCTGCAAGTCTTATTGTGGTGTCTGTGACATCCGCACCTATCCGACGAGATGTAGACCCTGCTTTGATTCCTGAGTTCGGGTTGGAAGCTGGGATCAACCCCACCGGTACTGGAGATTGTGATGGAATTACGGGGGCGAACGGTAGCCCCGTTTTGATTCCTTGCGCATGCCCCCCAGAGCGTGATACCTTCATTCAGGTATGCATCCAGGTTTTTCTTAAATTTCTCACTCTTACGCTTTGAATAGTCTTTGAACGCCAATGTCAATGCTGGATTCGTCGTCAACAATCCGTCAGTACAGGTCTCTTTCCCGGAGGACGACTCTCAAGCGTCCCAGCTTGCGAGGATCCAAACCGCCCTAGTCACCTTACAAAATATCAACGGGACAGGGAAGGGTTGTCCTGCTTCGTCTACCACTTTTTTGGCGCAACAGAAAGCCATACAAGAAGGAACTACGACCGCGTCAGCAACGTCCTCTCCAGTAGCGTCGTCATCCTCGTCAGCGACGTCTTCGTCTGCGCCAACCGCTGTGGCTTCCTCCGTCACAAGCGACAACTCTGCCGGGACGAACACCACTGATGGCGGAGTTGACCCATCTCTGGTCCCCGAATTCGGAATAGAGGCTGGCGTCAACCTGGATGGCACTGGTAACTGTGACGGAACTACGGGCGCTGATGGTAATCCAGTGCTTATTCCGTGCTCTTGCCCTCCTGAAAGGGATTCGTTCATCAAAGTAAGCTGCTCTGTCCGCAATGATTATTCTCCAAGGCTCACATGTTGCAGTCCCTCAGTGCCAATGTCGCCGCTGGCCATGCCGTCAATAATACAGGTGTTGCGATAGATTTTCCTACGGATAACTCGACTGCATCACAAATTACGAGGATTACGGCGGTTTTGATATCATTGCAGAACCTGGAAGGACCGGGGGTCGGTTGCCCTGCATCATCGACAACATTGTTGGCACAGATGAAGACTCTACAGGCGCAGCAGTAGCAGGATCATTCTTCGCTCCTCGGTTTCTCACCCGCACCAGTTCATTGGAATGCGGGTGATCTTGTTGAGGCATCGTATGAAGGGGAAATGGTGCCTGGTTACTGTTCTTCCTCTTGTTGATGATTATTTTATAAATTCATTATGAGAATGATCCATATGCCAAAGGCCATGCTTGTAAGAGAAATATGTCTATCACAATGCAGATGGCGCAACAAGTACCGAGAATACATTATACTTGATATCAACGAATGTCGTTTCAATACCTAGGGTAGAAAGATATAGGTCAGCAAGATTGTCCACCTTATAACGACGTGAAAAGAGTTCAGAAAGCTAGGTAAAAAAATGTTCGGCAGGTTTGAACGCGATGTCTAGTCGCACTTGGAAACACGGACCATAGCAAAAATCATCAGGTTACATACAACGGCATAACTATCGAATATCAAAACGTATAAAAGGTACTCACCGAGAAGTAAACCAAGATGGAGGTGATATGATGAAACAAAAAATGAAGCGACGCGCCAGCGACGTGTTTTTTAAGGTTTTTTTCTAGCGGCGCCTTCATTCGGAGTTTCAAGTTTAAGAACGGTGGCGGGGCAAGCGCGACCACGTGTCAAGTTCTACTTCACCCAAATGGAAAGTTAAACGCTTCTCCTGCTTGTTACAGTTCAAATTTCTTGGCAGAATATGGACATTTTTATTAGTTCCCTTCGATACCGCCTAGCGAACAAGTTGTCCTCCGAGTCGCCAATGAAATCGCAGGAATAGACTTCGTTCCACCTGGATCGGGACCTATGTCAACTGTAGCGTCCTACGTCAGAATATCTTTACCCCTCGTCGCGGATTCTCAATAAGTATAAATCTGGGGCGGACTCATCAGTTTCTTGCGATGATCTCGGTTTTTGACCTTGGTCCTCCGAAAATCTAGCGTGTATCTTATACATTACTGGTCTGGGCTGTCCGGATGGCCGAGGATAGCCTTCAAGCGCGCATTATGACTCAATTGACCTTCAGCGTTTCGTGGAATCACGATGTTGATTCAGCTTGGTCCATGGGTGCGTCGTTATAATTAAAACCATGCTACAGATGAACTGAAACATTGCGCAAAGGAGAAAGATCTCCGAGATACTCGTTACATCCCGAACAACCCACCTGTTCTAACTTTGTATCCATCGTTCCAAGCATAATAATCACGCCATACAAGGGTATGCTTTCTTTTTGTAGTTTTCCGATGGTTCCGTATCCGGTGAGCAGTGCAGAGAGCCCTCCCCTGAATTGATGATGAGTGTGCCAGCGTTGGCTTACGGTAGCATGGTGCATTATGACCATGATCTTCAAGGGACGCTGAATCCTTGCCATGGCGATGATGAGGAACCGAGCGATGCCATTCTGGCGTGCCTGCACATGGACTCCCGTGTCAGTAAGCTAAGAAACCATGGCAGCATTGGGGTACGAGATTTTTGTACGGCTGGCGTTTTTTTGCTGATGGCCTGTATATGTTGTAACACATCTCTGCCGCATCGACGGTCTCGACCACATTCTGACCACGCCACGCTGGCCTTGAAGCTTGAAAGTTCTATGACGGCCGTATCAATGTTGAACCTTTTCAACCCGAAATGATCAGAAGCAGATGGCCTTGGGATTCCTACCCGGCAGTTCAAGTTTTCACAGTGGGGTTGATAACCGTCTGCACGATAATGATCTTTTACTAATATTTACCAGTGCTATGATATCAATTGCTGTCAAAAGCGGCGAACAGCATTCGAATTCTTCAACCTGTGCCTTTGGCCTCCAGATCTGAGCTGGCCTCCAGGCTGGGCTTAAATGAGACAAAACGAGGCGTTTGTTTAGATCGTTCGTTTGAACATGAAGGGAAAGCCGCTCCCCGATGCAAAAGGATCGGACTACCTGGGGCGCATGCATGTAATCCCATCTTGATTGGCGGGTGGGCTGACAGGTAGTGCCTACGGCCGATTCTGACTGATTTTGACGCATTACGACCAGCACGAAACGCGGTGGTATGCGGGAGGAGGTTGAAAGTGCAGTGACCGACAGTGCATTAAAAATAATACTTGGCGAGATCCCGCTGGATGCGAACTCCATATTACACCGTAGAGATTTTTTTGTTCATGCTGTCACGTCAAAACTGACTTTATCGCCAGGGGTATGGGGCTATGTTAGATACGGGCGACTCAATCCTAAAGGGAAGAGCATTCCGTAGTCGAGGCTTGGGATTCACGGTTTGATCGTCAGCGTCGGGGGCTTCGGTATTTCCTCCTCTCGTCACATAATATGTTGCCTCCGTTTCATGCGTATCTGACCGCAGGTATCTTGTGTATTTGCAGTTTCTTGAGCAGGTTAGCGCCATCTTTGCATCCCTTGATTTATTCCTTGGTTTGTACTTGTACTTTAATCCATTGTCACAGATTTTTACGTTGGTATATAGTCTCAAATTATCAGCGAAATCTTGGAGCGGCTGATACTACTTCTTTATTGCATCATCCAGGGGGTACGATTTCGACTGTATGCATTGGCATTCCAGGAACCAAACCCGCCAAACCCTTGGATGTTTTTCGCTTAAAAGTCCCTCACACACTATCCTTTGATAGTCAGCCATGCTGGCGCGCCTATCAAAGCTAACCCCGTGAATAGACATTTGATAACAGCTTTATTTTTTCCTCGGCAGACCATTCAGACGAGGACACCCACGCGATCGCGGGGCCGAGGTTGATCACGATTCCATACTCCGAGATTTGTGGGCTCCTCTGAATCGAGTGTGGATGACCTCCGATTGCTAGATCTGTTACCGAAAGCGCCAATCAGAACGAAGGCACGACACCAATGTCCCTTGATACTTCATGTAGGTTCGCTCTACATCATGATTTTCCTGAGGTCGAACGCGACAATGTCTGGGATTCTGGGTGTGAATTTTGCGAGTGGTCAAAGGTATGAAATGCTCACTTCTCCTACTTTTTGCTGACTCCACAGTAGTTTGCGATAAATTATGGATTTATGACCGCCAAGAACACATATATAGAGACAAGAGAAGTATTGCTAGTATCCTTGCGGGGTACTCTCCTCGTCGGTGATCACACTCCTTGTCTCTTGCCTACCCCGGTACACGGTAATTACTATGTTTCTGAATCTAACCGATGTGAAAGCGGCCCTCGCGTTAGTAATGATGATGTCATAATCCCGTCCACGTCCGAGTCCTTATATCAGCCGTTCTCATCATCTCCATGCTTTGTCTTTCCTCTTTCACTGATATCGCGCCGTCGTAGCCAATTGATTTTCGGTCATTAATTCCACGTCAATCCAATAGAAACCTGAAACTACGCCGGGTTGCGTTCGGAATTGCTGCATATCAACGGATATGAGGGCCGTACTGATCAAAGACGACAAAGGACCGCTCGAGAATCTCTTCATTGGGAATGCTGAGACGCCAACTCTTGGAGAACGGCAGATTCTTGTAAAGGTATGTGACCGCCGTCTCAGGTCTGACACGACAATCGCATTCTCATGTCATGCTTGTTACCTGAACGTCACAGATCAAGGCTTTCGGGTTGAATCGCATGGATATACTCCAACGAGAAGGAATGTACCCAGTGCCGCCCGGAGCCTCTAAGATTCTCGGTGTTGAGTTTTCGGGTCATGTTACTACTCTTGGACCCAACGTCTCCGCTAATTGGAGGGAGGGTGATGAGGTCTTCGGCATTGCCGCAGGCGTAAGATGTCACTGGCCAACCCTTCCGATGTTTACCAGTCCTTCAGGGAGCATATGCAGAATACATCGCTGTGGATGAAACTCACCTGATGCCTAAACCTTCGTCTCTGTCTTGGGCCGAGGCTGCTAGTATTCCTGAAGTGTTTCTGACCGGTATGAATACCATAGTCTCGGAAAAGGTTGAAATTGACTCAGCTTTCATTAGCCTTTCAAGGAATTTCAGTATACGGAGAATTCAAGTCTGGTGAAAGCGTTTTGATACATGCTGCTGCATCTGGAGTTGGTATCGCCGCTATTCAAATGGCCCGTGTGCTCGGCGCGTCAGTCCAAGTACTGTTCACGTCGCTTTGATACCTTAATATCTATCCAGGAAGAATGTCATCGCCACCGCATCTACGAAGGAAAAGCTCGGCTGGCTGCTTTCAATCCCAAGCGGCGCGACACACGGAGTCAATTACAAGACTCAGGATTTTGCGGCCGAAGTACTCAAAATCACCGAGGGGAAGGGAGTCGACGTTGTTCTTGACTTCGTTGGTCAAACTCATTGGACCAAGAATATCAATTCGCTTGCTATCGATGGCCGTATGACTATTTTCGCCTTCCTAAGTGGTAAATAATCCTCAGGCCATTCTGTATCGCGACCTTATCGCAGGAAAGGTTCCACGGTCCCGTCTGTAGACCTGCGGCCCATACTTCTGAAGCGCCTCCGGATCCAGGGATCCACTCTAAGGTCTCGCAGCCTGGAATATCAAACGGACTTGATCACCCGGTAACTTGTTATCTGTATTCGTTATATCCTATCTGAAAAGGTCATGGTCAGGTTGAGGGACCAATTTTTGGGGAATGTAACCGGAGTCGAGGGAAGTGGTCCTATCAAGACGTACATTCATAAGGTGTGACTTTTCTGAATTCTGCGACATTTCCCATCGTTAGTCCTCTAATCACATATACATATGTGTGCAGGTTTATAATTGGAACGATATTCAAGAGGCCCACAGAGAAATGGAGGCGAACAAGAATATGTAGGCTTTTTTTCCACGACAGGCGTCATTGAACTGACTGTGCCTTGACAGAGGAAAAATAATTGCTGAAATAGCCTAACCCATGTAATAGGAATATCCCCTGGTTATGTCGAATAACTAAAATTTATGTCTTTTATCATCACTGTTTTCCAAACTTAGAGCATTACATGGAAAGTTCCGCTCGCAACCAGCAAACCTGAAAACTGATCGGTGAGTGATGGAAGTTGCCGAAATCAACTTGTTTCGTCCCATCATCCATGCCTTCATCCGTGCCAATTCTTCCCAGGTTCTAGGTCGCCCTGCGCGTAAATCTTGTCTACTGTCCTATCAAGATATCAATGGCATTGATTGACGCCCGTGCCTCCATTATGACATTGATGGGTATTCCACCACTAGTAAGTACTGTAGTGGCGCTCTGGCACCTGGTTGGTGGGACCGAAGTCCAGTAGAATGAACATCTATGAATAAAGTGGACTCCGCGAAGCACTCGTGGACCGACTAACTCTGCTGCACTCAGATGTATTTTTCTATTTTTTCATAATCAGCATGTCAACGTACCTGTTTACTTAACTGCCAGTGTCTGGGATGCAAAAGGTGCGGAGTAAGGGAAGGAGAGGTTCTGGATCCGTCGGTGCCGTCCATGGTGCTGAACTCTACGGAGCCACGGACAACACCTTAAACTACGACCCTAGCTTCTGTTACGAGAAACTGGAAACCCAAGCACTTCGCGGTGGACGAACATAGGCTTCCACACCCCAGCCTCCGCGTCAACATGCAAGGGACTTGGCTTGTCCAGCCAGTCAAAATCCAAGATGTTTTTGGTAATTTGATCGCCGTCGCCAATCATAGAAGTGCTGCGATTTTGCCATCCGCATCTTCGAAAATGCCAGGAGGCCCGATGAGGCCCCGTGAGCAATTTCATTATAGAGCCCCAAGGCTGCGAGCATCGTGGCCTCTCACGGACTGATAGTTCGCTTTGATATTCACTTTCGCCGAGAGTCACGTTGAGTAGAATTTCAGGACCGCCTTCAGCTTGAGATACCTGAACTATCGATAATCCCGGGAATGATGTTCTTGATTTGACCGATAACACCTCTTTGGCCGTTCTTTCCCTGAGTCGGCGGCTCCGTTGTGGATAGTCGCCCCACTAACAAGGTCTTCTATCCATGGTTACCGGAGAGAACCATGATGAAGTCAGGCATCGTGCATTCGGTGACAATATTAAGACACACCGGAAGGCAGGTCGCCAACACTGACGCGCGGTCGACTACGCACACGTCTAGTCGAAGCGAAGTCCGAATGGAGAGGATTTCTCGGGCTATGAACCAGGGGGAGGTTCTGCGCAACAAGCCCGATTAAATCACCTGTAGGATACAAGAATACATACGCGCCTTCCCCATCATGTGTCCGAGACCATCGCACAGATATGTGATTTGGAACGAGGTTGAAAACGAACTATTCTTCTCTAGGTACGGGGCGCTCAATCCTAGAAACATTTAAACAATATCGCGGACTGCGCATGTTGTGATGTTCGAAAAAATTGTCAGACGGCAGGAGGTTTGTGCATTTTGAAGAACCACTTCTCGAGTCTTCTCTGATGCCCTTTGAAATTGGGTTCTGATGTCCGAGAGGGACTGAGGATTCCTAAGCACAGCCACGATGATGTTTAGCCGCTAAATCCGCCGGGTGCAGAGGCTTGAACGGAAGCAAAAGGCGGTTCATTAATATCATGGGAAACGCAGACCTGTACACGGGTCCTTGTCAATCTTGACGGAACGTGGAACCTGGATTGTTTGGACAGGCATGGAGGACATCGTAAAACTTACGAATGGATCAACTCGTGCCCCCCGCTTTGATCAGCCTCTTTCTCGTGGAGGCCTCATCAACCCCCAGGTACCTTCGCAACCATGTGTGGATCAGTTACAGCTGCAAGTGTAACGTTACTTGGCATGATGCCCTGGTGACAGGATCGAGAGTTACTGACGGTTTGAATGCCAGCCTGAGCCGCATTCAAAAGAAATGATTAGATTTGGAAATTTTACTTTGGCTATGGTCCACAATTAAAGCCAACGTTACATTCATCAGGATCAGTACTTTGCCGAGCGGCCCCCTTGTTCCGGAAGACGTTGATGATCACTGAAATGACCGGAATGCCTATATTACAAGCATTACGCATCCCATTGAAAACCGAGGAGGTGGTGGTGAGAAGATTTGAGAGGCACGAAAACGTCAACGTTTCAACCTTTGAAGAAGTTAATCTTCGAACGCACCCGAAAATAATTCTAAAAAGAAAGCCCATCAATTCGACGTCGGAGTGTATTCGGAAGGAGAACCAGCCCGGATAGACGTCTTCATAATTTTCAGGCTCACGCCGCGGTACGAACCTTGCACCGAGTCACCGGCAGATTAGGCCCAGTAGCGCTGGCCGCAAGCCAAGTTTGAACCAAGTCTCCAAAATCACGATCGACCATTGATGAAAATGTCCGTTTTCGGCGGTAGGTACCTGACGGCGAAGGGCTGAAAGCTGTGCGAGGAAAATAAAGAATTCGTATTTTTTTGGCACGAGACGGAAGGAACCAACAGCTTTGCAGTGTTGGTTTCCGAAAAAGGATACCTCCAATGGTATATTTTTGAAACAAGGAAAGCTGGGCGTTGCGTTGCCGAAATCATCGTCGTCATTTTGTCAAACGAGCGCCTTCGTGGGAGTTCCATGCTTGGGTAAAGCCACCGTTAACTCCTTTCCCATTTTGAGTCATCCCATAGCATTTCGCGGCCGCGTGCGGAATTTGCCTCAATACGGCGTGATGATCCTATATAAAGGCCAGTCAGTCGTCATCTCCCTCCACAGAACAAGTTCAGCCCTTTATCGGTAGTCATCATTCCTACCACCAGAACACCTTCACCACCACCACTACCACCACCTCTTCGAGCCCATCCTCATATCTTAACCTATCATGTCTGCACAAAACTCTGGAAAGCCATCGCAGGGTTCGCAAACGACTGTGAAGGGGGGCGCATCATCTGCAGGCCCAGTGTTCTTCTAATTCGCCAATCCCATTCCGTCGTGGAATTTGTGCCACTGTATACGGCCAGCCACGACCGACACGCTAGCAATGTGGCTATGCCCGTGTCTATTCCGCGTCTGACAAGTCAGCGCAGCAACCCCACCAATACCCTATCATTCACCTAGTTCGTCACCACTCGAAACATGCATCCGACGTCTTCCATCCGTCGACGATGCTGTATATGCAGGGAGACAGATGCATCATAATTTATTGGATTTCGATGGCAGGGGGCTTGGACCTGATGGTAGAAGGAGCGCCAATCACCGGCCTAGCGAGACGGAGCTGCCATACAGCCATCTCATATGTAGAAGCGCTCTTCATTGACTGGACATACAATTGGTTACTTACTTTAAAATAATTCTTATTTCCTTAATATTATAGTCTACGCGTAGTTGCTCCTAGCTGTAGCACATTTGTTAACTGGTTGCGTATCACAACAAGAAGAATTACTTACTATTCTATTTGTCCCCGCATGAGCTCGAGTTTTGGGGATCACACGCGCAAGCTAGATCATGACGCGTTGCTACAATTGATATCAAGGGAAGCGCGTCAAGATCTTCTAGAACCATTGGAGCCTTCATTTTTGTTGGACGCGTCAAGAGCAGAGCGGGGATTGACGGCATGCTCCGCCTCTATCAGGCACAGTTCAGCCACCACCACTGCTGTTGTAAAAAGGAACGCAAACGAGTCGGCTGATACGACCATTCATCAACGAATATGTCATAATTGGATGACGAATATCAAATGAAGAAAATCATCACGGCACGTACCTGACTTGAAGGCTCACTCAAGCATACATCCTAAGCAATGGATCAAGTCAAAATGCGACGTTCATCCCTAGGAACAAATACATGTAAGTATTGCACATGGTTACATCTTGCCTCTAAGATCCGTTGCCGTTCCTCTCCAAATGCCTGATTGGAGATCCTTGCGTTCGTGAGCATCCCACCATTCCAGAATCGTTGCAACTACCTCATCTCGTCGTCCGACAAAATTATGATCTGCGTGCTCCATGAGATGAAGCGAGTGAGTCCCCGGGTCTCGATTGCTCAAGGCCCTGGCATAGATAACGGCGTCATATCTACGTTTATGGAGTTAGTCCAAACCTTTTACAAAGTGAAATCAACGAACGGCGGGACCTGCGTGTCCGATAGCCCATGTATAGTTAGGACATCAGTGCCTTGAGGGAATCTGTCCCAAACTAATGACGTATCAAACTTGCAGAAATTTTCAACGTCTTCTGGATGAATCTTGATCGAGAGAATCTTCCTCGCGACTGTGGGCGTCCAGATATGAAATCCTTGGGAAAGGAAGCTCTCTTCCCACTTCTTTGCCAGAGCAGTTTCTGTGTATCAGGCCTAAATTTAACGATACGATAGACACGGCGGGATTGTTTTACCGCAAATTTTCTATAAAAAAAGAGGAAAGACATGTAGAAGAAACGGGTGAAGCGTTTCAAGGCAAAACTTACATGCATACGGTACCGCCCAGATACATTGACAAAACCTGATACCTTCTTCCCGGCTTCGGTGATGCATAGCCAACGGATGGCAACGATAGATCCTCTGGAGTGCCCCACGATCAAATCAACCTTATATCCAAACGTTTTCGCGAGGTAATCGACGACAACGTTGATATCGACCACTTCGTCCTCCAAACCGTGTTGCCGCCAAGTCCCGGGAGTCTCATGGCACCCACTGTAGCGATGGTCAATGATACTGCGCATCATCTGTATTGAAGCAATAAGGTTACCGAAAATCAAAACGAAAAGAGTCTAAAGGAAGACAGAGTCCGAGTTGCCTGTGAAACAGATAGTCCTTGTGCCTGCCGTTAGGCTACGTTCAGATAAACACGTTTCCACTGCGTGCCCGGAGAAAGGCCTACCCCGCAGAACCATGGAGAATCTACCGGTGAGATAAGGAGCGACGAAGGTTGAGCTAGGTGTCTTGACGACGCAGTGAAGCATCTCTAGAAGTACACACCAGAGCGATCTTCCTGCCGTTGGTTGGCTGGTCCGGTGTCAGCTGTTCTAGGATGCCCACAATGGAACAATTAGGCTCAATTGGATGAGGAATCGAGATTTTCGTGGCAGTTCGCTGGCTTGCAGCCATAGGGACGTTGGGGGTACAGAGCAACTTGGAGTAACCATCGTTTCGTATGGTGCCAGCCATAGGGACCGGTAACCGGCAACTGAGCTCCGAACCGACAGCCGACCCCTCATGCCAATGAGAATAAAGCAAAAAGTTAAATCACTGCTGAAGCTGGTACATATTCTCCACATGAAAAACGAGACCTCAAAATATTGTGACATTTTAGTTGAACTTCTAATGTTAAGTATTGAGTTCACAAAAACAAGTTGAAAGATGAGATATTTTCCATACACTTTTGGGGTCAGGAAAAGAGCGGAAAGGATAGGATAGGATGTTTTATTTTCCGACGTTGCTCTAGCGTGCAGGGGTCCGTACTATAGCTCCCTGTATATACATATAATACTAGCAATGAATGTACACTAAAAACACGAGGAACAACGCTGCTACGGTATCGACTCGGAACCAGTCCTACGCTCCGCCGCTATGGTAAAGCCCCGTCATGAGTACTCACTCATGGGTAGTGCAAATGCTGTCGACAATAAGCGTGGGGGAGTCGTAGTGCGGTAGCCTTTCGGATTCCACCCCTCGTCGTAGCGTGGTAGCTTTTCGACGGAAATGGATACGAGAGAATCGTAGCGCGAAAGCCTTTCGACAACTCTCCTTCGTCGTAGCGCAGTAGCCTTTCGACAGAATGATACGAGTCACTCGTTAATGTGGGGGACATCCTCAGAAGAAATTATTCACAACATTTTAGGATACGTTTTTCCGTTCTGAAAAGGAACCGGCCCCAGCAGTGAATGTTGCAAAAGTCTCATAAAACAAGCGTCCTATGCTAAAACCGATTTCTTTCCAATAATCTCATTCTTCGCACTCTTACCTCCCTTCGCCTTGACCACCTTGTCCTTTTTCTTCTCGCCTGGGGCAACGCTGCGTTTCTTCTTGAGATCATCCGCATTGAGAGAATCGGCCGGAGCCTGAGCCGCGCTCTCATCCGCTGACTTGGTCTTTTTACCTTTCTTATCCTTCTTGGAAGGCCCGTTGGAGGAGGCAGGCTCTGGCGGCGCAACGGTCTCCTTGGAGGAAGCCTAAACGTAATTTAAATCTGTCAGGAGGTGACGCAACAAGAGTAAAGGTGATACATACTTTTTTGCCTTTCGCATCACCGTCTGCTGCACTGGGGGTATCGATCTTCTTATTGACGTCCTTTTGCTTTTTTGCATGCTTCGTCCCTGCACCTTCATCTTTCTTGACCGGTTGAGTAATTTCCGAGGCCTTCTTCTTCAATTTCTTGGTCTCCGAAGTGGGTGAGGGCTCTGGAGCAGGGACAGGGACGGGGACTGAAGTGTCGGAAGAGGCTTTGGCTTTGCGTTTCTTCGACTTGGTAGAGTCATCGTTGGTAGAGGGGGTATCGGTAGAGGGAGTGGGTTTGGTCACGGGTGGAACGGAATCCTTGGGAGCGGGAGCCCTTGACTTCTTCGATGAATCAGCGGTGACTTTTTCAGCGGTGGAGATCGTGGTTTTGGCTTTTTCCTTCTTCGGCGACGAACCCGCTGAAACGGGAGCCTTCCCTTTCGCAGCTTTGGATGGTTCCGCTGCAGACTTGTCTTCGACACCTTTTGTCTTCTTTTTGGGCTTAGAAGTTTCTTCTGGCTCTTCGTCGGCAGCAGCACGCTTTTTCCCGTTGGAGGGGGATTTAGGTTTCTTCGAGGCAGGCTCGTCGACCTTCATGGACTCGTCATCGTCATCTTCATCGTCCTCCACATCGGCATCGGCACCCAAGCCTGCCCAACGACCACCTTCCTCGTCTCCCAAAGAGCAGCTCCAAATTGGCAACGAGGCGCTAGAACTAGTCTTGATGGAGAGGGCTTGTACGTTGTCCCATCCGCCGCTGATACGTTTGGCGATGACGGGAAGAGCAACTTTCAAGTTTGCGAGAATCTGAGCCGGCGTGTGGGACATGGTTCCAATCTTTATTGCACTACAACTGATGTTGAGCGTCAACATAACCGCAGCAGGATAAATACATACGTATTAGTACCACGATTCTGGTTCATGTACGTCGACTGAATAGCATGTTCAAGTTCTTTTTTGAGATCTTTGCGGGTCAAGGTAACAGGGATGGGTTGCCTACACCGCGAATCAATAAGACGAATAAGACAAAAGAATACTAAACGCACTTTTTCGCATTAAACCATTTTTCGCCTAGCAACTTCGGGAGCAAAGGGATAACTCGATCGTCAGCTAAGAACAGTCCGTTTTCCTTCAGTAGTATTCTTCGAGCCTCGAAGGGCTTGAATTTCCCCTTCAACTTGCTGATGCCGACGACGCGGGAGATAAACTTGATATCTTTAGCCTCCAGCAGATCTTTGTACTCCCGTTGGGGGTCTTTTGTAATAAGACAGACGCTGGATGTCCGGGGGTCGACAATGGGGTGAACCACAGGACTAACGTAACATTAGTACCAAAGATGATACGTCGAAGTACGACTTACATTCGTATGGGCATTATCTTCCTCTCAGCAGCGACTTTCTTGACTGCGACATTCAGCCAAACGATTTGCTCTTTCCCCGGTAAGAGTTCATTGGCTGACTCCTTGTCAGTTTTCTTGGCCTGGTGGGTATGTATCGCATCGACGGCGCGCTTGCACTGCTTCACCGAGACGCGGGAATCAATGAGCTCGTCCCCGACCATGACTGCTTGATTTCGAAACTTAGTTCTGTTTTCGGAGGACAAATTTTTGTATTGACACTTATTTGGTGCTATTGGACCTTATGGTACTCGCATTCCGCTCTGAGTGATTCGTTAACGACGGAACAACCCGAGGGGCTTCGCAATTTGGTTAAAAGAAAACCACCACCTTTTTAAAAAGGGAGAGAGCCCCGATCGGCATTGACGGTAACGGTTAACAAAATGACACCCAATTGCACCCTTTTTGCATCTCCTGAGTTGCACTGCACGGCTGCTCCATTGTCCCAGCACTACTAGGGTTCCCTTGCTCAGTTCTCTTATATACAAGTATATCAGGAATATAAATTATGCATTGGACATATATACACTAAGAATCGGCATAATATGAACGTACTTATTGGAGACCAACTCAGAGAGCCGACTCAGACAATGCCAACTCAGCCATCCCAGTCCTCCCGAAGCCAACTGATCTATAACTGCCATAACAGTGATAATCCCCTGCAAAAGGTACTATGCTGTGAAAAGGAATCTAATACATCAACAACAAGAGACATCTGCGAGATGGGGAAGCTTACCGCAGCGAACCTTAGCACAAATATCTGATGGGGTGAACATGGGCACGCGGATGCCGCGGAATATGATGCGAGGCCCAAAACATGACAGGACTTTACATAAAAAAAGGGAGCGCAATGTTAACGTTCACAGCCGCAGAGAGCAGGTCGACATCTAGAAGTTCTATACAAGTGATAGAAAGAGCAGAGAGCCACCAGATCTGCCGAGCTGGAAGATTTTAATCTGCTAAAACTCCCTCTGTTAGATCTGGAAGGCGGGAAGATATCAAGCTCAAATTCAATGTCTAGGGACTGCCAAAACTTAAGACTTTGTAGTCAATACGGTTCACTTTTTCTGTGGCCATGCCTAAAGTAGCATCCATTCTACATCATTTCAGAGAACTCAGATTTATTTAGGGCGAACCGAATATCATTCGAATCCTTCCGGGCTAACATGAAGACATGATGGCCACACAAAATCCGCTCAATACTCTCGTCATCATCATTCATGACTCGAACTCAGAGCATCTGCAAGAAATCAAGCAGGCTTCTTCGGCCATTGATACGGCCTGAATACAATTCTATCCCTGTTCACGCAGCCACAGAAAAAAAGAACAGCATGCGATTCGTACGAATTGAATTGTGATTATTCAGAGGGAACCGTTTCATTGGATATCCACTTCGATACCGAAAAAGGTGAGTAGGCGCAATTGCAAGCGCTCATCACAGCATTAACTTACATCACGGAGGAAGATCAGCCCTCAGGGACCTATTATAGCATGCCTTTGTCAAATAACGGAGAAGGCCGTTTACAGACAGCTCTAACTCTCAGTAATTCAGATCTCCCTCCCGCTCGAAATGCGGTGCAACAAACAAGCGGTACCCGGGTATTTCCATAAATACGAGCACGTATTCAAAGAACCGGTAGAGACAATCCAGTCCTGATTTAGCTTTTATATTGCAGCTTCAAGGGCGGTACTTCGGGCAGCCTGAAGTTACCGGGATTTCGGCAATTCAACTCGGAGAAAGACAATGGAAGCAATGGGTACTGCATGAGAGAGAAGTATACTTGATAGACATTTTGTTTCAAGATCACCATTCCGTGATACGCGCGCGAAGAGCCGGTCCAGTCTCATCGCCGCGACGCCGCCCATTGAAATTGGAAAGGAAACTCGACACGAGCTTCCAACAATAACAGTATGACAGATCCTGCGAAGGATTATGTTTTTTGATATGTATGATTAAAAAAATAGCGACAGTTGGAATGCACGGAGAAACGCCAAGGAAGCTAAGCTCTGTGACACAAGGGGAAGAAAATGAAGAAAGGTCAAGGAAATTCAAATTCTGGAGGTGATGCCTAAATGAGTGAGCTACCGGGACTAACCGGTCAATCGGAATGACTCAGACATCTGTTCAACCCAACAGTTCCAACTACTGCACTACGACGTTCAGCACCTCCATTTTAGCGTCGTCCAATTGCTGTAGTGCAGCTCTACGCTTATTCGTTCAAATCCTCTGTTACAATCTCAGCACTCCGCACAGAAGCCTTCTGCGCACGGTGTGACAAGTGCAATGGCACCAGCACTACTACCTCAAGAGCTCATTGATTCTATACTTGATCATCTTCACGATGACATACCCGCATTACGCCAATGTGTTCTTGTGTCGCATTCATTCCATGCCGCTACTCAAGGCCACCTGTATCACCAAGTCGTACTGGTACATTATACATGGTCTCCCCATATGCGCAAGCCGTATACAGGAGCGTGGTATACTTGCGCCAACTTCTATCAGTTAATTTGCCACTCCCCGCATATTCCTCCGCTGGTCAAATCATTCGTTGTCCATGACGGTTTGCTGGGGAACGACAGTTACGACCAGACTACCAAAAGGCTCTTTAACAAGAAATTTCTTCCCCTCATATTCCCCTTACTTCCGTGTCCACGTCGCATCGTTCTCATGAACAGATCGGTCCGTCTTGGAATCAATAACTTGCCGCGATCCCTTAAATCCTCCATTCGTGACGCTTTTCGTTCTCCACATATAACAATCATTCATCTTGACGGTCTAGAGCAGGTAGACCAAGGATGGCTATTGTCTCTATTTGAAGGATGCCCGTCTTTGAAGCATCTTACGTTGACCTGGTTTAATGAGTCTAGAAGACACTCCTTCCCGCTTAGCGAAGAACTTTTGGTCAAACCAATCAATACTTCCCCAGCATTAGAAGCATTGTCATTTGCTGATGAAGTTTCCTTTATAGTCGACGAATTATTCATGATGCAGCCTCTTTTCAACATATCTCGTCTTCGAAAGTTGTCGATTCACTCCCGCTCCCGAACCGATTGTCGAATCATCCAAAAATTGCTCAATGCGACCCAGGACTGCCTTGAGGAGTTGATTTTACGTACCCAGGGTTCTTGTGAGACTCTTCATTACTCACTATGCGTACACCTCCCTTACTGTTTATCATGGTTTAGTACCTAGTACACACTTATTCCTGCCAGTGTTACCGGGACTCGGACCCCATGCTCAAGCCCTAGATATTAGCGGTAACACCAAGCTTCGAACAGTCTATTTGGTCGTCAATGCCAAGTATCCCGACTGGCCCATGACCATTCCGTTCAGCACCATCTTGCAGGGCCTGACAATAGAGGCTGCCTTCTGGCCCGGCAGGAGTGCCGCCGGGATAGAGCGTCTTAACTGGTCGTCATTGGATGCGTATGTTAGTCAGAGAATGCCTTCACTGTGCAATATCAACGTGAAGCTTCACGCCGCCAATAAACATGCTGATGACTGCACAAGTCGAGTATGCACAGGACGAACACGTTCTGGTGATAAATGCATGATCGATGCAGTGAAATACGTTCATAAACATCTTCCTACCCTGAACAATATGGGTACCTTGCAGATAGAAGAGACTAGCAGTAAGCTTTACCCACTCTTTTGATCACCACGACCATCTAAACATCGGCAGAACGTACTACCTGGAGCATTGATGACACTTTGTGTTCTTCTGTGTTTTAATCTACTAGCGCCGATCGCCATGCCTCTGATCACCATTGCTGGGACTATTGGCATGGGGCACGGCCGTCTGGTCCTTTTCATTTGACCGCTATCATCACAATATTACTGACTACGACTCGGATGGAAACTTCGAACTCATAGCTGGTTCGACCAAGAGTCACTCCTCCATGCACCTACTTCAAGTTACATATGCATCCCTTCCGTCGTGCCTGAGAAATGACTGACCCCTGTAGATGAAACTTGTATCCACACTCTTATTTATCTGTCATTTGATCTCGACTTATGGTCAAGCCGCTAGCCATTATATTCAGTAACCCTATCTTTCTTTCTCTCCTCTCATGATCTCGGTCCCCCCACACTCTTTTCTCCTCCTGGCCCTCTTGAGCCTTTTGACTGCCAGAGGTAAGCCCATGAACCACATCTCCTCCCCTATTTAACCAACGATGCTCGTCAGTACTCGCGCAAGCCAATTTGGATGTCCCTACGGGTTCGCTCCTGTCACGCATCACGCCCGGCTCCATAAACACGACAATTATCCCGGACAAATGTGCATGGCAATGCTCCATTCTTGGGACCATCAGTGTACGCGTTGTCTTTCCTGCCGAAGTCCTCTGTTTGACTCTTCGTGCCAGATGTGTGGCCAGAACCAACTCGAGTGCTTCTGCTCCGTATCGTATCAGGGTAGGGTCTCTGCTTGCATAGACTGTTACATTTCCGCCGACCAGCAGGGAGGAGAGAAATTAAATAAACGTGCGTCTTACTCATGTCTGAAGAATACATGACAACTCACTCCCGTATAATAGTATATCAAACGTCTTGTGATAACGCTTCATCGGCGGCTGCTGCTACGCAAACCGCTGCCGAACTGGCTGTAGCCAGCACAACTAAGTCTGCAACATCCAAATCCAATGGATCTTCGACCCTGATGGCCTCGTCGAGTTCAGCATTCATTTGGATTGGGTTGGCCATTATACTATATCAGTTCTAGTGGATTTACGTGTGGGAGCGTTTCGGGATTTCAGGGTGGTATGACGGCCATGCACATTCGTTATTTAACCAATCCAGCACATTCATTTGATTTTAGCGCACGAATATATTAGATGAGGGACCCGTCGTAAGAGCGACTGAAGAATGATTCCGGACACTTTATAGCACTGGTCTCCATGGCTGGTCTATCATTGACAGGTACAAAGGTATAAGCTAGTCCGGATCCTGTCATATCACATGTAAGAAATCGGATTAAGATGAACTAGTCAGAGTCAAGAATGCTCACCCAGATATTTTAGGTGCTCGGTTGCAAGATCCTCCAAATGGAATCGGCGACAAGGGCACCATCCGTTGGTATATCCTTCCGTTTAGTCGCATCTTCCACGATCTCTTTGCTCAAGATCCCGTTTGCGCCTCTTGTCTTGACCACAATAGACACTATTGGCTCAGTAAATTCCGGGTGACCCTGGACCGCGAAGATATGCACATCGTCCTCCTTCCCGTCCTTAAATTTGACCATTCCTTGCACAGGGGCAATAGGCGTCGACGCGAGCAGATGGAATCCAGGTGGGAGTGACGGTACATGGTCCCGATGCATCTGCTGTATCACCAATTTCACCCGGCTTTCCAAAAATTCTCTCCCCCAGCGGCGTCAACGCAATCTTGGTCGGGCCGACCTCCCAACCAGCTTTGTTGACCACGCATGCTTGATCCCCTCCCAACGCGCGTGCGATAATTTGATGTCCAAAGCAGATCCCGATAAGCTTCACTTGAGGATGCGAGGAAGCAGTGGTTCGGACAAAATCCACTAGTTTGTGTATCCATGCATCGTCGCCGTGGGCAGAATGTTTAGATCCGGTCAACAGAATTGCGTCGTAGGAAGTTGGATCTTCAGGATAGGAATTGGCAGAAACGACGTCATAGGGATCAAGTGTGAATGGAGGGGCATACGAGGAGGACGAGAGAAGGCGATGGAATATTGAAGCGTAGTCTCCATATGTTGCAACTACTTCAGGTAAAGGTGTATCGCACAGAAGAACGGCAAGCTTCATTGGAGACATGATGGTCAAAGGATACTTGTGAATTACTTATATCCGGGTCCGGGACCAATGCACCGGAACAGAGTCGGACCGACGGTGCGAGTTCCGACATCCTCGTTTTTGCCTCGCTTTGACCTCGACATTGAACGTTAACATGTAACATTGTAAGTGTGAGCTCTCATCCTTACTCCTTAAGATCATAGGAATCGCAAACACCGGAAATTAAGTATCCGGCAGAATACTAGGATTTTCCAGCCTCAAAATCAATACTTAATCCTCTTTTGACTGTGACAATTTGTTCGTTGCCAGCCCCGCTATGATAACATCTTGTAGCCACCCAACTCGATTTGAACTATCGACACAAGGCTAAATGAAGAATGACGGCAAGGTATCAAGCCCCGAATTTGGAAAACACGGAATGATTCATGACACTTGCTGCTGGTTTTCCATGAAAAGAACGGAATGACGTGAGAGAGACTACCGGGAAAGCAAGTCAACGGGTGGTATTATCTCTCAAGAACACAGCTATCTGTCTGATGAGCATTCAACTGTGATCCGACCTGAGCCTGAGCGCCTATCAAACGATTGGCGTCTATTAACGCATCATTTAAATGACAATCCGAGGAAGGTGCCTCTTTCCTTCATCATCCTGCTCATTATCAGTCTCCCGAGTATGTTCATGAACAAAGGGAATTTTGTTACCTGGCCACGGTGGCCGAGAGGGCATGCGGAATCCCAAAAAGGCAAATTTAATATTTTTCAAGTTATATAATAATCTGAAAACCTGATTAGGGACTTGCTCTGATTATACTTGTCCTACCTCTCTTCACCTTTTGCCACCACAATAATGTCGTTCTCCGACGATTCTGACCTTACTGAGCTCTCATCTGGCGATGACGATGATACACCTCTTGCGGCGAGCTCTACTCGAGGTTTGCGCAAAAAAGCAGTGATCAACCCCGCACTGCGTGCTCCAAGGACCGTGTCGTACTCTGTGGAATCATTGTATAGTCAGTTAAACTGTTCACTTGTGGGCTATGTGTCTCCCTAGTAACTTTGAAAAATACAGGGAAGCTTTACGATAACACCCTGGACTTGGATCCCGAGTATCAAAGGGGTTCGTTTATCTTTCATACATGGCCTTTTATTTTCTCATCTCTCCCAAGATGTCGTTTGGCCTGACGCCAAGCAAACACAACTTATCGACTCACTTATTCATAATTACTATATACCGCCTTTAATTTTCGGTGAGTCTACCAACTGGTAGGTTTTATCTGTCTAACTGGCTTCCAGCGGTATCGATTAGCTCTGAGGGAGAAGAAAAACGAACATGCATCGATGGGAAGCAGAGACTGTCGTCAATACAGAGATTTATGGACGGACATGTGTGTGGCTTTCATTTTGTCCTTTGACTCGTTACCTGACCTCGTGTTGTTTTACAGATCATGCGTGTGTTTTGCGTTCCAACTCCGCTTCTTCTCATCTAACATTCTTAACAGACAAAGACTCGGTTAACGGCGGCAAATTTTGGTACACTGCCTGCGCCGGAAAGACTTCATCTCGCACCCTTCTCCCTCCCCAACTCAAATCTCGATTCAGTAACAAACAGATCACTTGCGTGGAATACGACGACCTTACACATGATCAAGAACGGGAGATCTTTCGGCGCGTGCAGCTCGGCGTTGCTCTCACTCCTGCCGAACGACTGCAGGCCATCAACGGCAGCTACCCGATGCTCATCCGTGAAGTTAAGGAAAGGTTGTCTTCTCCATCAGGTTTAGAAGGATATCTTCCTTGGGGAAATAGCAGAGGACGCGATTTTATGTGTCTAGCTCAAATTGTCTACCTGATCGATTTCGGGGAAAGCAAGACTGAGCCATCTACAACGAAAATCGAAGCTTGGCTTTCGGATAAGCGCAATGTCACGCCTAAGCTACAGCGGAATGTCGATAACACCATCGACGTGCTCTGTGAACTGGCGCAGGATCCAGTTCTGTCTAAACCGTTCAAGACGCCCAAGGTCTCCCCTGTTGAGTTCGTCATGATCGCCTATATGATATTTCTCTATCGCGACCAGCTTTCCATGCGGCAGCTCTCTGATGCTGTAGACCAGATGCGAAAAAGCGTTAGGAGCGACTTCCAGGAGATCCGTTTCAATACCAAGGTGTACAAGAATATGCTAGCGTTCGTGCAGAGGATGAAGAAGATGACTTTTAAGAGTGATGGGAAAGGGGATCGACCAGCCTCCGAGGTCGCGAAGTCAGTGCCCAGGGTAAAAGTTCAAGAAGATGTGGTCATGGAGGACTTGCCGAGAAAAACTACCACGCCGAAAGGGAAGCAGAAGGCTGAACCAACTAAAGCAAGGAAGCGTAGGCGGGTCGTCGATGATTCGGATTCTGAAGAATGGACTGGGAGCAAGAATTACTCGACCAAGGGAAAAACGAAATCGGCTTCTACGAAGACAAATGCAGCCAAGTCCACTTCAGGTCGGGTTGCATCTTCTACCACTCGCACTACAACGAATTCCAAAGCTGCTGTCGCATCGGCACTGTCAACAGCAGACCATGCATCACCCATTCCGAAGGGAGGAACACCAGTGCCTACATTACCCAAAGCTAGGACTGCAACCAAACCCAAAGTTTCCACGATATCCACAGATGTGTCGTCGAGTCTTCCACAGACTGCCACGCCACGAATCAAAACGCTCAACAGCGCTACCACCCTCAATGGATCGCCAATATTGCCTCCATCGTTGAGCCGATCGACACCCAAAACACCCATGGCTCCTCTGCCCAAGATAAATAAGATCCAAAAAGCTGCCGAGGTTGAGGAATTATCCTCCTCTCTATCAAATACCAGTCTGTCCACTCCTGTACCTACACCAACTCTGCCTTCTGCTCCAGCTCCAGCTCCCGTAAACATCCAGGCAGCACCACCACCAACAAGTGTACCTTCCCCTGTAATCCGTGTGAAGGAGGAACCACGAGACGATGGTCCATCGCTCTGGTCGTCTTCGACCTTCTCAGGGATGGGAACACAGGCCAACCCCATCGGTCTAGATCTGCTCGCACCCATGAGGGCCGCAAAGGCTAGGCTTGAGGCTTCTGCGAGAACTAGAGATCCTAGATTGAACAATCCCCAACCTCCGCCCAATCCCACGCCGAATCCGAATCCCGTAAATGGAATCCCGATCCCGAGTATGAATGGTGGCGGAATACCAATACCCATCCCGATACCTATGTCCTTCCAGTCGAATGCCAATGGATTCAGTGCGCCTGTACCTTGGGACATGGGGAGATACCCTGGTCCTCCGCCTACTAGTGCCGGTAGTTCTTCTGGGTTCCCTCCGCCGCCTTCAAGTGTGACTTCTAGCACTTTCGATGCACCGATTGAGAGAAGGTACTCGGGTTATTCCTCGAACCATAACAGCGACTCGCCAACATCTCATGTGAAGCGCGAGCCGGATGACAGGGATAGACGGACGAGTCATAGCGGCCGTGGGAGGGATCGGGGGTATGACTATCAGAGTCAGAGGGGGAGGAGTAGGAGCAGGAGCAGGAGTCAGAGTCGGGAGAGGAATCGTAGGAGGAGTCGTAGTCCCAGTCCGAGATATGCACATTCTCGCAATGGCATCAAGCCTTTACCTCCCCAGGATTATCGTTTTGAAAGCAGAGGCAGAGGATGGGGAAGGGGAAGGGGAAGAGGAAGAGGTGGATGGCGAGGTAGTTCCAACTCGTATGGTGGAAGTTGAGCTTCAAGAACACATTGAAAAGATATGATTTGCTCATGGTTAAGTAATAATACCTCATTACTCGCATAAGTATGTTGATGATACATTTTCGCTTATGTTTTATCTGTACACTTCATACGTAGTTTTTTGTAGTGGCATTACCGGCCACCTTCCACTCATATCCGTATATGGCACATAATGTATTTCCGCAACCCAATGAGAGATACAGATGTTGATCTACTGACAAGTCGAGAGAATGGTGAAAGCTCTCTTGCAGCATCACTCAGACGACATAGACCGTTCAATCTGAGAAGGTGCACGCATGATATATTTGGAGTGGAAGTCCGGAATAAGAGCTGTAGGGTAAAGTAATATACGAGGTAGAAAGCATCAAGTCCCGTGTCTAGAACTTTGCACCAGTAGTGGGCAATGAGCGGGGCGGAGGATTCTATGCATAGAAATAAGCTCAGCTCGCCCTGAAAAAAGGAAGAAACTTGTTCCCACCTTCGACGAGAACCCCCCAAAAGGGTACGAACCACTCCCGGAGACTTGACCCGTCGGTGCCGTACTGGGACCCTGCCTCAAGTTTGCAAATATCTTCTTACTCTTCCCTGACACACTCGGCAAATTTGAACGCAGCATACGAACTGGCGCTGATGACGGATCATATTTAGCGGCGTAGGTCGTTGGCAGGGACACCGCCGCAGTCGCTCGAGGACCTTCAATCTGGCTGGGCTTCGACGTCAAAGCCGGCGGATTCCTCTTCTTGTCTCTTGCTGCGGGAGCGGCGAATGAAGTAGAATACGCCTAGAGCGAGAAGAACTACGGCAGCTGGACAGGGGGGTATCAAATTAAAATCTGTAGACATTCTGATGGCAGCACCCATACTCACCGACGACAATACCAATAGCCACCTTGACAGCTGTCGATATTTGCTGTCTGCAGACACTGTCACCGGAACTGAATGTAGTCATGAGAAACAAGTTCATCGCGAAACGACAGACAAACACACTCAGTTGTGTGGCAGACTTCCTCTGCTGACACCATAGGCAGATACGCCCACAGAGCCGTCGCGATATACAATGCTGGGTTTGCCAAAGACTGCCCGGCTGCAGCAGGCTTGCGATGACGAAGGGCAGTTTCGACTCTGGGCCGGGCAGAAGTCGTGACTCCCGAAACAGTAGCGCAACCAGTGCTCATTATAATCGCTCAGCGACAAGTATTCGGTGTCGTGCACTGGCACCGCGCTGCAGCACCAGTTGAAGGGCAGGAAAGAAAGGAAGGGGTACGGATTAAAACCCGCGAAACTGGGATATATATATTGTTACAGTACCAACGATCAATAGTGGTGGAGACGCATCCCGTGCCCATCTAATGTGTTCTTCGCTGAGATCTTCCTGTCGCGGTCTGAAAGGCAGAAACATCATGATAAGACGGGGTTTGGGTAGAAACGTGACAGTTCACATACTACAATCAAGTCTGTATCATTAAGATAATACACAGCAAAGACTGATGCTGCTGATCTATCAGTGACTACTGTATCATCAGCCGTGATCGTAGCTCCAGTACAAAAGTACCCACCAGCAGCTACATAAAGGCCGTCAAGTCTGTCCTTCGCTTACTTGTCAATACGGTTCCGTTAGTGTAAAGTCAGTAGCCCTTCTTTCTTGATTGCTTCATCGAGTCTCTCGATCCCAGCATTCAGAGCAACAAGAGGAAGCACAGCATGTACGTGTTCTGCGCCGTCAGATGAGAAATACGACGAGGACATAAGCATAAAAAGGATACATACTCTTCGCGACCTCGGGGTCATTCAACAAGATGGACAGTGTTTTTCTAATTGGCTCAAGAAGTTGACGTTTGATATTTTTCAAATTATCCTGGTCACGAATCCCAGTCTGAAATTGGGGGCATTTTTAACACCATTATGCCGAGAGGGAGACATGTCATACCTGGTTTTTCTTATCCTGCAGAATAAGGATGTAAAGTAAGGCGAGGCACTCAACGAGTCGCACAGGTTCAGAAGATTCTTCCAAAACAGTCAATGAAGGGACCGGCGAGAAGAAATCAAGCGGGCTGGGGCGGAACAATATAGGTCCAAGGACCTGCAAGAATCGGGGAGAAGCAAAAAGATTCGACGAAGGTGCACGGTTCCCAAATGCCTCTACAACGGCTTCCTTCACGAGGCCCACTGCCGCAACTCTCATCTGAGGGAAGTCACTTGTCGAGCAGAGATCTTGTAGGACTTGAAGCCGGAGTGGAGGGGCGGACAGCGAGAGTATTAATGAGAGGACACGAAACGTCTGGTGACGGAGGGATGAGTTGGGGTGCGCGCTAGCCAACGTTGGTAAGACAGTGCATAGTGGTATTGATATATCTTCAGGTATCTCGGTGTTGTGAAGACAGAGAACATCTAGAAGATACGAGACACATTCTTCTAGGGTATGGTTCGCATGTATGCAATTGATGACAATGGATACCATCGTAGATAAAGTTCTGATGGTTTTGAGAGAGTCCTCCGGGGAGTAAGCGAGGAGAATGAAGTGACATAACGAAGGTGTCGAAGTCATGGCCTCGACTGAGAAGCCAATGAAATTGTACGAATCCTACATTGACGTTTAACGCAGGACTGTAAAAACACAGAAAAAAAGCCAGACCAAAACTGCATTGATCGCCTTCTGTCCATCTTCCCATCCAGCATCGGGAACGGAACGCAAGCTCAATCGTGGAAACCGTTTTGCGAAAATCCTCGTCGCAAGCGATGCCTGTATACATTGCTGATACGATGTTACTGCGTTGTCGAGAAGATTCTGATACAGCGTCTAGGGTGGGTGTCAGAAGCTGAATACAAGGCAGATTATGGGTGCACGAACCCGGCAGGATGCTATCTCATCCTTTTGCGCATCCGGCTGCGTTTTTGCCCATGAGTCCAGCTTTATTACGAGATCGGCACTAGCTTCCATGATCTGACGACCTTCGTCCCGAGAGCTATGCGGTCCTGCACGACGGAATGCAGACACCAGCTCCATAATAATAGGTTTCAAGGTTTCGCTCGCAGGTTTCTTCCTGAACTTGAGACGCGGAATAGCTTAATATTTGAATATAAGGTACAAAACGCGTTGAAATTGAGGACAACGCACCTGTAGCATACATCCTAACGAGCGTCAAGAGCTGTCCATTCGGTTTGTCGTGCTCATCATCAAAATCGGTAGCGAGGTGATGTTCTAATCGTTCCACGGCTTCTTGTACGCCAATAACGACCTCCTTCGCATTGCAGCATCTCCCCATGAGGTTGAGAATATCCGCGGCGGCCTTTTGTGCGCTACCGAGAAGAGGTGGTAATGTATTCAGCGGATCCTTATCATTGTCAGCCAGATAAATGGGACATTCTCATTGGTACACACTAGCAGTGATGCTGTAGAGTCGTCCTTGGCTAGTTCATCGAAAATCTCCTTCAAAGTTGGCTTGAAATCTCCATCGTGACTGGCCGACGTGATCAAAGATAGAATTTCAGTGCTTTTTTCCTGGATGAAATTGAAGGATATTAGTCGCCAATATAAAGAATGTGGTTGATACCTCATCAGAATCATGGCCAGAAAAACTGAAGACAGACATGCGCAAGTAGACTGGTCGTTGCAAGCAAGAAAGGTAAGAGCAGACAGTAAATTGGGTCCAAATTTGGTTGGGCGGGTGGCTGTGAAAGAGTCAGGTGAATATCACGTGTATACTCGGGCCGACGCAAACGACGGTTTAACTTTAAGTTGATTTCTTGTTTCTTCCCGTCCGCCGCTGCTGCGTGCACCATGGAAAATCTCCCTGACATCTGACAGCAGTTTTGTCCCAAATACTTACTGCTCTTGATAATATGAATTCATCCCTGGGATCTGTATAGTATCCCGTGACGCCGTGGAAACTTTCGTAGCTCCCGCCTTAATGTAAGACATGACCTGTACCGAGTCTCCCTCTCCCCCTTTACCATCGTCCGACGCCGCCTGCAATTCATCTCGCATATACAGCCAACGAGACAATATGGATGAAACCCGACTCAAAAGGGATTCGGGAAACGATGAGCCTCATGTGGACGACGACAACCGCAGTATGAAGAAGGCGAGACCAGTAGTACAACTCCACTTTATTCAACAACGACTGACATTCGTCGCAGTGGAGATTAATAACACCTATTACCCCAGAAGAAACCCAAGATGATGGTGACAACGATAGCTACAGTGGTTCGCAGATTGTACATCACGATAATCTAAGTCTTCCGCAGAAGGTCGGTGTTACGTCATGAATAATTATCATCAGCTGAGCAGCTCTTAGTTTTACGCATTAACACATCTGTGGCAAGGCCAGTTGCCTCCTTTTCACGGCGACGGCAGCGTCGTGTTCGCCTCTGGCTGTCTGACATCCAGAAAGTTCTCAGCGGAATGACTGTTGAGCAACTGCAGGACGCCAATAGGGCATGTCCCCCTGTTGTGAAAGGAGGGCTTATTATTGAAGACCTGGGTTTCATCCACGGCGACCTTACAGGCCCAAGGATTTTTGAACACAGCCTTTGCGATATCGGAAATTGGACGGTATACCCGTTGTGATGGCTACCACCGTATGTTTTAAGACTCGTGTCGCGCTAGCATTCGTTCACATGTGTTTTATAGTGCACATTCTGTGTCGCCAAACGTCGCAATTGCTACCATACTAATGATGGTCTTGTCCCACCCGGTTGCCGTCAGTGTGCCTTGCATAATTTGGTTTGCTCCAACAGCGGCATCTCCCTCGGGGAACGGACCCTAGGAAACGCTGCCGCAGAAGCTTTGGATGAGGGTTAAATATCGTCATTTCTGCCATTATTGATAAAATTCCATTTCCAGAAGATAGGTAAATCTACACATGTATACTAGTTATCCTTTTCATTCGAATCTTATGGTGAGAATAACAACTTTTGAACGAATGCCTGCACATGTTCCCCCCTTAATATACTAAATCACCCACCATGAAAATTGGGTGCTTATGATGGTACGGGTATATAGACGGCCGTGCCGGTCGTCAATACGGCCGTTGAATAATACATACCTGATATTTGGGGCTTCGGAGCAGCTCCAGGTCCTGCCATGGGCACGTCGTCATCTGCATCGTGATAAAAATTGAATTTCGAGGGGGATTTCAAGTTTCCATTGGCATCGAGGGCACACTGATCTGTCATGATGCTCAAAATGTGGTTGTAAGTCTGCGAAAAAAGGACCATTATATACTCTTTCGTGAACTCCTCTGGCTTAAAATTCAGCAGTATTTGACAGGTGCACAGGCCAGCGGGGAGCAAATTATTGCGCAATATGTGTGGGTAGTCAAACTCAAAGGATGAAACAGTAGTAGAATAGAGGCAGCAGAAGCAGGAAATAGAAAGTATTCTATGCTGGTAAGGGTTAGAGCTTGAGTAGAGCGAGTGAAAGAAGATCGGGTGGTAGCGCTGAAGAGCTTGCAGTGCCAGCACATCGTGGTACGATGTTAAGTGTATGGATTTGTTCTAACGTGTGGCATTCTCTGGCAGCTCCTCCCAAGCTACAGCGGTCACGTCCGTCCTCATAGAAGCCTTCGCGTCTAATATTATCACCGTCGGGTCGAGAAATGTTCATTACTGTGAGAAAGTTATCGTCTACTCGACGCGGCCGACTCCGTGCATACTGGGATAGAACGTCTTGGAGGTTTTTGCTTTCAGTTTTGACGATGTCAGCTACTTTGCTCGTTTTGCCAACTGACGCCCCCAGTGTTTTTCATTCGTACTTGCGTTACGTATAGAGAAACATATTCTCTCAGTCTGTCACTGTGTCTGTTCGTAATAGTGGTTGTCGAACGGCTATGGTACCACAGCAGAATGTGAGGTACCGAACGCTATGTCCCCGCCCATACTTTTCAGTTTTCTATCAAATAAATATGAACGAGTCTGGTGTACAATCTTTGTAGTCAAGACCTGGTACATATGACACCTGCTAAGCTACACGAATATTGGTGAAATCGAGAAACGCCGTATACTAAATGGTATCAAAAGAATCGGGTACTCATAGGTTTCTTCCCATCAACGAGCCTTCTATGCACGATGTTGCTACTGAAAGAGGACCACTACAAACACCTGTCAGCCCACTTCAAAAAGGACAATGAAAAAACATACCCCATTCCCAACGAAAACAGCAGCCTGCCGAGCAATATCCATATCAACCGCCATACTCAAATCCTTCTGCTCCGCAGAATCCCAAGTAAGATCCCTACTTGTCCGTACCGTACTCCACCCCTCAACCCGCAACGCCTCCCTCAACTCCTCCAACCACTGCCCCTTCTCATTAGTCAACAAATACATCACATCCAACGTCCGCCCCGTCCCCTGCAGATACTCCTCCCTTGCCAACCGCACTTTCTTGATAACGTCCTCGAAAGTAGGCAAACACCGGCTCATATACACCGCATCTCTCTCGGGACCGTATTCCCCTGGGGGCACCGTAAACCGATCAGGTAGAAACTCGAGCTGGTTCCATCCGTAGAACGTAGAGCTATACAACGAGAAATGTTTGCAAGCTCCCTCGTAATCTCCCCGGCGCAGGTGCATCGCAAGCATACGCTCATACGGATTATGACTAGCTGGATAGAGAGGCCGAGGTCCCTTTGGCAGGAACAGGTACTCATTCCTATCAACACCAGACTTGACAATAGGCGACGTCGCAACAAGTCGAGAAACCGCCGAGCTCGAAAACCGCTCCCACATAGAGAGCAAGCGAGTATTTCCCCACAACCATAGATCAAACACCTGGGGGAACGAATCATCGGAGGACGTGGTGACTTCGATACACGACTCGGGAGCTTCGCGCAGGACGCTGACCCACTTGTCGAATATTACGTCCCCCTCGGACCATCCTACACGTTGCTTGACTTCTGAGGTGGGGATGAAACGACGTTCTGATCGAGGGCAGACGACATCGAACCATTCGGAGGAAACGGATCGAGGCGTACCGTCGTCTGGTTCCCAAAGACCGCCTGCTGCGGGGCCAGCAAGTAGGGCACTCAGGGGTGTTCTCGGCGGCCACTCGTATTCATCCTTCTTCGTCCACGGATAATGCGCTGGCTCCCATATGTAATCTTGGAAAACGTACGCTCGCCCGGATTCGTGCGCAAGATGGGCGTCCATGAGCCTGGGGAGGGGGGAGAAATCAGTAAAAAGAAGTGACTCTGATGCATTTAAAATGAAAATACGTACACGACACCAAATACGTTGTTCCATCCGAGCATCTGTGTCTGGCTCGAGAATTTCACATACCGACCTGTCTTTCCTTCAGGTGCTGGTAGGCTGAGGTTATGTTGGGGAAGTTCGCGCTCCCACTGTCTGAGCCAATCATAGTTTGGAGGATGGTCGGTAATGGCGACCGACGTCGACGTAGGAGAAAGAACACCGTTCACTACAAGGTCATAGTAGCTCCTTCCAGAGACTACGTTCCGAGTGTGCGTCAACCACAAGACCCCTGCCAGAATCAATGTTATGATAAGTGTGACTGGGCGCCGCCCACTTGTTAAAAACCGATAGGACGCATTGGTAGTAGCGGGGTAAAACCATTTACCAGCAACCATAGCGCTGGGGAAGTTGAGAACACTGTTGTGATTAAACTGTCGCCATAAAAGAGTCGGGGATAGTGAGGGGGGATGATTTTGAGAAAGGCCTCGCAGTCATCTTATAAAGCCCCACTTTCGGGTCACCATAGCTGCGGATGAGATGAAGCACAGCGATTTGAACCCGAAACTTGACCCGCGATCTATCTTTTCGATCAATACGGGTACGCAATTGAAAAGCGATTGATATTCACCCGTGTATTCACCCTTATGAATATTAGCGCGGGTTCCTCTTCTGCATTCGAGGTTTTCGGAGGTTTTATCTGTATTGTATCGCGGGAACGCAGGCATCACGGTAGCCAAGCCCAAGAGAAAACATCAATGCCTGACACAGCCTCGGCGGCTGAACATCATGCTAGGAACCTATTGCGCTCGGGAAGTTTATCACAATACAAAGAGACGGAGGTCGTAGAGCTCTAAATTGCGGAGTTTGGCCGCTGTCTAGGCGCCAAGGCAAAGATGATCACCCTGTAACGTTAACTTAAGCCTCGGGCGCAGCAGTGCGCTGTCTCGCGGTAGTGGATCCGTGAATGCATCAATAAGTATTTTGGGTATTTGCAGACATATCAGAGCAGTGGGAAAAATATGAATCATTATACGAAAACCGGCATGGCCTAAGTAGGGTGATTGAAGTGTCCATTGTAGAAAACGGAAGCTCTGGTGCCGCTCGTCCCAATGGCAGTTTATGCACACTAGCAGCAATGACTGAGCACGCAGTGGTAATGAACAGAGAATTTACGTACCACTCCTTTCATATCCGAACCGCTGGTGTTCATGATAAGTGCAACGATGAGACCTGTGGCATGTCAGGAGAAGGCTACGAAGTTCGGCAAAATAACACGTACCGTAGAGACCCAGAACTTCAGCGAAAATGAGGATCAAAATCTGCAAAACGTTTAATGGCAGGTAGAGGAGATAAAAACATAAGCGCACCATGCCGACGAACAATCTAGGTTGCTGAGCGGTTCCCCTTACACCAGCATCTCCAACAATACCGATAGCAAAACCAGCGGCCAAACCTGCGAGACCGACGGAGAGACCAGCACCCAACTGTACGAAACCTTGTGCAAGAGGCATGGTAACGCTCACTGCAAACGCGTATAAGCATTGTATTCAATCCCCAAAAAGGCAGACGTACAGTCACCGGCAATGAGGACGGAAACCACCAAGCCGTAGATCTACGTAACAAAGGTTATCAGCAGGTTGGTACATAATAATAGTCGTTCTTTTTGAAAACGACAAATCAGGAGACTTACAGCAATGATACCAGCCATAATAACGGGAACGACACACTTCATCATCAAATCAGGGCGTAGGACTGACATTGCAGAAATGCCGACACCAGACTTTGCAGTACCATAACTGTACGCGAGCAATGAATGTGAGTATTCACGTTGTCTTGCTGGCCATCAAAATGCGACGAACCTTGCTCCTATACCTATAAACACCCAGAAATACGTTTTCCGTCAACATTACTGTACGAATGGTACCACAGAGAACTCCGAGGAAGGCCTACGCACAAGTAAACACGATAGCGCTTGTGCATCCCTGAAGTTCAGTCAGGTCAGCCTTCCGAACCAAAGACGAACCGGGTGCCTCACCATTGCACTGAAAAAGGGAGCGTATACCGGACAGAGGTCGGACATTCTGAAATACAATGGCTTATTGATTAAGAAGAAGAAGGAGTAGAGAATTCCAAGGGTGGTTGTAAGAGACGGTGATGGAACGAGCGCATACGTCTGCTGCTGTTTGGCCCTTCGGCAGGGTGCCGGTCGGAGTTTATCGGAATGGGAACATGAATGTGGCGCCAGGCCCGTCTTTGGGCGTCTCTCTGCAAAAGCAGGATGTCTGCCTACCAATATACCCTTCTTGCGACCTGACAACTATACAATGGATGCACGTAATGTGCTTCTTACAAGCCGACAGACTCCACCCTAATTACCTACAAAAGTCTCGCTCACATTCCGTCAAAGGTATACACGGTAATGCACTTACAGATCTCTCGAAACGTCAACATTGGGCTCACGATGTGGGATCTGTCCCTATCCTCGTAAGACTGTCGATAACTAGTAGTAGATGCTTCTCAACAGGGTTAAGCGTTTCGCTATCTCTATCCTCGGCGCAAACTTGCTGACTGATGTATACAGAGTGCCTTGTGTATGACAGAAGGCAAGACTCCGACATTCTTGTCCTCTAATATCGTAATGGTTCTTGGGCGACATTTTGATGCACTCCGATTCCTAATATCCACGACGTACTGTTCATTTGAATCCATTGGACGCAACAAAATGCTTGGTCAACGAGACTATCATTTGGACCAAGGATGAGGCTGATGCTCTGACGGAGCTCATCTATACCAGCTGCTAGCGCTGTAGGCCATCTGGTCGGACATGAATGTCCTTATAAAGGATCTCGGCCTGACGCAACGAGAAGAACAGTGACTTTTGGTCTCTGGTCAAACTCCCACTGACAGCTCGTGATCCAGAACTGGGAATGTTCGGTGGAAAACTACGTCGAAGCTAGGTCAGGTCGACGACCGCAAGCGGGAATCACAACTATGCATATCAGTATGCTGCATTTAGATCGCAAGACGTTGTGAATAAAATCTTTCCTCTCTCCAATGCTTGATGAGTTCCCGTACAGGCTCAACGCTTTACTTGCACAGGGACCACCGAACGCTTTGAGCCCTGGTCCCATCTTCCGGACTTGGAACTTCTGCAAATCCATGCTCCAAGAGAAAACGGATTCGACAATGACAGCGAAAAGTGGAGCTGGCATCTGAGAGCTTGACATAGCCCTAATATCAATTACTATTACATCGGACTGGTAGAGTAGCAATGTATCAATGTGATGCTTTTTTCCCTATCCCATCCGTCAGTCACCAAAACAAGCCAAAAAGAAGAACAACAAAAAGACACACCGTCAACAAACATATTCCTCGTCGCCGCAGGGAGCCTAACCTCCCACCTCCCATCCTGTATATCCTTTGTCACCTTCACCTGGCATCCCAGCCGACTCGTCTCCGTCAAGCCAAACGCCATATCCAGCATATCATTTTCGTCATCCCCCGGTTCTTCCAGCTGGTCGAACACCTCCTGCTCTAGTATGACATGACACGTCGAGCACGCTATTGAGCCCTCGCACGCGCCTTCCAGGTCAATATCGTACTCATGCGCGATAGAGAGGATGTCGTCCCCTTCATTAGCCTCAACAGTTTTGATTAACGTCCCTTTAGAATCTTTAAAGTCGATAAGGACACTGCAGGCTATGAGCGCATCTGAAAGTCAAAGCAAAAAAGTGACTCGGACGCACCCCGTTCCGGGTTTTGGTCTATCAATTCCTCCGTGTCTGGCCGCTATCTTTACCTGTTAGTAAAACGAGCACTCAATACACAAAAATAACTAACGTATTGACCGGTGAAACCCACGGGTAGTCCAGGTTGCAGCAAAAGTATCTCGCCTTGGACAGGCCTTGAGGTAGGATGGTCTCCGTAAGGAAACGCTGAGCAAGTCCAGAGCCAATCCACGGAGCATTATGGTTCAGAAATGGTCAGCTGAGCCAGTCGAAGCAGCTCCCAAGTATCGGTAAACAATGCGAATGGAGGTTAGTGGAAGAGGAAGCTAAAAATTCCGATCGGCCTTGTATGACGCATCGCGGCCGGATTTTTGACTTGGTCACATTTTCATCACTAGTATTTTTAATCTATTCCGTGTTCCTTCCGCCTATTGACTTGGCTGGCATGGTACCATCCCTTTCACTATTTGTTCTTATTCTCTATCTCCTTCGTCTACAATCGTCGGTTCTCCTTGAATTCACGACATTTGCATGCCTGCCGAGGTCGTTAACGGCCCACAGGGATGTTTTGCTAACACCGTGCGTGTCGTACAGCCGCATCCGATCAAACAAGTGTATTGTACGCTTTGGCTATCTTCACATCCTTCTCGCGTCCTTCCTAGATCAAGGTCACCAGAACGAGTTAATCTTGGGAAAGAATCAATGTCCCCTCGAGATACGGGAGCTGCTCCTCGATTCTCCCCCCCTCTGGTGTTGAATAAGACGTCTTTTTGGGGGTATGGATCTGACCCTGCGCTCTTTTGCGCATCGTAATCCTCTGTTTTGCTGTCAATTCCCTGTCCCTTGTCCAAGTTGCTGCCCCCCAAATCTAGCCTGACGCCTATCGTTGATCTCATATCCCGTCGTCCACTGGTGGTCTCCTTTGTGAAGGAGCTCACCAGTTTCGTGGTACTCGATGGTTACGTCCACAGGTGGTCTCCTTGGTGAAAGATCTCACCTGTGCAGTGGTACTCAGCGGCTACTTCTGCTGGTGGTGTCCTTTACGAAGGAGCTCACTTATGCAGTGGTACTCGGTTGTTATGTCCGCTGGTGGTCTCCTTTGCGAAGGATCTCACCAGTCTGGTGGTACACGGTGTTTCATTCGCGGCAGTCTCTTTTTCGAAGGAGCTTGCATGTTTCGTTGTTCTTGGTTCCCGTTTCATTGTTTTCATAGGCTAAGGCTCGCAGGCATGCTGTTCTGCGAAATAGCGGACCCCGTTTGTTGTGCTCACCTGATGCTTGCGTTTCGTTCCTATAGTCTGTGGTTCTTTATTTCTTGGTGGATGATCCGTACGCTCCCATTGTGCTGGATATGTTCTCATTGCTGCTGACCTGTAACTTTCCATACACCCCATGGTCCGTGCACCATGTCTCACTCTCCCGTTACGTATTTCACATTTGTTCACATGTTCTTTCTTAGATGGTTTGCTATAGTACGGATGTCGTTACGTTTCTGTTCAGGAGCACCGACGACTAATAGAATCTACTTCCTTCCTTCCTTCCTTTCACCGTCACTACTGACACACAAGTCTCATGAGCCATTTCATAATGCTCCTCTTTTTGGATGGTAATTCTTAAAGGAGTCATACACTGCACCGGATTTTCAAGGTACGCGCCAATGCTAACTGCTTCTCCGTGCTCGATTGTGCTTTGTTCTCTATGTTCTGTCTCATCCCCATCACTTTTCATTCAATTGTGTACCCTGCGAAGAGTCTCTACTCCGCAAGACGCACTCAACAGTGTGATTACAACGGTATGAGCCTTCGCAGCCACAGTGCATGGTTCGCCATGTCAGGGCTGTGGACCCAGCCGTTACTTATTGGGACCTGGCGCCGGTAACACCATCACCACCACCACCATAAAAATGAATTCCACAACTGAGCCCGTTGCATCAGGTACTGAAAGTAAGTACACTATCACGAATTTTTAGCTTTGTGCTTCTTTCCGCACTCCACTCAAAACGAACTAGGGTAAGGCTCTCCGAGGGAGTCATTTTCGCTAAGGAACAGAAAAAGATAAGCACCCACACTAAGCCGCAGCACCACCTGACATACCTTCTTCCCCAACATTGAACGAAAGGGTTTTGAAAGGCTCAGAACCTGCATGTCCCTGGCGCGGCGGTGCACCAGGATTGAAAAAGCTCGAAAAACTAGATCCGACTTTCCACACCAGCACCACGCTTTCCTCAAGAGACATTGTAACCAGGCGACGTCCATCGGGGGAGAAACTACATGCCGTGATACCCTTCTTATGCCCCTCGAGCACGTACAGCCGAATAGCTGTCTTCAGATCGTACATGACAATCGCGCCCTCACTCGTGCCGACAGCTAAGCGCTGAGTCGACATGTGAAAATCGATACAAGGATACCTAGAAAGTAAGTCAGACCCACATCCTCACCCGGAACTTAATATAGCGCCTACGTCTTCACAACGTGTCCGATAATCTCAGTCGCAGTATCCAAAATGGCATCTCTATGAGATGTTGAATTGGGGTCCAACGACTTCACGACAGCTTCCATCAATTTTGGCAGGTTTGGGTAAAGCACCATGGGCCGCTGCTTGCTTGTCAGAAATGTGGGTCCAGACAGTCATGTAATCCCGCGAACCTTTCGTATCAGAAAAGCAACGATCTGCATGATCGACTTTCGGTATTCCACATTGGCTGGACTGAGAATGTCAAGCCCCAGTGTTGTCATAAACAAAGGCGTGTTGGAGGCGGCAATATGCAGTACGGCTAACCTTGCCTGGGCACCTGTGTTTTGAGCCGATATGGCTTCCTTCCGCGAAGTGGTGGCCAAGACAAAGAGGGCCCTGAGAATTTCCATTGCGTCGATATAATGTTGCCAGACATGGAAACCGCGGGAGCACAGATCAATAGCAAGTACCCGGAAGATAGACTGCTCGTCTTGGAGATATAAGGTTATAGACTTCGATATGTCCGTCAAAACGCTGGAAACAGGGTGAATTAAATGATGCCGACAGCATGTAGCAGTAGCTCCACACCTTGATGCGAACAAACTATATTTCTCTGCAGCAAGATATCCGCAAATGAAAAGCGAAAGAGCCGCCTGAGTGGATTCCCTATCAGCGGTCGGCTGGAGACACGGGACTTTCCTCGAACATCAGAAGACCATAATCGATCAAGCATTGTAAAAACCTACGATGATGCTGCCATTGTTCTGCGACGGCATTAGCCTCTTCATCGGATAAGCGTGCAACAGCTGCGTCGAATAGCAGCCGAGAGCTTTGCCGGACCTCGTCTGTAGATGTATTTCAATAGCTGCGGGATCAAGGCAGGTGATGTCACCTACGGGACGTATCGAACCATTGCCTGGCGAGATATGGAAGACTGGGGGCCTTGTAATTGGGACCAATTATGAGAGGTAAGGATGTAGCATAGAATGCGATAACGGCGTCCGCAAAATCTGTCAGCTCTATAAAGAAATATCTGGTCACAGAAATTTCATGTAGATCACACGGGAACAATACCTTCGAAGAGCCCAAGAGCACGGAGAGTGACAGTTATGGATAGTGCGCGTGCAGCAGAAACCTCGCCCGATATGCACCATGGGTCGCTTGGGTGGCTGAATCGATAGATACTTGTGAAGCCATGACTACAGTGGATCAGAAATACAATTCGAAGATAAAATCGGACCAGCACTGACCTTGAGAATCCGGGGTGCGCTAATGACGTTCCAATAGCCAAATGGTCTCGGCATATTTCATCCGTGTCCTTATTTAATCCCGGAGTTAAGAGGACCGAGAGGAGAGACAGAAGCCGGTGGCGAGTTGAGAAAATCGCTTGCGTTTGGGAGAGATTCGTACTGATGGTCTTTATAACCGTTGTTGAATAGGTTATGAATCGTTCAAGATCCAAAGAGAGCGTCGTTACTATTAAATTCAGTAAAAGAAAGGATGACCGGAAGAACGGTAGCATACCTGCAGGCGGCGCCTGTCCAGGCAGCCTCTTCAAGACGGTATCTGGAATGCAATCTTGGCTATCAGAGGTTCTGCAAAGAATTGGGTGAGAATGCAACACAAATAGACCTGACCCTACAATTCGAGCCATCCTTCTTTGCTGATGAGTTCCTCTGCCTTATCCAGGCCCAAGGATCTCCTGAATTCCTTCGTCTTGGCGTCCCATATACGAGCACGTCGGTCTGCATAGATAATCAGAAGCTCGTCTTCTCGCAAGCATATTCTGACTGTGGGAAAGGCGGATCCAGGGATCAGGTGCAAGCTAGTGTGACATTAGGACGCAACTCTCGGGATAGGGTACGGCTTACAACTGGAAGCCATCTACTACAACAACGGCTATTGTGCCATCTTGAGACACACATAGAACGCATCCGCGAAGAGGACCAGTTGTCATCTTATGAAACTGATGGACTCGTACGAGAGGCTCGGTGAAAACGATCCAGCGGGCGCAAAGTTTGAGAGTGCTAATGATAGAAACATTGATCAGATATACCCATGAAAAAAAGATAACTAACATACTCAGAAGTCCAAAATGCGATCGATCCATCATCCCCTCCACCGACAACGTAACGCTCCTTGGTCCTGCCATTTTGAACCACATGCAAGGCCATGATATATCCACCGAGAGGCACGTCCGATTTTTTTTGCTTGATGGAGGATGTAGGCGCTGCTTGACACAGTTGAGAAAAGGACGTCTGCCGCAAGTGTCCGTCACCTAAATAAGGATTATAGTTCTTCCATATAACCAGACAAGTTAAACTTACTATGTCCCGTAATCGCCACATCCAACTGTAGAGGTAAGATGGATGTTATTGCGGTATGCGATGCTGTAGAATCGGACCTGGTCTTCGGGGGTCTCCACAGAGTTCGTGCACGCTGGCTCGGAGACGATGTATCATCGTAGGTAACGTGAATGAGCTGGCATTTCCCGCCGGTTCGTGCAGTAGTTAATACGAGAAGTTCTCGCGAGGAAATAACGTGAAGTGTTTCATGTGGTGCAGTGTCGATGGCGTACAAAAATCTTGGCCTGAAGGAACCATCAGATAGCCGCGTACTAGCGGGAGAGAGAGAACTAACTGAATATAGATCGTGTTTCCGTGGTTTGTCCTTCCAACATCATCGTTATTCGCATCGACGAACCTGAAAGTGTGATACTCAACGCGCCCCTTGAATCAACCATTAGGTTCCGCACCAAGAACAGAACCAGAAGAATACATACTTCACTAACGATAGCGTATGTTGAATCATCAATCCATTGAATATCGTTTACATCCTCCATCGGCTGCACAAACAAATTCTGCAGTGTGCCACCACAATAATCGAAAGCCTGCCTTTATGTTAGGATACGATGAGTTCATCAGATGAGCGGCGATACAAACTGCAATATGTGTTTCAGACCAACAGAGTCCGCGCAAAGCACCATCGCATGATCGTGTGCGCATGCCAGATAATGAATCTGGAACCTCTAACTGGCCAGCATCAATTATCGGACCTAACGAGATTCTACCAGGATTCCACTTGTGTACAGGCTGCGTGGAATGCGTATCTGCAGGCCGTGTTGTCATAGCCTTGAACGGATTCGGTAACGAGGTTACTTCTTGTGTTGGCAATTTGAAGGGCTGAACCAGAGGATGGGCCGTCAAACGTAAATTACACAGTAACAGATGATTGTCTCCTGAAACATAATGGAAAGTTGTGGAATCTGTTATTCGTTTCCTGATGAGATCTAATGTTCCACTGCTTATCACCACTTACTGTCTGAATCAGCATAAATCCCAACGGTAGTGTGATAACCATCGATATGCCATTCGCCCACTTTCTCTAGAGAAGCTTCGATGGCGCCAATGACATCACCAGGATGGTATTGGAATACCATTATACGGGATTCTTGAGAGAAGCTGTCGCCGCCATCTATATCTGCCGACGGCAGAGACGAGGAGTTGGCGTCAAGAAATGCAGATACCAGTACCAGCAGAGACTGCTGTTATGCGTAAATAAATATACTTGTCATGAAGAAGCAAATTGGAGGCATGCCTCTCCGATGCTGATTATCTCAAGTCCTCTCCATCTCCAAACCTCATTGGCAGCAGCTCGGTCTTTTACGCCCTCAGGCGGTTCAAGTGATACGTCGTCGGCATGGACTGACGCCAGACATTTACCATCCCTACATGACATTACGGACACATCACTAGAAAACCAGAAGTTAGGACCAGTCTCATGTAACTGTTACCAGGTCTTACCCATTTTCTCGCAAGACCACGTAATGGGTCTCGTTTAAAGGGCGAAGTGATGCTACAGCGTGCCCTTGTATGAATTGAGGAGGTATGATACAGTGCGAGAAGTCAAGCTTGGAATCATGTTCGATCAAAGGCTGGCCTCTCGGTGAGGCCGGGGCCGAAATAGATTTGGGAGTGAATCCTGGAGAGGTGGTGGCAGAAAGGAGTGAACGTGGCTTTTCTTTCCTCTGTCTAGTAGGAGAAAAGGCCATCTCTGGAGAGGATGTAGGAGCATGCCTCAGATTAGACGTAGGATCTCGAAGTTCCGACGAGTTTCGTCTATCCTTTAATCTATGTCCCTTTAGCATGTCTTTAAGTTTATCGGGCTCGTCTTCAAAATCGACATAGTTCTTTGGCGCTTCGACCTGCTCCGTGGTGATGCCAGATACAATCCTAGATCGCGGAGCGACGTTGAAAGGTGGAAGTATCAAGTTGTTGCTCGTGGGTGAGGTCGAGCGGGATGTAGCTCGAGAGCCCCGGGAGACACGTAGAGGGCTTGATGGCCTAGAAGAGTGGGTAGAATCGTGCGACTTGGACACCGAGGGAGTGAAAGGCACCAGCGACGGGCGAAAGACGAACGAAGTTCCATCCTGACATCCAACGATAGCAAATCGTTCCCTGCCAGAACACGAATCCGAGAAACCCCAAGATGTAATCACTGTTGGCTTGGAACCCCCTTCCGCAAGTGACGCGACGCTTTGATTCCCAACGTCATTTCCATTGGAAAAGGTCAATGGCACCGCTAATTTACTTGATGAATCGTTCAAGGCAACCATGCTGTACTCAGCCGTGAAATAACAATTAGAAATGGTGATATTACAAGAAAATGCGTACTCGCAGGTCTCTTTCGGTCTGTCGGTTCAGTATTGCATGAATGGAATGATGAAAGGGTTGCACGTGACCATGTGACGCAGTAACAAATCGGTCCGAGTCCCCGAATCTGGTGCCAACGCCATCACGTAATCGTCAACCATCTCAGCAAGTCGACATCCACTAGTATAAGATCAAAGACTATCAACGGCCGGTACGCTCGTAAAAGTATATGGCGTGCGGCATCAAAATTATTTACCTTTTACAGATTGTTCTGCGCCGTATGAGTGCGCACGATATCCATCACAAATGTTCGACGGATCATCGAACCGACATCTATAGCCTATAGGTGCTCAACCAGTAAATCTTCACATCCACTGAATTCTGAGCCTCTGTCGACTCTTTACGTGCGAGTCTTCTTTCCCGCGCTTACAATGGTTTTTCCGTCTCGTCGCCATGATCCAAACCTCCAAACCAGGCGTAATGAAGCATATTGGCAAGGTATTAGCGGTCCCTTCTCACCTTCGGGGATCTTAATTTTAGAACTTTTTCCCCCGAGCTGTAGGCCAGTACGGTGTTCACCAGGCCGAATTGCCTTAAGAGAAAGGTACAATATTCGGTGCCATGATTAACACCGTTCCTAAAGAGATTCATTTCGGCATCAAAGATGACAGAGGGCGTATTCTCCTTGCCATTTCCCTTTGGATCTATTGCTGTCGATAATGTTTCGAATACCGCCGGCGCCAACTGAGCCAGGGTAACCCGCACTGTCGAGGATAAATATTATCGGTTGGAACAACACGCGTCCTCTGCTAAGCACAAGCACCCGCCATGATAGTACCCATCGTGTCCGACACTACTCAATCTCAAGTCCCCCAGAGTGATAATCACTTATCGCTCAATGTATCAATACTTGTGGCACTCACATGTGGTCAGTTAACTTGCCAATTTGTATCTTGGACTGTGTCATCTCAGTGCTGTCCAGTTCTCTCGGTTCTTCTTGTGACCGTTCTACTCTTCTTTTTTTGCCCTCGTTTCCGCGGGTGGCTGGAGATGGCGAACCAATTTTTTGCTAGATGTACGTTCCCGGCTTTATTATTCAAAAGTCAATCTAAGTGAACCCCAGACATAGCTCCTCTTTCTGTGTCATTCTTGTTGCAAGGGTCTGCGTATCCTTCCTCTTCATCCTGACCGACGTAGACAACCTGTCCCTTTTGGCGGTTTGGTAGCTTTTCTTCGCTTATGGCACCGCTCGGGGCTGGTCACCATCATCATCATCTCTTTCTCACGACATCCACGGTCCACCGTCTTACTTAGCATATTCTTCGTCGCATTCTAAATTTGATGCTCAATTCGTGATTTTTCTCAGATATAATACACTCCTCCTCATGCTTTCTGCCCGAAGCTCCACTCTCCAAGCATCGTTATCGCATCTGCTGAAAACTGACGATTTGCGATCACAGAAGATCCGATTCATCGACGTTGACGCGCCGACACCCTGAATATACATTGATATTAACACATGGCTTCTACTCGTCATTCTTAAAAATCATTAGCCAATTCTATCGTGCGTGTGAAGGCCACATGGAGTCCTCCAAAGCAATATCTCTTCGGACATCACCTGCTAACGGTATACTGTCTTGGTTACAGATAGCGGTAAAAGATGGTTTTCATAGTTTCACATTCTGATTTTTGTTACAGTCCTACCCAATTATGGTATTATTCACACCTGGTGTAAGGGTCTTCTGTATTGGTGGGTGTATCTTTCCCTTTATCAGCCCACCTTCATATCTGGAACTCTGTTAGGCGCCGCGGTGGAACACCAAACCCGATTGTTTCAACGGGAGTAATGAGGGAGATTGTGATCCGTGTCTGTTCCGCTTCTCTTTTCTACTCTGTAAAGTTTTCAACGTCCTAAGAACTGGTTTTCTGGTCCCTGGAATGAGTACGCCCTTGTCTAGGCCTTTTAGACCTCGTTCCTCCAGCGATTGGCGCTTATTTTCGATGAGGGCGCCATCAAATTACTCCTGCAGATCAAGAAAGCGGTATTGGTTCTTCCTATTACCTGTGTCAGGTAACAGTCATACGTGCTTCCTCTGGATTGCCGTTACGCCCCATCACCTTTCGGTTCATCCGTTTTGACAGCGATATAGTGAGGTTTGAAGGGTCCCGGTCTTGAATGACGGGGCTATATCAATTTCGCTGACTCGTCTTACTATAGGTCTGCAGGTTTCGTCTGAAACCTCTCATTCCTCCTTGATAGATAACCGTAAATGGTGTTGTTGTTCACCGCTTCGACGAGTTTCAAAAGGGATTTTATCAAGGTATGTTACGACTCATAACGAACCTACCTCAATTTCAATGGGTCTATTGAATCCGTAACGTTCTTGCCTTCCGTTCTAGCTGAACGATAGGAACTTGGTGAGTATCTCCATGTCAAAGCCTTCGGCACTTACAACTTACACGATCATGCTAAATCATCTCATGTTATGCTGGGGGCTGCGCAAGCATAGTTCTCCATCAGGATGTCAGGTGTCATTCTTCGTCAGGGATCGGCGCCTACTACAGAAGCTAACTCCGGTATCTCATCATCCGTCCTTCAACACTTCCTTACAGCTTCTGCGCACAGGAATGACTATGGGCTGTTCGAAAAACAACTCTGCACTGGATCTGAACAGCGTCTTGAAGTACATATTTCTTGAGGCTATGCGTTTTGGCGCCTGGGACCATATGTACAGCTGTTGAGACTCGGGCTATTCAATTACAGCTTCGAAGGCGGGCTATGACCGCTGGATGATACTTAACTATGCAATCTTCAAATAATTCTTGCTACGACATCCCCAGCCAGAGCACCGAGCACTGGACAGACTTCGCCATCTCCCTGTATCGCGATTTTCGCAAATACACTATTGTTGACGCAATGTACTTGTGGGACTCGTCCAAGCTGCAAGTTCAGCTAAACCCGAACTCAGCAATAACGGAATTACAGCAGTTTTGCACCGCAGAAAACAGCAGCTTCATATATAAGTTAGACCGATCTCTGACTCTAAGCTCTTGCAGCCTTGCTTGTTCAGCCCTCTGTTGACGGCTTATTTTTTTTTCTGGCAAAGAAATGGTTGGCGCAGTACCCCCTTTCGTTCTTGCCGTTATTTCCATCGTGTTACTTGGTTCAGTTGCTTTGATGATCATGAGTAAGTAATATATTGCTCGATAGCTCGGATTCCCACCGTTTTCGCGCTTCTCCGTGTCATTGATATGGTGTTTTCAGTGTTTTGTCGCGCCTTTTCCCGGAGTCAGCCCCGTTTGCCGGAGGGTCAGAGTGACGCTGTCTATGAACATTTGGGCCTTGCTGACGTCATTATCTGACCCCAGTATTACCTGCTCCGTATTCCCGTGCGGGTGCAGGATGGGTGCGCGAACAGTCCGACGCCATGCAGCGGCTTAATCTGGGATCTCGTGATCCCCGAACTGTTGCCGATGCTAGTGAGCGCAGGTTAGCAGGGCCCTTGCGGCCGCCTGAAGCTAGCATGACAAGAGGCACGGTTGTGGTCTTCTTCCAAAATGCTTACACTGTATGCCTTGCCTTTCCATGTTGTCGACCACGAGACTCACACGCCCGTAGGTTTTATACCATCAATTTTCCATTAGTAACTATCCCAGCACTCGAGTATTAAGCCGATGGTTACCCCAGTCGCAGTTTCTTGAACATAATACTATTGGACATAGCATTGTATAGTTGGGAAGGGATGGTTTCAGGCTGCCCTTAGCCTGGCACCTACGCTCAGCGTTTCCGGTTGGGCCGTGCCCTACCTACTTTTCAAGTTAGCTGACGAAAGTTTGGTATGCATGCTGTTCGCCGCTCCATCGACCATCCAAGCCCTAGTACAGTTATAACGTATTTACCGCCCCCTACTCAGCATGGAACTGACCTTGACCTGTTCATAAATAATGAAACACATGATTACAGCCGGGAAGACCTTGACCTTTGCAAAATGTACCACAGACAAGTTAATGAAGCCCGTAATTCATCAAAAATATACGATGTCAGTAGCGGCGCAAGCGCCAGGTCCCCGATTCTTTCCAATTCCAATAATAGAGACAATGTTAGCAGTAAACGTGCTTCTGAAGTCAAAAGACTACAGTTATGCACGCGAGAGCGGACGCCAACGACAGTGAAAAGCTGAAACTGAGCGTGCTGACAAACATGTCCCAGAAAGTATGCGGCTCGGACTCACCGTGAGAGAGTTGGTGAGACGGCCCCCACATTATATCTTATCAGTGGAGTATTTTCGTTCACGAGCCCGCCTATGACGCGCATTTTGCGTAAAAATCATGACAAATTTAGCCCCTAATGTGACGAGTTGGCAGGAGGATCCTCCATGTAGGGCCCTCTGTCGTTTCCTCCTTATCTCGGAAAGAATCGGGGAAAGAGCCTCCGGGCCGCTTGTCCCGAAGCGTCCGAGTGATAGCACCTGTCTTTAACCTGTCTTTGGACTTTTGCCGAACCCTCGCACACTGTGATCTATATTGGTAGATATGGCTGCAATCCCGGGGATTTGGTAAGTATTGTATGTTATGTCATTTTGCTTGCATTGTTGGACTTATTTTCGATACTTCTCAGAGAAGGCTGCACCTCAGGCACCTCCAGTTCCATCGTCTCGGATCGCTGAGAGGAAACCTCCGTACAACGCTTAATCCACAGCCTCCGAGCTGCGGAAAGACGGGATTCAACAACTTTTCAAAGTGCTGTTTTGTAAAATTAACTCGTTGATCAAAGTCTCAAAAGCTGATCTTTTTTCCAGTTATACTTATCACAGTGCTGTCTTGGATGCCCTCCAGAACTGCAATGTCGCACAGCTGTTGACCTTGATGAGTTGCTGTTGTAGACTCCTCCGGAAAGTTACTTCTGAATTGAATGATGCATCACCTGTAGTGTCAACGTATGGGACCGGTATAAGAACGATTTTGCGATGCCCTGCCAGCTTTTCAAACGTCTTTGTATCAACATTTAGCGATACGGATAACATTTTGCACTGTACAACAAACGTTCACATATCATGGGACACATGCCACCTTTTGTTCTTGCTTTTCTTCTCATTATGATGTTTATTTTAGTTTTTTTGATGATCATAGGTAAGTGCGCTGTGGGGACCTTCATCCCTGTCGAGTTACTTTGCGCCATTAATGTGATGCCTTTCAAGTGTTCTCCAAACGTGGCGTTTTTTGGATCCAAGTCAGGCGACCACACAGGTTAGGTACAGAAATAGGCCAACGTGAGGTTCTTCACACATAATCGGGTCTTACTGATGCCGTTATCTAGCCTTGGAAACCTCTCCTTCGCCGTCTTATGGGAATGCAGAATTGTGGACCAGGTGGATTGGATCATGGAGGCTTAATCATACCGGACATCGTGACCTCACAACCCCACGATCTCGAGCACTTACTGAACGAGGTGAACATGCAGGGGCCCTGCAGTTGCCTGAGCGTGCTATAACAAGATTTCAACCTGTTGTGTATTTTCGCAGCACCTATTCTGTAAGTCGGTCTTCAGAAAGCCATTAGTAATTCCAATTCTACTCTGAAATTTTAAATAGAGCTTCCGTCACCAATTTTCCATCAGCAATTATCCGAGTGTGCAGATATGGAACAATCATCCATTACCACAGCGTCGTGACGATGCAGCCATGAATGATATTGAGGTGTAGAATAGGTAAGAGCTGCTCATCGAATTCTTCCGACGCATCTGAATATTCAATAATGTTCGGGCTTCAGTAGATTAAGTCTGATAATGACTAGTAAACGAATATCATGATTTTCTTTAGCTTGCGACTTGATGTTTGCACGCGGCTAGAATTCGGACATTTCCCGAGATAGGTGCGTGCCGACGCCACATCCGACACTTGTGAACAAAGCTCTCTTGAATATTCTCTTGATTTTACCCCTTTCTCAACACGACACACAGTTGGATACCAAACTTGAGCTAGACTTTCTACGGACATTCGATCGGACGAATCGGGCATCAAACCGCATGACCGAGTCTTGCTTGCACAGTGCAAACATCGTATCCCGAAAGGTATCTAGAAATACACCATAGCTGCTATGCTGTTGCGAGACTCACTGCATACGAAGCAAAGGTAGCCATCTCTTCTCGATACAAGATCCATCGTCCGACTGTCAGTGCCGGGATTTGTGGCACCGGGTTCAAGATATGGAAATGGACACCGACTTACTCGACTACCACAGGCCTTGCCTACGACTCGGAAGGTTCTTTCCCTCCCAATATCAATATTCATGTTACTGAATTCTGACTAGAAGGCACCATAGAATTCAACTTTGCGATTCCTAAGACTATCCTCGTGACCAGTATCAGAACACATTGGAAAGTCACAGAAGCCAAATACTCGAGCTTCAGGGAATACTATTTACGTTCGCAGTGCGTTCTCCGCCTTTGGAAACATCATGAGCGAGGTGAATAACTGTCACTGATGTAAGGGAGCAGCTTTGAAGGAGCACATTCAACGGACAATCCTGTATTTTTTGATTAGTTGGTCCTGAACCGATAACCATTGAATAAGTTTGAATAGCACTGACGGGTCCAATTTAAGTCTTAGCGTTCCTCAGCAGTTCCAACGAATGCATAGCTTGTGAGTCGGTATAATTCTATTTTCTACTGCTGTGTAGATGACATCGATGACTCTCTCTGAGTCGGTCCTGCCGTTTGGTCCGATGAGGAAAGCAAGTTTGAACCAAATCGGGAAAATTTGATAATCATGTTCAAACGGAATATGTATCACGTGATGGATATTTGTAAGTCGACAATTTGAGTTCATTCGTTGCTTAAATAGGACTTTTGCCATAATTAACGACACTTTCACTTTGCTGCCACCTTACACTAGATGACGTTCTCGGGACCTGCTGAAGAGTCTCGAGAGTGTTGGGTTCCTTCTGATCTACTCCGAAGGACTGGAGCACTGCTTCATCCGCTTTTGATGGTCTGTATCAAGTATGCTGGCCACCGTTACAATGACATGAGCGACCGACTCGGATTGATTGTCGTATTCTTGAAATCTCTTTGTGCGGGGCACACAGCCGAAACGGGTTCGGTGGCTTGTTGTTCTATACCCGTTCCGGAAAATGCTGTACTCTTATATCATCCATCGTTGACGAACACCATAAAGCCCGGTTACTGCTGTGGCCCCAAGTGGTCTCAACCCTGCTCTCTACTATGGCCCCCATTGCTGCAAACCAACAAACACCTGACATGGAGCTGGAGCCTTGTTTTGATATTGGCTCGCAGACCATAACATTGAACTGTATGTCAGTCTTCCGCTTCTTTGAATATTAGCTCTAATTTTCGTCACTCTTAGATGGCATCGTCATCGTTTGTCTGCTACTCGTCTTTTACGCCCTGGCGCTTTGGGATAGGTGGATAACATTGAAGTTGTACGAACGTCAGCGGTTGCAAGGTGGACTTTTCCCAGAATACCGTTGAGCCATCACCTGACCGAGAGATTCTACGCTAGGTCACCGTCTGAACGTAAATTATGGCGCAACACAAAGCAGCATTGCTATCACTCGAACACCTCCGGAACTCGACAAACAATGTTCATTTGAAGATAATCCCATACCAACTTCGAACGGTATGGATTTCTCTTGGTCTGGTGAAAACTGTTGACGTACTCTTTCAGGCTTCTTGGCTCCTCCAAGACTTGTAGACCAGCGATATATCGGGGCCTATTGTCCAAAGTCTCAAACGCGTGGCCCTCTATGATGCAATTATGTCCGTCTATCCAATTAACTACGCAATCATATTATGTATTGTTATCCTCGTCATATAATATTCCTTACGAGCTTGGACTCATTCAGTGAACCATAAAAGGTTGTATGAACCGAACTACTACATCATGGCTGCCATAAAGAATCCCCACGAACATCATTTACGGAAAGCCGCTTCGAGCTGTAAAGAAAACAGCTTTGCTGTTGGATGTGTTAAAATTTCAAGGCTTGTGAGTCATTTGACGTGTTTAGAGCGTTCCAGTGTGTCACTAGATGGCGTGGACAGCGGATCGATACAGCGCCAAATCAGTGTGATCAGTATGAATTGTTCGTCCTCCTTTAAAGCCCAGGTTTGAGTGTCGCGCAAATCCCTAGGTATTATCCACTCACTTGCAGTACACCCAGCTATGATGCCATTCCTCCTCTCGAGACGCGAGCAATTTTCCGACGACGACGAGACTATCATCTTAGTCGTTGTGATCTGTATGCTCATTCCTGGCTCCTTCTCAATCCCGCGGCTCAACCTCTCTTTGCCTAGTTGCTATTGTCGTGGTCGTGATATGCATTTTTGTCGCATGTATCTATCTTTACCGTCGTGCTCGGTCACCACCACCACCGGCATGTACGGTAGACCCGACAGTCATGCATTTAAAATTCATGGACAAAACCACTGAAAGGGAACCAAATTCTATTTCTGCCGCTATTCCGGACGGAATGTGTGGATATTGGGTCCCAGCCTTGGCTTTCGTGCCTGATGTCGAGAATGGCCTGCAGACAGGAACGTTGAGTGAAGAAGGTCGGTACGAAATCGTTGGGTGACACGGAACTTGGATGACAACCAATTCGCCGGTTTATAGGACCTCCAAAGTGAAGATTTTACAATAGGTCGCTCAGATGCAGGATAAACACGATCACCGAGCATAACAAGCACTTTCAATCATTTGTTGTTTTTTGTCCATTCAATGGTGTAGTACGTCCCCTAGTTCAAGATCTAGATCGCCTTGTTCTAATATTAAATATACATTACCACTTGTTGATGTGTCTTTCTACTCATGTATATACACTTGCTCCCTGTCTTCTCTATATGTCCCGTTTGAACCCACTCTTGACATTTCCGGTCTTACAACTTTTGAAAACTTCTGCGCATCGTCCTGTACATCCAATGCAGTCAATCGGTACTGCCTCGGCGTTATACCCTTCCCGAATGTCCTCGTAACATGATTTGAGCACAGAAGCGCTATCGCGACATTGATCAGATGTAAGAAGACTAGGGCAAATGTTGCGCCCCATATGGTGCCTAGATTCTTGCGTTCGAAGCGATACAGCTTCCCTTTACACCCGGGAAGGGGCGTCCTAGCATAGCATCTGTGGCTAGGGGTGGCTTCATGGAGAGGGCTGTAGAATCCGCAGCAGCGTAGAGAGTTCTGTATCAATAGACGCCCCAACGGCGTGTAATATTTACTCCAAGAGAAGTTGAGTTTGCGATCGAGAGAGAAGCTGAAGCGCTTGTAGCCAGTGTATCCGACAGCAAGCATGGCGATGAGGGCTGGCCAAAGAAGCAAGTTGTACACAGCAAGGATCGGCCGAGAATTCAACAAGGTTCCTGTTAGTCCAACCATGGCAGTGAGAAGTAGTATAGACGCCGCTAGCGTTATTAAGATGAGAATGTCGTAGTCTGCAACATACATCACGTCCGCGTGGTCCGAAGCTGTTAACACGAGTTAGATGGATAATCACTATTGGTCAGAAAGACTCACTTCGAAACCAAATTGATAAAGCGAAAATCATGGCAACAGCACCGTATACAAAGATGGTGATCTCCGACAACAGCAAGAACCATTTGAAACAGGGCCACTGGCGCGCCTTATCCACACCCAGACCCAGTCCTTCCGAAAGGGCAGATACAGCTTCATGGGAGAATTTGATGCCAGTTGCACCATGCGGCTCGGTATCGCGTTTCGCTCTCAGGGACTGTGGCCGAGGCCATTTTTGTGTGAGCTTGTCGGTTGTTCCGATCCCGAGAACCAGTGTTCGACCTGAGTCAATAGAAGAAGCTGTCGTATGACTGGAGACAGAGAATAGTGTATTCGTTTCAGGATCCGAGTGGCGGAAAAAGGGTAATGAAAGGAACGAAGGAGCTATTGGGGGACGGAAAGAGATGAAGCTGAGGCCACGAGATAGTGTCGAACGAAACGAGGACGCCCGAGATGGAGAAACGTATCCTAAATCTTGAGAATGTTTATCATCTGTATAATTTGGCGAAGGTAATCGAGCAACGCATGTCTGCGATGAGCGGGTAGTTGAGGCGCGCTGGATTCTACCGTCTTCCAAGCGAGGCGTCAAGGGAACAGTATCCATAGGAGATGAACAAAAATTCTGGGAAGATTGTGGTGTCATATTTGTTGGCAATGGCGGCAAAGGCGGGGAGACAGCTCGACGACGAACTGCCAACATGCTTCTGTCATCGTTTGCATCACAATTTCTCACTTCTCTCTCCGGATATGCACCTGATCGCCGTCGGATACTACTTGAAGCTGTCGCTGCGGGTCGAAGAGAAGGCTTGCGGGTCATCGTGGTACGGTGAAGAGATTCGCTATGCGATGGTTGCCTTGGGAAATGTTGGAACGGGTATCTCGGGCCGGCCACACTGGATTTGGATAATCGTCGAGATAGGCGGGATATCCAAAAATGTATATTACGCCCTCCCGACGAAAATTCTCACCGCTCGCGTGACGTGACTATCACTGATGTGGGTGGCAGTGCTGAGTTGGCGAGAGCTCTCCGTCTGACCACACGCTCCAATGGATCCCGACAGAAAATCCACCGTCTCTTCGTTCTATGGTCACAAAGGGTCGGCAGATCCGTTGAATGTCGACTATCCGTCACCTACAGGCAACAATTATGGCTCACAGAGGACTCCCCGAGATGATGCTTCTTTTTTCAATCCAGACCGTGGGTCACGGCATCTAGATAACTACGGAAGTGCTGGATATAATCGCAACTCCTTTTTCTTTGCTGGAAGGGAGGAGCCATTGAAGGGTGGCCAGGATGAAGAGCAGGGCAACGAGGGCTTTGACATCTATGCCGACTTCAACAATGCAGGACCCAGGTATAGCTCTGCGTTGGTCGGAAATAATGACGGGTGAGCAACGGTCCACTGTTCCGTTTGTCCATTTATCAATCTCGTTCCAGATACCAACCTCTACCGCCATCGACACCAAAGCAGAAGGAAGATAGTCGAAGTACGATAGGCCCTGTTGAGCTGGTGACGGTACCTGCACTAGGACCTGAATGGGGGCGTTCAGAACTGCGAGACATGACCAAAGCTGGCCAGCGGGAAAAGAGGCAAGAGAGTCGTCAGGGAAAGTGGGTCGCATGGAAGCGAGGCGAACGTGGGGTGTGTGGCAAGTGGTTCACCAGGCGAATGACTGTATTTGTCTTCTTTGGTGCCGCAATCGTGTACGTTTCGTATTTGCTTTATGCACATTATTTCCCTCACCTTTTCGCAGCGTCGGTATACTCTTGGCTATCATGATACCGCGGGTGCCGAGTGTTTCGATTAACAGCGACAACCCTCTTGCCAATGCTACCGGTGACTGGAAAAATGCTGTACCTACCTACTTCAATCGGTCGCCAGCCAACTTCTCCTTCCCCGCATTCGCTGATCTACAGCTCAACACCGGCAGCAATATTCTGCCTCTAACCTTCAATAACATCAAGGCCTACGTCTATGACCTAGATACAAGCAGGGAAATCGCGACAGGCAGCACGGGCCATAAGACTGTACCTGCGAAGGCCTTCCCGGAATTTCTTCTCCCCTTGAATTTCTCCTACGTTGCCTCGAACGATTCGGATGCAACTTGTAAGCGAGGTTCGGCTTCCCTACACAGTTCTGCTCACCTTATTCTTAAGGGGTCAACTGGTACGACGGTTGCAGGAACGTTGCTGCTACGCAATCTGGCGTTCGTGACTGTGAGTGCTCCCAACTATGAAGAACTATAGCTCTGACAAATGCAATCATCTGTAGCGGTCAAATTCAAGCTGATTTTAGAAATGGATATCGCAGGTCTCATCGGATCGCGCTCAACGTCAACTCAAGTTACGACTGCCAATTGTCCGATTGAGCTATCCATAAATGCTGCCTGAACGCCTTTCCGAAAATTTGTCCGCTACATGGATATACTGGATATACTGCCTGACCTCTCACGTAGCCTACACCTTCATGCCGGATCTTGGACCTCCATGTTTCGGACATAATACCATCTAACCTTTCACGAGTAATTTTCCGAAGTATATCATGACTGTCATTACTGCTTTTCGAGTTTATCGTGTTCCTCAGTTTATTGTTTTTACCCTCATACTAGCACAGATCATCTGTACAATATCGTCCGGGCATTATGGACAGAGTATTTATCATAATAGCATGCACTCTTTATTGAGTATGATATGAGCTGAACGGAAATGCATGACCCGTGAGCAGAGTGAATTACAAGATATGTATACATGTACAAGATACACAGATATCTATTCATTATGTAGTAACGCCTAACACTCTATGTAATAAATAAATCCTCCCAATGCATCACATACCGTTAATCAACTGGTTGCGTTATGATCATCTCACCATCGAAAAAATCCTCGATTTGGAGAGGTCGGATATCGAAGCCCTAGGTCACAGTGGTTAGAACTAGCCTCGCAGACGTCAATACCACGCTCACCTCAATTTGGGCTTTCGCAAGATCCCCGTCTTTGCCCGCATGCTCCTTCAAGTACTCCCTCACAGGCATCATAGCCGCATTGCGACATACTTCCTTGAGGTCTGAACCCGACAAATTTTCTGCTTTTTCGGCGAGAAGACTCAAAGGAAAATCGGGTGCCAAAGACGTATCTTTCAGCATCTAGGCTGCTATTAGGTCCCCGACATTAGGATAAAACCCATGTCTGCTCACTAGTTTGAGTATATTTAGCCGTTGTTCCCTATCTGGCCTTGGCACTGCGAACTTCTTGGGCATACGACGTAGGAAGGCAGGATCGATATCATTTGGCCGGTTGGTTGCACCCAACACCAGAATGCGATCCGTTCCAGATGTTAGACCATCCCACAAGCTGTAATATTTTCATTAGCCCGTGTAGCGTGCACATAAGTGTTAGAAGAATGTACGTCATAAACTCAGCTTTCATCATCGCTGTTACTTCGTGATCATTCGACGCCCTTTCCCTCAAAAAGGAATCAATTTCATCGATGAATATTATTGCCGGTTGCGTTTTTCGAGCAAGTCCGAACAAGCCCGCGACGAGCTTGTTCGATTCTCCGAACCATTTGTTCGTCAGAACTGAAGCGGAAATGTTGATGAAGGTGGCTTTGGTTTCTTTAGCCATGGCTTTCGCCAGCATAGTCTTTCCGCAACCAGGTGGCCCATATAGCAGCACACCTCTCGGTGCACCAAGCAGTGAGGATGAAGTCGTGAATAAATCAGGATATATGAGAGGGTATATGACGGATTCGCGGAGGGAAGATATTATTGGTTCTAGTCCGCCGATATCTGGAGAAATATAAGTGATCGTGATAATGGAGAATCTTGCCAAACGCGCCTGAGAAACGAACGGGGATATCATCTGGATGGATGATTTCGTTCGCCAGAGTTCCTGTACGTTCCGAGATATGTCAACTCAAAAACCGAGTAGCAGTCACGCCACGTACGTTCATATTCATCCAGCACAAGCTCTTCATGACCCAATCTCTTCAGCACCTCCATCTGCTTCCCCTTTACTTTGGTCTCCTTGTTCGAAGGTACGTATGCGTCTAGTACCCACTGACACCCCGTGTCAGTCCACAAGTCTCCGAGAAAGGCGATATAAAGCTCACACCTTCATTGTATAATATAAAGCTACCTAGAAAAAAGGCCTTTAGTCAATGTTCCATTAGTGAGCTCCAAGGAAACGTACTTGAGTTACAACGAACATGGCCACTGTTTAATACGTATGTCAGCGATAAACAACACGCAGAGACTAGTACCGTACCATCGACCATCGCTCGCCTCGTACTTGTGGATCCCATTTTTTCGTTTGCAGATGGCCTCGAGCTCAAAACTTGAAGCTGACGAGGTGGTAAAAGTAGTGGTAAGGGGTAAAGCGGAATGTCACATGTGACCTCCCAGGTTTCGAAACAAATATTAATAATTTTTAAAATATTACTTCCCTTTCCGGCCCGGAAACCCGCCCAACTCGACTTCTTCAGCATTGAACCTCAATCATCTCCCAACAGATTTTCTTTTTAGTGGATATGACATCATAAATTTATCCGGTATTCAACTGACCTTCTTACGCACTGGTATCAAGCTCAGATCATCTGCCCGTTACTGTGTAATCTCGAATCTTCGAACCCTTCTAGAGCCGTCGTCCTACTTCCCTTAGGCTCTCTGCGTCGTGGCCCAGTTAACGATGAAATAACGACAGGCTTCTCCTTAAATGAATCAACCTAAGGAGAAAGACAAAAAGGCTAGTATTTCGAGCAAAGCTTGCACATCTCTTATAAATGGTGCTCAATCTACGGATCCCGCTCTCGAACCATCACAGTTGGATTGGAGAACTCAGCAAGAGAGGAGAAGGTCGCTGAGACTTTTCCGCATCATTGCACTTTATCCCTCTCCGAGGGCGAATAGCATGACCATACCCCATACCCTTTATTCGAGTCAAAAGGCAAAGATTCGGCAATAACCGTGTAGTTACGGTGAAGCCTACCCTGGTGGCATAGGTTCGATGTCTCTTGAAACCAATCGCATGCAAATTGTTACCATCAGGATTATGGATTATGGGTCTTCCATCGTGGATATCAAAGATTTGAAAACAACGGTGCGATATATATAGTTTCATACAGCCATAGCGGCATACTTCTTACACATCTCCTGTAGCGACCATGAAGAGCTTATGACAAGCTTTCCTTTTTTTCTCGTCCTCCCTCATCCAAATGGCCCTCATCCCAAGGATGGACGCGTCGCCGTCGGTGCGGCCCATCCGTTCTTCTGAGCTTGATCTTTAAAACCTGACGTCTTGTCAAGGGCTGCTCCGTCCTTTCCACCATCATCGTTAGTATCTGCGTCATTATTTAATGTACGTAAATACAACAAGATAGAAACCCAAGACTAACCGGAATGAACGCTCTTCTTGAACAACGACGAAAGCAATGTGGTTGACTTCGTTTCTCCCTTCGTAGGCGAAGGGTCCTCTTTAGGGATAAGGCAGGTGGTAGAGTCTGAATGCTTCGACATTGTCGCGTATGTTGTACGACTAAGAGACGAATTGAACGATTAAAGGTGATCTGTAGCGATGCTACTGTTGGCTAACTCAATCATAGGTCAAATTCCACTGTTATATACGCGCTCTCGGACCTACGCGTTGACTCATCCCACATCCTCATGCGAGTCATAGATTTCGGACGCAATTCTGGTTCCGCTCGCAGTTTCAGACTCACTGGCCTCGTTTCAGTTCTATTATTACTGCGATCGGTCTGCGCAAGTATCTTCTCTATGTTAAAGTCGTTCATGTATGTATGGTGAGCCAGAGCGCGCATACTCCGCAGCACAATATCCGCGCTAACCAAAACCATGACGCCATTGTCCATATGCTCGATCTTCATGAGCCTTCGACCCTATGGTTCGCCAAGTAGATGTATATCAGTTTGTATATCAGCTAGGTGCTTCAGGCCTTGGAGAGGATTCGCAGCCGAGGATTTATTGTATGAATCATCCAAGAGTCATGGGAGCTATGCATGTATTTCTTCATGTACCGAGTTCACTAAAGAGTCCTGCAAGAGTCCTGCACAGTTCTCCGCTTATTGGGTAGTATATACAAGGGCTGATAGCTAGTACCAAATATATAGTAGCAACTTCCGACTTTGATCCCAAAATTTATTCCTCAATCTTTAGTTCACGTACAAAAAACTGAAGACATAGATGAGTCACGGGCGATAGCCGCGGGACGCTGGGGTTAGCTTACCGGATGTATAAAAAAATCATATTATATTGAATGTCATAAAGTTGTATGAGTCGTCCCTTCCTATTTTCCTTGTGGTCGGTGAGCTTCTGAGGAGATCCACCGATGAACATATTACATACGTTTGAATAGAGAGAGAACAGACTTCCTCTTCTTTGATTTCTGACTCTCACCAGCCTGACCACTTTGCGTCCCGTTTGAGTCTACCCCACGATCGGGGGTGGAGCTCGACGCCACGGTAGTGCCTTCAGGTATGACTGGGGCGGCAGGAGCAGGCTTAAGCCTGAGGGGCTTGGGGTTGGGTACATAACCGCCAGTTCCATATCTCGACTGCAAAGAACCGAACGCAGCGGCGTAATCTTTCTTTGGGCCGGGAGGAGGGTTCAATGGGGAAGTTGATGTGACAGTGATAGTCGACTGTAAAGTGGTAGTGGACGCAGATGGATGTGGTGTTTCTGCCATTATGCTAGTGATTTGAATGGCCACCTCTGAGCGTCACTTCAAGCTGTTATATGATTCTTCCACGCTGTAGGCCTAGGGCATGAGTCAGAGTCAGGATCACACGCGTACGGGTGCGTTTATTGTTCCTGTTGATCGCCGGAGAGATAAACATGAGATTTTAAATTGAAGGGCGTTGGTGGCGTGGTCCAAAATGAGGATGTTCGTATAGCCCCGTAGTATCAAATATTGTCCACTCCGACCTTTCGCGTTTCAAAACCAACCCGATGAAGATACAAGAGGATCGATAGGTCAAGGATGGGATTAGCATAGGAATTTCTCAATTAACGATTATTAAGCGCCAATGACCTGTGCATGCTCAACAGCTGAACATTGTTGGCCGTTGAACCGGAGGTATGGGACGAAAAGGTAAAAATAGATATCAGGGATGCACGATCAGCCAAATCGGGCCGGTTACCTAATTGGGACTTTCCTCCCACCGACCAACTTTTTGCCTCAGACATGAGTTTTCGTCTTCCTGCTGCCGATGTCGTTGATGAAGATGGCCCTAGTCAATCCAGCAGCGACGAAGACGATGATGACCAGATGTGGGATGATTGGGTATCCGATTCTGCTCGTCAACCGTGTCGGTCTTTATTCGAGGAGAAATCTTTTCCTAGCGTTGAAGAAGCGCTCAAATACGACAATGTTACATACGGCTTTGATTTGAACGGAACCTGTGCAAAACTTTGTATGTCGTCTCAATTTATTTTTGTGCCGGAAATGCGAATACTTATGTTCGGAAGCACTGGACACACACGGTCGTATCAGACTCATCAACTATATTCGAAAACAGGTCGGCACCTGTGCTTGCTGAATCTATTCTCTGACTCACCGATGATAAGAAAACTCCGGCAGCACAGGTTGCTGCGCTCACAGGGACGGAACCTTTCTTCGAGTCAGATCAATACTTGATTCCGGTAGTTGAAGACGATCCGTTACTGCGTGCGTCTCCGGTCTTTTGGTTTGTTCTCTTCTACTATAACAGCGACATTCTCAGAAATCCAGGCCGATGACTGGTCTGACTCCGATGATGAAGATACCTCTGATCCTAACCGGCGAATCATAGCGCTGAAGAAAAAACTGGCCCGTACACAGCAAGAGTTCCTCGAGTATCGGACTCTCGTTTCTAGGAAGATAGGCCTTTCCAGTCTTGTCGATGAGCCTAGCACATCAGAGCCTCGACCCCGCGACGATGATACCCACTACTTCGAAAGCTATGGCGCTAATGGTACGTGCTGCCTGAGAAAAAGATGCGGCCCAGAAATCTAACCGTCTTTGCAGATATACATGCAATCATGATTCAAGACAAAGTCCGGACTTCGACATACGCCGAATTCATCTTGACCAATCCCAGTATTTTCGAAGATGCCGTGGTTCTTGATGTCGGTTGTGGGACCGGTATATTATCACTCTTTGCTGCGCGTGGGGGTGCCAAGCGTGTTTATGCTGTCGATGCCAGCGATATCGCCGACAAGGCAGAAAAGATCATCAAGGTGAATGGAATGGAAGACGTCATCACTGTCATTCACGGCAAGATTGAGGACCTCACGATCCCAGAAAAGGTCGATATTATAATATCCGAATGGATGGGATACGCCTTGTTGTATGAGTCAATGCTTGATTCTGTCCTAAGTGCTCGTGATCGTTTCTTACGTCCCGGTGGTATCATGGCACCTAGTCAGTGCAAGATGATGCTTGGACTCTGTGACGCCGGCGAGATCCTAAAAGATCGTGTCACCTTTTGGAACGATGTGTACGGTAAGAACGCGTTCAGCGCCCATTTGTGATGTGTTTACTCAAGCACCACAGGTTTTGATTTATCAGCGATGTCCGATGACATGTACGATGAAGCCATCATCGATGTCGTTGGCCCCAAGACGATAATCAGTGCTCCGTACACGATAAAGGACCTGTATCTTGGAAATATATCCACACGGCAGCTCAACTTTTCATCTCCGTTCACGCTCGTGTCTAGAGCGGAGCGGCGGACCAAAGTAACGGCGTTTGTGCTTTACTTCGATACGTTTTTTACGAAAACAGGGAAGCCCGTTTCTCCGAGTACGCAAGTCAAGGTGGTCAAAGAGGACGAGGTTGTCTTGGCCGAGGTATGGCCGGTGGGTGGGAAAACGCCGCCGCAGCGGAGGCCAAGCCAGGGGGCAGACCGAGAAAAGGTTACGAGCTTCAGTACCGGACCTCAGAGTATCCCTACGCACTGGAAACAAGCGCTCTTCTTGTTGAGGGAGCCTATCGTTGTGGAAGAAGGTTTGCTCTTTCCCGCGCTTTAAGTGCCTGGCTGACCCACGGGTACCTCAGGTTCCAAGGTCCGAGGAACGTTCTATTGTCGCAAGAGCGAAAGTAACTCTAGGGAGCTGGAAATCGAGATTCACTATGTGAAACAGGATTCTACTGGTGCTGATGAATCCAAAGACCTCGTGGTGCAAATGTATACCGTGCGATAGAACTGAAAAGTGATGGATTGTGTTCAAAATTGGACACGTAGTAGCAATACTGTATTTTTTTTGGTGATCTGATGTTTCAGTGCATCAGTTGTATTACATCTAATCGTACATTTGCTTTCATCATTGTTCCACTTTAAAGCTTTTCCTTGAGCTCCTCAAAGATCTTGGTTAGTTCGGCCTTCTCAATCTGCTGTGTTGGCCAGCCAATTACCAAGCCCTCCTTATCGCTGTCGGGCTTGGGGATAACGTGGAAATGAACGTGGTCGACCACCTGTCAGTCAAGCTTTAATATAGATAATCTAAGTGCGAATAGACAATTGAAACATGCCTGGTGAGCAACGCGCCCGTTATTTTGGAGAACATTGTAGTTCTCAGCGCCCTGCGCAATGGCGATCCGCTTCGCGATCGGCAGGATGTCGGTAAGATGTTCGTCGGGAAGTTGATGGAGTTTCTCTGCGTGATCTAGGGGTCCAGATTAGATATCCGGTAAATATACGGACGGGTTTATACGCACACTTGGGAATAATGAGGGCATGACCTTTCGATAGAGGACCGATGTCCAAGAAGGCATACCTAAAAATCAAAAGAACGATATCGATGCTGTAGCTTCAAATGATGCTAACGGGAATTAAACGAACGATAGATCTGTCTCAAGCAGCTTGAAACTCGGAATTTCACCTAGTATAAGAGTTCATATCAGGGGAGATGCGATGACTGCTCGAGTACTCACCTTTGATGATCTTGCAGAAGATACAGGTCGCCAATGTCCTGCAATAAGCTATGGGATATATCATTTCCGAGGAGTAGCATTGAGACACACTTTGTCGCCATAGTGAGATCAAGAAGAGTAGTTGCTTGATGAATGGGTGATACGGTGCTGGTGGTCGGAATCGAGAATGAACTGTGCCGGATTCGGCGTCATTAAAACTCCGAATATTCCATGTAGATAAGTAGGGTTGCAAAGCACCAAGTATGCTTGTCAGGTAGATGGTACCCAATATTGTCTTTTCTAGTTCTGTAGAACTTGCAACTTACTGCAAAATATTAACTGTATTTTTTCAGGCAAATCGCTAACTTCCTGAAGATTGGGTGCAAATATCAGCAAATATGTCGATATATGAGATTACCTTTTTGGGTGTGCCCCTCGAGAGTTGCTCTTACTACATCCACATAAACGCTGTTGTCTCATATAACGTCGAATCTTACTCCTTGTCGCAGTGACACTCTTGGCATCCATTGACGAGGCCACCATGCCGTTTCAAGAGATCCCTATTATGTACGACGCACCTCCAATCGAATAATCGCGGTCTGATAGCTTGGCAGCGACTTGTCAATGATCTCGACTGAGGACCCAGATATCAAGAAGGCGCTGTCGGATAAAGTACGGGATGCCTGTGTTAATGTGGGTTTCTTCTACGGTGCGCTTACATTACTATTACATCTAGGCGTTAACCCACTGAGCGCTGTAGTAAGGAACCACGGAATATCAGAAACTACCATCCAAGAGGCCATAGACCGCTCCAAAGACTTCTTTTCATTACCGCTTGAGGACAAGATGATGGCCAGTCACCTCCAACCGCCTTATCGGGCGACTCTCTTACATTAACATACAGATTGAGAATAAAAAATCCACTAATTTCAAAGGCTACTCTCCTCTTCTTAGCGGCAACAATGACCCCGATAACGACGGTGACCTTCATGAAGGCTTCGAGTTCGGTTTGGAGCAGACTGAGCCACAGCCGCAGGGCCAAGAGGACGTATCGCATGATGGTGTCATGGCCGGCGCAAACGTATGGCCTTCGCAGCTGCCCGAGTTTCGCCGAGCAGCGTTGCAATACTAGTTGAGTTCTCATCCATATAACTCGGAAACCTTATTCTTACGGGATGTTTTAGTCATGCTGCTGTAAACCTGGGAAAAAATTTGTTCCCTCTTTTTGCTCTCGCACTTGATTTGCCTGAGAATTTTTTCGAGGATAAGGTAGATTTGAACATATATATTCTGCAACGCATGGCCGCTATAACCACTCAATTTATTAGACACGGCACTCAGCAGCCCTAATGAGAATGCTCCATTACCCTCCGCAGACGGGCCCAGTTGGCGGACGTATTCTTGGCATCGGAGCGCACACAGAGTGAGCTGGCTTCGCGAAAACTTTTCATCCCCGTTTCAGCTGACAAGCGACCCAGCTGGGAGGTGAGAACTGACTCATTCACCTAAGGCTGACTTGCCCGATATACGTTCTGCCTCAGTGCTTTACTATCTTGTGGCAAGAACCGGGAATCCAGGCACTGCAAGTTCTGAACCCGAACCAGGAGTGGATAGACGCGCCACCAATCCCAGGTAATAACTTATGCGGTTCCTCTGTTATGAGAAGTTATTGACATTCGGCCTTAGGAACCATGGTCATCAAGTGAGCGCGCCTGCCTTTCGCGACTATCAATCCGATCAATAGATGTTACAGCCTTGGCGACCAATTAGCTCGCTGGACGAGTCGGTTCACTTTTTATCGACCCTACCAGTCTCTGATGACATTCTAGATGATGTGTTCAAGTCCACGGTCCACCGCGCTATCAATCGTAGTGGCGTTCGTCGTTACTCCATCCCTCTTTTCTTTGGAACGGACTACGACGTCAAACTGGAGGTGCGGTGTTCTTCCTTCTCGGGTGATTACACACTCTCACTCGGCGTCGGTCACCCCGTTCAGCCCATTCCTAGTTGTGTATCTGATAAACGCCCGATGAAGTACGAAGTGATAACTGCAGGAGACTATGTTAAAGCTAAATTGAAGGCGACGTATGGTCATTAAACGAAGCGGTCCCCGGGCCGAAGATCTATGGTAGCTATTATATGGCTAAGACTGGGACTAGAGCCATGCTGTATGTGTAGTAGGTGAATTTTACCGGTTTGGTCCGAGCTTCTCAAAGTTAATCCGAGTCTTGGCGACTTACTCTCTCCCACTCTGCCTGAGAAAATTTCGCCGGTCGACACTTACACGTGTTTGAACCAGTACATTACCAACCTAGACGCGCATCTTGGCGATCGAGATTGGAACATCGAAGTTGTCATAATGTCTCCGTCATTGTTAATGAAAGGTGTCATCTTCCTGTTGCTCCTCGTGTACTCATGCTAATCTTCGCTTGTGTAAATGGAACGTGTATTACTGTTACAGATATCCTTCACTGCCCGAATTTGAAGAGTGCAATGGCTGTATCCAGAGCGACACAAATGTTTAGATTTGCGGAAGCGGAGATCACCATCGCCAAGAAAAACGACGGGGCCTATTTTCAGAACGCCAAGCAGCCAAGCATCATTTTACCATCACGGTTTCTGTGCACCCGCCGAGCGCGGTCATCTCGCAGTATCAAGCTTCGAATCCACAAAACAGCGTCCTTTTTTCCAATTTGGCACAATGACCATGCGAACGAACAAAGTCTATGTAATATAAAAGAGTTACAAATTGTCTCTTCAATGGCAACGCGCAGCCGATCCATCCTGATTTGCGTGTCTTCTAGTGGCTCCTAATCCCTGTAATCATTAAAAGCCGAGGCGTGTGCACTGCCTACTCTAGCTGGCCTCGCTTCTTTTCCATCACTCATCCTGATTTTTTTTTCTTCGCGCTAAAAAGCGCATTTGGTTCCTCATTCTTCATCCTTTCTCCTTCTCCTAGACTATAGACTTTTCTCTTTTTCCCCCGTCCTCAAGCCCCTCTTCTTTCATCGCGATGTCGAATTCATCTCAATCTGAGATCGGTGGCACTGCTCCAGATAGTGCCACTCGACCTAGTGTCAGCGCAATTGCTCGTCGTATTCATGGCTGGTCCTGGCAGGCGGTGAGCGTCTTTCTTTGGCGCGTCTTGCGTGCTACATGTTCTGATTGATGGCTCTAGTTCCCCGTTGGAATGGGCACGGGCGCAGTCTATGTCACCCTCTCGGGTCTGAAGAGTCATTCCAATGCCCTGACGACAGTCGAGACGGGATTCTACTTCATAAATATGACTCTTTTTGTTCTCAACTCAGTCACTCTTTTACTACAAGCTATCCGTGCGTTTGGGTATCTAGCCTCCTGTGATTTCTCTTACTCACGATACGTAAACCAGTGTATCCACGCCAAGCATGGCGACTAGTACAGGATCCAGTCAAAGGCGTCTTTGTCCCGTTGATTGTTTGCATTCTCCCCTTTCAGTTTTAGGCCCAAATTCTCATCCTTTTGTTAGGTACTCTCCTTTGCCACTATTATTATCGGAACCATCAATTATGCTGTTCCCTCGGGGCATGTGGGTCCCGAATTCATATACGCGCTGTTCTGGTGAGTGGTTCTCCATGCGATCGCAGCCTTCTCTACATGCCAGTACAGGGTTTATATCGTCTTTGCTCTGATAACTTGCTTCCCGATGATCGTCATCTGGTTCAACAAACCCCACGATCTGACGCATTTCACTCCTGCATATGCCTTCTTGGTAAGTGCTTTCGAATATTATTTAGACTGCCTTCTAATTGTGATCCTAGATCTTTCCTATGGTAGCTTTTTAACCTGAAAAGCCATCTGTGTCTAACCAGAGATATAATATAGATGCTAGTTGGCGTTGTCTCGTTCAATGTTTTGAGGGTAATGGATGCGTCCGACCCAAGAGCTCTGGGTGTACTTCTTATTGGGTATTTCTTCCAAGGTCAGTCTGTTCCATGGTGCGCTACCCACGTTATGAATAATACTTTTTAGGCCTCGGGTTTTTCATGACGTTCTTCTATCTCTGCATCTATGTTATTCGGTGTGTAACACTCCTCTTGTTTATTGCGATTCTGATCACCTTTCTTCTCAGAGTCATGACTGTAAGTCGTCAATCTTGAACCCTCGCAGGTTCCGTGATATTTATTCTCACACTCCTATTAGACTGGCTTTTTGGAAGGGCACCAAGCTAACGGAGCGTTCGTCGCCTGTGGTCCTCCTGGATTCACTGCACTTGCTTTGATCAACCTGGCAGATCACGCTAGAGAAATGTAAGCCGCACTTTCCCTTTTTTACTAGCTTTCTAATTCGAATTGAAGCCTCCCTGTGCATGGACACGTTTCTGAGAACGTGGGTGAAATCTGGTATGCTGGAAGCATCCTTGCCGGCCTGTTGCTCTACGGACTTGCCGTCTTTTTCTTCGTTTTCGGCATTCTGCCATACTGGTTCAAGCTTCACAAGCATCTCAACGAGATCCTGGGATGTAAGTTTTGTCGTTTTCATCTTCACCAAGTCACTCACCATCAACCCGAAATAAGGTTGGGCTCTGACATTCCCTAACGTTGGCTGGATTGCGACAACCCGTCTCTTGGGAGATATTTTCAATATCGAGGGTCTCTTCATCGTCCACATGTTCATGGCCATTCTTATGGTCTTCACTTGGCTTGCCCTCTTCATTCTCACGGCCCTTGCGTTTTGGAGAGGTCTCATCTTCAGATCGCAGGAGGAAGACGTCCTCAAGGATACTCTTCCTGCTTATGAGGAACATCAAGAGAGGGGCATCCCTACTGTGGTCGACGAGGAGAAGGGTATCGCCACGCCTAGTACGATATCGGAACCCGAGCCTGAGCACTTGCATTGAAGGTTCCCATTTGATCATCTCAAACTCTTTACACTATCACTGCTATTGAAGTACCTAGACCGTTTAAACATGCTGCGGCATGTAGACGAATGTTTCTTGCATAGACACTCCTTTCAATCGATATCGTTTTATAGAAATTTGCACGTACACCTAACATCGCAATACATTGTATCACTTCTGGAAGTTGAATTTTTGTTGTTTCGGCATTGAGCTTCATACGTTCAGGCAAAAAAAATTGGCTTGGCGCTCGACCCAGAGGCGCTAATGAAAATCGAAGAACTCGTCACAACCCAGATGCATTTATTATTAAGAAAAGCTATCTTATTCTATTGATAGAGTTTGTACAGTGTCCACCTAAATCATGAAGTGGGAAGTACAGAATGCACTGCCATGTGCCACGAGTTCATTTGATACCAAATAGACATCTCATTGATATCGGAGCAGTTGATCCACTTCATAGCGTCGCTCATGACAGTATCATAAGATAGTGATTCCGTATAAAGTCTTTTCGCCCCATAGATCTCTCCAGCATTTCCGGCAAACATACGGACCTACAACTATGACGTGAAACGTCACAAGACCTGTCAAGGTTTAGCGGTGATTACTACTTTTGGACGTGGCACAGCGCCCAGCCGTTCCTGATCTTATTTGATTATTGCAGCTTAACTTTAAACGCTCCGTCATTTTGTTGCGAACAACGTTGGAAAATGAAGATGAAGGGGCGACGGTGTAGTCTGAAATAGGGCGTCATACTACTAGGCAACATACATTTACCCGTAGGTGCGATAATTACAACGATGATAGGTAGTGCATTTACAAGAGTCCTGGACATCAAGAGATAGCAACATTCGGACAGCAAGACAAGCGTTAAGCATCACAAAGACCAGGTCTCAGGGCGCACCATAACGGCTGGAGAGCAATAGCCGCGACACCACGTTGGTGGAAGCGGAAACCGACTTCGTGCAGTCTAGGAAGTGCCTCAATACCATTCCGTCCAGGACCACTCCAAAAGACCTCCGCTGACGCCGCCGCTCGAGGCCAGACAATCGGATCCAGATTTGACGGTGAGGATTGCTCTGTCCAGAGGAGATGCTGACCACCCAACACCAGCTGACTTTCTTCATCTGTCAGGTTGGCAGTGGGATTGAATGAGTACGCCTAGCAAGGAGGAATGGTAAGCACATGAAACGTAAATAGAACGAGCATACCTTTTGCCACGTCTTGAACGGATCACACCAGCTGTTCCCATTGACAGATCCGCCCAGCCAGCCACCACCACCACAGTCAAGGTAGAAGTAATCAGATGCTGCGTGCACGAGCTTATATCCTTTCTCCGCGACTGCCGCGACATTTTCGGATGAGATCCATACCATTACAACAGTGTCGTTCCCAAGGCTGGTGACGTTGTAGTTAAGAAGCATCTCCTCCCATACCACGGGAGTTTTACCAGCGGCACGCAAGGCTCCGTGAGTGGATTGGGTGAAAGAGGACAAGGCTTCGGTGAACGTTTGTCCACTTGCTGACAAGTCAGATTGCGTCGCAACGTCGTCCGTATAGCAGTTGGCATTGATTTCATCGCCACCAGTTGAGAAATACTTGGAGGTGAACATGGAGGAAATGGCAGAGACGAGAGATGTGGTGAAGTTGACGGTGGCGCTGGATGCGATACGAAGCTGTCCAGCGGGCGGTTCTAACCAACTTGTCAATTTCATTAAGAACAAAAGTAACAATCAAGCACACCATTTGCATAGGTGCCCCATGGAGTAGCGCCTGCACAGGCAATGTGATCAGGATATGCTTCTGAAATGCTGGCGGTATGTCCGGGGGTGTCAAATTCAGCCAAAACATCGATACCGCGCTAAACAACCGTCAGAGTGCGTAGAGTAAATCAGATTGGTCAGCACGTACAGCAGCAGCATATGCAACGATATCTTTTATATCCGAAGCACTGTAAACAGACGAAGAAGAGTAGGCACCCTTGGCGGATATATCGGGGAACTGAGGAACTTGGAGAGGGAAGCTTTGGCTGTCTACAACATGCCAGTGGAATGTGTTCATCTTGACCCAACTCATGGCATCCAGAGTGCGCTTAATATCGGAGACAGGGAAACTGAGAAACGAATCGTCAGTGTTAGACGACATTCAAAGGATCTAACGCACAAGTTTCTTGCAGTATCAAGCATGAATCCTCGGTATGGCTAAAGATTACCAAGTTAAAGATTGTTCACCAGAAAACGTCAATACTCACGTATGCTGGGGAATCGACGATGTCAACTGGTGCTTCGGGAGTGTAAGTTATACCCTCCCAGTCATACCATAGCTGGCTGAACGTCGTAAGCCCGCGGAAAAGTCCCAGCGTTGAATTGGCCGTGACAGTGGCGTCCCCCCCGTCAGCAGGAACTGTGAGAGTATAGCTGTCCACGCGATTTTCAAGTTCCGCCACCGCTTCATCCGAAATACTCGACGCGTTTGCTCCTTGAAAGACGAGGTTTAGCTTTGTGAGACGGCTGGCGCTCTTGATAGCGTCTGCGTCAGCAGCTCCGCGTCCTTCTACCAGACGTTGTAGCTTGTCGTTGAACAGATAATGTTTTGTACGCGAGATAGCTTCGTTGAGGTCACTAGGTGGAGATTTGATGCCAGAGAGCGAAATATCAAATGAAGGGGAGAGTTGTAGCTGAGTAGAGCCCGTTGTGATACTCTGTGGTATTGGCCATAGAGCTACTACGTGTGAGGCAGCAAATAGAAGTAACGAGAGGCGATAGGACATGGTGGTAAAAAGTCAAGATGAAGAAGCGAGATGCTTGTCTTTTATAGCTGCCAGGTACAAAAGGATCCTCGCCACCCTGGCTCTCGAAATTTTCCGTGATCCTGTGCAGTCGAGTCCTTCATGCATGATAGAGAATGGGGACGGTGTTTAGATGGAATTCGAAGGGAGACAAAAGAGGAATCTCCGCCTTCCGTGCTTGTCTCTTTCCGATTGGATCTCGTGACTGCGCTATACTTGTACGGCGACTCGTGAAGTGTCACCACCGTTCACTAGGTATTACAGAGCCTGTACAGAAGCACGAGAAAAGCTGACAGGTACCGAAGAAGCGAAGGAGAGGGGAATCAAGGGCAGAAGCGGCCAGATGGTGAAACTCCGGGGATACTGTTGAGATAGCAATAATACACGTATGAAGCTGATTTGAAAGTTCGTTGCCTTTGTTCCATATGTAATCCATTATTAAATTCGCGATGAGTGTGAATTCCATCCATTTTGTTGCATTAATACAGGCTATACAAAACTAACTAATTGGTATGTAAGAACAAGACATCCACGAGCACAATATACCGCGTTGTTCTCTCCTCTGAAATAAACGTAATGATACAAGCAGTTCTTAAACCCTCTTACTCAGTGCTTGCATCTGCACAAACTCGTAATAATCGCCTTTTTGTGCAATCAGTTGGTCGTGAGTTCCCGACTCGCTTACGCCTCCATCTTTGATGAAATATCTTCAGAGACATCAGCAATTGATATAAAACAATTGACTGATGATAACACTTACATGCAGTCGGCGTTTTGGATCGTCGACAACCGATGAGCAATGGCAATTGTTGTCCGACCTTTGGCGGCTTGATCCAATGCGGCTTGAACGACTTTTTCGGAGCTCGAGTCAAGTGCTGATGTCGCTTCATCCAACAGAAGGACTTTTGGGTCCCGAAGGAGAGCCCGTGCGATGGCGATACGTTCTTAGAGACACCGGTCAATCGAAAACAAGTTAGGGGCACCGAGTAACGTACGTTTCTGGCCTCCTGAAAGCTGGGATCCTTTACCGCCAACCTCAGTCTCAAATTTCCTACGGATCCCCATGAATCAGACACGGATTGAAAGATGTCGCGTGGCGACGTACTGAGGAAGGCTTTCAATGAACTCCAAGATGTTGGCATTGCGGCAGGCATCCTCTATCTCCTCCTGTGTCACTTCCTCGTGCGGCCTGATAGCTCCAAGAAGGATGTTGAAGCGGACCGTACCTATAGTGGATTGAGGAAATACTCAGAAAGGCGAGCAATGAAAACCCTACCAGAGTACAGCGTCGGCTCTTGAGACACCAAGGAAATAAGCTGCCGATACTGCGCCACATTGAGATCTGAAACGTCCTTTCCATCCAGCTGAGAAATGGAACCTGGTAAGTACGTCGCTCACTTCTTAGGCTCAATGAGAATGACATACTGTTACTCTGCCAACCAAAGGGTCGTAGAAACGCTCTACAAGCTGGATCCTGGAGTAGATAAGAATATTAAGTATGACAAGAATAGAAGCAGTAAATCCGCACCCACGTCGTCGATTTACCGCATCCGCTCTGGCCGACGAGGGCTACATAGGTGCCTTGCTTGATATCAAGGTTCAAATCCCTAAGAACCCTGACTCCGGGTCGAGTGGGATATCTAGCACGAATATCACTCAACGAGCTGACTACATGGCATCAGGGTTACACACCTGAAGTGAACACCTTCGAAACGAATATGGCCTATGGTTTCTTCACGCTTGACAGGTTTGCCTTCTGGAGATTGGGCATCGATTTCTGGTATGCTGTCGAATATCTGAACAATACCCTCCGAAGCCTCCTTGGCCTCACTACAGAGTTGGTTAGGTCAACTTACAGTACGTCTTCCAAGATATCATACCTCATGTCAGGAGCATGCTGGAACATATTACCAGCTTGAATAACAGCAAAGGTTGTACTCTGCAAGAGCAATTGTATAAGTTCACAAGATGAGAATTACCTTGAAACGTACCATCAGACCGACGAAGAACTCTGTTGAGGTAATCTCCAACTCAGACACAAGCCTGGCCCCGAACCAGAAGACTAGAGCAATGACCCAGAAGGAAACTGACTGAGCAAACGCATACATCATGCCGCTCCAGACCGACGTCTTGTTGGCTACCTGAAGGGGCTTCTCCAAGCTTTGACTGTACATGCGAAGACAATCCTTTTCCCTCGTCAAGGAGGCTACCGTTCGAATGGCACCAGCAGCTTCACAGGCCAATTGAGCGGATTCCTCGTGTGCCTTCTTATTATACTTGTCTTTCACAACTACCACACGCTGCATGCCAATAAGACAAGGACAAAAACGACACTTAAGCTGGCACTCACAAGTCGGATGTACCCGGAGACTATAACCAACGGGGTGCAAGCTAGTATCTAAACGTTAGTCGCACTTCGTTGGTACGAGCGGCGATGTGTAGCTTACCAATACCGACAAGGCCGATCTTCCACGTAAAGGACAAACCAATAATATAACCAACAACGAGCGTCGATATAGATTGTAGCAGACTAAACAGTATCTGAATCAGAGCCCACACTTAATTATACATCGACGTACGTTGCGAGAATCATGCCTGTGAAGCGAGGCGCAAAACGTTAGTATAAGGAAAAGGAAGTCATCAAGCAAGCCATACCTGCCAGCCCATTGACTTTCTGAGGATCGTCACTAAGGCTCGAAACAAGACTTCCAGTCTATGAGCCGGCTTAAAATCAGCAAAATATAGATATTCCTCAGAATGCATGCTAACACTGTGTTCCGCCTCATCAAAGAATTCAACTAATGACAAGTCTCAGATACCGAGCTAATTGACATGCAGAAGATAAGCCGTACTGTCTTGCCTCAGGATGGAGGTGAACATGGCGAAACGTAGTCTTGCCATTAGCGTTGTTGCCGCCGCAACGAAATTCCAGTTCTGGACCATTGTGGTCACAATTGCCTGCAGATGGAGTGAGGACAAACATGAAAGCTATGAAAGTGCCGTACAATTAACGACATTATAAACAGCCTGAAGTTATCAGTTGGCAGCAAATTTGGGGGAAAAGCTATAAGCCGAACCATAGAGCGTTCCTATCGCCTTTCTGACGCTTTACATGGTTATCTGGTTGTGAGAATCCGTCGAGGGCATAGGCTGAAAAAATGTCAAGCATCTTCGCGCATATACAGGACATACTCACCGAAGACGATACCATAACTTGGGTAAATGGCCCCAGTCACTATAAAATATAAACATTTACGTCGGATATGGAAGCAAAAATCCGAACGCACTGATTGCAGCAATCGCACCTCCAATCATTCGGTTCCAACTCTCTCTATTGGGAAAGCTTAGACGCAGTGGATTAACAACGAGAGGCCCCCTACTCACCGATTAAGAAGAAGCATGCGCATGAAAAGTTGGTATATTGAGTATTTTCGTTTGCGAGTCTCTTGTCGTTCCTTCATCCGCTGCTCGAGAGCCTGACTGGCTATGGACTGGTGTGTCTTGGTTCTGTCAAGGGGAACGAAGTCGTCCGGCTCCTTCTCGTCCACCGTGCTAATGTCTGAGTCATTGGCTTCGGTAGTAGCAACGTCTTCGCCTTCCCTGATCTTCTGTGCTTGCACCAACTTATAGTACGCGCCGTCCGGATTATTCAAGAGTGAATTGTGGGTGCCCTCTAGAGGCATATACCAGTGAGCTTATCGGCCCCAAGTGTGCATGAGACTTGCCTTCGATCACATGCTGCGACAAAAAAGGTTAGACAGCCAGTTAAAGACCGTATAAGGTGAGAGAACACCAACCCCATCACCCATAACATATATAGTGTCTGCATCCTTAATGGTGCTTAAACGGTGAGCAACAGTAATGGTTGTCCGGCCTGCTGCGACTTTGTCCAAGGCGTCTTGAACGATACCTTCACTTTGGGTATCGAGGGCACTAGTAGCTTCAGACAGAAACATTAGGTCAGTGATGAACAACAAGGGCGCAAAGACATCTACCTTCGTCGAGGAGTAATATCTTGGGGTCAGAGACAATAGCACGAGCAATAGCAATACGCTGTTTCTGACCGCCAGAGAGAAGAATTGCCCGTTCTCCTACAACCGTCTCGTATCCATCAGGAAGTTTAGAAATGAAAGAGTCAGCATTGGACATAGTGCAGGCCTCCTTGATTATCTTCATTTTCTCTTCCTTTGGAAGATCCTCATATTTCGTATTAATTAAACCATGTGCGACATTTTCCTGTAATACATTAGGCAGTGGTATGACAATGAAAGACTGATGACTGACCCATATAGTAGCATCAAACAACGTAGGCTCCTGGGAGACTAAGCCAATCTGAGAACGAAGCCACTTTATATTGAGGTCTTTCACATTCTGTCCGTCCAGCTTTACGACACCGCTAGACGGATCATAAAATCGTTCCACTAGGGCTATGAGCGTCGACTTTCCAGAGCCGGAAGATCCTACTAGTGCTGTGGTTTTCCCGGCATTAAAATGTACACTTATGCCTTTCACAACCGGAACTGTCGGCCGAGACGGATAATTGAAGTGGATGTCTTCAAGATCGAGTTGTCCAACGACAGTCTCCGGCCGTAATCCTTCCTCACTGTACGCATCAATGGGGGGTACACGGGCAATGGTAGCGTAGAGTTTGGCCGCAGCTCCACGAGCCTCATCGATGGCTAACAACAACGAAGTATGTTAAACGAATAGGAAAGCACCTGTTTCAAGTGACCTGCCTTGTAACTGTGGGGACAGGATGGCCAGAGAAAAGGAGCCAATCAGGATAGCGAAAATTACGTTCACGATGGTTCCTAGGTCCCGTGAGTCTCGAATCTGAATACCCAACGCAGGGATGTACCTGCATTTAAATCCCCGGAGATTATGAGAGTTGTCCCAAAGTAGAATGCTTCCATTTTACAACCGTCAGTAAGAACTTACGAATTGTAAAAACAACTCACCTAGCGCATAGGCAGCATAAACCGTAAAGAGAATGATAGCAATGCATAACCCAACCCACATGGCCGTATTCATCCCAATGGCATGAGACTTGACTAGATAGATGTTGTATACTTGCGCGAGAGTGCCCTGAACACCAAACGCGTGGACTGTCCTGACGGAGGATATGACTTCCTCGGCAACCGACCCTGTTGCACGAAAGACCATGAATGATTGCGTAATTCAATCATATCGGAATGTTAGTTACCTCCTTCTGCAACGAAACGAAGTATTTGTCTGCCATCAATAAGATTCAGAATGGAGTGAATTATAAAAAGGAAGTCCAGTTACGAGATATTCCGCGACAGGTGAATATTCAAGACTGCGCCAGTAACGACCTGCTCCGCTGTAAGTACTTGTCACATAGAGGAGGCGACGGCGTACAATGACGGGGATAATAGAAGACATCGCAAGGGCTAATTTCCAACTTCGCGCGTAGGCGAGAATGAAACCTGGACCAACATTTAGCGAGTCTTGACAGCGACGTAAAACATGCATACCACAGGTAAATGCTGCGACGCAAGTGACAGCTGTCGGGACCTTCTCACCGATTCCTTTCTGAGCAAGGTCTGACGATCCCATTTATTAGTACCTAAATACAGCCAGTAACAAAAAACTCGCCTGTATCGGTCTGGATACGCGTAGCAATCTCTCCCGCTCCCACATTATCAAAATAGGCAATGTCCTGGCGCAAGGTGGCTTCCAAATAGTGCTCTCGTATCCGTTTCGCAATGGCTTCAGCTGTGTACACCCACGTCAACATGTATACGTAAGTGCAGGCAAACATTCCAATCCCTAGATATGTGTTAGCTTATGACGATACTCACATCGGGTTCCTTACCGATGTAGACAAGGTAGCTTGCATTAGCAGCCGCTGCGGCTCGGAAAGAGGCGGCAACAGAGTTAAAACGAGCTGCTGCATCCTCATCGCCTGCTTCGATTAGATAGAGCGTCGTCGCGAAATCCGTAAAGTCTTGCACAAGCCTTCCGAACAGAAGCGTCATTAAGGGCTAACGCGTCATAAGCAGCTTTCCTTGTCCAGGAGGGAACAAAATGCGCACCTGGGCTGTACCCGCGGCTGCGGCTGCAAAGACACCAAGGATATTAAGTGCCTTCTCGTGAAAGGTAGCATACCTGGGTGAAATAATGAGACTACATTAACAGAACACGCTTTGAACACGCACCGAAACAAGTCAATGAAGGATACAGGAACGATTTCCTGATCGAAGACTCTTGACACTACTGTCTCGCCTTTCTCGTCAATGGTGTCCTCGTCAGGTAGTGCTCTCTTGCGACGAGGGAAAGAAAAAAAGGATGCTTTGGGGGAATCATGATGCTTTAAGTGCTTCTCGTTGCTGTCGCTGACCGTACTGGCACTGTTGGGCCTAGAAAGAGGCATAGTCACTATAACGGTTGTGGTCAGGACCCGGGATCTAATGACTATAACGGAAGACCTACGGGAGATGTTGGTTGAACGAGGGGAAGAGAGCTGATGGGAAGGGACGTCATTTAATGAACGAGCCCATGGGGTTCAGTTATCCGACGGGATACGGCTATGCTGACAAGTCATAAATTGCACTTGGATACGTGATAGGCCGGAGAAGCCAAGTGCCTGGTATGTGAGAGTGGCCTGGACATGAGAAAAACCTTCCGTCATAGATCCGGACCGGCTCTCAAATGATGCAGCGATCTGTTATCGGTAAGTGATAGAAAGACAGACTAGGGGCAAAAGCATTAGGATTCGTCTATAGGCTCGGGTTGAAACTTACCCTTCTGAAGGTAAGTTGTTTGTGTAGAAGCATGCCTATTCTCAAAGATATAGTCCTAAAGTTAACAGTTTTCAAAGTGAACGGGTAAGTTCGAAGTGTGTTACCGTGAATTTAAAGGAGAGGAAGATAGTATGACGTTTCATGGTCCTGGAAGCTGGAAGGACGAAGTACTTAAACAAGTTGTGGAATACTTAGACTTTCTGGACGAGCATGTCGGAGAAATCACGGAATAACACCCAACCTCATGCTCCGGCCGTACTAGTTCGGATCCCCGGCTTGACACAATCTTACCGTCATGCAATTACATGGAGGGATCTCGTTCCTCGGATGCACGGAAATGGATGGAGGTATATTGAGAGAACATGCGCTTGTCCCGGGAACTTGACGATGTCCGACAGAATCTATTGCGATTGAATAATGTCTTCAAAGATCTCCATAATTATCCACCAAGGCAGTTTTAAGAAGAGAGTAGAAAATCCCAATAAACAAAGAGATCACAGTAGCAAATCATCCGCACCACTAGTGGACGCATTGTTGGCCGGAGTCGTAGCGGAGCCGAAGGACCCAAAAGATTGAGTGCCCATTGGTGGCTTAGACGTAGCTCCGCCCCACAAGCCGGCACTAGCCTTCTCCTTCTCAAGATCCTTCATCGATTTCCCACCGCCTGCAGCTACAGGCGTGGCTGGTTTCGCTCCCAAGCCGCCACCCAAGGTCATCGACCACAAGTCGTCAAAATTAGCACTTGGGGCAGGCTTTGGTGTTGTCGACGAGACAGATGTTGTGGACGACATGGACGGAGGAGTGGGTCGCATCGGGACTGCAGAGAAAGACGAGGCGGCTGTCGTGGGGCTCATGACAGTTGACCCTCCGAAAAGGTTAGTCTTTGGTTGCTGAGGCTGCAACGGAGGAGACACCGAAGTAGACAGTGACGGAGAAGGTTTGTGTCCACTTCCGCTCATGCCCATATTGAAACTTGAGCCTATCCCCATCCCTATTGGTTGTGGCTGCACCGAAGTTGGCATGAAGTTTGTGCTGGTCGAACGTGCAGCTTGCGCAGAACTTGTGGGAGAAGAATTAAGCATTTCCATGAGATTGAGCTTGGCATTCATGGGAGCGACTGTTGGAGAGGTTGCTACGGTGGAAGCCGGCGTCGAAGGAGCCGCCTGGAAATCCGCAAATTCGTCGTCTGTACCATGAGCTCGTGAATTGGACAAAAAAAACTGATAGCTGAATACGCACCATCTATGCTAACATTAGGTTGAGAGACAGCTGGTAACGCCTTATCCGTGGCAAATGTACTAGTCGTCTTTGCTTGTGATGCAGGGGCCGAGGCAAAGGCATCATCATCTAAGCCGCCAAGAAGGTCTACTTCTGCGACTGGCTCAGAGGCGGGAAGAGGTGCAGTTGGCTTTCGAGTAGGGGCACGCGTAGATCCCATACTGCTGGACCGGTTCGGGGAAGTGGTTACGGTCTCGTCGTCACCTGCATTGTACTCTTCGTATCCACGGCGGGAGTCGTCCCTAAATCCAGAACCGCTGGAGCCACTGTATGAGCCATTATAGTCTACAGAATGGTTTGCATCTGCACATCGCGAAACAAGGACGCCACGTACCATTACTAAAACTCGCGCTACCGCTGTAACTACCGCCTCCCAGCGAGTCGCTACCAAATCCGCCATATCGACTACCTCCACTAGAGAAGCTAAGTCCGTCATTCCCTGTACCGATGTATTTGTGTTTGTTCGCCTTCGCTTTTCGACGTTCCGCCCTGATCTTTTCCACGTCGGAAAGAAGCTCTACGATCTCTTTCGAACGATTCCGCACTATAATCCTGATGTCAGAATGCTGAGAAGGCATTTAGAAGGACGCGCACCATTGATACCTTCATCCTTGCCCTTGTCATCAATGTAGTGGAAGTTCCTTAGCATTTTAATCGTAGAAATATGGGCCCGTGCATCATCCACGACACGCTCTGAGCCATGTTTAATAAGGTATTCTAAGAGTTGAAGAGCCTGCATCACAGTAAGAATATTAGCCTTAGAATGAAGCATATGACACGCCTTGTAAATCTGCCTCCATTGCCTGGCCTCCTTTTCCATATACTTCGAGTATATACTAGGCATTATTTCGTTGAAATCTGGACTATTTGAAGAGTTCAAGATGTTTCGGAAGCAAGGTGAATATCACTGACTAGTTGAAGGTTCTACCGTTGCCGTGGTCAGAAGAACAAGTCAGAAATTACGATGATACGTACCTGTTGGCAATATCTTGCATCAGCGTAGAACTTGCACCCCTTATAATAGGAAAAAGTGTATTAGGATATAGCGTTTGGGTTGCGGCAAAGCCGAGATGGATATCCATATCGGACCGACTACTCACCAAGGATCATCATTGGTAGCTTCTCTGACCTTCGCCTCTATTTCGCTGACGTTTAACACGACATTTTTGGCCTGAAAACATTTGCAATGAAGGGCGGTTGTCAGCAAGTGGCCCCGATGCAAACAACGACAGGACAGACCTGATTATACATGGTCTTGATATCGTACATCGTAATCTGGGAGAGCGTGTTCCCCAAAGATTCCAGTCGGTCCATCGTGGGCAACGGTGAAGTCGAGAAAGGTTGAAGTCAAGTGAGCGGAGGTGAGCAGCCAGTAAGGAGGGCAAGGAGTCACATATCACGACTGTGACATGCCACGCAGGCCCCAGCTATTCCGGCATTTCGCGAGTCTCTTTGGTTCGTGGTCATGTCTTCACTATTCTCAAAGCAAAAATCACGGCGATTAGGTTTGCACGTTTCTTATTTACTCTCGAATCATAGAAACGGCCAAAAACAACAGATCAGGAACTTGGTGCTGCAGCAATGAACCGCTTAGATGGCGACGCTTTTCTAGGGCGGACACCGATCGAGGCCGAACTTGCTATCCGTAGATCTTACGCCCTAGCTCACACTTGTTGTCATTTGTACTGGGAACATCCCGCTGCTAACTGCCCCCTTTGTGTATCTAAATGAAATGCGCCACATATCAGTGATTCCGATTGACATCTAGAATGAACGAGTTCTCGTTCTGCTGTTACCCATCAGAGCGTTTCATCGAGAAGCTGCGCAGAAAGTGGCCCTTTGCGACTTCTAGTGATGAAAAAAAATTTACCCCCGAGCCTGCTGTATGACAAGTACAGCCATACCAAGAATTTCCTCGTTGTCTCGAGAAGTATCAGATACAGATACGAAGATTTCAATATTTGGTGGAGTCATCCGACGTAGCTGTCCTGGATTCTAGAAGGACGGGAGTCAATCAGAAGACTAACATGCTCGTCTTTGTCGGTCCTCCGCTGGAATGAATCCCCTTAGAGACAATAAGTATCTATCATATGATTAGGTATGTATTCTGAGATTTCACTAGTGACTGACGGCATACGCATGAAGGAAACAACAAGAGCGAATATTACGGCGGATATAACGTATCATAAAGCAGTCAACAGAACAAAGGGACGCTGGAAACTTGAAGGATGGTATCTCATCGTGAATTATAAGCGGCTATAGAGAGGCGTCTAAACTTCTTGAGTTCTAACAGAAACAATTAGACGAGAAGGTTTAGAGTCAAGCTACGCATACCAATTGACAGGCGCTCCGGTACACCACATGGGCAAAAATCTTCATCGGGTGGCAGGATGATGTACTGGCAAGGGCCACTGAAGTTGTTCCACCGTCCTGCCGAAACTCGTTGGAGGGTACCATCGAGTGATATAAAAGGCGACGTCTTGGGGATAGTAGTGTGCCACTGACGATGGCACATATGCCCTTCGGCGTAGAGGCGCACGCGTCGTCTGACGACGATTCACACAAAACTGGAAAGATATCAACAATGATATGAAAAGCGCTAGTACGAACTGTCAGCACATGGCAGTAGTGGCAGTGGACGTAAGAAGGTCCTACCCCCGATAAAAAGAGCGGCTCCAATTATTTGGGCGACGGGCTTTTCACCATGTATCAAGGAGTAGAATTCGCTACCTTCCATGCGTAGGATGTGGTGGAGAATAGCGCAGTGCCATTTTATCCTAGTCCTCAACAGCACCAGCTCTTTTTGGCTCGATGTGGCTGAATATAACATAGAACTGGCTGCGTTTACTATACGCAAGGGGCCGTCTTCAGCCCGCAGGTTCCAAAAAAAATTTGGAACCTTGGTGACAAGGCGGTACGAAGCTGTTGTTGCTCCTCAATGACGTCTGGGAATACAATAGTTAATTCCACGATCGTTGCTCGAATCGGATCAGCCCTGACGCGCTTGAACGTTACCAGGGGCTGGCAATTTTTCACTTAAGCTGTATTGATAGTACTATTACTTCCCGTCCATAGCTTGAGTCTCCCTAAATCTGTACGGTACCAACCTACTAGGATCTCGATTGAAGATGAATACTGTACTATTTCGATCAATTCGAACACGATCCATCAATTTTTGGTCAACAAAACCGAAGGAAATCAGAATACATAATTGAGATAACAATTATTTCCATTGTGACTGTTCTCAGATTTTTTTTGGTTTTGCTGTGACACGTGACATTTGAATTGAAATAGTACAATAATCTGACATTGAGTCGGACTTGATTCAGAGGTAAGCAAATAAACCACTAAATTCCGAAAGTTTTCACACTGGACCATCTGCGAGAACGATGTGTAAATTCCGAACCCGACGACTGTTGAGGCCAGGATGGAGTTTCATAGCCACCAGCCACCGTTTTTTTATTTTACATTATTTAGACCATTATTTACCTTACCGATCGTTACCGTAAAATTTTGGCTTCTTACCACCATCTTCCTGAGTATCATACCACGGAATACAAGTCGTTCGAGCCGCATCATCACGTTCTCTCCGACCGCTGCGCCTAAAATCCCAACAACGACCCGCAGTTCCGCTTGATCCGGGGTACAGCATTACTTTGTAACGACGATCCGTGACGCGATCTCCTGATTTCAAAAACTTCGTATCATGACTCATTTCAAGTCCCCCTCAGAGGAATCGAGTATTTGATTCCACATTCAGCCTGGCAAGTTGTTTGTAGCTCAACAGCATTATCACAGCACTGCGCTTATTGCTGTCTTCTTTTTCGTTACGTATCCCGTTGAGTTCTCACCGACGGTCACACCTCGCTTTCACGTTTTGCCGACTGGAAGGTCAACGCATCCCAAAAGGATGCTCTCAACCTATAGGGCCCGGGACCTGAGTATATTATGCCGAAAACGAATACAATGAGCCCCAGTGAATAGCTGTCGATTCGTTTGAATTTTTCTGGCAGACGCCCGATGACCTCCTTAAGGTTCCCTAGACTGACGGTGTTGCTACCGAGAGCCGGTTGTCAGAGTTGATTTCTCTGCTGTAAACAAGGTTTAGAAAACGCGGTAGCTCATCGACGCTCATCTAAGGTTATACAGTTAGATTTCAACAACTTTACGACCTGCTAACGGAGCTTCAATGTGTGGTGATATATTACAGGACTCTATCAGAACATTCTTGATTCTGAAGCACTGAGAAAGCGATGTAGGTCTCTAAACATTGAAGAAGTACCAGGGGTCTTACATTTATTTCTCAGCAGCGGAGAAAGGAACCAAACATAGACCCAGATTGAAGGATCCCAGCGAATTGATTGCCGTTCTTATAGTGTTTTTTTCCCCAACTTTTGAACTTGCGATTGGCCGGCATGACCAGCCCAGACTCTGAATGGTCTATGTGCCAGCGCCTTTAGTGGCTGATAGAGAGGAGGCGCCAATACCTATCCGTGATAGAATTACGCTGGTCCGAATTCCGACGATGAAGTATACGTTTACAGTTACCATTTCGATGCTTTCAATGCTAGCGCTTGCGCCTCCATGTGTTTCTGCACAGCAAGCTTTTTTTTTCACGTTCGTGAGCAACCGTCCACTACTATAGAACGTGACGTACCCGACGAGAGCTCTTGCGCCTCAGTTGTACGAGACATGATCGCCCCCACAACATCATCAATGTATTTCATAATGCCGTCACGTTCTACTAGTGGACGGTTGCTCAAGAACGTGAAAAAAAGGCTCGCTGCGCAGGAACACATGGGTATCGGTGGGTCATAAGACATAGACCTAGTAAAGTCGCAAAGAAAGTAAAACAACGTAGTACTTGGGATCATGAAAGGTAACGAATAGCAAATGACAGGATGCAAAGAAGGCGAAAGCGAGGAAAGTACGATAGCAATGTGATAGTCGACGTTTAAAAGTGCGAAAAGGGGGCACAGTGATCCACAAGGGGTAAACGGCATGGTAGCCCTGAAAGGTACCAGACGCTTCCTCGATGATGAGCAACGGTTGCTTTCTAGACAACAGAGTTGCGTATTTCAGGGCGGTCGTGGCGGGGGTGATAGACCCGCAAAGGAATCCACACAGGCTGAGGCCGCGAAATAGGTGTGGTTTCCGCCAAAATCCGTAGTCGTCGCACTGATGGCGGTTGTCATGTCCTTGAGAGCGAGAGCACCACACGAGAGTGAATCCCAATATCAACAAAACAAATAGTACTGCTCCTATGGTGAGTGAAGAGATCAGAAAAACGTAGAATAGACGTACGGAAAACGACGATTATGGCAATCAAGACCGAGTGACTGAGATGGTGACCGTCATCGTCCTTAACGTCGGAAATACGAGCAAGATAGAGGACAGTACTCATGTCTGAAACTGAGGTTGGTACCAGCGGCGCGAGACACAGGCAAAGAGGTACTTACCGCTGGGCTCGGTAGTGATAGCGTCGTGATAGGATGCTGATGACGGGATGTAATAATTCATGATCAAGGTCTTTTATGTGGACCCAAATGACCTTGGCAATGCTGTATAAACGGTCAACAGCATAATGAATAGCCCCGCAGTTGGAGGATGTGGGGGGTGACTTTTCCTGAGCGCAACACACGGGTGCGTCACCGTTCCTGTCGGTTTTCGGGACCATCCATTGTAACAATACAATATCCCCACCGGAGCAGACACCTGGGAAAACATACATCGGCAGAATACGAATGGACGTCACCCAAGTTGCTGTGAAGGTGAACCGCTCCGGCTGCGCAAATTGGGTCGTGAACCGTGACGCATCCCAAGAAACCTGTTGAAACCCGAGAGGAAAAAAAATAGTAGATTGCTGTGGGTGCCTACAGACCAGCGGAAAGGGAAGAAAGGCGTCAAGTATGCGTAGATGCCACGATATAAAGTCTGGGACTCTAGGTGCCATAAAGCTTGAGGCGCCAATAGGTGCTTCGATTGACCAGCTGAACAAGAAGCGCTTGTTTACAATACCAGATGACTTGTGGAGCCATCGGACCAGGTTAGATAAATGCATTGCCTTTCAGACCGCATAATGCCTAGACTACCTGCCAAGGAGTTCCGTTTGTTGAGACCACTTGATGGAGTCACTGCAGAGGTTAGGATCAGGTATTTCCGAGTCTTTGACTGAGTGGGAGTGGCCTAAAATAGAAACAACACGTCTTTGCTGACTAAGCAAAATGCTCTTAAGCCCGAACCACGTAGTGCTCTGGCTGCCATTATGCTTCTTGCCGTACATTGTGCTCAGAATCTTTGCTGTAAGATTGCAGTCATCGAATAAGCAGCGGCGTGCTGCAATATTGCATGAACTCGGACGCCCCAACAGCCAAATAGTCGGTTTTTTCCATCCGTATTGGTATGTGTCTTGTACCACTTGTGCGTTGATAGAATCTGATTCTACTTAGATCAGTAATGCGGGTGGTGGAGGAGAGCGCGTTCTTTGGACAGCAATTGCATCTATACAGCGGTCAGAATCTGATATTGTGAACGTGGTATACAGCGGCGACACGGATACTACCAAAGAGCTCATCCTCGACAAAGTCAAGGTGCGAAACTGAGTGCTTGGTGGGAAAAGCGTACTTATTCTTTTCCAGTCCAGGTTCGCTATAAGTTTGGATCCATCTACCATTCATTTTGTTTTCCTTGCTTCTCGCAAGTTGGTGGAGGATTCATCTTGGCCGCGGTTTACCCTCTTGGGCCAGAGTATCGGGTCTATGTATCTTGCGTGGGAAGCTGTGTCTTTTCTAATCCCAGACTTGTACATTGGTATGCTTTTACACGCTGCACTGTTGCTTTGAGACCTCATCTTATTGATTCAGACACTATGGGATATGCATTTACGTTCCATGTTGTTTCATTACTCGGGAATATCCCCGTTGGTGCTTACATCCATTACCCAACAATAAGCACCGACATGCTGGCTCGGGTCAAAACGCGAACCAGGGGGCACACCAACTCAGGTGCCATTTCCTCCTCCTCCATTTTAAGTCGAGGAAAGTTGCTGTAAGATACCATTTCAAACCGTATTCATAGCCCACTCCTTATCTTGCGTTATAGGTATTACAGGGTGTTCATGTACTACTATGCTTTATCTCTGCAGGTGGCATCGTTCCTTATGGTCAATTCGTCTTGGACGAAAAATCATGTAGACGGTATCCTAAACCATTCCGATGCATTGCTTGATGCTGTACACATGATCTCTCCCTTAATACTTGTGCGTCTGCTGTTACCGTTTCGTTCTAGGACGACGAAAGCCCGGATTGTCTATCCCCCCTGTGACACGCGCGAAATGGCTCAGTTCACACTACAGGGTCGTCAACGAATTGTCCTCAGTGTTGCTCAATTCCGGTTCGTTTGTTTCATTCGTGCCTCCAATATTAGTTTTGAACCGTGTCAGTAGACCCGAAAAAGATCATTCCACACAACTCCACGCCCTTCACGAGTTGTTGGAAAGCCATCCGAAGTATAAGAGCGGTGGTGCTCTCCCAGTCAAACTTGTTCTTGTTGGTGGTAGTCGTAATGCGGACGATGCTGCCCGTGTTGACAGCCTTCGTGAACTAGCCAAGGAGTTGACGGTTGAGGTACGGACGCTCTCTCTGGATGTTCAATCACCGATTGATCCTAAAATAGAATCAAGTCGAGTTTGTGGTGAACGCCTCTTACCCCGTTATGCTTGGTTGGTTAGCCAAAGCCAGCATCGGTTTAAGTACCATGGTTGATGAACACTTTGGTATCAATGTGGTGGAGTTTATGGTGTGTATTACTTTTTCAGTCATGCACAGCGAGATGAACATGTGCTTCAGGCTGCGGGTGTGATCCCCATCGCTCATGCTTCCGGGGGACCTCTGAAAGATATCATTGTCCCGTTCAATGGCTTACCAACTGGTTGGTGTTTCGTGCCTCGGTGTTTGGCTCACAGTGTTAATTGCTCTATTCCAGGGTACCACGCAGAGACGCCTGCAGCTTTTGCGGATGCAATCCACACCGCATTGACCCTTCCCACGGACGAAGAATTCGCAATACGACTGCGGGCTAGAACATGGGCTGTCCAACGATTTTCCGAGGAAGAATTCGAAAAGGAGTGGAATGAAAGCGGATGGAAGCTGCGTCTGCCATCGGCGCATTAAGCTGTTGTCTATTCAATCCGTATTGTAGCCTAATACAAGGACATTTGAGGTACACAAAGCAAATATCCGCATTCGACGGATCGATGCAATGTCGTAACTATGCTTCAAAATCGATCTTCTTCACAAGTTCTTCACCGATACCCTGAATCTGGTCAAGGCTAGCATATCCGCTCAGCCCAAGGGTCGTATCCAAATCTGCCATAGTGTGCTTGATTACTTGCTCCACGCCAGCCTGCCCTGCGAGAATAGCTCCATATAGGAAAAGGCGACCAACTGGTTTATATTTAGCTATACTGCCCGCCGAATCTGGGGGAAGGCTTACGGAGTACACCCTGTGCTCCGAGGGCCATCGCTTTGATGATATCGCTTCCAGTGCGTATACCAGAATCGAAGAGAACCGTGAGATTTCCCGCTTTCTGAGCTTGTTTGATCTTGTCTGAAGCCATTATCTCTGCTAGTGCGTACAGGGATGGAATAGCACCGTCCACCTGTCGTCCACCTGTAGCAAGAATGTAAGAATTAATGCTACTACTAAGACAAAGATGAGAATTGACCGTGGTTTGACACAATTATACCGTTGACTCCAAATTCGAGAGCCTTCTCCGCGTCCTATTGACACCATCAGTCTGACTCTAGCGTCCTCAGATCAAGACGTACGCTTCGTCTCTGTATACCCTTCAGAACAATGGGCCCATCCCAGTTATCTCTAATAAGCTTGAGATCGTCCCATGAATGAAACTGCCCTGAACAGACTTCGGCCAGCCAGGCATTACCCAGCTTGCTCTCCTCTAAAGCTTTGGGGTCTCCCTCACTGATGAGCTTATCCCTTGCACGGAAATCGTAAGGAAATTCGGGGTGTTGGTCAAAGATAGGCTGGAGTCCGAATTTGGCCATAAAAACTGGATCGGAACGCCCGCACTCCATCCCTACGCCATGAATGTGAGGCATGTACGATATGTCGATGTCATGTGGTCTCCATCCAAGGGCCATCGTGTCGAGGGTGATCACCACCGCAGAAAACCCGTTTGCCTTCGCTCTTCTGAGCAGTGAGACGGTTACATCTTGGGATTTAGGCCTATATAGCGACAAGAAAAATAATTATAGACAGAGAAAGGATGGTATGGACGAACCAGTAAAGCTGGTACCATCGGTGTCCACTACCGTTCTCTTGAGCAACCTGGTCCATGCTCCTCGAGGAGACTGTGCTTAAGATGAAGGGAATCCCAAGTTTTTGGGCGGCCCGAGCGGGGGCAAGCTCCCCTTCCGCAGAGAAAATTCCCTGCACGCCAATTGGGGCGATAAGCAAGGGTGATGGGTATCGTACTCCTAGTATTGTCGCCTAGGATATAACGTATTCAACACCAGCAGGGCAGAGACCTACGAATATGCATCTCTCACCTCCAAGTTTCTCACTGTGGTATCAACGAGCATACGGGGTATGATTCTGTACCTCTGAAAGGCCTTCAGATTGGCCCGGTACGTAGATCCTGTCCCAGCGTTTCCCCCCGCATACATAAATACGCCTACAAGTGAATTGCTTCAACAAAGAACTGACTGAATAGAATTCCGGCGTCCCACCTGGATAATCCTTCAGCTTCTCCTTTGCTTTCTCCTCAATATCCTCGAAAGAAACGGTTCCCAGAGTTTCCGGACCTTTTCTACCCCAATATACTTCACGCATGTATTGATTCCATATCTGAGGCACCGGTCCATTCTCAGCAGCTTGTACAGTTTTTTCAGCCATGGCGATAGTCAACGTGCAGAAATGACAGAAGACTTACAGGGAATTTGTAGTGGGATAACTTCATCATATGAGCAGAATTGCAGGTCACCAGACAAGTCATTAGAAAGATCCGGTACAAGGTTATTGTAGCGATGACGTTGTAATCACTCGGACTCCGCATTTCCGCCCTTCGATATTCAGAATCTTCGGATAAGTACCCCTCCCGTATTCTGAGCTACTTGCGTACTTGCTTATTTCCGCGGCGATTGTATAAGCTTGCATGCCTATATGTCTCGTTAATTAAGCCCCCCCACTGTCGCACGTTTGCCAAAGCTGTAATCCTCTTAATTTGTTGGGATTTTAACAGAAGCCTGAGTAAACCAGGCAATTTGGTTGGTGTTGGTACCGGCACAATCAGGAAAGGCCGGGTCCTTATCATGAAGGCTCATACCGTTTTGATTGCACGGTTGCGTATGTCTCGGGGAGTAGAGACTCTCCATGGGGTACAAAGACAAATGAGTCAAGCGTAACGATCCCTAAAATACAAAAATACTATTCTATGATTCAGGAAGGAGATGAAATACAAACAGTTATTAAAAGACGTGGAGGATAGCGCTAGCATGGAGATATTTTGCCAAAAATAAACATCTGCATCACCTGTTTGCAACAAATGCCCAACAGCATCGAAACTAGACTCTGCGGACCACAAGGAGGAGGAAAATTGGGGCGAAACAGTGCGGAAGACTTTGCAGAAGAACTCAGGCGATCCATCCGATCCAAATCCGGTCTGATTACAATATAACAAAGCATGGGCTTCATCCTCAATTTCGACACGACAATAATGGTATAAGTGCTGACCACGAATGGTGGTCGTTGACGTTCAAAGTTCCAACACTGGTTCAGCCACCGAAACACCTCTGCTGCGGCCTGCCCGGAAGTGAGAGAATGTACTTGCTTTTGCGCTTGATATTTTACCCATTCAAGGCACTGCTGTACCTTCAGAACGTGTCTTTTCGAGTGGGAAAGAGACTGATACATTGCGACAGAATCATTTAGGATCAGATGCAATAGAAGCTTTGCAGATGTTCAAGTTCTCGATCAGAAAGGGGCAGGGCCTGAATTTTATGGATGATTTGGATGAGCCTTCACAGATACACTGCCTGAAGGGAAATATATCGTGACGGTGTGCTCAAGGTGTCTCGTACAGACGTTCCGAAGAACGTTGTCCACACTGCCAAACAAGGCAGGTAAAATCAAAAAATTAGATAAATACAAGAAAATCGTAGAAATAGCAAGCAGACTTCATTTGTGCGTGTCATTCAGTAGAAATACACGAATTTAACGACACAGCTGGGTGTAGTGTTGCCGCGGCTCGGCTTAAAGTCGCTTGAGCCGGTGAGCCGAGTCTTAATAAGCCGAGCCTGAGTCTCTATTGGCTCAGACTCATTCTAGGCTCAAGCCCATATAGGAGCCGGCTAAAGCCGGGCTTGAGTCGCTTTAGCCGGACGACGATGCCTAATTTGGCCAGTGTGTTTTCTTGACTTTTATTGTCCCCTAGGTCACATAAAATCATGCCCTGTGGGGCGTACTATAAAATTCCAACATGAATCAAGGCAACTACACATCCAAGATGCTGATTAATACCATAAAACGGAGAACTGAAGTTTGAGCATCAATGCCCTTACAGATGCCGAGGTCAAGCCGAAGATCTTCCTAAAAAAGCGAAGTGACTGGAATTTACAGCTGTGTTGAAGATATATTTACATAGCTGCAAGCTGAGTTCCTATGTATCACCAGATGTTGATTCTAAAGGATTTACAAGCCCTCTCGCCTTGGAAAGTGCGTCTTAACCCAGTGACTTCCTTTTTAGATCATTAGTCTGAGCTCAAGCCGACTTGAGCCGAAGCTTAGCTTAGCCGACACAGTGATTACCGACTCAAGCCGACTCGGCTCATGACAATTACCAAAGTCGGCATAAGTCTAGCCGAGCCGAGTCTAGCTGAGTCGCGGCAACACTAGCTGGGTGGCAACTATCTTGCGCGGGTCAAAATGGAATCAAAATCCTTGGCACCTCCCTAATAAGGAAATACTGAAGAATTTTGACCGATGCAAAATCCCAAAAGTGCGTTTTGATGTCATTTTGACTCGTGCAAAATAGCCGTCACCCAGCTGTGCGATCCATGGGTGCTGCAGTGTGTCGTAAAGATAATACTTGAAATAAGAGCATCTGGCTGATGAAGGACTGTTGAGCGCGGCCAGATTTACATGTTCAGGCTGTCTCGCACCGAACAGCCGGTCGCACCTTCGTTCTTGCCATCATTGTCATTCAAGAGACAAGAAAAGACAAGAAAGCTTTGAAGAACGGTTCTGCATCCAGTCAAGCAGGCCGTCGCCGTGATTTAGCCACAGTTTGGACTTGGACAACTCCCGGCCTCCTGCTACATAATACCATGACCCGCTCGCGCCATTTCACTGCGACCAAGACACCTGCAACTGGATATCCTGGCTTTATTTTGTCGGTTTTCACGGTTAGGAATGGGTTAATGGGGGTTCGGGCGTTGTAGACTGGGAAACTTTGGAGAGGGCGCAGTGGCTGGTATGCTAAGCATACATCTGAAGAGGGAAGTTATCCGCTCTCATTTCGGAATGACTTATTGCTGTTTACAAGGGAGAAAACATCTCCACAGCCTCCCACACCACCCTAATTATGCTCTGCCGCTGCCTCCCATTACTGCTAGCACAGACCCCGCTCATAACGTCCTACCACTGATTTATTGGCCTCATACCTGTTACATTAACTCTATACACCTCGTACATCCTCGACGAATCTATTTATGATACATTACGCTCACGAATGAAGGCACCATGCTGTTTTCACGATTTTCTTGCATTTTTTAATTTTTTAAATTTTACTTGCCTTGTTTGGCAGTATGGACAACGTTTTTCGGAACGTCTGTAAGACCTTATATAAACCACATACCCTTTCCCTTGCCAACAACCTTTGGATTGGGAGAATTCCATGGGAGGTCGGTGTACTCAGTTTCGCAGATCAGATGTTGGTAGCTTTACTCTACACGCGGGTCTACGTGTTCAAACTGTTTCCCAAGAAGTTCCGGAGTGTACGAAATGCACCTATGGACGGCTTTCAGAGGTCAATACGTGGGAATGTTAGCACATATGCTTGTTTCGGTAATTTCAGTTACATTCATTGGCCTCTGGAAGCTGTCAAAGAACTGGTTGCACAGCACCTTTAAGATTCGGCGGGCTGTTGACAGAGGATGATCGACTGGAGGAGTTGAACAAAAAGGCGAAGAAATGGTGGCAGCAGATGAAAGGAAATAAATTGAATTGAGGTCGTGAAGTGCTACACCAGAGTTCTAGTTTACTGAAATTAACACTGTGCAAGAAAATTAGCCAAAATAACAGAGGAGCAGTCTAAAACGCACCAAAAAGATACATATCCATATATCCTGATCCTCGATATCCTCCTCCTCTACCTGGCAGTACTGAGAGAAACGTGCAGCGCGCAGTGAAGATGAGAAAGAGAAGATCAACCATTGTTTGTCCTTGTTTACGGGATGCCATGAAAAGTGCGACGAATTAAAGGGGGGACAGATACCCTGACAAGCAAGGTACCTGCCAGGCTTGTTTTAGAGTGTACACCATGTATTCCTCATGTACCCTACACTACACTACGGTACGTGTTTTCACCTTGAACCTAGAATATGATACTAACTACTGATTCTAGCTCAAGAATGAAATGTATATACTTAGATCGTTGACTTGAACAGTAAGCATCCGCATTTGCCGCGTCAACTTTGAAGCTAACAATTTGAATAGATGTTCTATGGCAGCCAAGTCAAGGAATTTGCAGGTGACGATTTGACGAGAGAGCGTACTCGTTCCCTTTATCCAGCATGATGGCATCACGCAGGGGAATCGGCTGCGTATCCCTCACGCAGGAGGATACCGAAGGGTAAGCCGTTTTTCTTCGCCTGGCTCGTAGACGAGAGATTGAAGTGAATTGCTTGCAGTTATTTAACTTGCAGCGGTATCGAGCAAGGAGCTCGATGACTGTGACAGGCACCTGGTAAGCGACTCGTCAAACCCTTATAATGACTACTAACGAGACCTTTTTCAGGTACTCATTCTTGCAGCCAGTTGTTTGACGGGTGCCTGTTCAACCCAAGGTAATCCGGCTTTTTTAAATTCACTCAAAGCTGACCAGATATTGGCAGGATCCACCGACTGCGGCATTCGTTGAGGGACTGTTGGATTTTTATAGCAGGGGAAATGCCGTTCAGAGTTAATGGATGAATCTAAGGTGCGTACAATTTTCCCTCTAACTCTTCGCTAACATAACTATCTTTTTTTATTCAAGTAGGGCTACTTCCGACTCGGAGTCTCGCAGGCACATACCACTGTGAAGATGACTCGATGATCTACGACAAGACTACGCACCGAGAGGCGGAGTTCAAGTCATAGGGATTTGCGGGCTGAGGAATACGGGTAAGCTATTACTTTAGTTCATCTTAACATTTCTAATGTCTTTCAGATTGTATACGTTGACTTTCGACGTGCTAGACGTCGACCTTGAAGCACCTTGTCCGGTAAGCACTCCCTCTAGCTTTCGTTCGCAGATGATTAACTACAGCTTTGTCTAGGTGTAATCTCAGTCTTCAAAGCTCTTGTTTAACAAGCCTAGCCTTGGTTCCACTAAGGTAGGCTTGTCGTTTGGTTCTCTTATCTCCGGCTAACCGTTTATTGCAGATTGCAGTGGGGTGTACCTTTCACTCACAGACGACGCCGTACATGACCACACGCACCGCAAAGCCCTCTCCTAATGACCGGGCTCATCGAGGCTGAATACGAGTCGGTAGAGTGAGTGGACTGAACTTGACTTTGCTGGAGGGGTTACGGGGTTATGGACAAGGTAAGCATTAGGTTATGTTTATCTCGTAACCTGGCTCATTTTTCAGATGTAGAACGTGTATTTCTCGTGTACACTACACTATGGTACGTGCCGTTACCTTGGTTGTAGGCTCTGATACTGACTACTGACGCTAGAAGAATCATGTCTTTAGTTCATCGCTAACTTGCATGGTACCTGTTCGTGTTCTCTGTGTTAATTGTGAAGTTAACGACTTGAACAGATGTTAGATGGCTCCCTAAGTCAATGAATCTTCCGGTAACGATTTGAGGAGAGCACGTACTCGTTCTTTCTCTATATAGCACTTGGCACCGTGTAGAGGAATCGGCGGTGTAACCCTCATGCAGCTGATGCGGAATCTGAGGGGTAAGCCTTCTATTTGTAACTCGTCGACAAGAGATTGAAGTCGTTTGCCGCAGGATTGGTCAATGGTGTAAGTGGAAACGGCAGCGGCCCGAATCAGTTCAAGTAACTGAAATCAACACGCGATACCCCAAATGTTCCTTCAGTTCCCTCGCCCGGTTTCTGGACCCAGAATGCCCCGTAATCTCCTTCGCTCGGGTTCTGCACCATGAACGGCAAGTATTCGACTCAGAGTCGAGTTTGTCGAGGGTGGATTCGGCACGAACCAGCTCGAGACTTGAGGAGACGTTGGCATAAGGGAGGGAGGGAGAGGAGGGATGACTGCAGCAAGAGGATGCGGCGGATGGAAGGTCGTCTGTGGCTGTGGAGGGTAGTCGACGACTCAAGAGGCTGCATGCAGAATACGGGAGGGACGTCGGTGGCTGTAGAGGACAGCCGTCGTCGAGGGAGGCATCTGTTTGGAGGGAGGGACGGTCGTCTTTGAGGGTCGTAGTCGTCTTGAGCCAGTCGACGAAAGGGAAAATCGGGATTCGGAAGGGTGTTGGACGAGGGAGCAACGTTGGTGTTTGGCGGGAGATAGTAGAGAGGCAGTAGAGAAGGCATGTGCTGACCACGAGGAACTGGTGGTCATCGACATTCAACCCACTGAAGCACCTCTGCTGCCCAGAAGTGAGAGGATGTACTTGCTTTTGCGCTTGATATTTTACCCATTCAAGGCACTGCTGTACCTTCAGAACGTGTTTTTTCGAGTGGGAAGGAGACTGATACATTAGACCGTATCTGCTGTGAAATATATCGTTGCTCCGCAATATTTTCTCATGCGCAGATCATGTTTTCTTTGGATGACACGTAAGTTATTTCGTTCTTCATCTACAATGGTAACTCCACCAATTCCGCCTCCAGCAGTGATGACAGAACAGTTTGCTATTGCTGAAGCATGGTAGTGAAGCCTGAGCAGCGGTGCAACAGAGGACACAGGTATCCTACTCTTGAAGCCGGAATCTCACACATCCCCGAAGCCATGCTGTAATAATGCGAAACGGAATGTTAGAAGATGACAGTATATATTGTAGCAGATATGGTCTATTGCGACAGAATCATTTAGGATCAAATGCAACGGAAGCCTTACAGACGCTCAAGAAAGGGGCAGGGCCTTCGAAATTTTATGGATGGTTTGGATGAGCCTTCACATACAGGAGCTTGAGGCACTGACTCCGTTGGATTGATCCACATGTAATGAAACCAACATACCATGTGAATCTGTCCTCAGCTCATCTCGTCATTCTCAATTCATTTTCCCCTGTTTGACGTCAGGACCCAAGATTTTCCCCTCTTCTGTACATTCCTCCCAACAAATACACCTAATACATATTTTGATAATCACTGTTTGCTTCCGCAAAACGCGTCGTGACTTTGTTGATCAAACTTGAACACGTTCGTGCTGTTAACATGCCTCCCGCACTAACGGCATTACGTCTTGCTGACCGCGTTGTATGGACGTGTCCAATACAACAAGGATTTCTGCCTCCTCTGTAAAGACACCACAGGCCGGCGTCTCGATAATGCTCATGTTCATGAACTCTCTCGTGCTCATGAAGCTGCCATGCAGAATTTTCCCAGCAAAAGGAAAATGTACCTCTACCCCAAATTAGCTTCAACATTACGGAGGATCCAAAACCGTACCTCTTGGACGTGGGAACTCGTCGGTTATTGCAGTTGATGAGTGGCGTTTCCAGCGCTACACCAGATCCAGATTCCGATATACCAATGGCGCCTAACTTCCCTCCCTCCATACTGCCCCGTCAGTCCCTTCTTTGGACTAGAACTATAGTTGGCCCTGGGAGGTACAGCTATAAAGATGCCCTGCATGTATCATTGTAGGTTGTCCAATTCTAGGCCGTCGTGCGACTAACATGCTCTCCCAGCTCATTGTTCTCATTGGCCTTTATGCCTGTATCGTCACTTCTGCAGTCATTTCGAGCCGCGATGCTCCTACTGTGACTCTAGACTCTGCGACGTTCACTGGGACAACTGATGGGTCCGTCTCCAAGTTCTTGGGCATCCCATTCGCTCAACCCCCGTGAGTTATTTTCGAACGATCGTGAGGAGGGTATTTAGTCTTCCCTTTCTAGCACCGGGGATCGTCGTTTCCAATTACCAGAAACTATTCCAGCGTACAATGGGTCGTACGATGCGAGCGCTTTTGGGCCATCTTGTCCGCAACAGGCCGTCAAGCTACCGATTCCCACAGGAGTACCAGCGGAAGCTGTGGATTACATCGTCAATTCCATCTTCACTGCAATTCTTCCTGATGATGAGGATTGTGATTACGCGCCTCATTTATTACATATACTTCCTTAATCTTTGTTAGGTCTGACTATTAATATTCTGAAGCCAGCGACCGCCACTTCAGACTCTAAGCTTCCTGTCGTTGCGGTGCGTAATATGTCAAGATTTGGAATCATGAGCTCAAGCAACGTCTCCTCAGTGGATTTTTGGTGGTAAGAACATCTGCTACTGCATGTCGTTTGAGTTTTTACAACAGCATTTGTCTCTAGGTGGCTTTGAGCTTGGTGGTACAGCTATGTTTGTAGTGACTATCATTAGATGCATCAGTGGACACTGAATATCTTCCTTTGGCAGGTACGACGGCACTAGCATTGTTTCTCGGTCAATCGCTCTGAATGAGCCAATCATCTATGTTTCGATGAATTACCGAGTTTCTGGTGCGTTATTTCTCTCTACTCAGTCTTCCCCAGGTTTGTTCATGAAGTTGTTTAAGGCTTCGGTTTTCTTGCGAGTAAGGAAGTCAGGGAAGCTGCCGTTGGTAACCTCGGGCTCCACGACCGTATATTCAGATCCTTCGCTATTTAATCTGACTTTCTGACACGTATGTTTCTCCAGAAAGAGAAGCTCTGAGATGGATTCAGAAGTATATACCTGCGTTTGGTGGAGATCCTTCGAAAGTGACGATGTGGGTCAAAATCGATTTTTTCGCCATATTTAACTGACGATCCGTTTGGATAGATGGGGCGAATCTGCAGGAGCTATTTCAGCTGCGATGCATATGATTGCCTACGATGGTGACACTCAAGGCCTTTTCCGTGCAGCGTTCATGCAATCAGGGTCCCCGATCCCTGTTGGAGCTCTTGAGGGAGGACAGAAATGTATGATGAACAGTTCCTCCAAAGTCCCCTTCTGATTGAAATTTACTGCAGATTACGATGACCTCGTGGTTCAGACGGGATGCTCTGGTTCTGATGATACACTTGCTTGTTTGAGGACGGTCTCATACAAAACGCTGAAAGCGGCAATCGACAATTCGCCTTCTATATCTGATTACCAGGTGGGTGGTTTGTCAAAAATTTCAACAACTTAGAAGAATCAAACAAATCTTTGTCAGTCGTTGGCTTTAGCCTGGCTACCTCGTGCAGACGGCGTCCTCTTCTCCGATAACCCGCAGCGACTCGTAGAGCAAGGTAAAATTGCTAATGTTCCCATAGTGAGCGGTATGTGTGCTATTCAACGTCGAGAATGTCATTGATTACAAACTATTTCTACTAGGCGACTGTGATGATGAGGGGACATTGTTTTCCTTCGCTTCGCTCAATGTCACGTAAGTGGACCGACTGTTCTCTTGTATTATAAGACTTAATTCGCATCACACAGGACAAGCGCAGAGGTTGCAACATATCTCAAGACAGTGATTTTTCCGAATATATCAGACCAAGATCTCAACACGCTACTAGATCTCTATCCTGCAAACCCTCTTGAAGGCTCTCCATATGATACCGGAATATTGAATGTCTTAACGCCTCAGTTCAAGAGGATCGCCTCGTTTCAGGGCGATGCGGTATTTCAGGCACCTCGCAGGTTCTTCTTACAAAACATTTCTGGAAAGCAGAATATATGGGCCTTTCGTAAGTAGTTTAGGAAACCTTTAATCAGCTCCTGACACTCTATAGTGAGTAAACGCCTGAAGCTCGTTCCGCTCTTGGGAGCCTTCCACGCCAGTGATATCCTCAATGTTTATTTCGGTGGAGATATGGCAGATTACCTCATTCGTTTCGCTGCTACTTTGAATCCTAGCGGGAGTACTGGCATTCAATGGCCCCAATGGACTACGAATTCCCCCAATCTACTCACGTTCAACGATGGTCTCTTGCCTTTGACTATTACGCAAGACACATACCGTGGGGATGCGATGAATGGGTTGTCGAAGATCTTATTGGCCAATCCAATTTAATCTTTGTGCGGGGACTGCAGAGATATGGATAATACCTCATCCATTCCACAGAAACATACTTATTGAATACCCACTACCATATTGCTGAAAAAAATTCCACTCTGTCGCGGTCAGCGAATCAGTGTCTACCAAATGTTCTCCCTCCGGTGTGCATCTGCTCAGCACTGAAGCTAAAGCCTGAAGTAAGGCAAGATCGACTGGATTTGAAGTGAATTTCCCACGTCGACTATAACGCCTGGTGGTACAGTACAGGGTTGGCAAAAACAGAGCTACGAGCGAATAGGTTATGTAACCCTCATGCAGGGAATGCGCAATCTGAAGGGTAAGCCTTTTCCTTGCCTGACTCGTTGATGAGACGCCGAACTCGATTTCTCGACTCACTTCAAGCACTTGAACTCGACGAATGAAACGTCGACCAGTGCAGTCGGAGATGACTGCGCGTCAACTCTCGTGCTCGAGGTAAGCGTCGTATTTGTAGTCTGAGTCAACGGTATACTTATCAATCCCTTACAGGCAAGTATTGATAGAGTTAAAAAAGATATATATATTGAAAGCAAACTAGATTACGAAGTAGACTACAGCATGGAAACATTGAGGAGGGGCACGAGCGCCTACGCATGCGCGCGCGGGGGGTGCATAAAAGACGCAAAGACATACCATGCCCCAATCGGGTACGCAACACCCCGAATATCCCTTCAGCTACCCCGCCTGGTTTCTGGACCCAGAATGCGCCGTCATCTCCTTCACTCGGGTTCTGCACCATGAACGGCAAGTATTCGACTCAAAGTCGAGTTCGTCGAGGGTGGACTCGGCATCAACCAGCTCGGGACTTGAGGAGACGTTGGCATAAGGAAGGGAGAGGAGGGACGACTGCAGCAAGAGGATGCCGTGGATGGAAGTTTGTCTGTGGCTGTGGAGGGTAGTCGACGACTCGAGAGGCTGCATGCAGTGTACGGGAAGGACGTCGGCGGCTGTAGAGGACGGCCGTTGTCGAGGGAGGCATCTGTTTGGAGGGAGGAAAAGTTGTCTTTGAGGATTGTAGTCGTCTTGAGCCAGTCGACGGAAGGGAAAATCGGGATTCGGAAGGGTGTTGCACGAGGGAGCCTCGAGCAGCATTGGTGTTTGGCGGGAGATAGTAGAGAGGCAGTAGAGAAGGCATGCGCTGACCACGAGGAACTGGTGGTCAACCCACTGAAGCACCGTGACCTCCGCTGCCCGGTTCTCTGAGCTTAGTCAGCTTCCGGCTTGAACCCGGCCCGTCTTGAGCTCTCTTGCAGTGGCATTCGCCTTGCAGCATTCTCCACCACCACATCATCCTCCCAATATTACCTACACTCCAGCTCACACCAACTCCTCCTCAACCCCTTCAACAGTTAATACGCTTGCAGATCGGCTCGCCTCAGGTTCTCAGTATTTACAACTTCGGCCACCTCCCGCACCCTTACCTACGTTCTTTATGGATTCTTTTATGCTTTACTCACCAAACGACGGCTACATTGAAACAAGTATATCATCATATCTGCCTTTCTGTACTCACTTCCGCTGTCTATTCTAGCCCAGAATTCCGCCCTGCCATGACGATACTGCTACCATTCCACGACCAACACGCACCTCCCGAACATCCCTATTTACGGGCCTCCTCGACATACTCAGCCTTTGTACAGCTTTATGCAAGATTAGACCAGCTTGACACGACGTACACACGATTCCGACGCTTTGGAAACGTATCCCCCCATGTGCATTAGTGGTTGCGATGCACTGGAAACCGTCCATCACGTCTTCGTGCCCTGCCTATCACTCTTTCCGCCAGCATGCCACACAAACACTAATCACCGAGATGTCCCGTATCCTGGACTTTGCAGAAGTACCCCTGCTCATTTGCAGGTCTTTTCTTCACGTTGTCCGACGTCTCTCTGAAGATGGCCCCAATTGACCCCAATCACTGTCTCGATATTACCTCGGTCTAACGCCACCCTTGCCCGCACTTACAGGTTTCACGGGAGCGAAAACTAGTCGCCTGTTGGTACGCATCGCTCACACCTGGCACACGTCATGCCGCATTCGTCTAGCTAGCAGAATTTGGGCGGAGTATAAGCGAAGGGCACGTCCGGCTCCGTTGAAAAAGAATAACAACACCGTAGCTATCAACTTACCGTCATTTTTGTCTCCTATCTTATTGTCTTGACCGTTCCTCTTCATACGTGTACGTTTACTTATAATGAGTTACCGAGGTAGATTAGTTTGCGCTTATTTACCTGAGCTGTATCGGCAGAGGTGGCCAATAAATCCAGTTTTCCAGTTTTCACTTCGTTCCCTCGAACCTTACTTCTTACGAGCCTCAGGTATCAGGCCTAACTATGCAATCTATACTTGTTCTCTTACCTCCTACGGTAGCTACCAGATCAACCTAGTAATTCGGAACGTCAGCTTCTCAGGCAAGCATCAACGCGACTGGCTTAGGATCCAAGGCCAACATTAAATTAAATACTCTAGATGGAGCGTTTTTGTATGGTGGAACTCGATATACAATGAAGGACCAAGGTTAAGTAGACGTTAGACCCTTACCCGAGCCCAGAATCCACAGAGCTCGGAACTGGCCCTTCCACCAGCATATTTCACAGCTGGTATGTTGGTTGATCTTCGCCGTATCATGAGGTTCGCTGACCCAGTCACAAGCATGCATCAGCTGACGGCGAAGTTCGGGAGTATAATGCTGAGTTCAATAGATCGTCAACAATACCGGCAATGAAAGTTTCCCCCTCGCATTCGCAGTTCACAATATTCACATGTTTGAGAATCTCTCGAGTTTGCGCTAGTCGCGGAGGGGAATACACAATTCAGGTGGTATAGTCCGAACCATATGACTTTGACCTGCTGGTTAACGAACCACCCATACAGGCTAGCTTTGGATGGATCCATGGCGTCGTTCTTTGTCCCTGGGTAAAAAGTGTATGCCGAAGCATCTTGGCAATAGTAGAATGACTTACTTCATCATGATTGGCCCCGACACAAGGAAGGGAACCTCCAATTTAGTCACCAGCTTGGCAGGCAACTACAAGACCAAGCCAGTGCTACCAACTTTTGCTGGCAATTATGTGCCTTCAATTAAAATTTATACCAGAAGTCGGTTCTCCCGGAGACGATCACGGCGCTTGATCGAACGCAGAGTTGCAGGCGTAACGGTTCGTTGTTGTCAAAGTATTCTGACTGCCACCAATGACTTTTATACTTAGCTTGCGGCTAAACCAATCATCTTATTCTGATGTTCGTTCCAAATCGTGTCGGTGCCGGTGCAGTCCACATTGCAGAAGAATCACGTTCATGTGCATTTGTACCTTTTCATCGTTCTTTCAGGAAAGCGGCCATGAGGTCCGCAGGTTTGTCCGGAATAGCCATCAAATTTCGGGCATTTGCCCGTGATTTCTAGCAGTGTTCCCCTGACACAGGCGGCCTTGGACGCGTGTCGATCGTTTTCCATCCACGCAGTCGCAGCGCGCTCATACTATTTCCGACTTCAAGTGCGGGGCCCCACACAGTCTAGACCAAGTTGACGCGAGCTTCGTGGTGTCGAGAAGTATGACGAACGCCAGACAATCAAAACTTTCCCTCGGTATCAAAAACAGAGTTCACTAGCGTTTCCCTGAGATAAGCGAATCAAAAAAATGGAGACCGACCTTCTCGTGACAAGCGCTCATGACTTGTCAGTCCCACGACTATAGTTGGCCCTTCTTTGAGGTACAGCTATAAAGATGTCCTGCATGCATCATTATGGGTGGTCCAAATCTTCGGTCGTCGTGCGACTAACATGCTCTCCCAGCTCATCGTTCTCATTGGCCTTCATGCCTGTATCGTCACTTCCGCAGTCATTTCAAGCCGCGCTGCTCCTTCTGTGACTCTGGACTCTGCGACGTTCGCCGGGACAACTTCCGGGTCCGTCTCGAAGTTCTTGGGCATCCCATTCGCGCAACCCCCGTGAGTTATCTTTGAACCATGAATTCGGAGGGTAATTTAGTCACCCTTTTGTAGCACCGGGGATCGTCGTTTCCGATTACCAGAAACTCTTCCAGCGTATAATGGGTCTTATGATGCGAGCGCTTTTGGACCATCTTGTCCGCAACAGGCCGTCAAGCTGCCGATTCTCACAGGAGTACCAGCGGAAGTTGTGGATTACATCGTCAATTCCATCTTCACTGCAATTCTTCCTGATGATGAGGATTGTGATTACGCGCCTCATTTATCACATATACTTCCTTAATCTTTGTTAGGTCTGACTATTAATGTTCTGAAGCCAGCGACCTGCCACTTCAAACTCTAAGCTTCCTGTCGTTGCGGTGCGTAATATGTCAAGATTTGGAATCATGAGCTCAAGCAACGTCTCCTCAGTGGATTTTTGGTGGTAAAAACATCTACTACTGCATATCGTTCGGGTTTTTACAACAACATTCGTCTCTAGGTGGCTTCGAGCTTGGTGGCACGGCTATGTTTGTAGTGATTATCATTAGATGCATCAGTGGATACTGAATATCTTTCTTTTGGCAGGTATGACGGCACTAGCATTGTTTCTCGGTCAATCGCGCTGAATCAGCCAGTCATCTATGTTTCGATGAATTACCGAGTTTCTGGTGCGTTATTTCTCTCTACTCAGTCTTCCCGAGGTTTTTCATGAAATTGTTCAAGGGTTCGGTTTTCTTGCGAGTAAGGAAGTCAGGGAAGCTGCTGTTGGCAACCTCGGGCTCCACGACCGTATATTGAGCTCCTTCGGTATTTAATCTGACTTTCTGACACGTATGTTTCTCCAGAAAGAGAGGCTCTGAGATGGATTCAGAAGTATATAACTGCGTTTGGTGGAGATCCTTCAAAAGTGACGATGTGGGTCAGAATTGATTTTTTCGCCGTATTTAACTGACGATCCGTTTGGATAGATGGGGCGAATCTGCAGGAGCTATTTCAGCTGCGATGCATATGATTGCCTACGATGGTGACACTCAAGGCCTTTTCCGTGCAGCGTTCATGCAATCAGGGTCTCCCGATCCCTGTTGGAGCTCTTGAGGGAGGACAGAAATGTATGATGGAGAGTTCCTTCGAAGTCGCTTCCCGATTGAATTTTATTGCAGATTACGATGACATTGTGGTTCAGACGGGATGCTCTGGTTCTGATGATACACTTGCTTGTTTGAGGACGGTCTCATACAAAACGCTAAAAGCGGCGATCGACAATTCGCCCTTTATATTCGATTACCAGGTGGGTAGTTTGTCAAAAGTTTGAAAAACTTAGAAGAATCAAACAGATCTTTGTTAGTCACTGGCTTTAGCCTGGCTACCTCGCGCAGACGGTGTCCTCTTCTCCGATAACCCGCAGCGACTCGTAGAGCAAGGTAAAATTGCTAATGTTCCCATAGTAAGCGGTATGTGTGCTATTCAACACCGAGAGTGCCATTGATTACATGCTACTTCAACTAGGCGACTGTGATGATGAGGGAACATTGTTTTCCTTCGCCTCGCTCAATGTCACGTAAGTGGAACGACTACTCTCTTGTATTATAAGACTTAATTTGCATCTTACAGGACAAGCGCAGAGGTTGCAACATATATCAAGACACAGATTTCTCCGAATATATCAGACCAAGATCTCAACACGCTATTAGATCTCTATCCAGAAAATCCTCTTGAAGGCTCTCCATATGGTACCGGAATATTGAACATCTTAACGCCCCAGTTCAAGAGGATCGCCTCGTTTCAGGGCGATGCAGTATTTCAGGCACCTCGCAGGCTCTTCTTACAAAACATTTCTGGAAAGCAAAATATATGGGCCTTTCGTAAGTAGTTTAAAAACCCTTTAGTCAGTTCCTGACACTCTATAGTGAGTAAACGGCTGAAGCTTGTTCCGCTCTTGGGAGCCTTCCACGCCAGTGATATCCTCAATGTTTATTTCGGTGGAGATATGGCAGATTACCTCATTCGTTTCGCTGCTACTTTGAATCCTAGCGGGAGTACTGGCATTCAATGGCCCCAATGGACTACGAATTCCCCCAATCTACTCACGTTCAATGACGGTCTCCTACCTTTGACCATCACGCAAGACACATTCCGTGGAGATGCGATGAGTGGCTTGTCGAAGATCTTATTGGCCAATCCAATTTAATCTTTCTGCGGGGACTGCAGGGATATGAATAATACTTCAACAATTTCACAGAAACATACTTATCGATTACTCATTACCTCACCGCTAAAAGAAATTCAAAGCTGTCGCGGTCAGCGAGTCGGCGTTTACAAAATGTTCTCCCTCCGGTGTGCATCTGCTGAGCATTGAAGCTGAAGCCTGAAGCAAGGCAAGATCGACTGGATTTGAAGTGAATTTATTACGTCAACTGTAATGTGTGGTGGTACAGTATAAGGTTGGCATAATGGAGCTACGAGCGACCAAAAATGCTTGAATACAAATTAATGTTCTCCGTGCATCCGCAATCCCAAAGTAGATACTTATAGAATGAGGTGAGAAGCCAGGCACCGTTACAACCAGCAATTTAGGGCCAGAGGAGTAGAACAGCCATTGTAACCAAGTCAATGCGAGCCAGGTATAACAAGAAGGAAAGCAAGAAAGAATCTCAGTAGTTGCTCAGAAGAATCCAACCAAGAAACAGGAATTACGAGCAGCAAAGCAGTGTCATCAACGTCGTTTTCGTGGCTTGATCTTGGTTGTCGGTTCACTAGCCTAAGAATTTACCAATCAGTCATCTTTGTTGGCCAAAAGTATGGACGACACATACCTTCTTATCAGCTCCCAGGATTTTACGGGGAGCACTTGACTTCTGTACCCACGCGACACGCATAAGACAGATACATTCTAGGCAGTAAAGTGACGAACCGGTCTCCGAGCAGGGCGTTGATTATCGTCGGATTTCGTCATAGGCGAGTGGGGTCGGTCTCGCTTACCCAAGGCAGACGGCTGTTTTTCTTCTTCAAAGATATCGTCATCGTCATCGGCAGCGAGAGTAGCAAATGGTGTGGGCGATACAGGGTCGGGGGTTCGAGCGGCTGATTGCGGAAGGATCTCGTCCTAGGAATGTTAGAGAGGACTCAAGATATATATAACAAGAAACATACTTCCGGCTGCTGCGTTAATGGACTCGACATCCACACGTTTAGGTCCATCATAGACTTCGTGCCAGATTCCTTTAAGCATTTCGCAAGGTTCGACTCCAAGGAAGCGATTTTGGATTGTAACGAAACGATCATATTGTCTCTCTGTATTTCATCGTTAGTGTCGACCTAATGACTACGAAACCGACTATCACCGATCGCAAGTCGTTTTCTTTGTTGACGATGTCTTGCTCGCAGGTCGCCCTATACATCTGAATGACAGATTGTACAAATGACTTCTCGACGTCGCTCTAAGAACATTTAGCGAGGTAAAAGACGATGCTGTGGACTTGTTACCAATTTGCCAGCCTCATATCGCTTTGGCATAGTCATTTCCCTGTCGCGGAGGTACTCCAGTTCTTCTTGCAGCTCTTGCGTCTGATTCGTCAGCGTTTTTGCTTCTCGAAGGCCTCTCTCCAGTTCGGACCGAGCTTTTTGAGCATCCTTCTTCGCCGTTTCGCACTCGCTAGCCAGGCTGTCCAACATACTTTGTTTCTGCTGTGCAAGCTTCAGTGCTTCATGACGCTCCGTGTTCGCGGCTTGTAGTTTCTGAGCTTCGGATTTGATTTGTTGTTCGCACCTCTCCTCAAGCCTGGCCACGTCGATCTTCAGGGCGGTTGCTGCTTCTTGCTGGGCCTTCATGTCCGCCTGAAGGCCTGCGAAAGAATTGTCCAAGGATAACTTCTGGTCATGTAAATGCTTGACAGTAGTATCAAACGCCGCTTTTTGGTCTTCAAGGTTCCTGTCAAAGAGAGCCTGTTGATCAGCGGCAATTTTTTCCGAGATATTTTTCTGTTCCTGCAACTTGGACTCGTAAGATGCCCTCTGCTCTTGTAGTGATCGCTCAAGATGGCTGCTATGATCGCGGAGCGTCTTCTCAAGCAGTTCCTTCTGGTTCTGGAGCGTCTTTTCAAGCAATGTCTTCTGATCTTGGATCGATGATTCGAGCACTCCTTTTTGCTCTTGAAGGTGTGCAAGATCTAACCGTGCAGACGTGGCGACCCCTTCAAGTTTTGCCTATGAGGCATACTATAAAGACGTGGCCACAGAGATAACTATGAATCGTACCGTCAATGTCATTACGCGCTCCTGGTGAATATCGTCGGATATTTCATCGTCCGTGACAAAGAGTAACGCACTTGCAGATCACCACAATGCTCCTTGGCCAGTTTTAGAGTTATCGTCTGGTTATCAAAGCGCTCTTGAAGAACCTAATTGGAGGGATGAATGCAGCGCCTAGGAACAGAATTGGAACCCACGTTGAAGGTGACATTGTGATTCTTCAAACTAATAAGCCAGCTAGTCAGATATAACGTATTGGCAGAGTCAAAATGACCTACTTGGTCTCTCTGTCGGTGACTTCCTCCCTGAGTTTAACGATCTGAGCTTCAAGAAGGACGTTCTTATCCTGGACCTGTTTGTATTTAGTAGACTCTGCGGAACATGCTAATTTGGCTTCTTGGATTCCCATCTCCAATTTGGAGATCGTCCTCCGCGAATGATCGCTCCTGTAAATACGGATAAAGTATGAGCCTGGCGTTATGTGAGCGAAACTGACGTTTCAATCAGCGCTGCTTCCTTCGTTGTCAATGAGCGGATCCGATCATTCAAGACGGACAGTTGGGTCTCCTGCTTGCGTACTGTGGCATCACTAGCGGCGAGTTTGACCGAAAGGCTACATAGAGACCGTTAGGTTAATAATACTACGACCGCGCGGTACATACTCTTTGAGAGCAGCGTCCAATTCTTTGACTTTGACGGATTCTATGTTGGTGGTTCTGAATAAAAAATGATGAACGAGGTGTCCGCGGAAAGTCGGGAAACACTTGCTCTTTTTTAAGAGCTACGAGTTCTTCTTCTTTTGCTCTTAGCGCGATCTGCAAGACATTTGCCCTATTTTGGTTTTAGGGACGAATCTGACTGCAAAGAAGTAGGACATGCTTCTCGATAGCCTCATTGAGAGCGGTGGATAAATTTGCACTTTCTATCAATCCTTCAAAGGCTTCGCCTTCTCGCTTAGCGAGTTTGTCAGCGAGTTCCTCTATTTTACATTCTGTCACAAAAAATCACAGGCATAAGTTGGAAGAGGAACCGAACAACAGAAACTCACGAAGGTTTTGCCATGTTTCACCACGTCGACTCCAGCGCGCTCCTTCCTCAAGTTGTCGCAGTTCCAACTCGGCAATCTTCTGTTTTGACTCCACTAATTGCGCGCTTAATGTATGGAGCTTTTCACGTAGGATATCATTAACTTGTTGGGCTGTCGTCGGGATCAATATATTGGTCAGATGTCATACATCAGTAACGTACAGCTGGTGCGGTCTTGCTGCAACTCGGAAATGAGGTCTCGGGTTTCGGCAGATTTATGAAGGTAGCGACCACTTTCATCCAGGTGGGATTCAACGACTAATTTTGAGATCAGTTCTAATCAGTTCTAAGAAAAGATATGAAGAAAACGCAGCGCACGTTTGATTTGACGCTCAGAAGTAGACTTTAGTAACTCGATTTCATCCTTCGTGCGCTGAAGGTGGTCCTGAGAAACATCGAAACGTAATTTGAGTTCATCAAAGGTGGTCTTCAATGATTCATATCTGTATAAAGAAGTAAATATCAGTATACACACACAAAAAAAAAGGAAAAATATGCATGCCCTCGGCTGAGATGAACCATGCCTTTCTTTGCAGTATCCTTGATTTTACCAGCACGCTCTTCACACGCTATATATTTCTCACCAGTATGCAAGAGTTCAGAGCGCAAGCGTTCGACCTCGCCAACCTTGTCCTGCATCGAGTTCACGGTGCGCTCCCGTTCCTCTGTCACCTGGCAGAGTTCCGATTTCGTCTGGGACAATTCCTCAGTGAGGCTTTGTATTTGTGAGGCCTGACGCTGGTTTTCCAATTCAAGCGTAGCGAGCTTCTGCTTTAACGCAGCGGCGGCGTTCTGGGCCGTCACGAGCTCCCCTTTGAGACTTAGAGTGATCTTTCTCTGCATTTCAAGTTCGAATATATGAGTATATGCGCCCAAAGTGACACTAAATGTATCGCACCTCATTAGCCAGTTGGGATTTCATGACCGAAGCTTCTCTCATCTTCCTGATCATCATGTTTTCTTCCCAATTTACTTCGTCCCCATGATAGGCAACCTCAGGTTGAACAGAGGAATGTCGCGAATGAGGTTCAAGCCTCTCTGATATCGGAGTTTGCGGGAGCTCAGAAGACCTCAAGCTATTCTGCTGCGCAGGGGTTGATAGTTGGCCAGCATGTGAATCGGTGAAAGGTCGTTTCGAAGACTGTGAAAACATCCTGAATACTGGAGGAGTATTCAGAGAGCTTTCCTTATCGTCTACTAAGCTTTCAATCAGCGGCAGGTCACGCAAATGCTACACCATACCTGTACAACGCTCCTCCTGCTCCTCCTGCGTAGTTGGCGATTGAATGTTGTGTCGAGAAGTATGAGGCATCCGCTGACACTCTCTATGCGTAGGTTGTGCAGGATTTATAAGGAACATATTTGTGGGTGGTTTCGCGGATCGCACAGCTGGTGCAAAGACATGTGTCTTTTGAGGATGGCGATGATTTCTTGATTGCGGCGTTGAAGTCTGGGGAGCGAAATTGATTTGGAATGGTCTCTTTAGTGCTCTAGACGCGTTCTCTGGCAGCCCATGCTGGCTGAATGTAAGCTCGTCTGAGTTCATTGCGTTCAAGGCGACGAGGATGGACGACGAGGATGGGAGTAATAAACCAAGAAAGGAATTACTATATTGGGCAGGATCCGATCAGTCCATATACATCCCCATGAGCAAATAGACCAAAATAATGAGGGCGGATAAAAATAGGCCTTCCCCAATTTCCACCGTCTGTCGACGTGTACCGACCATTTCTTCCCTCTCGGTGCTACCAACGACGATGGTAAATATTCAGACAGCTCTTGTAGCGTTGGCGCTGGCGTCGCCAGTCTTTGCAGCCTCGCCAACGTCTTTAAACGATCCCTTTCGCGCCATTTCCGCGGCCGTATCTCGGGAGTCTCCACCGGTGTGTTGCCTCATCCCACTCGAGCCCGTCGAACCTACGGATACAGATGCTCTACTCTCCTTTGAGGAGTGGAAGGAGAAGCAGGCTGAGTTGCAGAAGAGGGAGGGGAAAGAGAATGATGGGAATCATCCAGGCAATATATCCGGCGCAACGGGTATCCACTATACTGGACACTCGGACACCGTTGGCAGCGATGGTCAGACCACATCACCGTTGGCTTCGTACGAGTCCATGGACGAGCCAATATCACCCCATTTCCAAGTCCCATTAACGGACAGATTCAACTATGCGGCCCTCGATTGCTCTGCTCGTGTCCACGTGTCTCATCGTTCAGCAAAGTCCCCGTCTTCTATCCTATCCTCCAAACGTGATAGGTACATGCTGAGTCCATGTACTTCCAAAGAAAAGCAGTTCGTAATCGTCGAATTATGTGACGACATTCGAATCGACACCGTGCAGCTCGCAAACTTTGAATTCTTCAGTGGGGTTTTCAAGGACTTTACTGTGAGCGTGGCGAAGACGTACACAACAAGGGAAGAGGGTTGGACTGTAGCAGGGACCTACAGAGCCAAGAATGTTCGGGGCGTTCAGGTGAGGCGTCACTACTGCCATTTGTACTCAGTCTGACTTTCGCTAGTCCTTCCATCCACCAACATCGCTTCACGACTTTTACAGGTACATCCGGATCGAGTTTCATTCCCACTACGGCAACGAGTACTATTGCCCCATCTCCTTGCTCCGAGTGTACGGTCTTACTCATCTCGAGCAATGGAAATGGGATGTTTGGGAAGCAGAATACCGCGCAAAGCATGAGAAAATTCGGTCGTTACCCGCCTCTGTTACTGACGAACCCGAGCCTGTCCAGACATCAGACCCCCTTACTGTTGTTAATGTTTCCGCAACGAATATCGCTGAACCTGGAACCGAAACCGTTGACTTTAGTCCGATCCCAGAGAGCTCTAATTCCCCACCGGAATTTGGCTCTGCTACTTCTGAGTCCACAACCAAATCTATCAGCACACCAATTACAGCGTCGTCGACAGAGACCGTTTCATTCTCAGGGCGTGATCCCTCCTACGAAAGCGACATTCATTCTACAGATACCGCGCAACCTTCTTCCACCGTTCATCGCCCGGCAAGTACATCGTTCACGGATTCTGCTTCTACAAACTCGACCTCGGACTCTGACGGACATTCATCGGCATCGGCCGCAGGAGGGACCTCTTCGTCTGCGTCACAGACGGCCACCACCATCGTTACGGCTTCCGGTTCAAACAACATTCCTATTCCACCCCCGATGCCTCCCACTACCGGGGGCGAATCTATATACCGCACGATCATGAACCGTCTTACGGCGTTGGAAGGAAACCATACTTTGTATGCTCGTTATGTCGAGGAACAGACCACCGGAGTGAGAGAGATGTTAAGAAGGCTCGGTGAAGATGTCGGTCGCCTAGACGGTCTCGTACGAATATGTTCTTTGTATATTCGTGACCTCAACCTCATTGTGCATTCAGGGCAAAGCTCAAGCTCAGATGTATCAAAAAACACTTCGTGAATGGGATAAACAGCGACTCCGGATCGAAATGGATTACAGAGAGCTTGCAAACAGAGTCGACTACCTTTCCAATGAGGTGGAGAAAGACTGTTTTCCTTCTTGAGACTCACTGACGTCTTCGTTAGATCATTCTTGAAAAACGTCTAGGCATAGCTCAACTTTGCCTTTTACTCGCCGTCTTGATCTTCATGGGGCTCACTCGAGGATCCAGATCCGAGGAACATGGCCCGCTCATGTTCAGACGAAGCATGAGAGAATGGGGCCGTCGACACCTGAGCTTCAGCGGTGATTGGTTCACTAACAGGAGTCGCAGCACTCCTCCGAATATCAAGATGTCTCCCAGACCCGGCGGTCAGTCTAGAATCCGTTTTCAGCAAATAGTTATCCTAATGTCTGATGCTAGACGCAAAAGTTGAATTCCCCACATCTTCAGTCGAGCCCTCTGCGAAACCATCTTTATACACCATGCAAGAACAACGTTCTAGCTCGCCCACGCCGCAGCACCGCTCTCGCTCTCATACGCCTATTCCTGTTCGCACACCCATGAACCGGCATCTGAATTCTTCACAGCTCCGGCCGGCGACTCCCACGAGTACATCCCGGCCTATCATTAAACGTGCCACTTCGGGCGGAGGTCTTGTATCGAGCACGTCTTTAAACAATGGGCGTTCTGCACCCCGAAGTGCCAGGCGATGGGCCCGTACTGCTCATTTGCATGAAGTACGTTTAACAAATAGACAACGACGCGCCGATGATCAAGGCGATGATGATCCTTTTCTCGCCACGACACCCTCCCGGCACCGCCATCGTGGGCACGCTCATATAAACGGAGTGGAGGCAATCAGATCTTCGCCGGAATATGACTCAAGCGATGATCCCTTTTTGGCCACGATGGAACGCAAGTCCATCTCACCCGGGCCACGTAGCATTGGCAATCCGTGGTCCCCATCAGATGAGGGCGAAAGCGACATATGGCTTGATACGGATGCCAGTATAGACGGCTCCGAGACTGAGCCCGATTCAGGTTAGTCCCGCTCCATAGGACTTCTCGTTATTATTTCTACCACACTCGTGCTGCCCTTTCCTTCTTTTTCCTTGATTAGCATCTGCATATTCTATTCATTCTACCCAACTGTAAATTATACCTGCAATTCATTCACAAGTCGGATACGTGTTCAATACGCCGTTGCTGCTGAAGATCAACTGTACGATCATCAATACCACTATCACTCCACAACTCTCGCAGTAATGTTCTGTGAGTTCTTTAAGGTGACAGATTGACCCTCATTTTTATTGTTTACTATCATTTATTAAGAGTCTCTGCAGGTACATGGGTATTTACGGATATAAAATCTTTCAAGACTTTTCCCGCTTCGACGAGGAATCGCTCGGCCTTGAACGAATGTTTTTTTTTTTTCTTTTTTTCTAGTCATTATACCGGAAGGCAGCACGCAATACGACGTAGTTGATGCTTCACTCAGTGGAAGTGAATGGTGGCAAAGCTGTGGACAGGAAGAATTCTTTTCCGCGTGGCTACTATCTGAGCATGCCGACTACTCATCGAGCTGCCAAGCGAAAATGAATACGTTCTTTGGGACTCGCTTTCAGAATGGCTTGGCGAGAAACATCAAAATGCCAAAATGCCGGGAAGAGTACACGTATATGCCTGGAGAAGAGCCGGTGTATATTAGGGCTGTTATTGTCATGTAAGGCTGCGCGGAACTTCATCATAATTTTTACATACACACAATTGACTAGCACCTCCCCGCTCAATGCCTGGCGGACCTTTTGCATCATTCTTAGGCTTCGAATCCTTTCAACGCGGACTCTGCAGCGCAGGGAAATCCCAGCCGGAATCCCAACTCCGCTGCCTTGTTCCTCGAATTGCTTCCTCTGATATTGGTTACATACCTTGATCACTCCGTACGCATTTCTCCGGGCTAGAAATGGAAGAGAAACTTGGGGCGTGTACCTGAAGATCAAAGGAGTAAGTACTTTGTTGATATCATTCGCAGTCCGAACCATGTCTCATTGTCGCGACTATGTAGGCCATCAAATCTACCGACAACTTGGGAAATCTGTGATGCATACCACTGCCCATCGCACGCTTCTTGCCAGGCAACAGTGCCGGTATAAAATGTCCCCGTACCTGGGGCTTTGGGTTGGCATCTTCTGCACCAGCCAGCATGTCTCTGTCGATCTATGTGGCACCCATAGCCTTGTTCATTATCTTCTTTGTCCGGTGGAAGCCTGTAAGGAACTGGGACTTAGTTCAGCCCCATTTAGTCGCTAAAATGTTAACGTTAGCGCACTCTGCCCAAAGGACATCCGCCTGTCGTTGACATTCCGGTACGTCTTTTTTTAACGAGATATCAACTGTACTTAGTATTGTTCAGGCTGGAGACATGTTTCAAAACCCCCGTAACGCATACGAATCGGCTTTGAAAGAACACGGGCCCGTGATAGGTGTATACAGGAAAGGCAGGGTAAACACACTTTTGACAGAGTTTCAGTTCGTTTCTCTGACAATTCTATAGCTCGAGTTCATAGTCGACGATCAATTTACTGCCGAAGTTCTTACCAATGACTCCGTCTTCAGTTTTGAGAGCGGTACCCTTACGGTATGTCCTTCGAATCGTTTAAACTAATATCCATTCGCTTAAATGGTTATTGTAGGTACTAAATCTCCACCCGTTACTACTGTTTCCTCGCAGCTTTATCCGCGACATTGACAAACTAGTCAATGAGGGGCTTATTCCCCTGATGAAACAGATAATTCAAAAAAGTGCGTTCTTGCATCTTGCCTATCTGAAAATTTAGTGACAAAGTACAGTCACTCCCATATTTGAGCAAAATATACGCGAGTTGACCGACAAGGCGCAAAACTCTACGTCCAGGACTCCAATTCCGGTCGATTTAGCTGGGCTAATACATAAGACCATGGCGGAATCGATGCTTACCATCATTTTTGGAGAGGTGGGCGTTCTACTCAGACACTCACTGTCTGCTAATTTACGTTCTCCCCAGACTTACACCACGCCAGCGGATATCCGTGCGGCAGAAAGAATTGCTTCCGACATCGCTGTCCTTTCGGGAATCTATCAGAACATAGGATACTGGTCTCGGACATTTCCAACTACGTGGAGGGTTGTCACATGGTAGGGGCTTTCGTCAGTTCTTCAAGCGCGGTTGATATGAACTATATCTTCGCCAGGGTACGCGTAATGGGATTCTCAATACCTTGGAACTTTGTCCGCGTAATCGGATTCCGCGTCTGGAAGGACTTAAGACGCTGCTCAAGGACCGGTCGTACTAGCCATCTCCACGAGGTACGCAACTCGTTGTCCCATTGATTTGATTGAATAGACCCACTTCAGGAATCTCTACTCCACTACCTTGCCCAGCGCTACTGTTACAAAGATGCGCATGTCGTCCGGTTAACACTGCTTGACAGCCTCTGGATATTAGGTCTTACACTTGGGTACGCTTATCAGCCCCCAATCTCAGCTGAAAATGATGTTGACATCTTAGATAGTTTACTCTTTGCCTCGATTCACCAAACGTACGCTGAAATCTCTGTCTCTTGTTGTGTGGAGTCGAACTCTCACTATCTACTCAGTGCCGCGGTCATCGTCTGGGTTGTGTTCGAACTGGCTGTGCGTCCCGAGATCATACCAACCTTGCGTGCAGAGCTCCAAGATATACTGGAGGTGGACGAGCATAGTGGAAAGCTGATTCTAACCAACGCTTCCCTGAAGAATGCCGAGCGGCTTGACTCGTTCATTCGGGAGGTCATGCGCACAAAGGGCGATACTTTGTCAACGATTCGCTTCACTATGCGAGATGTAACTCTCGGTAGATACACTATTCCAAAAGGTATGTTCAAAGAATTAACCCAGGTCCTTATTTGCAGTCTTATCCTTGTTCAAGGGCAATTAGTGTGTCCCCTTGCTACATTGTCCCACAGGAATCCCGCATACCATGGTGAGGATGCCGAAGAGTTCGTAAGCGACCGGTGGGTGGGTCATGGCAAGCCGGCAGTCATGGTAAGCCCCACCTACTGGCCGTTTGGTCTAGGGAGGTTCGCATGCCCAGGACGAGCGCTAGCCGTCGCAGGTATGGTTTCATTCCTACATCATTTCATGCAGATGTGTTGAATATCCGGTTGTAGAGATCAAGCTGGCAGTATTCTTTTTGATAGGTCGGACTTTCCCGGCCTTAGAGGGAAACAAGTACGAAGTTGTTGACCCCTTGAATATCACGTCGGTGCCCCCGGTGGGACGATTGTTACTTCGGCCAGCTCCACCGGTGTTCTGAAAATAAAAGTTTGGGTTCCATTTTTTGACGACGCAGAGCGTTATATTCGTAGTCTTATATTTAGAGAGCTCGCCTGTTCCATTTATATCTGGTTTGCAGTTTGCTTGTCGCCTTTACTTAAAGCCTGAGACTTCTTTACCAATAGATGCCGTCGATCGTTATTACTCAGTTGATTGGCTTTTCATCGAACTGTTCATGCGTCGGATGAGATTGCGCATGTTACGACATTAAATAAGTCAACAACGGGGTCCCTAAGGGGAGCATAACCGTGAGAAGTTAACTGCAAAAGCACTCGATGTGTTTCAGAGATCACTTCGGATCAACTGAGCTTTAGAGCTTTGCAACCCAAGAGCTCGCACGGTGAGCGTGGGGATAAGAAGAATAAATCGAACTGATTGAGTTAAGCCTAGCCCTATGCCCAGCACACGGTGTCTATTTCCTTGGGGTAGAGAGCGTTGTAGGGCTCGGTGTCCGTGTCCATAATAGATCGCCATAATAGATCAATGGAATCAAGGGGTTCAGCAAGCTGTGAATTATTTCAATACAAACATTGTGAACCGTAGCGTCAGCTGATGATGAAAGGAACATAAATCTCGGCAAAAGACGCTACACCATAGGGTGTTTCGTCACAGAAGTATCGTCCTGTCTTTGTGGCGGGTAATCTCCGGAGTCCATCTCAACGAGATGGCTAACATTTACTGCGACAGGAGTGCGGCGGTTCAGAGAGAAACTCTGCGGTCCGCTGCGGTCATGCCCCGTTTGCGACAACGCCGTCAATTCTCGAGAGCTGATGCCGAGACTGACACGAAGGATAATTATTGTGAATGTGATTCCAATTAAGGGTGAGGTCTGGTTGATATTTAGAGGTACGGCATTGAGAATAGGGAAAACTTGGGGAAACCTACCAAATCTAGGACTGTGTACTGAGCATTTGAACCAAGCGTATAGGTGATCATTAATGAAAGCACGGAGGCCGAATATACAGCGGCTGACTCGACGACCATCATGAGAGCAGAACGAGCGAGATTTACTTGAATGACATCGCGAACGGCTCGTTGAATGCTAAGAATTCGATAGGCGATGAGGGCTACCGATGGTAAGTTAGCCTTGTCGGATATCATCCGAGAGTCATTCATTGGTGAACTCACAAGTGCAGACAATATTGGTGCATAGAGTCATCGAGATGAAACTAGTGATCCAGGGAACAATATTTGGTAAGAACACTTCTGCCCCAGGTGCAGCATGGGAAAAGGCAACAGTAGCACCAAAACCTCCCACTAGAATAGAAGACGGACTCAGAACGAAGTTCAGACTAGTATGCTAAAACTCACCGCCTGTCCCGCACAGAAGTAAAACAGGCCCAGGTACAATGTACCATCTACGATTCCATACAATGAAGCAACGATAAATCTAGAGCAGTCTTTTATTCGAGTACAAGAGCGACAGAAATCAAGGTACTTACCACGAATCCGTCTCCGACGAGGGTCAAAATGACATATATTGCTGTTTTGGCAGCTTGCAAAGGGTTTGATAAATCCGAGTAGTATTGCAGCGCGCCTCCGCTCTCCAGCTCAACAAATGCCTCGATGGCGCGAATGATGTCCAGAATAAGATGCTATAAAGCAGTGTCAGAGAGCCCCAGACAAAAAAGTGTCGAATAACTGACCACAGTTGCTAGAATCCAAATGATGATCACTGTCGATAGAAGTTTTACGTTTACTCCTGATCGCTTCTGGAAGATAACATAGATGGCAGCGATAAATAGAACAGTGAAAGATCCTAGTAGACCCGGCGCATTCAGATAGAAACAAAAGTTCAGTGAGAATAACGATGGTACCATATAATAAGGTCTCCAGCACTAGGGCCAAGAACTAAAAGACGGTGTAAGTTGGCAGCGTAAAAGTTTAATAAGATCAATTATGACGTTAGCTTTGTCCAGGGATATGGAGGCCATGGAAGAGCACCGCGACGCAGCACGGTGGAAACAGAGTCAGCTGTTGAACGAGGTTCAAGTAAGTAGTAAGAAAAACGGCCCAAACTTGAAGGCTATGAGGAGTAGTAAAAACAGTTACTGTGCCATCCATCAGTGCATCACCGCATCATCCAGTTCACGCGCATCATGTTTGATTACGGCTTTTTGGTTGCGATCCAGTCGTGGTTTGGAAGTGGTTCACCCGATGTTGGATCTAGTAAGCCTGCCGGCCCGGTTCCATCCCAGCGTCTGTTTACGTCATCAACTTCGAATCACCCCGGTCCCCCAGAACTTGATGGCGAACTTAACTGGCTCTTCCTTTCAGTACTGAAGCTGATGCATCAAGCTGCGACCGCAAGGACGTTCATGAATCAATGCTGACTACAAGTTACGGCCATGATGCATCAGAATACTGGACACCGGTCGTGCTGCCACCACCGTCATCTCTTTGCGGTTTTTCTCTACGAAAATCATTCTGTGCATATCTGATCTGGACAAGTGGTACCACCGGTTTATCCGTGTCCTCCACTTGCTCAGGCGAATCATTTGATTCATCAGGATGCATGATAAGGATTCATGGCCCGAGTTGTCTCGAGCAGGGCAAACGATTGTAAAGCTCAGGGATGGGAACGCTATGGATATACCCTTGATAATCATTCACGGTTAGTACTGATTTGAATTGCTTGGCTATCAGCGAGTTTAAATCTGATATTTCATAGGTGGAGGCGGAGCGATTCATGCTTTCGGTCCATTACAGCGCAAATTCCGTTCCGCTCTTTGGGCCCTTCAAGTTACCCCAGACACGCCCCTTACAACCGTGGAGGACCAGGCGAACTTCTATTATGATAAAATCAAGGTATATTTCGCATTCTCTACCTTTCCGCATTCCACCCATTTTCTTAGAGTGAACGAAGATCAGGACCTTACCGACTCGCCGCGTTCTCAGCCTCCAGCATCATCGGATTCGCCCTTACACGTATCTTTGAGCGCAATGGAGATACAGTGGTCCAATTCGCACTTATTGACCACTTTCCGACTACCTTTCTTGCACCTGTGCTTGGTGTCGATGTCACCCAAACGCCACTCCAATATCCTCGTGCCCGGAAAGAGTTCATTGACGCTAGCTTTGACAATTTGGTCGTCATGACCCGGAGAGATGGGGGCGGAAATGTTCCTCGACGACATCGCCTTGCGGATGGGCTCTCCGATGCTCGCAAAGGGCTACCGACTGCACCCTTCATTCAGTCACACAAGGATATCTTAGACCGATTTCTTAACCAGGTTTTTGACTTCATGCTAGTCATTTGTGGGATCTCAGAAGGGTCGGCGTCATCTGATATAGCATGCGAGCCGGGACACAAAGTCATTAAAGCACTGGAAGATTGGCTCAAAGCTGTCGATGCACCTGTGTCCATCTATCTCGGGTCCTACGGGATGATAGGATCTATTCCCGTGAAGCATCGCAAAGATTGGTACGATTTGGGGATTCATCGTTGCTTCCCTAGTGCCAAAGTCATATATCTACAGGCGGGACATTATGACATCCTGGATAACGATGTGTTGATTAACTCGTTACAAGATGGATTTATTCCCTCGTCTCGACTGTAGATTCTACATATCGCCTTCGAAAAAATGCTTTTCAAAATATGTATATACATAAGGAGAACAGGAATCTCCCACTGCGTAGCAACCAGCACTGAACTCGGCAATTATCAACTATCGGGCAAACAATCGTCTAGTGCCAGGCTTATCATATGGAAAGGGCTTAGGCTTGTATTCCACTTCCATCTAAATCTGGGAAAAGGGCGGTAATGGTGTGAGAGCTTATTAAATCCCACTGATAGCTCTTGTCCCTGCAAGTTCTTCGGCCTTCGGATCAATTTCTCACAGTGGGAACTGATCCTGAACCATCAGTTCGCGCTGTTAAGACGGGCGTCGTTATTTAGACGTGGAAGGCTCAGTGTCTTCATCCCATCCTTGGTTTCACTAAACAACATGCCAGATTTCTACTCGAAGGTTGGCAGGTTACCTTACGTACCGGACGACCTCACCATCCCACAATTCATTCTTGATCATGCTCATCCTATACGACTAGAACGTCCTAAAGATGTACCTTGGCTTGTTACTGATAAGTCGGGCAGGAAGATGCATCTTGACGAGGTACGCCAATTCATGATACTGAGGAGTCTACTCAGTAACTTAACATAGATCCAACGACGAACTAATGGCCTTGCGGTCGGTCTCAAGGAGAGGTTTTCCATAGGTTGGCTTGACCATAGCATGCTAATTCCATGCTCACAATGAATCCTTTCAGGCTCAAATGATCCGGGTACGTTTCTTTCTTGAGCTCGGCTCGACCACAATTAATGTTTCTCAGTCCTTTTCTTTTCTACCAATCACGTCGGTGCGTATCCTTTTATCATCCTTCCACTTTGCTGCTGATGCATGCAATAGATTATCCTATATGCATGTGGGCTGTACACCGTATATTGGGGATAGTCACGTTTGTCTCGTCCTGGCTGTTCGTTCTCTGTTACTAAGTTCTTTTGTAGACCTTGCAACCCCTCGTTTACGGTTCCAGAGCTTGTGCAACACCTTCGCTTATCAAAATCTGGTCTCATAATCACCCATGTCGACTTTCTGGATACAGTTTGCGCAGCGGCTCGTGAAGTCGGTCTTTCCACGAAGCGCATTATCGTTCTTCTCGATCAAGACTCTCAGACCGTGAACCATACGGAATTCGTATCAGTGGACGAGCTCATTGCGCAAGGCTGGAAGAGTCATAACACGATAGAAGATGTGAAACTCGCACCGGGTGAAGGTAAAGAGAGGATAGCCTTCTATAGTTCATCGAGTGGTACCACTGGAACGCCCAAGGTGTGTCGTCCACGGTCCAGCTGATTCGATACATGATTATCATAAACACTTTAGATTGTTCAAATATCGCACTACGCGTTTATAGCTAATGTACTCCAAATTGCATCCCTCAATAAGGTCAACGAAGAGTATGATGATTGGGAGAAGCGCAGATACAGGCCGGGTGATGCGTGCTTAGCTGTTCTCCCCTTCTATCGTGCGTCCACCACGAGAAGAAGAATTCTTTTTAATTCGCTGACTTCTAGATATCTATGGCCTGGTGCTGATCGTAAGTAACTGTGATTGAGTGTCATTGAACTGCATCGTTGACTTTTGATGATTGAAGCTTCATTTTAACATTTTCTCTGCGGTGAATGATCCAGGCGGCCAAAGTCCCAAATCATTTCTGATCAGCGTTGTTTAGATGTCTGTGGTTGTGGTCCCAAAGTTCAACTTCAATGAGATGCTTCAAAGTATTGTTAAATATCGCATTGCCTCCCTGATGGTAGTTCCTCCGCAAGTGGTCTTGTTATGCAAGGTACGTGTGCCGTGCTACTGAGATATTTCCAATGACCTAGGGTTAACGCAGGATCCCATCGTCAGAAAGTTTGATCTCTCAAGTGTTAGAGTCGTCTTATGCGCTGCCGCTCCGCTTACAGGTAAGGCGTCAGTTTCGAAGCAGGCGTAGATTCTCAAATTATACAGCGGAACTCTATGACCAGCTCGGCCAACTTCTGCCGAACGTATACATCGGCCAAGCTTATGGTATTACTAGGTCTGCTTGGAGACAGTGTAAGCCCCACTAACTGAACTATCGGTACAGGTTCGACTGAAGCTACTGGTGTTGTATCCATGTGCCCTGTTCAGCAAAAATGCGGCATGTTTGGGGGAGTACTCGCGCCAGGTGTTGTCGGACGAGTGATCAAAACAGACAGGAGTTTTGGAGACTACGACGAGGAAGGTGAATTGTACATCCGGACCCCGGCAGCTGCGACAGGTTATCTTAACAATGATGCTGCGTGCGTTGTCTCGTACTACACGATCAAAAATAATTTCTGACCTTTCACTTCTGATAGAACTCGAGAAACATTTGTTGATGGGTATGAAACGATAACACTATACATTTTGTTGTGGATTCTAATTGAATCTATTCTTTGCAGATGGATCCGTTCGGGGGATTTAGTGAAAGTTGACAAGAACCATGAGGTCATTTTTATTGATCGTTTGAAGGTATTTTCCGACTTCTTTTTTTCATGATGGGATATCTCAAGGACAGGCGTGCAGGAGATAATCAAGGTTAGGCATCAGTTGTTCCGCGCAGCCTTCTCTGAATCTCTACGCAGGTTCGGGGATTCCAAGTAGCTCCTGCTGAACTAGAGGGCTGCATTTTGGACCATCCTTTTGTTGGAGATGCATGTGTTGTTGGAATTCCGCATGCATATAGCGGAGAGGTTCCGTTAGCATTTGTCGTTCTTACTAAGGATGGGATGAATAGAGGCGAGAGGGACGGTGGTTTTGCAGCTGTTAAATCGTCAATTCAAAAGGTATTTACCCTTCTGCATCAGAAGAATTTGGATAGGCTCATCACTTTTATAGCATGTTGCAGCAAATAAGGCGTCGTTCAAGCATCTGCATCAGGTCGAAATTACAGATTTGATTCCGAAAACTCCCAGTGGGAAATTACTCAGGCGAAAGCTTCGTGAGAAGGCCCGGAACCTGGCTCAGAATGCTAAACTTTAGTCAAGTAGACATAACTACCCACTCGTGGTCTCTCGTAGACAGACTATAAAAGATACATTGAATATGCGAGGGACGTCCGAACGTCGGAGTTGAACGTTGAGGGGCTGAGCGGCCCCGGCGGCCCCGGACTCCGGAGGCAGGTGGTCGCGATTCACGTGCCACTTCAGTTTCTCAGGTTGGACTTAATGCTCAAAGTCCTTCAAGACTGGATCTTTTGTTGGAGGACTCGTACGCCATTTCTTGACGTACGGGGACCTCTATGTAACGAAAGTTTCAATATTGTATCCTCAACCTGAATAAGTGGGACCCCATCAAAGACATACAGACCCCGTATCGTGGACTTCTACTTTTTCTCCGATGCACATGAATCATCCCCGTTTGATTTGGCCAGAGTCAGCTTGAGCGTCATCTCGGCTGAACCGGTCTGGTCCATCATGATTCTTATGCCGATAATGCACTGGACTCCATTTGTTCCGGATACCACTTCTCTGCGTGTAGCCTCCTTCTTGCGTTGACATGGCCGAAACGGACTACCCGTTGAGGAATCAAGACAGTGGTACATTGAAAGAGGAGAAAGACTCGACGGTTACTGCTGTAGAGTCTCTGGACTTGCAGAGCAACCACTTCGATCATGGAATTCGCGCGTGGGGGACCGGTATGCACCATCCTTATCGATTTTTGAGCCCTATTCATTATGTTGCAACAGTCGTAGGATCATGGCTGGTACAGTTTTGCATTATTGGTGTCCCTCTATCGTTTGGCGTCACGGAAAGCTTCTATGCCCAAAAGTATCTCGCAAATTACACTCCTTCTCAGATCAACTGGATAGGTCTTCATCTCTTCAGACCTACCTATTCACATCTATAGCACTGATATCTGCTGTAGGGTCACTACAACTATGTCTCATGTATCTCCTAGGTTTAGCGGTTGCAGGACTGTCTGTCTATCTCAAATCCTCGTCATGAAGAACAAGGATGACTGATCTGCAATATAGATTCGATGCCGGGCATTTTCACTTCATATCTATCACGGGGTCTATTTTGTTCCCTTTCAGGTCTGCTAATTCCCGGTTCAGTTGCCTTGAACCGCGCATGACTATTGAATGCACGTAGCATTTTCATGTTATCACTAGCCCAGGAAGGACAGTACTATCAAGTGTTTCTATCTCAAGGGCTCGGGATGGGGATTGGGACAGGAATAATGTACACTCCCACTTCTTCTGTGGTTGCTCACCACTTTAGAAAACGAAGGAGTATGGCTATGGTACGTGATTTAAGAAATTATCTTTCAAGAGATAGGCCATAACGTCCTTGCAGGGAATTATCACCACCGGTAGTGCCATTGGGGGCTTCTTTTTCTCTTCAATATTCGGTCACTTCTTGGATGGATCCATTGGGTTCACGTGGGGGATTCGGATTGGAGCTTTCGTGTGTCTAGCGTGTCTATGCACCGCAAATTTGCTGATGCGGACAAACTATCCTCGGGGTCAAACCCCTCGGCCAGCACTATCATCGACAGCGACACCCTTAGCAACACTTCTCAGAACGCCAGCCTACATATTCATGATCCTTTATGGTTTTGCCATTTCTCTAGCTCTGTATAACCCCATGTTTTCAGTCCAACTTTTTGCCCAGGAGCATGACAATATACCGAAGACTCTAACGAGCTACCTGCTAGCTATTATCAATCTCAGTAGCACACTGGGACGAACTATTCCAAACTGGCTAGCCGACCGTTATGGCGTATTTCCTGTGTACATCCCGTGTGTTTCTGCTGCGGGTGAGCAATGTTGGTATACATTCGGCACCTACATCTAATCCATCTGCAGGTGTCCTGGCGTTAGTCATGATGGTCTGCACCACAGCAGCATCGATTACCATCTTCTGCATTCTGTACGTTTATATCATGACTCATGCATAGGATACCTCTCATTTTGTGAATTAGCTACGGGTTTTTTTCCGGCGCTTGCATGTATCAACTTCTTCGAGAGTCTGATTGACGAAAAACTCATTGTTTTATCGTCAGGCGTATCACTCTTCTTCCCTGCTGTGTTATCTCTCGATCCAGACCTGACCCGTTCCGGGTTCGTCACTTTCCCCCTCATTCCCCGTCGTAGGATTTGACACTGACATTGAAATAGCCTTCGACTTGGTCTCGCATCCGTCCCCGTCGGTATCGCTTCCCTCGTGGGTACGCCAATTGAAGCGGCAGTTGTAGGCGAAAGTCATAAATGGTGGGCTGGAAGCGTCTTCACTGGGGTACGAATTTGTACCAGATTTCAACTGGGCAGTAATTAATTTTTCATCATTAGGTATTGGAACTTACATCGGCAGGTCTGTTATTGGCGGTATATATTACAAAACCACGGGTTTCCATTCCGGCTTAAAGTTGTCAAGTTTCGTTCAAACTATATCGGGCTTCGTTTCCCGCTGCGAGTTTTGAATAAATATTCAGTTGCCCTCAGTACACCAGACTTCAAGACGCCATGACTTTTTCAGTTGGTGGCGTTCTACATGCAAACGACGAGGCTTCTGAAAGCCATGCAATTTGGAATCTTCAGGAACGCGTGGTATTATTATACAGTCGCATGCTTGGAAGCGTCGTCTTTTTTACATCATAACTAACTTCGGTGCCGGGTAGGCATGACTCTTTCTTGACTAATCCACATCGATGGTTGAAGAAGAAAACCATCATGAGCGTCACAAACGCGACTTTGGAATCATACCAATACCTGCACACTTGATACACAATCCGTCGGTCCCTTTTCACTTTGGGCTAACGTTGAACATCGCATTTGGCGTGACATGCACATTTGGTGAACCTCTTTTCCTTCCCTTCTTTTGCCAAACTGAACGAGGAGAAACAGTTGTCGCCAACTTGTATTACTGCCAGCCGCTTCTGAGTGAGTCGAAAAGCGGTCCAAGCTCCTGAGAATCAACTTGCCTCACAACTGATGCATCTTCTAGTCGAACTTTCAAAATCTTTCAACGTAACTTACAGCGAAGTTTCGAGGTAAAGTGCCTACGTCTTCTTAATACCAAGTTGTTAAATCGATTCTTCCCCCAGAATACCAACGCTAATTCAAGCTGGGTAGGAACTAGCGTGTCTCGATAAAATGACAGTGAAATAATCGTATCTCTCGTAGATATGCAACTGGCCTCGTCTTCATAACACCTCTGGGTGACCTTGTTCGCCGACGACAGCTGATTCTCATCCTTCTATCGGTATCCACATGTTTGACCATACCCCTTGCCGTAACGAAGAATCTCCTCGTGTTCGAAATATTCTCATTCTTCATCGGAGTATCGACCGTTACTCCCCAGGTCCTCATCCCCCTGGCAGCAGACCTCTCCCCAGCGAAGCGACGCGCCACAGCCATCTCCATTGTCCTCTCTGGACTTATCCTTGGGGTGCTCATTGCTCGTGTCATTTCTGGCATCATTGCTCAATACACCTCATGGAGAGTTGTGTATTACGTCTCCCTTGGGATGCAAAGTCTCGTCCTCGTCGGCGGGTACCTCATGTTGCCTGATTATCCTGCAAAAAACACTAGCCTCACATACTGGCACATCCTTTATACAATGGGAAGGTTCTGCATCACGGAACCCTTGCTCATTCAGGCGTGTCTGATTGAAATGGCCGTCAGCGCTTGTTTCAGCAACTTCTGGATTACCCTGACGTTCCTGCTTGGAGGGGATCCGTACAACTATTCTACGTAGGCTCTCATCGTTGCCTTGGAGCCGCCGCCATATTCATGTTTCATCAGTTTAGTCATAGGTCTCTTCGGGCTCGTCGGGATCTTTGGTGTAGCGATGGGACCTCTTGTAGGACGAGCGGTAGACAAGTTGGTTCCTTGGTATGCAACCCTCTTGGCGATACTCTGCTTGATGTGTTTTCTCGCGATCCAAGTGGGCGCGGGTGGCATACACATTGCAGCGGTTATCTTCGCGACATTTGGGCTAGATGTATTTGACAATATGATTCAAATATCTCTGGCAACAGCCATTTTCAGGTGTGTTCGTCGCCTCGGATCTGAGAATGGTCCACTCATCGCTCATTTTTGTAGCATCGAACCCGAAGCCCGAGCAAGGTTGAACGCTGTGTTTATCTTTTCGGTGAGTACCGTTGGTGTCGACGGTTGGTACAGTGAATTTGACGCACACACAGTTGTTCCTGGGTCAAGTCATGGGTACATCAGCGGGGACGAAAGTGTTTGTTAGATATGGATGGCGTGCAGGGGCAGCGCTGTCTCTGGGATGGGCTGGCTGGCAGCTTTTTGTTTTGCTGCTTCGCGGACCTCATTGCGAGTGCAGAACGTGGTTCGGATATGAGGGTGGTATCGAGGCGCGTAAGGGTAAGTTGAAGGAAGAGCTCAACGACATTGATATAGGTAAAGTTGAAGTTTCTTGATGTCATAATAGAGGTGGTCATATTTCTTGAAGTCTCAGTATGAGCGTAAAGACATATGCATCCAACAGGACTGCAGTACTGCTAATATTCCAATATGAGAATTTTATCCAACCGTTCTATTCCACGGGAACCACAGGATCGTAGATTATCATGTCCACGTTTAACTCTTCCAGTATTCTTTCAGTGTCGACCCATGGCACTCCAAACTTGCCAGAATTTATTCGACTGAAAATATAGATCAACTAGTCTGTTTTATACCGTGAACGCGAAACCATACCAAGCATGTATTTCCTTTCCTTTGGTATTCTGCCTGATTAAATCGCTCATCGCGGTCCTTGTAGCGCCTAAAATCTGCTCGGGCTTGTCCTTCTGTCTGCCGTATGCATTCGACGTGAACAAGCACGCGATGTCATGGCGCTCGCCTGGGATTAGAAGGCAAGTGCCCAGTGTTGTTGAGCCTTTTTCTTTGCAATGTTGGTTGTACACAATGAAAGCTTCTGGATACCGCTCGCGAAATGCTAACGCGATTCCAGCACCCCAAGAACCTTTAGCGTTGCATGCATGAACTAGGATGGAGTTCTCAGGTGCCGAGAATATGTCCTTCTTGATGTATGTCAGTTTCGACATGGCCTGTAAGTTAACAAGGAGCGATCCGAGTCATGTTTGCGGATGCTTGCTCTTAATGGATCGATCCACTCATTCAGTTATATGCGAAGTAAGAGCTTTTCAGCGAACAGATAGATAGCTCTGCATTGACACTCTAGCACCCAAGTAGACACATCTAACCTCAGATGTTCTGATGGCGCATTGTCTTCCCCACAAGTCACATCGCAGCATGAACTTCCCCGATGACGGACTTATCATTCCAAAAAAGCGTGGTTGAAAACTTAACTTCGGGACTAAATACGGTTGTCACGGACGCCTTCATAATGGAACAACAAAGATTCCGTTGGCCCCATAACCGGCGCAAGGTCGGAAAGATCCAGCATTGAAAGAGTTTGCGGTCCATTCACAACCGGTGAAATTGCGGGTCTCAATTGACGTGACCGCGCCGCAGTTGAGGAATGCGGTGAAAGAGAATATATTTGCAACATATGGATACATAGAAGACCGAAAAGGCAACTTTAACCACAAAGAATACCTAGAAGAAATTCTTCGGTCAGCAACATTTTTCATAAATGACGACATGATAAGAAAAAAATCAGAAGGAAGGCAACGGAAGAATCCACACGGTTTTATGCGCTCTCGGACAACGAGTCTTTGACTCTTACATCCGTAACAAATTTCATCAGAAAAGAGAAAGACATACGCAGCTCACCTCATAAAAAAACTTGACTAGACTTGACTAGCAGTGGCTGGCACCTGAATAGAAGAAGATAACATTAGCCTTGACCGACGACACGGAGAAAAAAAAGTGGGAAAGAAAGAGAAAATCAGAAGGAAGGCAACGGAATAATCCACATGGTTTTAAGCGCTCTCGGACAACGAGTCTGTGACCCAACATCCGTATCTGGGTTCATCAAGGAAGGGAGCAAAGAACGTCTACTCACTGTACTGCGATGCGAAGGTGTTGTGGTTGGAAGCAAAAGAAAAGTTTTCGGACTCCGAGGTCACTTGTCACATTTGCCACGTGTGTGACAACCCGTCATAGTGACGCTACCTGCCATAATTGGCTGGCTTGGCTAAGACACTATGTCGTCGACGGAGGCGTATCTGAATCTAGTTGAAACATTTTTCCGCCTTACAACATTGCCTTGCAGACAGGGCTCGATGTGCAAATTTGACTTGAACTTCAAAAGATTTTCGAGACCAGCGCACTACGCCGAGTGCGCCGGTCGCCGTTGGCGCTTACTCGGGATCGAAGAGCACATGGCAACGTTGCCACACATCAGAGGCAGGCCGTGACCAAACAAGAACAACCACACTCCACTCTTTCCATCACCGTCGTCGCTACTGTTTCGTGGTTCTTAAACGCTTTTTTCTTCTCGCTCTGCCAGCGGATATCTGCCGTCAATACCACTGCCAGGTCTACCTCCCGACACATTCATAAAAAGCGCGCAAGGACTGAACTTATAATGATCTTCAACCCCCTCATCGCTCTGGTGCTTGCGGTGCTACCGGCTCATATATTCGCACAAGATATTGTATATGATTCCATACACAACATGACCGTCATTACCGGTACATGGGCGACGGGGAGCAAAGCCGTACAGACAGGCTCGGTGAGTGCGCCTTCGAGCTGCTGCGGACAAGGGAACTGACGTCTTATTCGTGGCGCTAGGGCTTCGCCATTCCGTCGAACGAATCCTTTATCTACCCATCTGTGACTGGGATGTCCTTCTCATTGTACGTTGACCTGTACTGTGCAGCGCAGCAGCAGCAGTTAACTCTTCCCACAGTACCGATGATATGTGGTTTGAGGTCGCACGGTACCGCTTTAATGCTAATGGTGCGTCAATTTGCTATCTTCCAAGTTGCCGTTGCCAACTTTGCACAGCTAGCGATCCGGGGTGTATCACTGGTGTCGTTGGATGGTCGCATGGCACATACTCCCTCGAGCCCAACGGCTCCATCATCCTAACACCCAACGGCGATGGATACCAGCAGATCCAAGATCCTTGCGCCGCCATCTCCAACTTTGTCGAGAATTATAACGATACAGAGCTCTATCAGAGCTGGCGGATTTTTGAGGACCCTACAGATGGCTATAAATTGCATTTGTTCCAATTTGATGGCTCACCACTTCCGCCCATGTTTCAAATCTCGACGACGCCCCAAATGCTTCCCACTCAGAAGCTGCGGAACACGACGGTGGCTACGACGGTAGCGTCGCGGAAGCGGTCGTTGCTGCGCCGGAGTACTAATGCGGCTGTCTCAAGTACGGCATGTCTCGCAGTGACGGTTGGAGCATGGGTGGTGAGCCTGCTTGCATTGGCACTATAGACGATGTGGGACATCCGTGGACATCGAGGTATTGACTGCACCGACCACCACTATCCCCCACATCACTTCGCATTGTTAGGACTTTGGACCATTGTCGATTTATTCCACCTCTCCGAGTTGCCTCGCTCGCATTTTCTGTTGTCACGCAGTACATACAATAACTCGGATACCCCTGCCATTTTTATTTGCCTACAATTGACTCCTTGCATTCCACTCTTTTGAACTTTCACTGCAAGCAGTCTCTGTTAATCGTAGTTTGTTATGTTGTTTTTTGTCTATTGCTTTTGGTTTTCGGGTTCACTTGTAGGACATGAACCGTTGACCGGCAATTCACGATGTTACGAACCATCTTGCATCGCATCCTATCTGGCCCGATGTATAGCTTTGCTCGATATCTCGAAGCTTTAAATACACGAAGGTAGAGTATATATATATATGCAGGATTAAATTTGATCAATTTCGGAGTTCAACGTAATTTTCGCTGATTGTTTGTTGGCTCATGAATACACTTGATGGAGAAATACGGCACGGCCATCTACATACATATCAAGCCCTACTGTGCTTCCGAGTCTTCGCCTAGCTACAGGTCATCAACATAGACTTTTTTAACATCGTCAAATTGAAAGTCGGCGTAATTTATCTTGATAAACAAGCCCCATCAGTCCTGCACACGATCAGAAAGTACATATACATATTGTAAGTATGCAATGTTCGATTTTTTAACAACTTCTACAAACCGACGATACAGTAAATAACAAGATATGAACAAAACGCATGCACAAGTCTATACAACGCGGCTAAAATAGAAACAAGGTCATGAGTAAAGTCCGAATACTGAACGTAAAACCGTATCCACCGAAAAGAAAGTGGAGTCTGAGCATGAGCGGAGCAGAAGATAAGAAAGAACAGAGATAGGAAACGCGGTTTTATTACAGGGTGCGAGATAAACAATCAATCCCTCTTCAAGTTTCTCCGGACGATAAAGACGCGCTCGCCATCTGTGGTAGTTGACATTTCTTGGACCCCTTGAACCAATTCCAGACCCTGAAGGGGGCTTCCTTTCGCCAGAACGACGTACATCTCAAGACCATCTCCGACCTAGAAGGACAGCGCCAAACAAGAATAAGCCGAGGAAGACCACGAAGCAGCACGGCAAACAAACTGACCTCGATATGCCGTTCTGTTGCACTGGTAAACGAATCAATCACGAGTGCGAGTACGTCCGTCAAGGATAAGTGTGCCGGGTGTGACGTCCCAGGCGCCGGAGTCTGATTCTTGAAGTAGATCTTGATATGGAAAAAAAAACCGGGTCAATACACAGTTTCATGGGTCAATGAACACCAATAAAAGGCACATGATAAGGGTATCAAGAACAAGATGCATCTCCAATGGCATGTCAACGAGAAAGGAGGGAATAAGTCGGGAAGAAATCGGAGTGTGTCCCGAGAGATGGGCTGAAAGAGACAGGGAGGTGAAATTGGATGGATGCACGGGGTCTCGTGGCTTGATAGCGCGTAGCCGCAGCCGACGGAAGTCAGATTCAGACGGATAAATTCAACTAACCTGGTTGTCCAGGAAGGGTTGCACAAGTGAAGATGCTGCGCCAGCTGCACGGCATGCTTCACGCTCGTACGAGCCCACGGGGTCGAAGGAGTAAACTGCACCCGAACCTACGAAGCGAATGATGGATCAGCGCGGAATTTGCAGTGGCGCCCCGGAAGAACATACCGTCTTCCTCGATACCTCCGAGAATATTGTACACGTAGTAAGGAAAAAATCGTCGGGCGTAGAGCATAGATTGGATGAGGCGCGCGACCGCACGCAAAGGCATATCTTTGGAATGGGCATGACGATACCACTGTCGGTCTCAAGGGTGAGCTCATTGTCCCCCGCGATGACGAATGTTGATATACGGACCTCCAGACGTTGTTTGACTTTCTTCACGAACATGTTCCCATCGGCTGCGAACCCGTTCACTGCTAACACCGCTTTGTCCGTTCTGTCCGAGACTCGCACGTAAGCGCTGGAGACGTTGACCAAGGATGGGATTATCCACTTACAATCTGAACACTTTGGGAGCATACCGCGTCTGGATGCTGTATCCTTCGCTCTGCCGAGTGTCACCAGCAATGACGCTGAAGTCTGCACCAGCGACGGCAAGAATCGTCCCACCGTTATCACTGTATGGGTTGAACTGACGTTCCTGGGGTTGAGCTACTGGCATTGAGACCATGTCGGGCATTCCTCAACGTATATAACGTTAAATAGTAGTATATGACAGGTCGTAGAGAGATAATGGGAAGGTAATGGAGAAGGGTGGCGGGAGGGATAGAGAAAGGATCCAAAAGGTAATTTTGAGGACGCGCGTCGACCGTGGGAAAGTCTTTCCTCCGAAGTTTTTCCATGACACCAAGTCCGGCAACCAACTCGTGCTTGACTGACAGAGAACCAGGACCTTTTCTATTCGAATCAATGAAATATCATGGCCATCCTTCTGTTTGCATGGGAACTGGTTGAATTCCAATGTTTCGTGTCCCTACATCAATTCTCTTACTGGACTTCATGCATTTTCTGTACTTGCTTGCTCACAGATTCTCCCGAGTTCCCCCCGACACTAAGGCACGTAACCTGCTCCGCATGTTGCTCCATCATACGTGTGTTTCCTTTTCCCTTCAATTGGAAACGTCTTTGAAACTCTATGAGAGCGCTTAGAATACATTTAGAACGTCTCTCACTGGGTGATCTGTCAATCTGTGCCTGTTTTACCTCGTGTCCTCCGAAAACTAATGTTCCCCGACGCCCACCTTTTATTCGATCAGTATTTGTGCTGACATGGTAGGGCCGTAGTCACTCAAGTATGGCCCGGCACGAGAACCGGTGCCGTTATAATTGCCTCTACAAATATGCGTAATTTACGTGTAAACACAGAGGATCTCTAATCTATGACGAATACCGGGGCTTGGTTCCGAACCTCGATATAGCACCCCACAACACGGGGAACAAAAGTTCGCGCTGCACGAGTTTTCTTTTGAAGTCTACGTCTTTCTGTTTCTCTCACACCCATTCGCTGCGCTGCTCACGCGTACCAACGACGTGTTATTCAATGAGTCTTCTTTGTATCGGCCTCTCACGACTCGGTAGCTTGTCCCTCGATAGTACTTATACCCGTAGTCGGTAAGTTCGGCTATGGTGCTTCGATCTCTTCTATCTATCCTCACCTTCTATACCAGAAGGTGGACATTTTGGCTCGTAAAAAAACGAAGCCTTTGTCGGCCCTGAAAAGGCTGTCAATAGAACGGTATGAAAAACCTTTCCTCCTGGGGAACAATAGAGTTGAGGAACCTTTTCGTATTATAACGGTCAAAACAAGGACATAAAAAATCGAGGTTAACATCGAAACTTAATTAGCCTCTGCAGTGTGGCTAGCTTTCGGACCAGTCCTGGAAACAAATGTCCTCAAAACAGACGAGGAAGCCTTGTCAATCATAAGCTCTGGACAAACCTCAGAGGCTCGTCCGGACAAAATCGACTAACCTGCCTGTTTTGTGTCGGGAACTTTATGGCTAATTTTTGGGCTTCGAGACACGACCTCCCCGCCTATTTTGGGGGGCAATGGAAATATGTATCTTCCCTGACTTTTTTTGGGGGGGAAGGTCCTCTCTCCACCCGCATGGTCGCGAGTCGTCGTGATTAATTATGTGATCGGTATTCCAGTTACTTATCTTCGGCACAAGACGCGTCTGGGTTGCGCAGTGATTCAGGGCTCGTCAAACCAGGTACCGCGCCTCATTTAAGCATGGCCGCATAACAAGCATCTATCAAGTCTTGGCTTTCCTTCTGGAGGACATTTTGCCCAACCCCCTGAGCCCACTCAGTGGTATCCATTGCTATAATACATGGACCCTCATGTACATTCCCAAGTCGACCCACGGCTACTACAGTAAGTATTCCCATCGACATCATGCTTTTACGGAGCGTATGCGTGTCGTCACGGATCACGTATATTTCGCGCTTACAACCACAGGACGTCGCTTCCTACGATTCTCGCACGTTTAAACGACAAGTTTCCCCGAAACCCAAGCGCCCCGACCTCGCTAAGACCCTGTCTTGAACGTCTGATCTCGACACCGGACATATGGTCAATGTTCTTCCTCTTCGTTCCCTCCGCCTTTATTCTTACACACGAAATCCACGGCCCAGTGCGCTTCTATGGTGTTCGTACCTTTCGATATCGGTAGCTTGATTCACAGGATGCTCCATCGCCATATGAGATAAAAATACAGTGATTAGCCATCATTGTTCACGGTGAGAGAGGTACGTATCTAATACACCGAGGATTGTCCACTCCGGTTTCGAAACCACGCCTTCATCTTTCGTAACGGGAATGGAATAGCCAGCGCTGAGGAACATGTCAGCTTGGCCACAAGCCACCTGGTTGCTATGCGGGGATTCAAACTTTCCGAATGCTGAAGTGAGTCCTGTACTTGTTCTAACACATGGTACCCCACGTCGCCTTCCTCTGTAGCCGAGACGTACCGCGCCCCGCCAAGTCCAACATAAACGTGAACTTAATGTGGAGATGCATTATCAATCATGGACCGATGTCAGCTACTTGTGGCCACTGTCAGTCCGAGCATGCGGTTCCGGGACGAGACATGGCTGGGACAAATGATGTAGGAACTTGGTATGACCGAGCGCCTTGGATCAATCAATAGCGTTGTAATTAGTATTATACATACTGCCCGCGGATATTATACGGAATATGTATCTATTGCAACTTCCCAACTAAACACAGTTTCCCCGCTTCCATCGCACAACGTACCAGCGCCCCATCATCATCATGTAGAATCGATTGATATAAATAGTCCTGCGGAGAAAACGATATCGTAACAGGCTGGTGGCTAATATCCCAACGGCATTCGGCCATAGCGGCGAGAGCAGGGAGGTCATACCTATGATGCGGCGATACCATCAGAGATATGGCGAGTCGCTGCAGGACAGGAAGAGCCTCAGGAATAGTCAGAGATTGGACGAGACCTTCATTATACAGAGTCTCGTACACTCGAAGTTCGAGCAAATTCGCCAGGTCTCGAACAAGAAGCGTCGGAGTCAGTACATGTAAAGCTGCCATTCCTTGCAAAGTGAGTCGAGTGAGCACACACGATGATAGCTCATGTAGCGCTAAAAATGATATGGACGCAGTGGGGCGGAAGTCCAGATTGTTCACCTGGAGGCCTTCTAGCGTGGGTGCACTGATCCATCGGAGCATTTCGTGGTCGCCAAGATTCAACTTTCGAAGACGTGGGAGGGTCACGTGGGCGTAGGCGAAATGCGTGCGGCGATTGATACCAGAAGGGCCAGAGGGTCTAGTATGTGTTAATTCTTCAATGCCCTGAAACTTCGGAAGGGATAGAATGGATACGCAAGTGGAAAATGATGACAGATTGGCATCTTCTATGTGGCAGGACGAATTCCCAGTTAGCTCGAAAAAGGTTCGTCCTGGCCGCTGGGGCGACAGGTATAGGACTTCGATATAGCGAAGTGCTGGAGCATCGATATGTTTTAGAATGGAAAGGTTCACAATAGAGACATTGCGAAGACGCCGAAGTGAAACAGGTTTTACGATTTCGAAAGAACGACTTGATTCGTCGTTGCTGCAACGAAAATCTACCAAGTTAGGCATGCGACGAAGAGCATTGAAGGGCATGTTGCAGGCGGTCACGACGTTCCAATTGAGATGCGTCAGTTGGGCACAAGGCAAGCCGTTTAGTATGTAGGATATGTCCTGCTCGAAATCAGTTCTACCACTCAACATAATAGTCTGGAGTCGGGGACAATTTTGAAAAGTGGTGGGAAATTGGATGTCCAGTGCGGACATCTCAGGAGTGACAGATATATGAAGCTCGCGTAGTAGTGGCAAGTGGTCATCTTTTAGACGACTGATAAAGGACCATACACAAGATCGTGGATTATCGGAGAGAGTAAGGGACTCCCAGCGCTGTGACTGCGATAAGAGAAGTTGGAGGAGAGTCTTGCACTTGGACAACACGGAGAGTGGCATCCCATAATCTTGTAGTGCAATCACTATTTCGAGAGGATATTTCCCCGAGCGCTCTAGAAATGTAGTGAGCATTTTCTCCGGATTTTGGGTGGGTGGGATCATATGATTCTGGAAGTTAACGCGACGCCAGAGCGAAGGCAGTCCGATGGAAATCATCCTCCATTCGCTGCAGACGCGGCCGAGCACCCATGGGTACTGCCTGTAAGAGAGGATGTTGGGAGCCTCCATACTGTCAAGGATGTGACAGAAGATTATGCAGAGGATTTCTCGAGGAAAACGTCGAATGGTGGAGATAAATCCTCTGTGAATGACAAGGAAAGCTTCGATATCCGCCTCTTCGTCGCACAGTTCCCCCTGCGATGCCATGTCTCTAATGATGCCACTACGAAACTTCCGGAGAAGCTCCAGCTGTGTTTGCGCATTAGCAATAACGTTCTTGATAGCGGTCAGCTCAGAATCATGAGGATATCTATTCGATTTGAGGAATGGCCAGAAATTGTGGGCAACATGCCAGGATCTGGGCTGCCATGAAGGGATATCGCAACTAGAGGTGACCAACATTTTACTGTTGAAAATCAGCCTCAAGTTAGGCTCTAAATCAGGATGATACTCACCTGCTGCTGGAGCTGAAGTATACAGGTGTACTGAGGCAGAGTACTAGAAGCAAATGCCGAGTTGCTGTGGCAAAAAGTTTGCCACAAGGCTAGATATTGCCGCGGTAAGTACAGGCCTCAATTAGCGCTAATTATAAAGAAAAAGAGTTATATTACGTTATTGTATATATACGAATCAACAATGAAAGATGAACACTGTACTCGCACAAACAAAAATTGAACAAGAACGTAGCCGATTCAGGTTCGGAACGAAGGGCCCGGCACCCGGCAAGTATTTATTCGCCGGTCGTCGGGTAAAACCTTCGCGTTCGCCATTTTGTCAGTGCCACCAACAGTGGGGTGATTAGGCTGCAACCACCTCCCCATAGCTATTCAGAGCCCACATATGATGGATCCAGAGGACTGTTCATCCCTCTTGGCACCTACTGCTGAGCAGTTGGCAGCAGTAAAAGTTTTTCCGTTGATAATTTCGCTCAAAAGTGATATTTTGGTGCGCCTGTTGCCTCATTTTCGTTTGTCGGAATACTTATGCCTCGCAGAAACAATTGGGTTAGTTCTCAGTCAGAAATATGACTTACGTTGGTAACTGATTTTTCCCCAAGATGCTGCATTGAGCTGGGAGTGTGTCTCTTTGCTGCTATGTTCGTTTCAACACTGACAAAGTCATAGTCAATTAACGGCTTCTGATATCAACTTTGCTATTGTTCGACCTATCGTCTTCAAATATGCCAAGGTTTCTTCTCCAGTAATTCCCTAACTACTCGTCTCATACGGTGCATTAGCTACAAAATATGGCCGTCGTATACGCGTGTCTGGTTGTTCGGTCGTACTTCTTAAATGAAGCCGAAGAAGATCTGGCTTATTCTGGTCTCATGCAATCTCGTGCTATGCTCTGCGAAATCTTGGCCATAAAACTCCTCAATAACTTTGCAAACAACTATATTCAATTGGTCGCTGTTCTTACCACCACTTGGAACCCCCTCGCTGGGGCTCCTCCTGACGTCGTCAATGAAGTTCGACAAGTCTTAGGTGGCGATGACGACGATCTTAACTCCCCGCAAAGTGCTCTAGAGGTCCAGCCGTCCATCAGTGTCTTCCATGCTAATTTCGGTACTCATTCGACTTTCTAGATGGCGATATCGACCGAGTCCAAGCACTTCCTTTCCTGCCCTGTCTCGCAGAAGGTTGTCAACGACATCTATTGTGGACGCGTCGTATTCTCGACAGCTGCCCACAGATCTGTTCTAGCCGACAACTACAAACCGCGTGCAATTGAGGTATACGATTGCCGTAAGGCGCCATTCTTGGATCACTATCGGTACGATGTTTGCCTTTCATTCGTAGCCCGCGTCTCAATGCATGCAGGCTTCGTGTCCCGCGCTATGGAAGTATACTAGAGTTTCTGAATTTCGCCGTTCTCTTGTGTACCTTTATTCTCTGTCTCACTTGTTTGTGGAATGTCTCTCGTCCTTCCGCCGTGGCGCTAATGGCAGACATACAGATCAAGACTTGAATGTCGTCACCGGTTGGGAGATTGCATTTGGTGTCTGTGCCGCTGCCTTTGTTTTAGAAGAGTACACCGCCGCGACGGAACATGGATGGAGTATCTATATTGCCAATGTCAGTATTTCTGTCCGGTTGACCCGCCACAGAAACTCACGTCTGTCTCTTGTAGACCTGGAATGCGTTTGACTTTTCTTTCATCCTCATTTTCCTTATCTACCTCGGCTTGAGGATTCGAGGAATTGCTCGGGGCAACCCTGACTTCTCCGATACGGCATTTGACGTGCTTGCATGTGGAGCATGTATTCTGATTCCCCGACTAGCATTCTTCGCAGTCTCCAACAATGTCGTTGTCCTGTAAGTGTCTCTTGCATGGCTTCACGAAAGCTTCCTTCTAAACCCTACAGATCTCTGCGAGAAATGATATCGCAATTTGTGTTTTTCATCGGCATTGCTGCGATCTGTTTCTCCGGCCTGTTGTTTACACTTTGGAGACTTGGTGGGTCCTCCTCTCTCGGAAGAAATTTGTTCTCTTCATAAAGCTTTCCCAGGAAACGGAACTTGGTCGGTGAAAAGAATTGCTTGGCTCATGGTACAGATATGGTTCGGTAACACGTACTTGAGCTTTGGGCAGGCTGAGAGCTTCCATCCGTTGTTCGGACCCATCCTCATGACAAGCTTTGCGGCACTGTCGAACACACTTCTGCTGACAAGTAGGCCTTGTTGTTATCTTAGCAATACCTAGACTAACATCGGCCAGTTCTCATCTCGATCTTGTCCAATACTGTGGCAAGAATTGATGCGGTAAGTGGGCTTCACTGATCGTTTCCCCACTAGTTACTGATGGATGTCTTCTACAGAATGCCACCCAAGAGGTTCGTCTCTTATCAGTGTACATGTCCACGTTCTAATGACTGGATGTCCAGTACCTGTTTCAATACGCGATATCTACTATCGAAGGGTATGCAGACGTTTGACTTTCGCGTCGTGATACACACTAATACAGTGCCGTAATAGTGTCCAATCCGATGCGCTCTTCTCTTATCAGCCTCCTTTCAATATCCTCGCCTTCGTCATCCTCAAACCGGCCAGCTGGATCCTCACCCCCCGCGCTCTTCATACCACCAACGTCTTCCTTACCAGAGTCACCAGTTTTCCCATCCTCGTCGTCATAGGCGTCTACGAGCGCTACTTCGCCTCTGGACAACGCTTTCGCGAATCGGGAAAAGGTGCCGCGCAAACTCTATTCAACAGTCTTCCCCGGCATATCAAGAGTATGCCTCTTGTCGAAGCTATCGTCGGGTCCACGTCTAATGACCTGTACGAAGCTATCTTCGAGGTTGACGCGGAACGCGATTTGCATTTGTTTGATGATGAGGAGGAGGAGGAGCTCCCTCGCCTGCGATCGGTGCACTCCCAGGAGGATTTACCTCCGGATGCTGAAAGTAGGAAGAGGCGCCCGTCGAGTGTCAGGCGGCCACCAAGCACGACATCCGGTCCGAAGGGTCTATCACCTCAAAATTCGCCCAGGACACCCAGGGCCAGGAATCTCGACCTCCTCTCCGCTGAAGTGCAGCCCTCTCTGGGTTCATTGAATCCGTTGCAACGACTGTTCGGTCGACCATCTGATAGTCCTCAAGTGGAAGCAACGGTGAAGAAGGTGGAAGCCTTAGTGGATGACCTACGCAACCTGCCTGTTCATAAGTTGAAAGATGAGATGAAGGAACTACAGGTACATGAGCATCTCTGCGAACTGAATTCTACTGAACTTTGTATAGGAACGCCAAGCGAGGATTGAGAGCTTACTACTGATGCTCACGAGAGGCATGAGAAACGAAACACCGGGCTCGGTGTCATGAACTTGACGAGGAAGATATCTGGACCATTCGAATGCATCTGCTTTGGACACCTACCTACTTACAGACGATTTTGCTGATACGCCTAAACTTGTTCCGATTACTGCTTTGAAAGCCCAGTGCTGACTTCGAACTCTACTTATTAACACACATTTACTGAAATTACGATTGGATTGAAACAACATCCCGCCTGGGGCCATCCTTTGTCCTTGGAATGCTACTGAATCATTGACTTCATTGACTACAGGCCTACTGTTATAGAATGTCATCGACTATGCCCCTCTCTCCTAAGCAGGTGCGGTCACGGAAATTTCCTGTCCGCCGCATTGCAGGGAGGTCCCGGCAAACAACGAGGCCTTATTTCTCCTCTAGATGATGGAATCTCAGCTCGTCCAACTCGTAACCTGGTGCAAATTCTACAATACACGAAGGGTCTCCACAAGCGATTTCGATAGGGGTGAACCTTCTTGAGATGCGACAAGCAAATCGCTACGTCTTTGATAACACAGTTTATATCGTCCATCTCGAAGAAGCCCATGAGAATTTCGCAATGTTCTGCCGTCCCCAACACTTTGGAAAGAGCTTATTGATTGACATGCTCAAATGTTATCACGGGGTAACGTTTGCGGACTGCCTAGAGGATGCATTTCAGGTTTCTAGTTCACGTATTTTGACCGACTTCAATGCTGATATAAATATAGGGATTACACATCGGGAACAAGGATATTCAGAAGATGGTTCCGCCTTCCAGGTGGTTAAAAGTATTATGGAGTGGGGAGGCCTATGCGCTATAGACCTCACGCATGCTCTACAAGCACTCGATGATCCCAAGAACATCATCCGAGTTTTAGATATGTATCGTCATATGCTGGCCACCGATGCGTCCATGAATAAACCCTCCTGCTTTTATATTCATGAGAAGCTTGAAACTCGAGGAGCATGCAGGGGTGATGTTTTCCATCCTCTTCAATAACATGATATCACGTCCCAGACGTGAATATACTGTTAGGAAGGTTAGTGGTCTAAAACAGATGATGTGCCATTGCTTATCATGTACGGATCGAGGACGACAACGTTAGTTAGCTCGGTCTTGAACATCTTTCTATCCTTTTACTCTTGTCGTCATTTTGCACAGGAGAGTGACGCCGGTCTGAAGGAGTCTGACGGCGGCTATAACGGTCGAGACAAGCACAGACCTCATCCTCCTAGAGCTCAAGAGCATACCTGTGGATTTGGTTGATCTTTCATCCTTCGGTCTGGCGCCTGCTGTCAGTAATAATCAGGAACGAGAGACACTTATTCAGCAAATGCCAACCAAAGACATCCTGTGCCTTACTCTCTATCACAAGGAAGGCTATCGCCGGAAGCGTTCGGTCGTCGAACACTTCGTAAAGCATACAGCCGTGCTTGGTCACGCAGCTCTCTGAATAGCGCTGGTGTCCAGGCCAGGGTGACGAAGAAAATTCTCCGTCTTTCAGGGTACGCCTTTGTCATCGTTGGTAATCGTCAAATCTTGGTGACGAGACTGAGGAGGTACGGCAAAGGTTGGAAAGACATTGCCACCACGAATTCCCATACGGAATAAACTCTCTAGTCTCAATTAGCGCTGTGGATTCGTCCCTATGTCGCCTAGAATATTGTCGTTTAAAATGGTCATGGTATAAACTTGTACATGCAGGCAAAAAGCCAGCTTCGATGGTGACCGGTTCTTTTACTGCATAGGCCTCACTGAGCATGCAATGATGTCTTGAGCGTACAATTCGTATTCAAGAGGTAACTCGCAACGCGAAGAAGATTGGACTGTTCGAAATTTAAATGAACGTCCCTTGCATATAAACCGAGTCCTCGAATACAACATTAATTGACGGCCTAAAGTAAGAATAATTTAAATGGGTCCGATAAATTTGTACTTAAGCTCCCTCAGGCACTCTTTGCATCCGTTGGCGGCACACTACTAGGAGGAAGACTAGTGTTACTTTCCCGTGAGTGTTCATAATTCGACAGTATCGTTGGAAGAAGCAAAGTCTGAGGAAATATATCATGAATTAAGCCCATACATCTCAAGGTAAGTACCCACCCGCACGACACGACCAATGTCGTCTTTGAAAGGTATTTCGTGAGCTGGTACCGGCGGCATGTAGAAGGGCCACGTCGTCCCCCATTCGAATATCAGTAGCAAGATGCCAAAATATTGACGGCTACGGGATAGACACTTCAGACAGGCGATCTGTGAATCGTCAACAATCGTACGCACCTTTTCTTGATCGTGTCCTTCCATTTTTTGAGATCTGAAGCTTCTTCCTCATTGCTGAAGGCGGGTGAGTCAGAAGGTAAATAAGAAAGAAGTCGATGTTTACGTGAAAAACTACAAGAAAGCCTTCAGTATTGTGTTCTGAACAGAACATCGGTCATACCTGCTCAATGTCGATGTCCTGGCACCATTCGACACGTTCATAGGAGCCCCAGTTCCTTCCCCAACGTGTGTTACTCATCTTATTCACATGTATTGGGAGATTAATATCCGCTGACGGAATCCACGAGTCCGAAGTTGGATAACTGAAGAAGGCTCAGCAGAGGGCGGACCTAAATGCAACATGGGAACGAACCTAAACACAGCATGAAGTGCATAACCTGCATATCGAGCATATTTGTCTTCGAGGCCGAGCACAATCAACCCCCGAATCGTGTCATCGAGAGATACGACGCCGTCGCCATTTGTATCGAAGAACGTCGGTGTCTACGTGAATAGTTAGCGTGGCGCCATAAAATTCTCGTGCACTCACGACACCGCTCATATTCATTGCCTTGACAGTCCAAGTCCCGACCTGCTTGACGGCAGCAATAGGCAACCCATTCACCTTCTCCAGGCCCTCGCCAAGCACTTGCAATCCATCGATAGCCTTCAACCCACTCGCAACGGGCTCGAATACCTTCCTGCTCGTATCAGCTGCGAGAGTGACGACACCGCCCACCGCAGTCCCAGCAAGATCCGCAGTACCAATCGCTACATTTGTCGTGACGCTGAGACCTGTCTTAGCGACTTGCCGACCAATCGAGAACCCGGTGGAGCTGGTGTTTCGTATAAATCCTGCGGTGTATTTGCTAGCGTCAAAGGCGGGATTGACAATTGTAGACGCGCCCGAAGTGAAGACATTCCCTACACCGTAGAACCCAGAAGCAATGCTATTGCCAATCCCCCCTGCTTGAGGAGTTTGGCCGATAGTATCAGCACCAGGACTACCTTCTTCCTGACCCTCTTCAACTTCCGGAGTGACTTCAGTGGACGTCTGGAGCTTCCCTTCAGGTGGGGTAGTAGCCACAGCTACAAAAGTATCTTCGACCTTTGGTTTATTTGGATTGATAGCGCCAGTGGCTGTGGTCGCGACATTTGATACGCCATGGGCTACCTGGGAGAGCCCGCTTCCAGCAAAGTCGGTCGTGCTCTTCAGAAAGGAGGACATCGTTGCGCAGCGACGTCAGGCAGGTAGAGTATATATACACCTAATTGAATTTGTGGAGACCCCTCGTCATCCCTTGGCGTCACGGTTGGGGTTCAACGATAAAATCCACGTGATGGCAGGTCCCAATAAGAGGCGGCCAGAAACCATACACTGTAGCCACAAAGACATAGCTGTTGTGATCTCACTAGTGAGTGTGCCGCGTGGATCAGAGGCTTTCGTGGGATATTTTGGAGACAGCGGAGTCCAACCAGGAGCTTAGTATGTTGAGAGCAGAGCAAGCCATGGCAACGGCTGCTGGCGTCATAGCAAGGATGAGTCGGACAACAATCCTAATACTGCGAGTAACCAAAAAAACAAGGCAGTGCGGGAGCTCCGGAAACGAAGCGCAATCGTCGAACAAGTGCCGCTGATAACACACCATTTCAGACCACGGCAGTAGAGCTCGGGCTCATGTAAATCACGAAACCCAAGCACCAAGCAAGCGCTGGCGAGGCAGCACGCCATCAAACAATGCGGTAGCAGCAACGAAGCTCTGGTCCATGAAACAACATCATATGGGAACAACGCCACATCGGAGCACAGGAACCATAGCAAACGAAGAGCAGGAGCTGGACAAGGAATATAAGTCTCAGTGAATCAGACAAGGACAAAAATACGGAAGCGCACGATGGAAAAGGGACGCGTCGTGTCTGAATTTAGTCGGTAGATGCCATTATGATGTGATGGCGATGGTTGGTGGTGGTACCCGCTGGGGATATGGGAGTATAGAACCTTAAACTAGTCAGGGCGATTTCTGCGGGCATATTGACTTTTTCCACAGAGTCTAAGGTGTCCGTTCGAAACAACAAGGGGCGGGGAGAAGCTGGAGTGAAGGGGATGGGTTCTAGATTGGAAATTCGTCAAGGAATGAATCGCTTAAGTTGTTGCAATTGAGGACAACCAATTCATCATGTAACCTCGAGCGTTCAGCAATACACAACGATGTACCTAAAAACAGGGCTGAATGAACACACCAAGAAATACTGATTCTAGATCAGTTAACATTGTTACAGGTAAACTTAGGCAACAGATTCGAGACCAACTCTGGCTATGCCCATGCTCTCAAAACCTGTTTCATCAAGGCGATTCAACTTCATCGTTACCGGTGGTTCGGTATTCTCATCTTTGACCTGAGCTTGGCATTCCGTTCAGCGCTGCTAACAATTCGCCAGATCGAACTATACAATAGTTTGTTGTCCGCGTCGCTGTGTCGTGTCATTGACGGTCGAGTTCATCCATGTTGATGAATGAGGATCCAATGAGCTCGCCATCATCGTCTACTGTTACGGAAGAGAAGAAACAGGGAATTCCTCGCCCAGCCCCTGGCTGAATATATCCAGTCTGCGAAATGCACTCGCATGAATTCCAAGAGTGCGTGATACCCGTCTTCGAGGCAGAGAGCACCCAAGCCTGATCAGAAGCAGCTGGACCATGTTCTCGCCTTCGCTCGGTTCTTGCGATTTCTCACGGTAGTCACGGTAAAGGACGTGTCTGTCTTTGTCGAGAATGCCTTGAACAACTAGAATATTGTTGTTCTCGATGCAGGACCCAGGCATTGACCAAGGTGCTCATATTTGTGGTAGCGGACCGGAGAGAGAGATTCCGTAATATTTTCCCACGCTTTGGTTTTCCTTCGCGCTATCGAATATTTTACCATCCTTCAACGTTCAACTCGAAATCGCACTGTTCCTTCGCCAAGCTAGGTGGTGTCCGTTAGACATGGCAGATAGAGCGACAAAGAGTGAGTAACCAAGATACCGAGTATTTTGGGTTTGAGGGATGAGTTTCCTGCCGAGGTGACCTCCGGCTGAGGGAAGAGAGAGCGTGATGGAAAGGAAGCTGGAAGGGTGACTGAAACGTCACCGACTGATGGGCAGGGAACCCAGGTGTTCGGGAGGTTGATGACTGACCGACGGCTGGAGACGCGATGCGACAGACAACGAATCCAAACAACTATGACTAACAAGGGTGCAGGTGGGTCGCGAAAACCGAGTCCTGCCGAACGAGGAGAGAGTGAAAACTTCAATGGAGATATTCTACAAAGTCCGCAAATATTGGTACTACTCGATCGTACAAAACGGACGCAAATACGGTGCCAGCTCAAACTCGAGCTGTTTGTTCCTCACGTCGAGTTTGAGGTCCACAAATCCAATACACCCGTATCTGTATATCTGGTTATCGCTGTTCCAAAGAATCTGAAGCCATCTTTTTCCATCAATAATGACTGGAATTCCAGTTATTACCACAATACCTCTTGAGTTCATGAATGGGTACGCATCTCCCATTCGGTCATCAAGTATAATTTCTGTCTAAAGCAAAGCGACCATATGGAGGCTAGGCGATGGCTCACAGACTTTTGGGTTTCGGTGTTGACAGCAACCCTATCTGAAGTTTACTCACACGGTACCATCTCAGTTAAGTGAGCAGGTACTGTATTGTATTACTTGAATGCTCTCTCACGTACTTAAAGGGTTTAATCGTGTGTGCCTGCTATAATGAATACCGGCATTGTATTCATGAACAGCACTTGTGCCTAGGCATCAACATTCTTGGCATGCTCACCGCCTTGTACTAGAGCTATCCGCACCGTGATGCTCCATCTTTACTATTATGCGGCGTTAAAGAGAGGGAGATGCCACGGGAGGACCTTGGCGCAATTAGTCCCCGTCTCCTTTGAACTTGGCAGACAAGTATTGGGCGCTGTGATTGACCCACTTACCTTCCGGTATTGATGCGTCTTTCTTTCTGTTCTTGTGTGCTCATTCAAAGCAAGACTGCAGTATGGGTCCTATGGGTCTATCCCACGAATGACTTACTTTGCCATACATACAGATCCGCCTAATTGCCGTCGATATAAAGTTAGAAGGATGGATAGCTTTCCAACTAGCAAAGCGCCATACAATACTGCGGTGATCTGATCAACAACATGATTACGTTCTATGACAGGTGATTGGTCGAGGCTTACGAACGTGCACACCCTGCCGCACTAGGATTAGTAGCCAGATTGACCGAGAGTATAAGGTAGTTGACTCAAGGTTCCTCTTTCCCATCGTTTCATGGCTTCAGAAAAGGCTTCCAGCGACGAGGGGCATACCCCTGCTCTTGCCCGGCCTGCATACATCCTCGATGAACGTCGACGCGCTGCTCTAGCAGAGGTCGACACCGCCAAGTTCTCGTAAGTGTGTCGGTCATATATTACATTTGTTTCCGAAGCTCAAAAATTCACAGATGGTTTCATGTGAAGATATGCCTTGTTGCTGGGGCTGGTTTTTTCACCGATGCGTACGTCTGAATCAGCTAGTTTTCAAACCCTACAATTTATCTCCCCTCTGCTTTAGATATGATATATTTGCTATAAACATCGGTGCCACCATGATTGGATACGTATACGGACACAGTGAGTTGGTTATGAACTCAGTCTTTCCTTTTCTTTATTGTTGGCCCTCGTTACAGACCAGGCGCTCAGTGCCAATCAAGACCTTGGCCTCAAAGTCGCCACTCCAGTTGGTACTCTCGTCGGTCAGCTCCTCTTCGGTTGGCTTGCCGATCTAGTTGGGCGCAAGCGCATGTGTACGTACACGTCTCCTGTACTTTTACCGGCATAGGCCACTTATCGTCGTAGATGGTATTGAGTTGATCCTCATGATAATTGCTACGTTCGGACAGACGGTCTCAGGAAGTGGTCATGCAGTGAATATCATTGGCGTTCTTGTTGTCTGGCGTTTTCTGGTATTTCAAACCTTGATTTTGCCGGAGCCAATTTAACAGTATGAACATTCAGATGGGCGTCGGGGTTGGAGGTGATTACCCTCTGAGCGCGATCATTTCCTCGGAGTTCGCCTCTACCAGAATTCGGGGTCGTATGATGAACGCAGTTTTCGCCTTTCAAGGCTGGGGTAACTTTTGTATGTACTCAAACAGTCGTCCAGTTCCTCAAAAAACTGACAAACTCTCTCCAGCTGCGGCTTTGGTGTCTTTGATTGTCACGTCCGCCTATAAAAACTCTATCCTTCACGACACGCCCCCGAACTACAACCACGTCGACTATATGTGGCGTCTCCTCATTGGAATCGGTTGTGTTCCCGGTGTCATCGCCCTATACTTCCGTCTAACTATCCCTGAGACGCCTCGTTTCACCATGGATATAGAACGCAACATCCAACAAGCCTCCGCCGACATCACCACCGTCATCACCGGAAAGTCTGTCAAAAAGCCAGACTCCGTCATCCAGCGTGCCGACGCACCCAAAGCCTCCTGGTCAGACTTCATTGCATACTTTAGCCAATGGAAAAATGGCAAAATCCTCATCGGTACTGCTTACTCCTGGTTCGCTCTTGACGTGAGTACAACGAATGGCAATTCGAATAGAAATTCTTGACTATATTTGTAGATTGCTTTCTACGGCCTTGGTCTCAACTCTAGTATCATCCTTGAGGCTATAGGCTTCGGGACGCCTCTAACAAGTGGTTCGCAAAAGGTCTACGATAACCTGAACAACATCTCAGTCGGTAACCTGATCTTATCGGCTGCGGGACTCATCCCAGGGTACTGGGTCTGTTTCCTCTTCATCGATTCATGGGGCCGCAAGCCTATTCAACTGATGGGCTTCATCGTACTTACGATCCTCTTCATCATCATGGGTAACTCAACTTTCTCCCTTTACCTGCATGCTATTTAAAAATGATTTAGGCTTCGGTTTTGACGCCCTCAATAAGACCAAGTCTTCACAAGGCGCCTTCGTCTTCCTCTACTGCCTCACCAACTTCTTCCAGAACTTTGGGCCGAACACGACCACGTTCATCGTACCTGGTGAGGCGTTCCCGACTCGCTATCGGTCGACTGCGCACGGGATATCTGCTGCGAGCGGGAAACTCGGGGCTATTATCGCCCAAGTAGGGTTTGCTCGGCTGAAGGATATCGGTGGACCTAACAAGTTTGTGAAGCACATGTAAGTTGTCTTTGCTTAAGGCCCAGGGGTTATATCTGACGTGCACGGGTGATCCTTTAGCCTCGAAATATTTGCGCTGTTCATGCTGACGGGGATCTTCTCGACCCTGCTCATTCCTGAGACAAAGAATAAGACTCTTGAAGAGCTGTCGAATGAAGATCAAGAAGGCTTCGTTCGGGGTAAGTTTCTCTTCATTCTCAGTTTTTTGCACTTAGTGACGGTCTTCGGTAGGGGCCGGTCGTCTCGAAGTCGACGACGATGGTTTGGTAAAAGCAGTGTCATAAGGACGGTGCGATTATAATGCCGTATGATTTCCATTTTGTTATGATTACGACCAACATCCTGGCATGTGTACTTGTTCAATGAAATCTATATTCAGATTTATGAGGAATTGATCCAATGCCCCGTATGTAACTCTGTGATTCAATTAAAGCGAGAGCAGTTGATGGTGAGCTGGTATCACGGGTGCTATGCGCCTTCAGTCGCGGTTAGCATTCCAAGCCCAGTGTCATGTTTGTCCTCTGTTATCCCTTCGAGCTGCAGCTATACTGGGATTTGTCGCCTTTAGTTTATACTGTGCACGTCGATGCTAGTGGGTCTTCGGCGCTTAGTGGATGGGGGCCAGCATCGGAGCCTCAAATTCGATAACGAGTTCCATTCTCCTCCCTGCTGCCTTGGTCTTCTCTTTCCAGATGTCTGTTTACAGCCCTGAATCCTCATTCAAATTATCGACAAGCAGCATCACCGCTTTATTACGACGAACCGGCGAACCACTGGTTCACCCCATCCTACACTCCGACGCCGTCGAGCGGTTTCACAGCTCACGGTAATGGAAATCTCGAAGATCACCAATCTTTGTTCCTGAATAAATCACCAGTACTAAGAGTATCTGATGTCCGCATCGGAGCCACCGATGTCAGTACGCTTGCAGTGTCCATGCGCTTTTACAGTTTTGTTTAACTAAACTAGGACTTCATTTAGAGACTGTAACTCAGCAACAGAGACTCTCTGATGGCGACTGTCGCTCCGGGGCTTTCCAGAACGCGGACTCGGAGTAACCACATACTGGAGCGCCCGGGGCTTCAGGTGTTATGCCGTTGGATGCAGCAGAAGAGGATAAGTATCATGTGCGCGACATCGGTGAGGAGTCTGAATTGTATTTCAGAGCCTCGCCTGGTGGGCGATGTACATGTACCGGCGGTTTTCTGCGGAAACACGTTCAGCCTAGTATTGACGACCCTAGACGCGCCACAATTATCAAGTTCCCTCGACCTTTGAATTTCTCCACATGCTTCATAATAATGCTGACACCGAGTTCCTGTAGCGCTGTACGTCGGGTTTCTGATTTTTGGCCTCATCACCAAGCTCATGAACAGTTCATCAGGCTTATCTTCGACGTCTGGAACTCACGCTCTATGCCTTATCAGGAAGACTTCTTGGCTGGAGCTAGAGCAAATTCAGGTCGTCTGACCGTTTTCCCTAGCCCTGGATCCGCCGATAGGGACTTGGGATTTTCATTCGTCCTGGGCGTGCACGAATCCTGCCTGACCTGATAATGATTGCCCCCGAGTCTGTGTCAAGTGGGTCTCGGTCATACAACCGACATGTCGCTACCAAAAGGCAAGAATGTATCTGGGGAGTGGATGACTTATTCCAAGGTATGTTTACATGTGGACGGTAGAGTAGTGTTTGTGGGTATGTTATTCTATTGCTTGTTATGTTTGTGCTCACCATTGCGAGCATGAAAAAGAATCTGCTTCCAGGTCGATACAGTTGTTTGCGGAGCCTGGAAGGGGGGAAGAAAACGCATCGGAAAGACTTAGTTCTATCCTCTTCCTTGAACTCTTCCTGTCAGACGCTTACCTTTTGAATCGGTCTTGTTAAAAGTTACGATACTTTAAGGTTTTAACTCGGTAAGTCGCACTCAATTACTATGATCTAATGCGTAGATTCTATTGGTGCTCCGAGCCCATGTTCTATTGTTAGAGTGTTCTGGGTTCTTCGCCGACAAACTGGTCTTTTTTAGGTTGGAGCCTAGGTCAGACTGGCCTGCAAAGAATTTTAAGAAGCATTTACGGGAGATTTATGGTCTCGACTTCCAAGCATCTTGAGAAAGAGAAAGACCAACTTCCAGTTTTTTTAGAAGGGTGCACCTTTGAGCTCAGACTCATAGTGAGTCAATAGCAGGTTATCGACACCGGCAATACATGGGAGCCCTCACCGCATACGACTCTACTGAAACGCGTTCACAGAACCAATGGGGTACTATAATCAGTTACCGAGCCGGTGCAAACTCTTGACTTCAAGTTAGGATTCTATGTCCGAGGCAGCAGATTGCTAGTAAGTGCTGATGGGCGGTCCTAGGATACGACAGGGATAGAACAGACTCATGCACCAACAGTACCAGACACGTATAAGTAGAGATCACACGATGAGGAATTTTTAAAACATCAAAAAAGGTTGGTGAACTCAAAAAAAAATTAAAAGCGGATGATTCGGACCGGACAGTAGATAGGGATGAAAAAAAAGATACAGACCCAAGATAATGATGAAAATACGTTTCCCACATCTAAGGTTCTCCTTGTCGTTGTCTTGCAGTCTGTTCAACTGAAATCTTTTCAGCCAAGTTGCCAGCAATGCAGCGCCGGCAAGTGGTCCGACTTCCCGATTACATCAGCGTCCACCTCTTTCTCCTTTACCACCACCACCACATCACCATCGCAGCAATGAGCAGTGTTTTTGTTCCAGTTCGCGTCGTTTCTCTCCTTCGAAGTCTTGTCAACGTTATTTCCACTATATCTATCTCAAATCAATACTTACTGAAGCAAGGGGCCAAAACAGAGGACCAGGAACCTCGAGAACCGCCAGCGTCATGGATGTCGTTGGACTGGGAATGGTGGAAGAGTGGCGACCGGTGGTACTGGAATTTAGGAAGGCCAGAGTCGGGCATTCTGCACGGTGGGTCCACAGGCTAGCACTGGTTACTGCCTGCTAAGACTTTGTGCAGCCAGAGCTTTTCAGTGGTCATGGAGTTCTTTTACTTTGGCTTCTCTGACAGAACTACGGAACAATCAATCATACGAGCCAGTTCAGATGCCCCCGTCGCGAAAATTGCCTTCGGACCCCCCGCCGGAACCAGACGCGATTTCTCAGGACACTATCCATCAATTGATACGGAATCCAACGCTTTACAACCCCCTCAGAACCCCTCGTTATCCCATTGTTCTGTGCCATGGTACGTGTGCTTGCGGAAATTTTCTCCGATAAAATTTCATACTTCTACTCAGGTCTCTACGGCTTTGACGAACGTGGCCTGTCCTCCTTTCCTAGTATGCGCATGCAGTATTGGTCAAATGTTCTTCGAATACTCCGAAAAACCGTTGGCGCAGAAGTCATAGTCACCGCTGTTCCGAGTACCGGGTCAATAGCTTCTCGCGCAGAAAGTCTAGACCGGCAGCTTTGCGACAAGGCTCTGGGCCGCGGCATCAACTTACTGGCCCATTCGATGGGTGGTTTAGACTGCAGACATCTTATTACACACGTCAAGCCGTCAGAATACACGCCGCTATCGTTGACTACAGTGAGCACTCCACATCGTGGTAGTCCCTTTATGGACTGGTGCGCAGAGAATATCGGCATTGGAAGATTAATTCAACGTGAAGGGGAACGTCTCGCGAAGACCATCGAGTCGCACGACGAGTCTGCTAAAGTGCCGATGCCAGAACCCGCGAGCGAGAAAACGAACTCCAATCCTTTTTATTCACTCTCCTTCTCTTCCCTTCCATCATCCTTCACTACACTCCTTATATCTATTCTGGATTCTCCCGCATATTCGAACCTTACTTCTACGTATCTCAACACTGTGTTCAACCCGAATACACCCAACAGTCCTGCAGTGAAGTACTTCAGTGTCGCAGGACGGATGCCAAACGTGAACCTATGGCATCCATTTTGGCTACCCAAGATGGTTCTGGACGGCGTAGAAAGGAAAGAGAGAGAACGATTGCGTGACGTCGGAGAGAATACATGGTCGCAACCCGAAGAATGGGGTCATGACGGTTTGGTCACAGTACAAAGTGCAAAGTGGGGGGAATTTCTCGGGGTCATGGAAGGTGTAGATCGTGAGTGACTCTGTCTTTCCCCCCTTTTCATTACTGACACAATTATTTGCAGACTGGGAGATTCGAGGGGCTAGAGGATTAGATATCGGTGGCGACTTTTTCAGTTCTGGCGAAGGGGAAGAGGGTCAGAACAGAGACTGGGCATGGTTAGCGAAGGCTTCTAGGAAGGAAAAGGCAGCTTTACAGGAGGAATCAGAGAAAGCTCCCCGGACCAAGATTGAACGACAGCAGGCGAGAGATTTGGAGCGGCAGAGAGATGACGATGTTGTTAAAGCATCAACGGACAAGCTTTCGGCGGTGTTTGACTGGATAGTCGAGCAGGTACCAACACCAACGCCGTTGCTAAAGAAGGACTGCGGCAGTGAGGTTTCTGAGAAGAAGGAAGTCAAGGCACGGAATGATTTGGCGACGAAGAAGGATCTAGAGAGATTCTATGTGGCATTGTCGAGGAAGATGTACGATGAGGGACTGTGAAGTGAACAAGCTAAGTAATATATAATCTGGTGAGCGTAATATCATTTGATGCGCAGGAATGCCTTCGGCACTCCCAAATTATAAGGCAAACTTTGAAATATCTCGAAAAAGGTAGGGGGAGAAGGGCCCGCCGTCATTGCTAGAAAGCAAAGCAAAGTCCATTTCCTTAGATTCACTGGTGCGCTGATTGCCGATATCAAGATCTTATCAGGAGCCCGCGATTATCCACCAAGAGGTTGGTTCCACGATTTGTCCGAATTAGGCGGAGTTTGAAAATATTCCCACGACTTTTGACCATAGTTCTGAACGAATGAGGACAAACGGAGCAATAAACGCAAAATTTGTCCGGATTGTGGAACCAACCTCTTAGGGGATAATCATGGGTCCTATCTTATCGAAATCGCCTTTGTTACGGAATTCATCATACTTGGACCAGTTCTTTGTGCTGAGCGCAGCTTTTGTCTTCTTCCAATGGCACGTCTGCAGTGGTTCCTTGGGATCCTTCCTACTTAATGCTGTGCCACCGCAACCTGTCCTTGACTTGAATTTGACGCGTCGCAAAGTCCTCTAACAATTGTCCGGCTATTGTCACCAAAATACCAATATTGATGTGAGTATATTTTGCACGAGCAGTAGGACAATAACGTACTAATGCCACGCAGTGCTTGCAACCCTTTAAAGCAGACGCGCCATCCATCGATGCCTTCATCACCACTCAACTCTCCCACTATGTCTGCGTCTTTGACATCGTCTGCGACAAGCATTGACACGCCCATCGACGTGAATTCCCTACCAGAAGAAGCCATCGCATCTGCCACGAAAACCTACACTAAAGAGCGACAGCGTTCTATTCACGACTGGCAGCAAGGAGTTGACAATTCTGGTGTAGCTATTCCCCCCTCGCGCCCTCCGACTTCTGCGCCCACCGAGAGTGAACAACCAACAGTGTACCAGACCGACTCTCAAACACCCCGATCCTCTGTCGCTAACAATGTTGTACCCCGCTCTGTTCTCGTCGAAATCGATAGCATAATCCGTAGCGCCAACTCCCCGACGCTCAATACTCAATGGGAGGCGCATTTCTTTCAAGGTACCACCCTCACATCATCCTCTAACCCACGACTCCTACAAGCGCACGCCGCCGCAATCATGGCCTCCCAAGGTTTTTACATCGACTCTGATGTCCCCCGGCTAGCAGAGAAGTGTGTGTATCGAGCGGCCTTTGCGAAATTCGACCACTCGAAGGGTAGAGAAACGCCTGAATCTATCGCGCCATTCGTCCTTGAGATATATCGGAATATGGGCGCCATCTATGGTCCTATGGCTGCAGAAGCGTTCCGTATCGCGATAACAGAGCGAAGTATGGCCTCATTCGAGAGTTGTTGGTTAAGGGTGTGTGTTCCTCACCAGGCTTCAAGTTTTTGATTATTGATCATTTTCCAGGAACTCCCAAACACGTTCGGGGCGCGAAATCCTCAACCATTGCTATTCACGATCGCCGGTATTTCACTGGCTGCCTTCATCAGTGATCTTTTCGTCTGGGGTTTCCTCAATGGCTCGAATGTGATAAGATGTCTCGGGATCCTACTAAGCACCATGGAATATATGGAACATCTACAAGCCATTCATAAAATCCTTGACCGTACTGGCGGCGGATATTGGCGAGACGAATCGGGGCAATTGATGGCTCTCCAACATGTTGAGGAGTTCTTGTTTAGGTTTCTGAGAAGCGCGCGATCCATAAATCTTGAAAAGAGCCCTACCGGACAGCAGTATCCTGCATCCGTGGGAAAGACGTGGATAAACGAAGTTGAGCAAATGGTGCGAACACGGTACACCGCCGACCTTGGATTCTAGTCTATGACAATTTTGGAGGTCTAATTTAGACGGTAATTTCTTACTCTACGATTAATCAATCATATAATATTTGCTCGATTAAATCCATGCATTTCGATAAGCGTGGATAGAATAATACATCGAGAGTATCTCTCTTCCAAAGCAGGGTATGACTAAATACAGAGCGATAACATGGACTAGATACAGAGAGCTGGAGCGGGATCAGAAGGGTGAGAGTTCCTTATCCAGCTATCGCTCCTGCTTCGGATGCTTATCCATCCATGCCTTCATACATTCCGCCTTGTCCCAAGACGCGACGGCAATCTCAGCGAACCGCTTCTTCAACTCTAATCTCGGATTTTGAACGACCCGAAGCACCAAAGACTCCGTGGTGTACCTCTGCAGCTCCCGTACGTACGTGTCCTTAAATAACCGCGTTTCTTGTGGATCACGGTTTCGCTGACAGCCCCTTCTCTCAAACCACAGCGGATGGCAAACAAGCGTCCAAAGTGGTACAGTCATGGCCATCTCCCAATCAATGATAGCAAGGATATGCCCTGCATTGGGACCATCGGGCGCAATTATCATGTTCCTGTTACGCGGAGGGTCGATGTTAGGCTCAAAATAGTTTGATTGAATCCCATACCATGGATTGAAGTCCATGTGGGCCAGAACGAATGGTCCCGCTGCACAGCCATCCAGTTCATCCTCGATCACATCACGTATACGGTCCCGAAATTGGGGTAGCACATCCAGCGCCAACCGCCACTTCATATTGATGTCATTCCGATATCCGTATGACGTTTTTGCCAGCTCTGGTAGGCGCTCCATGAATTCAATCTCCTCCGTGAGGCCTGCCCTGAGCCACGGTCCAGAAACCTTCCACGGGCCACGATCATATGAACAATTTCTTTTGCGAGCTGCGGACTCGTGTTTGCACCATGCCACGGGTCCGAGCCTGAAACAGTCGGGTGGGGCAGCGTCATGCTTGAAGTAGATTGAACCGATGCGGTCAAATTTTAGTTGGGAGAGTTGAAGCACTATCCGAGCGTAATCACGAATGGCGTTGAGTTTGAGCTCTAAAGCCAAGTCCTCCCAAGGCGACCCGTTCATGTCCGATCCTTCTGTCTGATGGATCAAGTGTGAGGACCACGACGAGGCTCAAGGACCAATCACGAACTTACGAAGGATATGATAGAAAAGGCTTGCCCAATGGCGTTATGGCGGGTCGGGCAGTATCCGTAAACAACTGGAACAGGAATGGTTGTCTTCAGCCTCACAAAGACCATCGTTGCGATCTAAAAATAATTTTGAAATTGTCTCCAATGTGCACCATGCCAGCGGCTGGGAGAAACGGGTACATACCTCAGATTCCATGCTGATATCCGACCTCGACTTGACATCACGAGCAACTCGGGCTAGCACTTTTTCTGGCACTTGACCTTGGCGGTCGAGGGGGACATTGAGATCCAAGAGGTAGAGCTAAAAGCCAACGACGTCAACATGTTGATATGAAGAGGCTCATGAGTAGTTGAGACCTCGTTGTAGAATCCCCACCGATAAGGTTCTTCAGGTGTTGCACAGGTGACTCCGAAAAGACATTCAGTGATTCGAGAAAACTGAGTTGTATCTGGAATAGACGTCGGCTTCCTTCCTTTTGGAACGGGACACTCGAGCACGAAGGGGAATTCCCAATCTGTGGCTGCCATTGCAAACCCTGTGACAAGAATATTCCAGCCTGAGCATTCCAAGAGACGAAGAGCAACCAGGTATCCGCACCTTTAGACGTGTTCCTAACCACTACCACCAACTCGAAAGGTCAACCACGAGGATGTGAACGTTCAAAAGTAACGATCTGAGGGGGCTTTTCTGTAGCAATGTTACTGGAACATGGATAGCAGCAAACGTGGAAACAAGCTCATATTCGGGGACAATATGATAGTAAAAAAGGTGGACACAGCCCAAAAAGAACTATATTCGGGCCGCCTGGGATTCTGACAGATCCCAGCGCGCTGTAACCCAGGAGAGATCCGGACAAGCTAGTTCGTACTTGTGAGCACAGAAGCAACATACCGACTGCCTAAAGCGGCCAGCCGAAATCGAGATAGTGGTGTCCCGGCAATCGCCGCGCTGATCCCAATATGGGCATCAAACCTTCGAACTGATCTTTTCAACTCGCAATTCGATTTCAACAGACATGCGGACTGTCTTGTATGGCATTTGGATCACTCTCCACACTGTCTACGATCTTCGGCCAATCTCCTTACCCACTTGAGGTGTTTACCTCGAACAATCAATGAGCATACAATCACTAGCCAATAAGGGTCAGCAGGACCTGATGTTTGGCCCAGTGAGTCCTTCGTGTACGATGCCGGAAGGCGCTTCCCTAACACTTCGTAAGAACATCACTTGACTGTATTCCATCCGACCTGCAAACCAGACGTCAGCCCCAAGAAATGAATGTCAAGGAATCACACCAATAGAAAGACACCAAATCTGTCACACAAAGAGAATGGATTCATTTTTTTACGTCGGAAATTTGGCGGCTTCATGTTACAGCGAGGTTCCGCTCTCATCCCTGCGCTCGGCATTCTCCTTGTCTCCCGATTCTGAGCGGGTGTGAATTAGAATAAGGCGTGTTGGATTCGATCGTGCAGCGTTTTTTCTCACTCCGGTCCTAGACGTCAGAATTCAATGGTGTATTCCCGGGGTACTCTTGGCAGACCTATATGTCTTGTCATAGGACAGGGTCGGTCCGGTTGGCGGACTCTGGAAAGCGTCGACGATTAGCATTAAAGTATGCAGGTACGCGCGTGCTTGAATAGAAGATGATCTCCGTAGTAAAGATCACCTCTCGGAGATTCACGAGGAAAGGCGGAGGTTCCCGGAATTCTGATCCTAAACGACGAGGGAGCGTAGTCAATAAGTGATACGTAAACAAGGCGCAGAAAACGCGAAGCCTTACGACCGGTCCATCGGTTCACAAGCGAGCGCCTGGTATTTCGTTGCACATTTCTCGGTAGAGTCTGGGCATGAATCGGATGGGTCTGACGGAATACCACGGAACAACCGCTGGAGCGCTGGCCAACAATATCTTGTTTCTTGCCCGAACTCCAGCAACCCTTATCGTGATCCCGACCCAGTGGCGACTATGGGCTTGATGATACGCCTCTAGACATATATCCGCCATATGTTGAAAAAATGACGGGGCTTGTACAACTTTTGAGCAGATGCGATGTCCGTACCATTAAAATATCCATCAGAACAAGCACGTTCACGGAGCAGGGTCGCAACGAGAAGGTCAAAAAAGCAGCATCTGGTAGCGTTTCGAAAGAGATGCTGTTTGGTTTATTCTAGGACAATAAAGCAGTCTATGTTAAAGAGTATTTTAGACTGCACGACGACTGGTCAGTACACAAACGGAAGGGACAACACAAAGCACGCACATTACATGTTCCCGGTGGCATCACTCACACTGGGAAACGAATCTATAGAAGTTACAGATGTCATGATGATACAGTTCCGCGATAAACGTTAGGAATTCTATAAATGTACATTCGCGAAATTTGAGCATTGACCAGCGGAGTTTCACTCGATGATGTTGAGTTCTCGTTTTCGTGCTTTGGCGAAATCATTCTTGTACGTATCCCAGAGTCTGAAGATAGAATATATTCAGAAAGGCTTCCTATAACGATTCTAGAGAAGTCATACCGTGTCAACTCATCGATGTACAAGGACTGAATGCGCCTGATCTCGTCTATATCGGGTTTATCAATCTGCTTGACGTGAATAGGTCGACCGACTAGAGAGTGGGAAGCGCTCAGGCGATGGCCACAGTGGGGAGATATCGTACTCACTGACGACGACGATTCGCCGTCTGTAAGGCATCAGGCCCAGATTATCTATGTGGTTTGTCAGGGCCGGTATGAGATCAAGACGGCGCAACCCTTACAATTTAATAGTCCACGACCATGGAAAAGTGGGAAGGTGAATCCAAAGATCGACTGGAACTTCTTCTGAAGGATGTATACTGTCGTCCCCTTTTCGTTCGGCATCTGTTGATAGATCTGATACACCATTGTGATGATTATCATGCTCTAAGAATGTGAATTTGAATGATGCCTACGTCGTTTTCACCGAAGGAGAAGACCGGCACGAGGTTCGCCCTGTCGTCGGACATCCGTTTAGTCTGGTCCAAAGACATAAGGGGCACTTACCCATGCTGGATAGCAATCTTGATGAAACCAAGCCTAGAGGATACAATGAGATGAATGCGCACAGGCAAGAGGGTATTCAGGGATACCGTTTCCTGAGGGTGAGATCAACTGTGCCCGGACGTGCACTCAGACTTTCGGCAGCACCTCCAATGACGATAGCTATAGACTGTCCGGGACCACCTCGAAGGATGTTGCTGCATGATCTCTTGCTCACGCTGGCTATACCTAACCACATTATCAGGTCCCGGTAAAACGGTAACTTGAAATTGCTGGCAAGTGTCAGTAGGTGGGGAGTTATTCCCGGAAAAGCCTTCGAAAAACCGGTTGCTGCAAGGAAGTGTCAATGCTGCTTCAATGGTAGCATATGGGAAAACACACCTTCCGTTGCAAAGGTCGCTATTGCACCCCTGAATGAAAATGTTATGCTATGCCATAACAGGGCCTGAATGGGGACATACATTCCAATGATCCCTGTGTAATTCCGGCGAATTGAGATGAAGAACACAACATAACATGTCAACTTACCATGAGGATGGTACCCGAAGATGTAGGTTCGGTCGGCAGGAAGATCAGCCTCCTAGGGCAGAGTGAGCACACATCGACAATTCACATTGAAGCCCAGTCACCTTCATCAGCCTTTTACACATCCACGTAAGTGGAATTGACGCGTTGGGAATGAAACACTACCACCCACGATATAGGATAATAGTCGGCAAAATACCTCCAGCAGACCAAATGACGAAACCATTTCTTCGGTCTTCCCCCGTGAATAGACGCTTTGTCAATATAGTGGACCCAGATGTGATAAAGAACGAGTAAAGGCCATAACGGGGGGAAAGAACTGAGATAAGACAGATAAAGTTAGCACAGAGAACACTTCTGTAGGCGAGTGGCGCACCAAAGGTAGAGAAACAGGCAGGTCATCAAGACGAACAGGACCGACCACGACGCCACCGCCGTCATTTGAAGTCTCCGTTGCAGTGGAACTCGAGATGGTACGAAACTGTGGATATATGCCATTGAATTGCAAGAAGGGTTTCAGATAGAAAAACGGCAGACTCGACATGGTCTTGCAGTGACTGTTTGATGGGTTCCAGTGGGGTCACCGCGAATCCTGAAAGCTTTACCTTGAGCGACGATGCCAGCAAAGGATCCATGACGGCGGCGGTCCTGGACGTTTGCGGCGACGTTGGAGAAGAATGTCTCGCTGGAAGTCGGCAGTTGCCGAAAGCCCCTATTTGCCTTTTCCCATGCCGTCACTGCGCGTCAAGCCTTGCAAATCCTCCTACTTGGCGGAAAAATCCTCACATCTGACGCGACAGTTCCGGCATGTCTTAATGGAATTCCGGAATTTACCTGTTGCTTTGCATAATCGAAAGGTAGGTAAGGGAAGGTACCGAGGCTTATGCAGGATTATGCCGAACAGATGTTAAGAAACGTCACAGGTGGGAACACGACACGAAAATACTGGAATAGTAAATAATAGAAACCGTTCGGCACATAAGCCCTTCTTTCTTAGCGGGATCTGATACGTTTAAGTATTGTGGCGTTGTGCGTAGCGGCTCAATGAACACAGAAGTGCTTGGCAGAAATTCTGCCGTTCGCTTACCTGGATCACTGAGTTCGTAACAAGCGCCTGTCGATTATTTAGCAATATCAAAGACGTTCTGAATTCGAAGGCTTTCGAATGAATCGGTAAAGTCTTTCCGAACCCCGTCGTTCCTGAGTTCCAAGTAAGTTGTCGAAAAGATGTGGACCAGAAAGTCGGTAGTTTCCGTCTTGAAACCGTACCGACATCCGTGAATGTATACAACGTTAATCGTTAATACTATGATTCTGGAAGAATTTAGAGGGTTGACATCGCGTGAACTAGACCCAGTAAGGCAACGAAGGCACTCCTTCACGGGAGAATGGCTCCCCCTTTTAACTGGCAAATCACTGTCGCACGATGGTCTCGGGCCAATTCATTGCAACGAATAACTGGGGGGCCTTCGTCCGATGAACGGTATACTAAATTGGCCAGCCAAATGGAGTACAATCGTTATTAGGTCCGTTATCGCTAGAAGAATCGCACTTCTTTCGAGAAATTCAGTAGAGGCATCTGAGCGTTCCACTGGTCGAGCGAAATAGTTATTAATAGAATGAAGGGACGCAAGAAAAGCGCCTGACTCTCCAAAATGTGTAAGGGTCTATGTATGCATATTTAGAAGCCAAATTGAAGTGATTGTGAAGAACCTCACCCCTTCGGATGCGGTGGTAGATGACAAGGAACGGCCTGAGAGAAACTGCCGATCATCAGCACAGCCACGTCCTTTTCTCACTTTCATTCAAATCCACGATCTCAAAATTTCTGGACCCCAATTTTGCGTCACATTCACGCACCTAATACCCTAAATTCCAAGTTTACGAACTCCTACTAACGGGATATGAGTCTGTCGTCCGTATCTTTGGCGCTGGGAAAGAATACTCATATATGACTCATGTAGACGTCGAAAGCCTTGATGGACGCTTGCTATTCGCCATCCCGAAGAAGGGTCAGCGCGCATACAGGAAATATTACAAAGAATTATAACTGAACCTACATTTTTTCTATAGGTAGGCTGTACGAAAAGTGCCTATCAATACTAGCAGGTGAGTCACATTCATCCGACGAACCAGTTCATCTACTACTACCCGTATCACCCCTAGGAGCCGACATACAATTCCGGAGGCACAATAGACTAGACGTATGCCTCGTGCAGAACCATCCCATCGCCCTGTGAGAAGCTTTCTTGTCACATACCAACCATCCCAACCAAAACTAATTTATCAGTGTATTCCTCCCCGCATCTGACATACCATCTTTCGTCGGCAAAGGCAACGTCGATCTAGGAATAACAGGCCACGATGTGATCCTCGAATCCCAAATGCAGCAGCACGTAACCGAGACCCTACGGCTAGGCTTTGGAAAATGTTCCCTCCAGGTCCAGGTCCCTGAAGCCGGACCAATCAAAACCGTAGAGGACCTTGCGGGCAAGCGTGTCGTTACGAGCTTCGAGGTCTTGTCTGGGGAGTATTTCTCAAAGATAGATGAGGAAATGGGCTTGCAGGGTGAGGCGAGGACGAAGATCGAGTACGTGGGTGGAAGTGTGGAAGCAGCCTGTGCATTGGGATTAGCAGACGGGATTGGTGTGTACCCATCAACCGATGCATGTTCTGTTCTATACTTATTTGTTACCGCAGTCGACCTCGTAGAGTCCGGTGATACCATGCGTGCAGCTGGTCTGCATGCGATAGCGACGGTTCTAGAGACAGAAGCCGTTCTCATCAAATCCAGCGTCCCAAAACACCCTGGTCTCGAGCCTCTGATCAAACAAATAACAAGCCGCATCGCGGGCGTCGTGGCAGCCAGCAAATATGTTGTCTGTCAGTACAACATCTCACGCGATAAGCTCCCTGACGCAACGAGAATCACACCCGGTCGAAGGGCGCCTACTATAAGTCCTCTTGAGGAGGAGAACTGGGTCGCAGTCAGTAGCATGGTCGAGAAGAAGAAAATTGCAGATATCATGGACGACTTAGTCAAGATCGGTGCACACGATATCATGATCTTCAACCTAGACAACTGTAGAGTTTGATTGCCAGTTTCGACTAGAGAGCATTCCGTCTTAATCAAAGATGTCAAAATCGATACCCCAGCCTTTGCTCGGATTCACCCCTCGCTTCGGTTCGTGCGATATCGCGGCTGTCTCCAGCTTCTCAAATAGTTCATCCGGAAGTTTCGTGACTATCCAACTCAAGTTAGTCAAAGTACCTGCACAGTGGGTGGAACGACTAACTATGTAAGTTTTCCTCCACTCTGCATGGAGTTACACTTTTTGGAAGGACGACGGTCTGGAGATATATTAGTGATCTCTTCCGTGCTGTGATGAGTCCTGTAACACATACCCCGCGTTGGACATGCCATGAATTGATTACTTGGGCAGGAGTGATATCAAGTTCAGCGGCAATTTCCTTGACCACAGGGACAGAGAGCGTTTCTCCGACGGGTCCATCGCCCCCAAGAGGGGAATACGCTTCTAACAATATCCCGTACTCCTTAGACCACTAGTGTTTCGGTGAGCATGAGACCAGAGAACTGTGGATAACGCTTACGGCTAATAACTCCGGCTGTGGGAACCAGAAATTGATCTCGACCTGGTTAACCGCGGGTGGATATTTCAAGGGATTAGCGGTCAAATTTTGGATTCTAGAGCGGCGAGTTACGACATCGTGTTCAGAAGTAATACAATCGAAGTTACCTGCGTATATTGAAACTACAAGAGATGAGAACGTTGAAGAACCAGGCTATGTATGCAACACGTACTTGCTGACACCAATATTTCTGATTTTACCCTTGTCGACCAATTCTTCAAGCTTCTTCCAAGTAGGATACGGATCATCAGTGAGTTCTTGATTGTACACAGACCCATCTTTGTTAAGGGCAAGGGGCCTAAGGGTGAGATTTCTTAAAAGATAAGTAAACATATTCGCGAATGCAAACTTTACAGACCAATGAATGAGATAGAGATCCAAGTAATCAGTCCCTAGTCGAGACAGTGACTCGTCAAGAGCATTTTCAACATCTTCTGGGTCATGAAAAGAGTTCCACAGCTGACAAGGACAGATTAGCATCCGCACCCGCGGAAGTATTGTCGGTTTAGACACCTTGGAAGTCAACCAAATATCTTCACGAAGGATGTTTGTTCGTTTCAGCGCGGCGCCCACCTCGGCTTCATTCTGAGACACAGTGAGAAAATGACAGGGTACAGCCAACCGCACGCACCCCGTAGATCCAAGCACCGTCAAGATGCTGATATCCAGACTTCACCGCAGTCTGCATGTGCCGTAAGGGTATACTCGTCTTTGTTCCCAGAAGAACATACCTGCACTGCTCTTCCAACTTTGTTCTTTCCTGCTTTCCAGAGACCTAGGTGCACATGAATCTCTTAGTTTCGCAAACGGGCGTGAGAGACCCACCAAGAGCAACCGAGGGAATCTTGTCTCCAGAGGGTAACGTGTAGTGCGTAGGCAGACCTTCTCCTGTAGACGGGGTATACTTGCTACACCTTCCAGCACCCAACAACGACCGCGTAAATCCAGTACGATGTAGGCCGATACCGAGGGTGAAGAACACCAGGAAGATTATGCAGACTCGTTTCGTTTTACAGTGCCATGCTTTGGTTTTGGACCCATTGTGAGTGGGCAATTGCTCGTAGGTCGCTTTCGAAAGCATGGTTGCAACTGCGATAGGTGGTTTCAACTGAGTAAGCAAAGTGACGAGAGAGAGATATTGCACCCGGGCCGGCCGGGAAAGATAAGCACCTTATCGCGCATTATGATGCTCACATGTTGAAATGTGAAGTTCTATTCCGCAACATATCGGACAGTATATTCCATGATTGATGGGGTACAATATATAAGTAAAAAAAAATATTACCGGTAGGAGGCAAAGACAGGCTTGAGAGCAAGGCGAAGGCTGAGAAAAAGAGAAGAATGCTTTAATATAAATTGAGCACTCAGGTGTACTAGATATCGGTACAAAGTGGACAAGTCGACGAAACACAGACTTGGAAGAGTAACATAGTGACCATCATGGCCAATTCCGTCGTAGGCTCCCTAATAATAGTACAGAAAAGATCCAAGCAATACTCGACACTGGAGTAGACTTCACAGTTGCTCAGTCCTTGGGTTCAAACTTTGCCAGATACTCCTTCAAAAGGCAGCTTTCCTGGCTCCGCCTCTCGTAGACTCTCAACCATTCTCCGTCACGAATCAACGTCAACCTGCCTGTCATTCCTTTCTTAACAACCATTTCCTGAATACTCTTCAAGACTTTTACCAGCTTCTTCAAACTGGGTTGTACCGATTTCGCCTGGTGAGTCAGAGCACTCAGCTCATTCTTTTCAACGGCTTGGAAGCGTCCTTGATTATGAATGCCAAGGAAGTGGCGAGGCGTTTGCGAGAGGAAGAGTTGGGGATATTGTTCGTACCAATCAAACTGAGAGCGTCTGCGTTCTGAGACGGTTGTGAGTTCGAGGATCGCATTTTGAGGGACGTAGGAACCATCCAACTTGACTGTCAGTGAACGCGACGGGGTGACTGCTATGACAGAAGATGTGGGTGGTCCTATCTTAACTCTCGAAAGCAAGTTTGAGAGGTCATCGACGGTCGTTGACGAACTCGACGCAGCAGGAGCACGTTTGGTATCGCTGCCAGATACACAGGCATCAACTTCAAACCGTACCACCATTTTGAAGCCTCCGAGGTCCTTTGAATCAAAGAGTCAGTACGTGCATTGGAGACGGACTGGATGGAACATACGTAAGTAATGATGCGATGGTGACCGGTGCTAGATTCACATCCATTCGCAGGCTTGGTAGTGTGGGTTTCGAAGTTATATCCGAACGTGTATCCGGAAGCTTGTTCCCGATATCTCTTGTCCCACCTATTGAACAAGACAGTTTTTTTGCCGGCGAGCTGCATGTCGATCCTAAATTCTTTCATACTCTTCTCATCATCTTTTCCCCCAATCCATCTAAGGAGTTTGCGGAGGCAGTTACGATCGGTAACAAAGTCGACCGAAGACCAATCGAAAGGGGGTTCCTTTTTATCTTCCGCTACGGTCTCGACAGCAGCCATGAGTGGAAGGAGGATAGCGGAAGGCATCTGGAAGCCATTTTGGTCAGAGAAGAAGATGCCTTTGTCGGCAGGGACACTGTAAGGGACGGCTTTGTTTTGCCACTCCGGTGGTGAGCCTATAGGTGAGATCGTGAGCGGTATTGTTTCCGAGCATTGAACCTATCTCACCAGGTACTAGTATTGTCGGTGATGGGTCCAGGATATCCAATGCAGAGTCATGGTTCTTGATCCAGTTGTAGGAGCCGATGTATTCGACGTCTTTGATATCGACCATTGCATCGGTCACGTCGAGAGTGGGGGGGGGGACAACATCTGGATGCACTTGGTGTCTAAACCTTCAAAAATGCTCTTATCTGAAGGAAGAGGTATAGAAGGAGCCCTGCCAGATGGATTCGAAGATGCGTGTGACGCAGCGCTGTGTCTGGATTGGAACGTAGGGATACCATACATGCGCGGCGAACGCCCTCTGGATCGACGATTCATCGTAGAAAAAGGTGAGTGAGCTAGCTCGGGGATGATGACAGGAAAGATCAGGTAAATTGTCACGCGCGAGGCAAGTTAGAGTTTGGATAGACGCCCAGATAACAAGGTAAGTTCGTTACACTTGATGGACCTCGAGGTAAACGTGCCATATCAAAAGACCGAGTCATTAGCCGCCAGCACTGAGCGGGCGAGAAGTGCAAGAAATCAGCCGATTCTGGGAGTAGCCTTCCTGGTTTCCAATTCATGCGTGAAAAGTTCTTGTACAGGTACTTATATGCAGTTTGAAATAAAAACAAGATCGGCCGGTCGGAGGGGAGTTCCAAATCAGGAAATCACACGCATCGTCCCCATCGGACCTTCTTTTCCTCCATTAGGGGTTCTGTCATTCACCACATCATTCACTGCAGAGCCGCGCCTGTATGTTGTCCATGAACCTCAATCATGCACGAGCACACGAACGGTACATCACTAGTTGGTTCGGTGTTTGAGCGACCACCTTCTCTTGGTCTACACAGACCACCTCAGCCGCCGACATCCGGAAAAACTGGTTTTCCAGCCGCACAGCATCGTTCGAAAAGTGCCTTCGCACGGAGACGAGATGAAGAACGCAAGACGGACAATACTCTACCACGTGGTGCTCCTACAGTTGTTCCGATTCCAAAGGTTCTTCCGTTCACGCCCAGCACTCCAGTGGCTCACGAACGTCAAGACGAAGATGTGACTGATTGGCGGGAGGAAATTAGCCGACAGAACCAACTGAAGGTGCAGAATATGAGCGCAGAGGAAAGAGAACGCGAACGGAACGAAATTTACGAAAAGTTCGGGGCAGACATTGGTGATATCTTGAGGAGAGCAAGGATGGCGCGGGAAAAACAAGCAGAGAAAGATTCTGAGGAAATGAAGCGTAAACGCCCTGAAGGTGACTCCATTACCGGTGAGAAGTCCGCAATATCATAATGTAGCTGTTTTTCATTGGAATTTCAGCTGGTGAAAATGGTGCATTACAAGAGCCAGGTATTCAAGTACCTCCCCACAAAACTTGACACCATCTAACAACACGTGCAGACCTGTTTACTAGTTCAAGGCGCAATTCAGAAAAAAGTCTTCCTGAAGGCATGCTTTTTGTATAGTTGCCCAAATTTTCACTGACCGCGCTCTCAGTTCCGATAACATCTGAAAAACCTGCCGTTCGTCCGGGTACGCTACTTGCGCTAGCTTTCCATTTGATCATGGTGTCTGATTTGCATTATTTTTAATAGTCTCCCCTCCGCTGGCATCATTTCCCCCTCCCTCTCTCTCAGCGAGTGCGACGCGTCCATCAACGCCCAACAAAGCACTGCGGAAGATTCGATTTGCTGAACTGTCTCCAACCGATGTGCATGTCTACGAATCGGCACCACCTTCTCCTCGCAAGAAAACCGTACTAGCCTTACCCCCACCGCCCCCTGCAGGAACAGACGAGGATATCGTTTCTTTAGGGATGTATCCCGTCGCAGGCATGGCACCGTCGGAGGATCCAGAAGAAGGCAGTCCCGAGTATATTCGCCGAAAATACTTCCCTTCTGCTCCATCCTCCAATCCAGATCTCGCATGGATGGAACCATCTACATCGGATGACCGGTCGGACGATTCTTCACCCATTGACAAACTTCGGTTTGGTCTCTCGGGCAATCCAATTCCTTCATCTATCAGCCTAACTCTTCCTACGCATCTTGGTTTGCATCACCATGCCGAGGGATCGCACGCTGGATATACTCTCGATGATATCTTCCTCCTGACAAGGTCTAGTGTTGCCGCTCAGAGGGCGGCCATGCTGGGCGTTTTGAGTGGCGTAGCCCGATGGTTGAGGAATTGTGTCGGGGGAGGAAATACGACAGACGATCTATCGCTGAATGACCTATCTGCCAAGTCTGCCGCACTCCTCAAGCGTATCTTGTTTGCAGGTCTGGAAGTCTTGCCCGAGCGGGGAAGTGTTGGCGCACGAGGAATTGCAGTTGTCTGGCAATGTTTGGTTGGCTGGGAGGCTCAAGAGATTGATGACCTACAGGTCGACTTGAATGATGTGGAAGTTGCATTTGGGGAAGTCGAACTCAACATACCAGTTGATATCTCTACTGCCACTACTACGACTCCGCCTCCATCCATATCTTCTCTGATTGATGCTCTACCTCTTCCTGAAATGCTCTCACAATTAGCTCCTTTACTCTCATCTCCCCCTGATTTCAATTCTGTCGAATCCTCTCCTACTCCAAATCAACTTCAGCTCCTTGCTATTGTCCACCGGATTTCCAAGCATTCCAAAGCTGCGGCCGAAACGGTTGTTCAGACGTCCAGCCTCGTCGCGAGTATCATCAATGTCTTCCTGCTCTCCACTGCAGCGCCACATCCTCCTGCTATTCAATGTCTTATTACCCTCGCCAGTGCTTCGCGGCAGAACGCCAAAGCGCTCTGTGATCCGGCAGATGCGATGCTCAAGTTTATCACAAGCACCATACCTTCCGCTGATGGAACCATGCAGTATCCTGCCGAGTTGGCCCATGAACTCTTGGTGTCGACCCTACGGTTGTACACCTATCTAGGACGGTATGGGATGTATTCCCATACTGCGACGGATGCACAAGAGCTGTGGACACGGCTGGCCGTCTATGCGACGGATACAGGGGGCAAGTTAGCACAGGCATGGGCTGAACTGATAAGCACTTGGATGGTTTGTGCGACAGACCCTCATAGGACATCTCCAAGTCATGACATTTTGTGGAGTCGAGTTGTTGCATGGGGATGGGGCGAGGACGTGTTGGCATTGACGGTCTGTGACCGATTACCAGAAGACAAGGGCTCGCTGAGGCAAATAATGGACACGCAAGGTGCTATCTGGAGATGCATCAGTACATGGCTGGAGGGCTCCCGGGTCAACAGTACTCGGGGTGGGCAAGCGGAACGGGAGGCAGCGTTGACTGTCTTAAAACCAGGGTTTGAAAATGAGACTGGCCTAGCCAGACAGATCACGCTGGCCACACTAGAGGGCCTCAAAGCTGATCTCGAGAACATCCGGTCAAGAGAAGCTCCGTCACAGTGGCTACCAGCGTTGTTGAGCGCGGGGAGGTGTGCCAGTGCACTGACAGCTGTGATACGGTTATGGCTGGCGTGTATACCTTCGAGTGGTCCACCAAAGTCACCACCGTTTAGCCTACCTTTTTCTCGGATATCGCAGCTGTGCGCCCTGTTAGTCTCGCATCCGGTTTGGAGTTATCCTTTCAAATCTGAACACCGTGGATTGGTCGGTGCATATACTAGAGTTATGTGTCGACCTCTTGCGTCTCTTCTTTACTATTACCTCCTCTTGTCGAGAAAGCTTCCCGGAAGTTCAGGCGACTTGTGGATGGCACAAGCTTTTGCTATCATCCTTAGGTGTTTCCCTGGAGATGAAGACTACGCGCTCGCGATTCTGGACGACATTCTCGGGATGATTACGGCTGATTGGGCAAAACAACGACAATTAAAGATACCTGACATTATCTGGGAGCGGGGCGGGATGGAAGTAATCAAGCCCATATTGCACCACGTTATTCAGTCCAGAGATGACATCTACATCGCACCCTTGAGTCCAACGCCCAGATCAATCTTACTCTCGACGTCGCAGAGACTAGTAACCTCCGTGCTCATCACGACAGATTGGGATCCCGTTGGTCTTCCGTTAAAGGGAGATTGGGCTTTGACGCCGATTGACCACATTTTACGTTCTGGGCATGAACTATCCGTCTTCCAACGAAAAGGTTCACTCCCTCCATCCTGGGATATTTCGGAGACGGAGATAGTGCGTGCATCTCTCCTTTTGGCGCAGCTGGGATGGGAGGCTGTCCTAAGATTTGCTAGTGGTCTAGCGGACCTTGTATTATCCGGACCGGAAGCAGTTTTTGGATGTATGAAGGTCTTCATGTTAGAGCATGAACAGGACCATGATAAGGGTCTTGATGAGGTATTCCGCGATCCAGCTGTGGGACATCTGATGAATGAGTTGGTTTCTCCGTATACGGTGGGCGCGCAATCGAAAGTTCAGTCAACCACACAAGAAGATCTAGAGATGGTTGCCGCCAGATTTCTTGGAGCTGGAACACCATTTTACCAGTATTATACGGACTTTGTGGCACTATACGACGCGATTTCTTTCGCCCATCCATCTTTCGCTCGACTTCTTCTACCCCCGACATCGATGCGTTATGCCGTGGATTATCGGAAGCATCTCTGGTTGGATTTCGGGCATCTCATCAAGAGCATCCATGTACCTCTCGATGCTGTCATTTCCCAGGATATACGAGAGTATCTCTATCCTGTTGAACGCAGCTCTGAGATGATCGGCGCTTATATTCGTGCGCTTGTGACGATAGGCCCTTCGATGGATGGGTTTGTCCGTTTCGTTGCGGTTCATCATGTTGCCTGTAATATCTGGTCGGATTTGATGACGATCGCCCCTGGGGATGATGCGTCGGCGAAGAAACTGTTTGGGCTTCTTCTTGGGCAGGGAAGTAGGGAAATCCTGAAGGAAATCTTAACGTACAGGCAAGCCTTGGACGGGCCTATTCTATTGGCTCCACATTGTTTCGACCATGGGAATGAGGTGAAGGGGAAACGAGCAGAGTATATATTGCACTGGTCTAACCAGAGTGTTTTAGAGAATATGTTAGCATTATTTTAGTTTGCTCTAGTTATCTATAATCTTTAATAAGATCTCTCAGTGTAAGGTATCGTTTAAAAAGTCCCGGGCTTCCTCTAACGGTTAGTTAATAAGTCAACCAGCAAACGGTGCGTTATCAACACGGGCAATAACAAATAGGTAATAACGCGTTAGATTATTTTGTTGTGTTCCCAAACCCTCTTGCGGTCTCCTCGACCTCTTCCAGATCATCGCGGGGCTCAGAGATACTCCCTGAACGTCCGGGGGACAAGGTCCAAAAGAGCTGAAGGGAGTCGGACGTGGTTGCTTGATTCCGTGTCGCTACTTTCTCCTGAAGTGTCGCTTTTCTTCGCATTGGACTGGGGCAGTCGACTGAGGCATCTCTTGAACACCCTTCTGTACCCCCAGAAAACCTGACTTGAACCAGACTTACTAACATTTCAATCACTAATTATCAGTGGGTATGAAAGCCGACTTCCTAACATGGGTTATTAACACTATTTAACTTGTAACATCAACGACATTAATTAATGTTAGTAACAGGACACTTATTACCGGAACATGGCACGTGTACGAAAGCGCCGAGCTGCCGTGGAGACGCGAGTCCAGGCTGAAGCCAGGCTGTGCGGTGCTACCCATATTTAAATATGTCAGGCTAGCGCAATACTCAACTCACTACCATGTTGTCTTTGAAAGCCGCGTGCGTAAACCTCCAGATTTTACTGATTCTCACAATGAATTGACCTACTGCCTGATAGCGCACTTGTATTAGCTGCCAGTGCAACCGTTCAGGGACTCCAGCTCTTGAAACCGAGTCCTGGAGGCTGCCATGGTTCCAAGGCTGTCCTCAAGGCTGGGGGGGCAGCAAATATTTCGTGGATCGTAGAGTCAGGCGATCCGGAGTCAATTACTTTTCAGCTTCAGAATGACTTGACACTCGATTCGTGGCAGGTAGCCACCAACGTCGAGACCGCTCGCGGATCCGTACAGTGGAAGGTGGATGACGATGTTACGCAAAGGTACGCAATGTCGCTGGGCGACAAGCTGCTTGGAGACTGAAGTACTTGAGAACAGTGATATGTATTACCTGCAAGCTACACATACTGAGTGAGTAGCGTTGTATTATTGTAGGTGCTGACATTGATGGGTATCCCCTAGTGACATCCGAGATGTCATCACTACGAGCCCGCTGTTCCAAGTTCATGGGGAACCACCTTCTGCAACGTATGTATAGCTGCATTGCCCTCGACATATTTCACTAATACCTGTGTATAGTTGGACCGTGGATGGCGCTGTTAACACCTCCGTACCCTCTAGTTCCAAGGGTGGATGCAAATTCTCGGCTTCTAAGAACCACCTTATTGGAGGTGTCAGTGTCGTGCTGTTCTGTGGACTCGCATTCTTCCATATTCGACGCTTCCGTCTTCGCCGTCGCCAGGCAAGGGAGCAATATGTCGCCTTGCCTGTTACTGTTGACTCGCCAGGAAAGCAAGGATATTGATTGTGATGTTGTGCGCAGGACTCTGACTGTAAAGTACAACTTGTCATTTTTCGAACCTATTGAATACATCTTACATGTACATCACATGAAATCTTCTTCCAATTCTCGTCCTGTCTTTCTTGGTTCTGTTGAATCTTCATCCTCTGGTACGTTAAATAGGGAATCATAAGATCGAGCTGCCTTCTCTGCTTCTCGAGCGCGGGCCAGTTCCTGATCTGCCTTCTTCTGGAGTAATCTGGTTCAGATTGATGTATTCGAAAAAAAAGGAAGGTCCTACCTTCTCGGCAGCCGCAGCCCTGCGTCGTGCGGTCTCCTCCTTTATTCTGTCAACCCTTTCCTGTTCGTGGTCTACTTCCTTCTCAACCTTTGTCTTGTTCAGTCTGTTGACTATCGGATTCTCGCGTTTAGCGACATGGACTGAACAATTCAAGTGAACGACCAAAGGCATGCACGGAAGTGCGATATAGGGCTACCTCTTTTGACACGCTTGTCATTGTGAAAGGACACTTGACCAACAGCCATATCTCCAGTTTTCTATCGTCCTTGATCTACAAGGGAGTTCGATGGTTACGCGAGAGCTGAATGAACGTACCTTGAGGTTATCCGCGGGCGTGTAGATGATAGTTAGATTGTCCTTCTTGTTTCCTGTGGATGGTTTGGGTACGGTGCACGCAAAAAATACTTGGCTTACCTTCAATGGAATTAGCTTTGACTAGTTGGCTGCAATCCGCGAGCAATACTTCTGGTATTGACTCCCATTGCATCGATTCAGGCATCCGAAGGTATACATGAGCCGAGGACAACTTGTCGACATGAAACCATACGTCCTGTGGCCAGGCGTACTTTATCAGTTCTTCATCTGTGGTAGGATGTTTGTGTCGAGTCTAAACGAGAGATGTATGGCTCACTTTCTACCTTATCCCTGCCCATGTAGATAGTTGCGGGAGGATTTGTTGCTAAAACATGCGATTAGACACAGATACACTCAAAAAAGGGATGAATGTTACCCGAAGATGTGAAAAACAAGACCATTCTGTTGATAGTGCAGAGGGAGCTCCTGCCAACTTTGCTCAATACATTCGGCCTCAAATATGCGACGTTTAGGTGGTAAAATAGAGCAAAATTCTACGGCCTCCGGGAGCCGGTTTTTTTTCTACAGATTTTGGCCAAATTGGATGCTTTACGATCGAATGAATTCTACTGTACTATTTCGTTCAATTCGAACGTCACGCGTCACAGCGAAAAAATCGGGGAGCGGAAATAATTTTTTCTCGATTATTGCGATTTTTTTGGGCCGAAAATTCTTGGGTCGCGTTCGAATTGAACGAAATAGTATAGTAATCAAGTGGTGTGACTCGGTTTCGGATTCCGACGCTTTGAACGAGCACTGCCGCTGCACCCGAATTGCGGCTTGTTCTCGTCGCAGCAAAGCCGGTGGCGGGATTTCAGGTCACCACTTGTCACACTTGACATTTCCCACTGATTTTGACAACGTCACCGGCAACAAATCGAGTAGTTGAAATAATTTTTTATACTCTCAAAAAAATCCTGCTGATTGCTTTTTTCAGAGAGGAGAGCCACTAAGGAAGTGCTTTGACACTTCTGGTTGGAAAATATGCCAATTATGGACTAAAAAGGCGCTAAAAGAGTCAAGATGCAAAGATTTGAGCAGATTCTAATCAGCCTGCCAGATTTCTCCTTTGGGATATTTGACCTTTTTATGCTAGTTTGTTTATTTCAGTGATTATTTATCTTCTCCGCTCTCGACCGTCACGATACCACCTTCAATCAGGGTTCGGCAGACAAATTTCTCGGCGTATGTGAGTGTAAAGTACTGTATATTCGCATATACTCACTCTCTGCAGTACTCTACTTCTTTGTTGAAGTCAGAACCCATCAAGGTCTGGCCTTCCTTCCTTTTGTCCGTCACAGAAGTTAAATCGATGGTCGAGACAGCCTACGCCAAAATGCAACCCATACCAAATCGAATGGGACTTGGTCTGCGTCCACCTTTGCCGTCGTACGGCCAGGGTCCCTCAATATCTGCTCTTGCACAGCAGCAGCAAATGCATTTTGTACCGCCGAATCAGAAATTCACAACATTATTCGTCGGGTCAATATCGGGAGGCATTCAGGATAGTTTTTTGAACCAATTGCTTTCCGTATGTGCTGGCATTTTCTCTGGTAGCTGGCCTTTCTAACTCATTCGTGGCAGGCTTGCGGTCCTATCAAGTCTTTCAAGCGCCTAATCACGCCTGCGAACAAGCCTCAAGGATTTGGCTTTGCAGAGTTCGAGGAACCTGAGGGCGCTTTACGGGCTCTAGAATTGCTCAACAACGTGGAATTACCGGCGCTGGAAGACGGTTGTGCGAATAAGAAGCTACTGGTGCGTCTACCGGCTCCTTGCCTCTCATTCTCGCCCACGTCGAGTATTATATAGGTCAAAGCAGATGAAAAAACGCGCGGTTTCTTAGATGCCTATCAATCGCAACGAATGGCAACGGACGTGCGTTGTTTCCGTCTATTCATGAGAATGTACTGACAACTTCTCAGACTGACGAAGCACGGCGGAAAGAATCCAAAGCTAAAATTGACGAGCTCGTCGACGAAATTAATAAGACATCAGAAGATGCTGCTAATAGTGGTCTGATTGACCGTGAAAAATACGTGATTCCGCCTCATCTACATGATCTCCAGGAGGCCGATCTACCAGAAACACAGCGAGGCCTGGTCATCTCAGAAATCGCACAGTTTCGCGAGAGGGCTGCGAAGCGTGAGCGGGAAAAGTTGCGAGAGGCTGCTTCTGGACCATCAGGGGCGCCGAGTGGACCGAAAATGCGAGAATGGGGAAAGCCACAGCCCACAGCATCAGCGCCACCGAAGCAGCAAGGGTTTGGCAAAGGTGCACAAGGCTACAGTAAACCAGTGGGATTTGTCAAAGCAGGAGAGGATAGATCTTTGGATGACTTGCGGGCTGCGCCTGGTAAAACAGCTAAGACCGACGAGGAGCTGGAGTTTGAGAGGAGGGAAGCACGGAAACGCGAAGAAGAGATTTCGTTCCGAGACGTGAGTCCTCTGCTTCTTTCTGTTACTCTCGCTAAAACTGGTTCAAAGCGGGAACGACGGTACGAGCCTCGAGAGCGAACAAGGATACTCGCTCTAGAACGCGCTATTCAGCGTGAGAGAGCCACTAGGGATGCAGAGGAACGAGATAGGATTGAAATGCGAGCACGGCTAGACATTTGGGACGACGATGAGAGTGACGAGCTGTTCTATGTTGATAGGTATGTGATAGCTGTTGAGTCCGCTGCCCAAGTACTCACTGCGATCAGGGCCCGATGGCGGCAAGGTCGAGCACGTCGGCTGGAAGCAGAAGAGGCCGCCGATGACAAATCACGTCGGTTTGAAGAACAAGAGGCTGAGAACCTTCGACGAGAGTCGGAGGACTTCTTGGCGCGACAAATGGACGAGATGCAGGCCTTGGCTGAAGAGCAAAGGAAGGCAGGGCTATTATTGGATGATGGCGCTCCGGTGAAGCTCAACGTATCACTGGCACCTGCGACTACGAAAGAGCCGGGGAACAAAGAGAAAGCAACCTTGTTCGTCCAAGAAGAAGAAGATGACGATGAAGTAAAGAAAAGGAAAGTTCCTCTTGTGAAGCTCGACTTTAGTGTCGCGGAGAGCAGTGAGCAGACTAGAGCAAGGTTGGAGAAGATCAAGGAGTCCGTACCTCATGATAGAGAGACTTTGTTCAAGGCAAAGGTGCGCTGGGATGGTCTGTCTGATGTGCGTTCTTTCCTTTGTTCAAGATTGCCGACCAGCGCTGACCTGCATGGAAGATAATGATTGATAGGAAGCTCGAACCACTTGTTAAACGTCTTATGGTTAAATATCTTGGTGAGATGGAAGAGGAAGATCTAATCATGTTCGTTTTGGAGCATCTCAAGGATCATAAAGGTCCGCAAAAGTTAGTTGAAGGTCTTGAACCTGTGAGTAATCAGTGACGCAGTTAATCGTCCTCGTGATTCACTTGACTCCCACAGGTGCTGGAAGAAGAGGCCATCGAGCTGGTTATCAGTGTTTGGCGTCAAGTCATCTTTGAGAGCATGGCATACGGCGAAGGTCTTCACAGCGAGAAATTATTCGTTGACTAGGCAACCTCGGGGCAGGTGCGTTGTGTAGCACTGGGCGTTCTTGTCTACTGAGTGGTGTGCTGCGAGTTACTACTAGTGATAACGGATTTTGCTCGCGCTGGTCAGTCGCGGAGGAGTATTATATGGGAGATTGTACATGTCGTGAGTTCGCCATTTGAATGCAATCCACGAAACATAATGATATTTCACTTTCCTCTTACTTCTGCCTGCTCGTTGCGCAAGATCATCGAAGATTTACTATTCCAAGCACGTTGGGCCGAGAGCCTGGTCACGATGAGTATTTGCAGTTCTCCGTTTGATCGAAGTGTGCCAAGTCAGCACCCTTAGGTGACATCATGACCCTGCTTTGGCCTTCTTCTGATTCGAATGCAGAGGTGTGTCCTCGATTACCCTTTTCCACCTTTAGCGCCTACAATGCGACGTTTTCCTTAATCAGTTCCACGTCTTTCTACTTTTGTCTAGTCTGAAACGACCATGTGATAAAATACGCGCATGCCTGCTTTGAAATTCTTGGATAAGAAGGTCATTTGATGCTCGCTGTTGATCAATATCCGGAACATTCTTGTACGGAAATGATGTGGCTCGATACTACTTAAGAGGCGACGAACGGCATTATGGCAGCCACGTCCCCATCCTGATGGCAACGTTAGGCGCAATTGTGGTGGTGCTATGCTTTTCGGGAATTTTGGCCCAGTCATCGTCTGAGACAACTGTCTCTACAGCTGTCCCAAGCCCATCTGCGGCACTTGATTCTTCTCTGCCCTCGCAGGTTCCGGTTCCTCCCACGCAGGCTTGGTGTCCATCTGAAATCTTCTGTGCTGGTCCGGTGGGTCGCTCCCACATGGGGCGTTGTTAAATTAGGCTCAGGGCGTCTATCCTGTTTAGCTGCTGCAGACGGTGAATGTCGCCGCGCTGTATTCCGATCCTAAGACTTTTGTGGACAAGGTGTGCATCCAAAGTAGCCGCAGACTGACTACCTTCTCTCACACATTTCTGAAGCCCACAAATAAATCGGCTGAGGATGTCCTGTCCGACTTTGAAAATATAACGAGCGGTAACGTCACCGAAGGACAAATTGTAGACTTCGTCGATGCCGACTTCCGTGGGGAAGGTCTAGAATTGGAGGTGCTAACTTTGAATAACTTCAACGAAAATCCTCTTTTCTTAGCGAACGTATCTGATTCGCTGCTGAGGGCTTGGGCGCAAACTGTCCATGGCTACTGGAGTCAGCTGATTCGCACGACTAATTCCTCCGTTCTTTGCTCAGGAACAACTTGTGAGAGCTCTCTGATTCCCTTGAATCATACTTTCGTCGTGCCAGGTCGTTTAAGATTTGTGACTATAGAGAAAAGTACTGACATCATTGTACAGGGGGTCGATTTCGTGAACAATATTACTGGGACAGTTTTTGGATTGTCGAAGGACTTCTTGAGTCACAATTATACGATATAGTCAATGATACGTTGCAAAATTTCATGGATGAGCTGGATACCATTGGGTTCATTCCGAATGGGGGACGAATCTATTGTAAGGAACCAGTTGGCTATCTTCCGCTACTGGCTTATGTAGTTTACAGACCTAAACAGGTCCCAGCCGCCTCTATTTGTCCAGGTACGTCGACAACTTGTTGACGTTCGCTCAATCACGGGCCAATGATAGATGCTGTTCCGCTATATCACTGTGACAAACGATACAAGTATATTAACCAGGGCGTTGCCCCTTGCTGAGGTATAACCTCGTTATCGACCTTTATGGCCTCCCTTTAACCTATGTTCTACAGAAAGAACTTGATTGGTGGCAAGAAAACCGCACAGTCAATGTGACAAGCCCGTCGAGTAATAAAGTGCACGAGATGGCCCGGTATGCTGTCAACAATACTGCTCCAAGGCCCGAGTCCTATTTGACGGGTGCGTTTTAATCATAAGAGACGTCTCTGAAGATGATTCATCCATACGTGCTTCAAGATTACTTGACCGCTAATGGAGCTGATGTATCGCCAGCACTAAATGAAAGCCAACGCTCGTCTCTGTATGCAGAGCTTGCCAGCGGTGCAGAAACAGGTAGCTATGTTCTTCTTTTAACCCTCGATATAATATTGATTTTGACAATAGGATGGGATTACACCTCTCGCTGGCTTAGCAATCCAGCCTCGGGAAATGCGGATCTGAAGGAGTTGAACGTTCGAAATACGATACCTGTTGACTTGAACAGCATCTTGTGTACGTCACAACCTCATATGGATATCCAGCACGAAGTTCAAGTCTTTCTGATAGACAGAAACCATATAATCATGGAACAGTTATACTCGAACAACGAAACTGCGGCGGTCAGGCATCGCGATAAAGCCGCTTCTATTCGTGAAGGGATTCTTGACTTATTATGGAACTCGACAAAAGTAAGTATGCTGGTAACTTCCATGTTCGGAGGGCCTAATAATATTTAGATGGGATTCTATGACTTTAATATCGCATCCGGAAGGCAAAACAGCGTGTTTTCTGCTGCCTCGTATTATCCAGTATGGTCTGGTATCACTCCTGCAGAAATTCTGAGCGGCGCAGAGGGTGCATTCAAATATTTCGCTCCTCTCAATTTGATTCTCAAACGTTTCAACGGCACATTTCCAAGCACATTTTTGGATACCAGTCTTCAATGGTATGCATCGATCATATAATCTAACTTGTGCGAAGTAATCAACTCCTGAACAAGGGATTTCCCTAACACATGGGCCCCCCATCAATATATCATCCTCCAAGCCCTTCGCGCTCTACCTTCCAATATCACCAGTGCTACGCTTTCTGCGCTGTCTTCCAATCATTCTACGTTTGATCTTTTACCTCCTGACCAACTTGGCATTTCGGAATCCCAGCTTCCTAGTCAAACGCTTTTGTCAGGTGTCAATGCGACTAACCTGGGACCCGAAGCCGACATCAACGCTTTGAATGGGACGGTTATAAACGGTGGGAACTCGACAGACAATGAAGGTTGGGCTCAGACCCTCCAGAGAGAACTTGCAAATAGGTATTTTGCTAGCGCCTTTTGTAGTTGGTGCGTTGATCTGCACCACGGTGTCGTGAAGCTTGCTGACCGGTCGTAGGCATGCAACAGGTGGCGAAATACCGGGTGTTCTACCTCGTCTTTCTGATGCTGAGCTCAATGTAACCCAGAGCGTCAATAACACTGGCAATGTAAGTTGTCCAGATCAGTATCGGCATTTCGTCTTTATATTCGCAATATTTAGATGTTTGAGAAATTCTCGAGCCTGGACATCGATTCTGCCGGTCGTGGAGGAGAATATACAGTTCAGGTGATGTATCCCGACCTATCTCAATTACACCTGCTAGCTCACGACTCACCTGTAAAGGCTGGCTTTGGATGGACCAATGGCGTCGTTCTCTGGGTAGCGAGCATATACGGAGGTGTCTTGGCAACACCAGAATGCCCTGTGTTATTGACCAACACGACGCAAGGAGGAGATTCGACCTCCAATTCAGTGACCGGATTGGCAGGCAATTCCAAGACCATGGCATTACTGCTCGTCTTTGTCAGCCTCTTGACTCTTTGAATGAATAACAGGACAGTTGTATCTCACGAAGGACGGTGCCGGTGCTTGGTTCGAAAGAATTGAAGACTGAGATCTACGAAGAGATCTAAAGTGCTTGAGAGTGTAACTTTCCATACTTAGCTCGCGATGCCCATCTGGTCCGAAGTTCGCTCTAATTCGTGTCGTTGCAAAGAATCACGTTCATAAGTTGCCATGAGGTCCTTGCAGGTTCGCCTCGAATTGCTATCAAATCTGGGTCATTTGTAACATATTGAATTCTGCACTTTGCTTGTGATTTCTGACAGTGCTTCCCTTACGCAGGTACCCTTGGATGTGTGTTTACCATTTTCCATTCTTACAGTCTCGCGAATTGACATGCTAGATGGTTCCGGCCTGAAGTGTGGGGCTCCATACAATCTAGACCAAGCTAAGTCAGCCTTCGTAGCGTCACGAACTATGACGAATGTCAGATATCAAAGCCTTCGGTATCAAAAAAAAAGCAAACTGATTTTCGTGAGGTAATTGAATTAAAAAATGGAGGCCGAACTTCTCGTGACAAGTTCTCATGACATATCCGGCCCACGACGGTAAATGGCCCTTCTTTCGAGGCGCAGCTATAAAGATGCATTGTATGTATTGTTGTGAGGCGTCTAGTCCCAAACCGTTGGGTGACTGATATGTTCTTCCAGCTCCTAGTTCCCCTTGGGTTTCAGGCGTGTATCGTCGCTTCTGCGGTCATTTCAAGCCGTACGGGCCCCACCGTAACCCTCGACTCTGCGACGTTCACCGGGACAACCTCCGGGGTCGTCTCGAAATTCTTGGGCATCCCATTCGCTCAACCTCCGTACGTTATTTTGAACTACAGTTCGGAACATATTTATTCTTTGCTTCAGAACGGGAGACCGTCGTTTCCGGCTTCCAGAAACTCTCCCAGCGTACAATGGGTCGTATGATGCAACCGACTTTGGACCATCTTGTCCGCAGCAGGCGATCAGACTGCCGATTCTCACGGGGATACCGGCAGAAGCTGTAGACTATTTGGTTGACTCCATCTACGATGTTGTCCTTCCTGATGACGAGGATTGTGATTAGGCGCTTTATCTGACACGTATCCTTGGTTAATCTTTCTTAGGTCTAACCATCAATGTTCTGAAACCAGCTAATGCAACTTCAAATTCTAAGCTTCCCGTCATCGCGGTGCGTAATATGTTACGATTTGGAGGTGTTAGCTCAGGCAACATCTCGTCAGTGGATTTTTGGAGGCAAGATTAATCGCCACTACGCATGCTGCTCGAACATTTCTGATGGTATCCTTATCTCAAGGTGGCTTTGAGCTCGGTGGCACGGCTATGTTTGTAGTCCCTATCATTAGATTCATCAGTGATCAACACTTAGACTCTTTCTTTCCACAGGTATGATGGCACAAGTATTGTTACTCGGTCGATCACGCTGGATCAACCGGTCATATATGTTTCGATGAATTACCGAGTTTCCGGTGCGGTACTATTAGTCTCCAGTCTTTCCGAAATCCGTTCATGAATTTGTTCAAGGATTCGGTTTTCTTGCAGGTAAGGAAGTCAAGGAAGCTGCTGTTGGAAACCTCGGGCTCCATGACCGTATGCTTTTGTCCTTCACTGTGCCAATTGAAGATTTAAAACGCGGTTTTCTCTAGAACGAGAGGCCCTGAGGTGGATCCAGAAATATATAGCTACTTTTGGTGGGGATCCTACAAAAGTGACGCTGTGGGTCAAGTCCATCTACGCGTGTCATCTTATTGACAGGCTGTCCGGATAGATGGGGCGAATCTGCAGGAGCTATTTCAGCTGCAATGCATATGATTGCTTACGACGGAGACACGCAAGGTCTTTTCCACGCAGCGTTCATGCAATCAGGCTCTCCGATCCCCGTTGGAGACCTTGAGGGAGGCCAGAAATGTACGTTGGAGACTGCCTCTGAAAGTCCCTTGCCTGATGTTACGTTTCTGCAGATTACGATGACATCGTGGTTCAGACAGGCTGCTCTGGTTCCGATGATACGCTTGCTTGTTTGAGGACGGTCTCATACGACACTCTGAAAGCAGCCATCGACAATTCGCCTTTCATATTTGACTACCAGGTGGGTTGTATGTCAAAACTTGCGAACGAAACGAAAGAATTAAACAATCTTTTGCTAGTCATTAATATTGGCGTGGCTACCTCGTGCTGACGGCGTACTTTTCTCCGATATTCCCCAGCGGCTCGTCCAACAAAGTAAAATTGCTGATGTTCCCATAGTTAGCGGTATGTATGTCGTTCGAGGCAGAGAATTTTATTTCTCACGAAATTCAACTAGGCGACTGTGATGATGAGGGAACCTTGTTTTCGTTATCGTCGCTCAATGTCACGTAAGTGGACCGACTTTTTACCGAAACAATGAAGCTTAGCTCACAATGTCTTGCAGAACAGATGCTGAAGTCGAGACATATCTTAAGACGGTGATCTTCCCGAATATAACGGACCAAGACCTTGCCACGCTGCTCGAACTCTATCCTGCCGATCCTCTCGAAGGGTCTCCGTATGATACTGGACTACTGAATATTTTAACCCCCCAATTCAAGAGGATCGCATCGTTCCAGGGCGATGCAGTGTTCCAGGCGCCTAGAAGGTTTTTCCTTCAGAACCTCTCCGGAAAGCAGAATATATGGGCATTCTGTAAGGAGTTCGTTTCGGCTTCCAACAATGACTGATTCATTATAGTAAGTAAGCGCTTCAAGATCGTTCCAGTCTTGGGGGCCTTCCATACTAGTGATATCCTCAATGTTTATTTCGGCGGAGATATGGCAGACTACCTCATTCGTTTCGCAGCTACTCTAGACCCCGGTGGAAGCACTGGCATTCAGTGGCCCCAGTGGACTAACAGCTCTCCCAATCTACTCACGTTCAATGATGGTCTCTTGCCTTTAACCGTCACTCAAGACACGTTCCGCAGCGACGCAATGAACGGCCTGTCAGAGATCTTATTGAGGAATCCGATTTGATCTTGGCAAGGATCTGAATGATACCACTTTACTTTTCTCAATGAATCTAACATTCATTCATTATGCTTATTGATATTGATCATCAGATATGTACCGATTGTGTATATATTTCCATCGTTCTAGGACGCATAACCTTCTACTTACTAAAAACGAAAAAATTTCAACAAAAGTAGTTATGGCAGATTTTCGTTTCGAACGTAACATGAATTCTAAATTGTCATCGTCATCGTCTGCGCGAGTCGGCTTTTCCGAAGTAAAGGTGATTGAAAGGCATTCAATGTACTGAAAATCCCTGCGAGAAAAAATTGATTGATATACTGACGCGCGGGTATCCAGAGCACAGAGAAATAATCAAGTTCTCGGCCGAATCGGTCAAGCATCAAGTGCAGTAGATACTCACCGTACTTCTTCTGGCACGACCAGTCCAGACATATGGCGAACGACACTAGCATTCCGAGTCACAGCACACCTAAAGGATGCGAAATCAGTTTTTCCGGTCCACGCTGGACGTTCCCTCGAGCTATAATGAGGTATTTCTTCCCAGTAAAGGAGTAGGAAAACTCTTCTTTTCCACATCTTGACGTCTTGCTAGTACTGAGACTAGTAATAGAGTCAGCAGGCATCACAGACCTTCGCAAACCCAACAACTTGAAGTACTTAAGTACTTGCAAACAGACTTCGTCACCTATATCATATCTGCCTCTGCCCCTGGGATTTTGGATGGCTGGGAAACACCATTTCGCTGTGGCTCTGTTCGAGGTCCGTTTGGCTCTAATTAATCAAGACGTGTACAGCGGATGTTAACTGGCCGTCATACAGGTCTTTAGCATCTGCTAGTTATCCTGCACAGCGCTTCTCTGGTCCGAGTATGACACCTATTCGGACTGTAGAGGAACTGCAGGTTGTTTTGACACGAGCTGTCCAGTCTGGCCTTACCAATCTTTCCGAGGACGACTTTGACAGAGTCTCCAGACTAGTCAAGACCCGTAAGACCCTTATCCCCTTTTTTCCATTCTAAAAAACATATTATAAATATTCTGGATACTTGGGATGTATTTATATAGGCTGGCCATTATATGACATGATTCTTATTGCAGACTCGGACCTGCCTCGCGGATGCGTCAGCCCTCACCCCACTAGTCTATTACTCGGAAGGGGCGTTTCTTCCTGCAAAATCCATTCCATACGGCATTGATAGCACAGTCAGGCGAGGGCGGCGCGAGGACGGTGAGAATGAACAAAGGATTGGAAGCGACGTCACACATCAGCAATAAGTGGCAGGGAGGTCCACTGTTGAGATCGAGCCGTGTGTCACCACCTGCCGTCGGGATGAAGGCCTTGGTAAGTGTGAGAGAAAGGAAGATGTCGTTGCAGATCTCACGTTTGTGAGGATTTGGTTTCGTTCAGATGTACTTTAGTTCGATTCGGAGGCTTAAAGCTTGATCAACATCGCAGGTGAGAGTGGAAGAAATGGGCATCAAGGTAACGTTCTAGTGGAATCGATTCTGGTGCAATGGCAAGTCCTTGTTAAACGCGAATATGGTATAATTAATAGATGACGATGCATCACGAATAGATACCCGTTCTCTGCTGAATCAGAATATTGCCCTAGCAAGGCCTCCACCAGTAGCACTGGCCCCTACACCTTCCGCAGCAGTGTTCTATCTAGATAATACATCAGAAAATGTTACGCAAAAAAGAAAGGTCTAACGCACTGTTACTTTTCTTCTCCCCATCCTGACCCGGGTCCTGCTTTCGTAGTGGAGAGAGCCCTGCAACCGTCATGTTCTCTGAGCCACCAGTCGTCCTCGATGATAGTGATAATATCTAATTGAGCGTAAAATTTCGGACATCGACACGAGTGATACGTTTTGAGTTCGTCGATCCACTCGAGCTCATCGGTCTTCATGCCTGTGCCTGGTCTTTCGTTGTCCCCGTCATCAGGATCGGGAATGCCATACAGAACATATACTAGAACCAACTGTCTGTAAATCAATCATATACATAGTCTCGGTACGCACCTTGAGCTTGAACAATGAAGCTAGACACCAATATTATACGAGATCCATCGTCCGATAGCCACGAAGTGAGCAGAAAGGAGAAGTCATAAATTTGAGAGAAAGCAAGGCCAAGCCGAACACGAAAGGGACGCGTAAGCGAAAGAAGGGGAAAAGCCCAATTTTTTGACGAAGGGAAGAAGGAAGCTCGGCAAGTTCTTGCCGAAAAACGACAGGGACCTGCACAGCCACATCGGCGAAATATCTGAACTTGCTTGCATCCTCAAAAAATCTCCTTCCTTCCTTCCTCCAATGAAACCGAATTCATCTGACTAGGAAATTCTAGAACTGGAGAGACGTCATGTATGAAGTGAAAGGCATTACAGAACTTTCAATCTGATAAACCAGACTCAACGATCCAGATGAAGACAAGTCGTTCGATGCGCATAGACAGAAGTTTAGTGTCAACGATCACACAACGCGACGAAACTGGCATCATAGAAGCTACAAACCAAAGGAGGTACAAATAATAGGTGAGTCTTGTAAATACCATTGGCTTGGGCCATGATCGCCACTTTAACGTGTTATCTGGTATTGTTAGTATCGCCTGGAAGCGACAGGGGTTATGTTCATGCATGATAAGTTGCGGCGTCACCTCCTGGATGCTAGTGGTAGTACATTTTTACTGCCTTCCATGACTTACGGTCTCCGGAATAATGAGCCCATCTGTGAAGCCCTGTCTTCTTCATCGCTCAACGAGCACATATCTCCCCTCGTTTGCCATCTTTTCCGATCTTTTCTAGGTACCAGGTCACTTTTCTGTGTAATTTGGTTTAACTGCCCTCCAATTCCGTCGCATCATGTCAACATTAGCCTTAATATTGATGTTTCTATGGCCCACCAGTCTATTCTCTCAGCTCTCAGTATTGGCCTGTCACCACCTGTGCCTATCTCAGTGTCCACGTGATGGCTAATGAAGCACCGATGGAAACAAAGATGGATCGACTCAGATTGAGATAGCAACGCCCTACCTCTGGAGATGTATTGAGTACTGGAAAGGGAAACCACCTCTGGAAGAGATCAGGTTCATCGAGAGTTCACCATAGGTTACGTGTCATATTATCTTGTCCCACTTTTCTGATAGATGAATCATTTCCAGGATAAACTCTCTGATCGTGTACAGTCATATCGCAGTATAACTTGCAGACGTCAATGCCCTTTCCAATTACTTTCCTTCATAGCTGCTAACATCACGATCGGAACTTTCCAATCTTTTTTTCTGTCAAATATCCAGCCAAATCTGATTGGGATTTATGCTATGGTGGAACAAGCACAATCTGGCAGCTGCGCTAAAATCTCACCAGGATGGTTTCTTTGATTCTCTTCCGCGATGCAACTTCTTCTGTAATTCAACAAATCTAGTACCTGAGAAGTTTTTAGATTGCATCGCCACTTTCCCTATGATACAGGACTTTTCCCAGGAACATCTCACTTCGAGTCGCGTCTCTGTTGCGAGTTGTTGAACTTGAACTGTCAATAGCTAAGATCCTGGTCCGACTTGATACTGATGATCATCTTTGCAGCAGCCACTGAGCATAGCATGACCTGCACATTATAATGGTACCCAAACCGTTGTGTGACTGATATGCTCTTCCAACTCCTAGTTCCCCTTGGGTTTCAGGCGTGTATCGTCGCTTCTGCGGTCATTTCAAGCCGTATGGGCCCTACCATAACCCTCGAGTCTGCGACGTTCACCGGGACAACCTCCGGGGTCGTCTCGAAATTCTTGGGCATCCCATTCGCTCAACCTCCGTACGTTATTTTGAACTATAGTTCGGAACGTATTTATTCTTCGCTTCAGAACGGGAGACCGTCGTTTCAGGCTTCCAGAAACTCTCCCAGCGTACAATGGGTCGTATGATGCAAGCGACTTTGGACCATCTTGTCCACAGCAGGCAATCAGACTGCCGATTCTCACAGGGATACTGGCAGAAGCTGTGGATTACTTGACCGACTCCATCTACAATACTGTCCTTCCTGATGATGAGGATTGTGATTACACGCCTCATCTATCACATATACTTCGTTAATCTTTGTTAGGTCTGACTGTTAATGTTCTAAAGCCAGCGACCGCCACTTCAAACTCTAAGCTTCCTGTCGTTGCGGTGCGTAATATGTCAAGATTTGGAATCATGAGCTCAAGCAACGTCTCCTCAGTGGATTTTTGGTGGTAAGAACATCTACTACTGCATATCGTTCGGGTTTTTACAACAACATTCGTCTCTAGGTGGCTTTGAGCTTGGTGGCACGGCTATGTTTGTAGTGACTATCATTAGATGCATCAGTGGGCACTGAATATCTTTCTTTTCGCAGGTACGATGGCACTAGCATTGCTTCTCGGTCGATCGCGCTGAATCAGCCAGTCATCTATGTTTCGATGAATTACCGAGTTTCTGGTGCGTTATTTCTCTCTATTCAGTCTTCTCGAGGTTTGTTCACGAAGTTGTTCAAGGCTTCGGTTTTCTTGCGAGTAAAGAAGTCAGGGAAGCTGCCGTTGGTAACCTCGGGCTCCACGACCGTATATTCAGATCCTTCGGTATTTAATCTGACTTTCTGACACGTATGTTTCTCCAGAAAGAGAGGCTCTGAGATGGATTCAGAAGTATATAACTGCGTTTGGTGGAGATCCTTCAAAAGTGACGATGTGGGTCAAAATCGATTTTTTCGCCGTATTTAACTGACGATCTGTTTGGATAGATGGGGCGAATCTGCAGGAGCTATTTCAGCTGCGATGCATATGATTGCTTACGATGGTGACACTCAAGGTCTTTTCCGTGCAGCGTTCATGCAATCAGGGTCTCCGATCCCTGTTGGAGCTCTTGAGGGAGGACAGAAATGTATGATGGAGAGTTCCTTCGAAGTCCCTTCCTGATGTTCTGCAGATTACGATGACATCGTGGTTCAGACAGACTGCTCTGGTTCTAATGATACGCTTGCTTGTTTGAGGACGGTCGAGTACGACACTCTGAAAGCGGCCATCGACAATTCACCTTTCATATTTGACTATCAGGTGGGTGGTCTGTCGAAACTTTGAATGAAACGAAAGAATTAAACAATCCCTTGCCAGTCATTGCATTTGGCGTGGCTACCTCGTGCTGATGGTGTACTTTTCTCCGATATTCCCCAGCGGCTCGTCCAACAAGGTAAAATTGCTGATGTTCCCATAGTTAGCGGTATGTATGTCATTCGAGGCAGAGAATTTTATTTCTCACGAAATTCAACTAGGCGACTGTGATGATGAGGGAACCTTGTTTTCGTTATCGTCGCTCAATGTCACGTAAGTGGACCGACTTTTTACCGAGACAATGAAGCTTAGCTCACAGTGTCTCGCAGAAAAGATGCTGAAGTCGAGACATATTTCAAGACGGTGATCTTCCCGAATATGCCAGACCAAGACCTTGCCACGTTGCTCGAACTCTATCCTGCCGATCCTCTTGAAGGACTGAATATTTTAACCCCCCAATTCAAGAGGATCGCGTCGTTCCAGGGCGATGCGGTGTTCCAGGCGCCTAGAAGGTTTTTCCTTCAGAACCTCTCCGGAAAGCAGAATATATGGGCATTCTGTAAGGAGTTCGTTTCGGCTTCCAACAATGACTGATTCATTATAGTAAGTAAGCGCTTCAAGATCGTTCCAGTCTTGGGGGCCTTCCACTCTAGTGATATCCTCAACGTCTATTTCGGCGGAGATATGGCAGACTACCTCATTCGTTTTGCAGCTACCCTGAACCCCAGCGGAAGTACTGACATTCAGTGGCCCCAGTGGACTGACAACTCTCCCAATCTACTCACGTTCAATGATGATCCCTTTAAGCCTTTAACCGTCACTCAAGACACGTTCCGCAGTGACGCAATGGATAGCTTGTCAGAGATCTTATTGAGGAATTCGATTTGATCTTGGCAAGGATCTGAATGATACCACTTTACTTTTCTCAATGAATCTAACATTCACTCATTATGCTTATTGATATTGATTATCAGATACGTACCGATTGTGTATATATTTCCATCGTTCTAAGACGCATAACCTTCTACTTACTAAAAACGAAAAAATTTCAACAAAAGTAGTTATGGCAGATTTTCGTTCCGGACGTAACATGAATTCTAAATTGTCATCGTCATCGTCTGCGCGAGTCGGCTTTTCCGAAGTAAAGGTGATTGAAAGGTATCGTATTGGAAATCCTCGCGAGAAAAAATAGATTGACGATACTGACGCGCGTATCCAGAGCACAGAGAAATAAAACAAGTTCTAGGCCGGATCGGTCAAGCACTAAGTGCAGTAAATATTCGCCGTACTTCTTCCGGAACGACCAGCCCAGACATATGGTGAACTACATTAACATTCCGAGTCCATAGCACACATAAGTGGATGCGAAATCAGTTTTTCCGGTCCACGCTGGACGTTTCCTCGAGCTATAATAAGGTATTTCTTCCCAGAAAAGGAGTAGGAAAACTCCTCTTTTCGACATGTTGACATCTTGCTGATACTTAAGCTAGTAATGGATCTAGTAGGGATCGTAGACCCGATAACTTGATTCTTGAAGCACTTGCAAACACTTTTAACTTAGTCAGCGTTTGGATCCGCGGGTACCGGGCCGCACCACATGTCTTGCTTATCCCATGAATCCCGTAGTAACTTTGCTTTCCTCGTTACCCGGCTGTCCACTAGGTAAAGAAGCTTCGGTGTCTCGTGTCATCGTGAGCTCCAACGAGGAGCTCAAGGGTGGACAAGTTGGTTGAGCAGTTCTTCTTGCACAGGTCATGTAGAAGAAGAGAGCCGCGACGAGGTGCAAGTGCCAGAACATGCATATAAACTGTACTGATGTTGAACCAGATGGGAAGCAGCATAATGCGATACTTGAGAACGGGTACACGGACGACGGGGAAAAGGATAGGCTGACATGTCTTGAGCGACTCGTGCAGGACGCCGGCGTGTTGCGTGGTACGGAACGTGTACATCCTGGAGAACGTGTATCATGCTTTCCTTCTACTTTCCTCCCTTTCTCCGACTACGAAATCAGGCCAGCCCGGTGCACCATGCCATCAGCTGGTGTTTGGCACTTTGTTTAGGGGATATACTAGCGAGCGAGCCGCGTATTCTTGGTGGTCGGAAGCGATCGTGGCTGGTGATGGAAACGGTTAAGAGGGTCCTTCCTGGCGTGAATGGCCGTGTGAGCTCAATGACTGGGATTTACTTTCGAACGACAAGGTGAGTATACGTGCTTCATCCCAAGCTGATGTTGATGGGGTATAGGTCGATGTAGTATTCAGTCTAATTACTACTGAATAGATGTTATGCATGTAGAAAACCGTTGACCAAAGGTAGCTCGGCCTCTCCTTCATGATTTCTTCAATACTGACAATGATCTTTTTTGTAGGTTCAGTGTATCAAGATTTCCTCAATGGTCGTCTGCACTCGACGTCCCAATAAATGACTTTGTTAGCCTCAGGAGCACTTGTAAGTTCACAGTGGTTTCGTGTGGAAATGTAGCCAACTTTTCTTAGAGCATATGATCGAAAATGTCGTGTTCCCTTAGTCTTAATCATTCCCCATCACCCCTCTCGTACCCGAGGACTTTTGCAGCAGATTAATTCTTGCCGCACCGATTCTCTTGTTCAAACGAAGCCGTGGGTGCCAACCTCAAAGATGACACCAACGTCATAATTATGATCATACTGGCGCCCCGCCCCTCCATGCCATACGCCCAGGTTACTTCACTTCTACTTTACCCACAAGACTCCCCTCAAAATATACGTGGGAATCTCGAAGTTCAACCTTCTAGCTTCGATGAGGATGAGAAGAACCGTTTGGAATAGAGCGTCACTGCCATCAACGATACTCAGCTTTCCAATCACTCAAGGTGCATCCCCAATAACTGCCTACTGGTCACTATTCCAGGAGCATCGAGGACTAAGAAGATCCGACTTTCGCGCGAGATGGTCCGTACGCCTTACAGCAACTTCTGTCCAACCAAGCCGTTGCCCCCTTGACCATGAACTGTAACAATGTTACCCGGCTTCTCCCGCAAAACCTTTCACGATTTGGTACATTAGGAATCGTGGTAAGCAGAACCTGTCTGACTGCAGCACCGAATCTAGTTCTAACATACGTGCTCCTAGTCTTTCTGTGGAGCCATTTTTGTGCCTGGCAAAATCTGCTGACCTCGCCCACTTGAGCTGCATATACTTTTGTGCAAGGGGTACCATAGTAAGCAAAATCTTATGTAACACAGAGGGATAGCTCATACCTTCTGACAGGGACGTATCTGTGATGTTTCCGCAGATACTAGTTGCTCCTGTGCGCCGCTTTCTCGTCTGATAGAAGTGGTGAAGACCATGATCATTTTCTCCCTCGAGAATGCTGCATTTTCATCCTCCTCCCTTATTATGAAAGATCTCTCGACTCAAATGTTGAGGGACTTTCAAGAGCTATCAAAAGGGCGGCGACGGCTTGCTTTCTCCGCTTCGTGACTAACGGCCGCAGCAACTTTACATCCTATCTGAGCTCCGCCCAAGTGTTCAATCGGGTAGCCCGGACAGACTCTATCTTTCGTACACGGCGACTCATTTTCGGCTTTTGAATTCCATTGTAGGTTGGGCCCGAGTGATGTTTGCCTTTTGCAATAACCTTGTTGGCCAGACATCTTTCATCTTCATCTGTAATAGCTGTAAGCTCACAGTGACTCTGTGTGAAAATGCAGCTGACTTTCTTATAGAGTATATTAATGAAGCTTCAATCTTCCAGCACTCCTTGATACTTTCACGGGTGCCGCAATGTGACGTCACATGTTTACAACATCAAGGTGAAGACTTTGTGCCGCGCCGGTTCGGACATCCGACAACGACGAAGGCGTGGGCACCAGCGTCGCCGATGATCTCGAGCAATCTCGACAGGATCGTAATTCTACCGGCGCCCAACCCATACATGTCATGCGTTCTCTCCAACCGGGGTCGACTCCAAGAACTCGCAACCGGATTACCAACAAAACTCGTCTCAAAATCTACATTGGAAATATCGAAGTTGACCCTTTCAGCTTCGACGAGGATGAAGAGAAGAACCGTTTGGCACAGAGGGTCGCTGGCGTTGATCAAGACGACGCAAATGTGAGTACCTTGTTAGCCAATCGGCTTTTGCCACCCTGCAGGCAGACTGTGGCAGTGCTTTCCGCGGTTTTCCTTACTCATCGCTTTTTCCAGGAACACCATTTGCAACAAGTGCTGTCTGAAGCTGCTTTGCGCACCCAAACATCTCCTCGCAGCGGTCGAGGAGCACACGAAAAATCTTCGTATATCCCTACTCCAGACTCCACTGGCATTGTCAAAGATCATGATAAGTTGTATCCGGCGAAAACGTTTACAACACCAGCCTCTTATATCTCCTCTTCGGAAACCGTCGAGGAGCAGCTTGTGGCCGGAATAGTCCACGGATGCACATATTTTATGGATGAGCGAGACGCGGAGTGGCTGGAGAAAATTAACGAGGAAGCAAGGGGTGAAGGGACAAGTGCGCAGGCCGCATTCAGTGTCAGTGCTAGGACTTCAGGGCGAACTATGAAAGGCAAGGGTAAGGAAGCAGATGCATCAAGTCTTGTCAGTGTCAAAGAAGATGAATTCGAATTGGTAATGGGATTATTTGAGCTGATCACGCACGAGGAAACAGAATATCTGCACCATGTATGCAAGGTTTCTTCAGTCCTGAAAGACTGTCCACTGATTTTCAAACAGAGTCTCAAGGATGGGATGATGTTCCCTGAATTTTCGAACTATCAAGACACGTTTTCAAATCCTCTCGAGAAGTCCTTTTTTGCCGCATACTTTGTTCCTAAAGACGTACCGCCTCCAGACAAACTGCTTTCTATGGCTCAGTTGATCTATCCTCATTGGAGAGCTCGTCGAATGGAACGCGGCGGTCTACGAGTTACTCCACAGCTTAATGTACGTTCACCATTCGCCTGAAACCTTCTTCCTCTAACAATCAGATAGGGCGATGAGACAGATACCCTGAATGAATCATTCGTGTGCTTCCGCAGGAGAGAACTAAAGCTCACTCGGAAGACTCGTGCTTCGCAATCCAACATTTCCGAGAAGCTCGAGGTCTTAACAAGCCATTTTGCGGATGCTTGTGACTTGGTCAAGAAAGTTCGCCAACGAGAGGATCTGAAGCTTCGGTCCTTACGCCAATGGCATAGTATTTGGTTTAACCGGGTAGCGATGGTCAACATGAAACGCAAGAACCCCTGGCTTGCCGGCGACAAAGGCGACGAAAAGTTACTTGTTGACAAAGAGCCACCCCCCAAGAAACCAGATGTGTTAGTCCCTTCTAGCTATCACACTATCTTAATTGATTCTTTTCTAGTCGCGTCAGCCGTATATCGATCAAACCAGAGACCCTTTTTGTTGCCCCTCCAGCTCGCATTGAGCCAGCCATACGCCCGAGGGAGAGAATCGCCAAACTGCATACTAAGATTGATCATGGAATGCACAAACGAAAAGAAAAAGATCAACAGTGGGAAGACATAGTGGAGGTAAGTCTCCGCCTCTTCATTTATCGGTTAAGCCTGAACCCCTGCAGAACTCTCACGTTCCGCCCCTTGTACCTTTTTCTTCTCGGCTTTTCAAGTTCATCGCTCCGAATGCGCCTGCATGGCCGAAGCAGGAGCCCGAAGTACCCGAACGGAAACTCGTGAGGCTGCGTTGCGGTCGTGGTGGGCGGATGATGCTGGATCGCCGGAGTTCTCATCCCCTGACGCGAGATACGCAGGATACCGATGAGGAGACCAGGCGTCTGAAAGAGCGGTGGCGGTTTGACTCGGACGATGCTCCGCCTTTTGGACAGAGCTCTGAAGAGCGGGACCGCGAACTCGTAGACGACTACGGTCTGAGGTAAATAAAAATTCCATCGTATTTGGTGCCGTATGGTTACTCAGTATGGTCCCTGCAGCTATCTGCGACATGCTTTCCACCTTCTATCAGAAGTGGACCCAAACCTATTCACCGACCCTTCAATCGTCAAGTACGACCCCGAGAATGGTCGGAAAGAGACTATCATACCGTTCAAGCTCGGATTGTCCAGTATTGTTCGACCTCCACCCATGACCCCATCCATTTCTCAACGCATGAACGGCTCTGCATCTTCTACACCACCGACGATGAACGGTAACATTGGCATTAGCCGTATCTCCTCCAATGGCTCAACTCGTCCCGGTTCTGTCGCTCCACCAAATACGGCATCTTCCGTATCCTCAGTATCGCATGCCAAGAGTATCCAACATGCTCCCGCAGTGAATGGCACGAATGGTCGTGCGGCCATCTATCTTGGTACAACCAAGGTGGAGTCCACAATTCATCCCCCTCCTTCAAAAACTCCGATACAGAATGGCGTCTCGCAACTGCCCGAGACCAATGGTGCTGGTCTGAGTGTCCAGCAGATGCACAATCTCAAGAGTTTGTTCAATGTATCTGATGGTCAGCGCCCTCAGTTTGTGCCGGTCGTATACGGTGGGACGACGGGAATTAGTAACATGAAGCTCCCGGCGATACGACAGCGACCTCAGGGAAGTAGTGATACTAAAAGCAACGGTGGGTAGCTGTTTGCACGAAAGCTTCATGTTCTGTTATCTTTGCAAAGCATCTGTCTGTATTGTTAGCATAACTTTCTCATCCTTCTTTGTGTACATAGATTCATCTTACACTCTTAGAGATACATTCTGTCTCGCGAAGTGTTTCATCCCGACCCTAGAAGCCTACCCAAATTCGGAAGATGTTTGTCTGCAAAACAAATTGCACGCGGTGGCGCACGCTTGGTCGCTTCTGCCACCGATCACATTACAAAGGCCGATTCCCGATTCTTTCCGAAGAATGAGGAAACGACAGAGGGTTATAGCAAGGGCTAACTGTCATGAGTAAGGTAGAGGCCGTCCCTTTCCAGCACGTGTTATGTAAGCAAAGCGCGCCGACTTCTTCGACCGACATCTCCTCCATCACGTCGGGCTGCTGACTCAAAATACTTCCAGAGGATGATAGAAAGATGTATGGAGATGGTTTCCCTGGAGTTACTTTGATAATTGTGTTAATGAAAGACTAGTAGTCATTTTAATCAGAAATTTTTGAGGGCATTTTTGAATGTCTAAAAGTCATTTTCCAGCAGTTCGGAGCAATATCGAAAATTTCACCCGGAACATTTTGTCCAGTCACGTGATTGAAATACGTCATTATAATGACATCATTAATGTAACACGCAGTGTCATGTTAGTGCTATTAGGTGCTGTAATCCATCTTTTCAGTTGATTGAGATCTTCATATATTTAAAACAACATATATTGCTGTACAAAGTGCTAACATGATGACAGGAAATGAGGTGAAGCTGTTTTTATTCAGAAAATGTCATGATGCCGCATGCGAATTCAGATTCCCAAATTTGTCCTCACGTGATGTTATGACTAATGATTACATAAGGGTGCTGGAAAGAGACGGCCTCTACCTTAGTGCCAAACTGTCTGGACAGGGGCTATACTCGGGGTCGGCTTAAGTAATCTTTGGTGATTGGCGAGCATGCGGCACGCAGCGGCTCAGTTGCCGAGAGGTTGCCGCTGTGGCTGAGAAGCCTCTCTTTCCGAATACTTCCTATTGGTTTGCGAGCTGGTCAGGAACAGTCAACTTCAATGGCGTGGCAGATGTTTTTCCTCTAGTCACCCCATCACCTTTTTACTGTATGGGCTTAAGTGATTCCTGCTTTCGCTGTCCTTTTTTTATGCTCTGCAGATGCCATGTGTCAACTATTGTCTGTTCTACAGTCCCGCTCAGCAGGTTACCAAAAATCTGCCTCAGTGCTATCGCTCTATGCCGTCCTGGTTCCGTTGCAGTATTATGCATCCGTTTATTTTCAATGGTGTTTCCTGTTACATCATGTAGGTTTGAAATAACGAGAGAATTCAGTATTTATGCGAACATGCGAACCTGCAAATCAGAACAGGGAATGTGTGCTGATTATTCTGTCTGGTTTTCGGGAAGTGCATACCCGTTCACGGTCAGACATTTACTGTCATATAATAGTTTAACAAACGTTGTGATGCGTTTCATTGTGGACTAATCAATGTTTGTGCGGTATGAGGTGCCCAGTAGATAAGATTTTCTTTCTTGAGACGACGAACGTGCCGTATGTGTACCCCTTTGGTAAGATGTCTCTCAGATACCCACCAAGCTGTGATCTCTCGCATACCAGGTGGCAGAACGAGCTACGTTCACCTGCCTCGGGGCCTCTAGTGTGAATCTGAAATGGCTATTGATCAATGAGTTCGATTTTAATGCCAGAAGTTTTATCGTTCTTGAGATCGTCTAATGGAGGGGAAGAGCGTACTAAGATTAGATTCAGATTGTGCAAAATGCGAGCTGGCGGCGCAGCCGCCGAGCGAGCTTTTTGCACCACCAGTGTTCCACATTTTATCAAGCTGTATTCTAATTCAGCTTGAGCAAAGCGAGCATGTCGTTTCTTTGCCCAAAGGGAAAGAATCGGGGACCCGGCAACTGCCGCTACTGGATCTTGAAAGCGTGAAAAAACTAGGTCGTTGGTAACGAATACTATTACATAGCTGCTTGCGTCGAGATGGCCTGAGCGCACGCTTAAAGAGCCACTTTCAGCCCTCTATCATCAAATTTACCCTCTCATGATCTAAGTTCGACTCTCAAGATCTCATCCATTGTACCCAATTGTTTGTCTTTTTGGTCAGCCTCCTCCTGACGAAGTTAAGAAGGTTGCTATGGATCCTCTGCTACTCTCCTCGGCATTCTTCCCCGTATCTGAGTCGTCCTCCATCGATGTCTACTATAGGTCCCACCTCCAAGGCAATGCATCCTCAAACGGGAAGTTTCAAGCTGGAGCACTACTATCTTCCGGGGTATGCCACTCGTTCCCTGACAACGACGGTTAGTGCTAGTATTTCATTAAGTGGCAGCGATGCAACCAACATCAACTCTTCCTGGGAAACACCGCATCCTGAACTTGAAGCTGCCACCTGTGCCAGAACTATCAGGACGCCAACACATCACAACAGTGCGATCCTCAACCCAGCTGCCACTCCTTTTGTACCAATAGACTCTCCTTTGCAACCCAAACCTCAAACACGCGCCTCAAAAATTAATGAAAGCACATTGCGAGCGAAGCCAAATTCGCGTGATTCTAAAGAACCAAAGTGGAATTCTGCCTTCATTTCTGGATGTTTAGAAGATCCAAAGGCAAAATGGAACTTCGTGGCAAGGCGCGCCTCTCAAATCGTTTGTTCGCCGTGGTTCTCCGTCGAAAAGGATCTCGGCATTCTCATACGCAAGTTTTGCCAGCGGGCTCGAGTCCAAGAAATGGGAGGGGGTCCTGAGTCTCTTGCCCCATTCGCCGCTGAAGTTCATCGCACAATACATGTTTTCTTCGGAGCTCACGCAGCTTTGTTGTTCCGTAAGAAACTGGCTACTCTGGCTGTCCGTACCTTTATCGATAAATGGGATATCGTACGTTTGTTGGTTCTGTGAGATACACGGGTTTCACTGATTGCCCGATTGTAGAAAATACCAAAGGCAATCGGCTTGTTTCCAAGACACGTTCCTCTTCTTGTCATGACCACCATGTCGCTTCTCGATTTTATTGGAGAACTCCATGTCCATGGGATTCTCGAAGGACATCAACTATTCGCGTGCCTGCAGGTCTTGTTAAAGGGACTTAAAACTGTTGAACACATCCAAGCTATACATAGACTTATGGTGCGTTCCAAAGGAGGGTGCTGGCGGCCCGATGGGGAGGAGAAGCACAGTCGAGAGGTGTTGGAAACGATTCTGCAGAAATTCCTGGATGCCTCAATCAAGGTCACGAATGACATAAAGCTCCTCACTGGTACTTCATATTCTCCGTCAGTCATGGAAGGATGGGTCAATGAGATTGAGCAGTTTGTCTCGGGATTGCTGTCAGCGGCAGTTTAAATTTTCAATGGAATACCGTATATTATTATGATGATAGGGATATGTATGCGACAAGCGACTGATAACAATATGATACTACTTATGAGCTTGAAACTTTCCTTTGTTCAACAACGTGTCGAGTAACAAGAAGGCGGTCTGTGGAGATATGTCGGCGTCACGATCGCGCTGGGTCGGGAAAACCAACAAGCCACGTCTTCCAATTCCCCTAACATGTCTTCTCAAAAAGGAGGGCTTGGCGAAGCCGAAGCCGTAGGCTATCTTTTGAATGGACTTGGAATTCTAGATGAGAGAAAGAAAGAAAGTGAAATACAGCCCATAACAGCTTCGTGCTTCGGAGTCCCTTAGAAAGGGCTGTCGGAGCCGATACCATTTCTTGCGCCACCGCCTTGATGAAGTCATTTAGGGTGTCATATTTTCGTATTTGGCGGCGCGCCTGGAGACGTGTGGCACTATTACCGCATATAAGTCAAGCAGGCTAACTTCAACATTGCGATATGATCTCTCATCCTAACCTGTAATTCGCCGATGAGTCGTGTGATACACCCAGACGACGATCAAATTTCTTTGATACGATTTGAAGAATGCTAGCGCCCGCCAGAGACTACGCCGGTTGCACTTATCTCCCCGGTTAACCCGATGTCCCTCCTAACTTATTACCTAGAAGCAGGTTCATTATCTGGCCATGATCAAGATGACGGCCGCAAAAGCAAGCCTCCTTTGTGAGTAAAATATTTGTTGGCACCGGAAATAAATGTCTACCGCCGCAATACTCAGTGAGTCTACTTCGTGATGAGGAATGTTTGCCCTTAATATGCTTTTCTACGGAGGCCGCTAGCTGAAGGAGCACGATGGAAGCATCTATAATTGGAATTCTGATCAAAAATTTATGAAAAATATGAAATTTCAATTTAGAGCGGAGGTAATTCGAGCAATATATCACGTGTTGTGACGCGGTCCCAAAACTGGACGGAGAGGATCTTCTACTACGAACCTCCACGAGCCTCCCTATCAGGCTAATCGAGGCCTGCCGTTCGTTGCTTTCGACCATCTGCTACGGCGACAAAGGATTCTGGAGTTCTGGCATTTGGAGATTGGCCCATGTCATACTAAGGTCCTCGGCTGGACAGGTGCGTGGCCGGGTGCATGTGCTGCAGCCGAATGCTGATAAACGACGCAGGAGGAATACTGAAAGATACCCGGAACTATGCCCAACATTTTGTCGCGTTTCAGGAGAAGAGCAACCAGTCTGCCCGTCACAGAGGTTGCCGAGCAACAACCTGCGACTCCAGGGCCTTCTACTTCGCAGAGCGAAGCCGTTTTGAATCAGAAGATACACCCGAATTTGGCCGACCTCGTTAATGATTTTCCTCCCGTATTTTTCTCCCAACCGACTCCTATTCCTCAACCCAGCAGGCCCAGCACTTCTACGGAACGCGACGATGGAATAATTCCATTAAAGCCTGCTAGAAGGACCAGGCGGCGTTCATCTGATACATCTGCGAAGCAGAACTCAATAGCTCCAACGAAAGTGGCAGGCCAATTAGAAAAACTTCCTGAATCTCCAACCCCTTCGCATCCAGCTTTACCTGATTCAGTCGATGTTCCTCATGACATCCAACAAGTTCCTAGTCACGGAGTCAGCACACGCAATGACTCTACACGCGATAACGACGACGGAATAACCCCGGCCGTGCCGTCAGTAACCAGGCGTCGATCTGATGCATCCGCCATACCCTCAACGACGGCCGTCAGGCCCTTGGACGACCTTCATCCCTCACGGACACCTTCACATCCAGCTTCCTCGCCCGACGCATCCGACATTACTCATGATATCATTTATTCCGACGACTGCGACGACCCTACGCGTTCACCTAGTTCTCTTTCAGTATCTTCATTTCAGGAAACAGCAGACCCATCTCACGAAAACTCTTCCTCACCAACTGGGTCAGGAACCTTTGGCGTCTTTACACGATTAACAAACTTTGTTCATGGCTCACCTGTCACCCCCTTGACGCAATCCCCCAATCCCCCTTCATCATGGTCCACTTTTGGTCGTCGAGCCATCCGTGGCGAACGGTCAACTTCGCACACCACAGATGTTGGCACAAGTTCGCGCCCTTCCAGTAGCGGCACATCTCACAGTCATACGCCGCCATCCACGACTCGTTCCCGTATTGGTACTCCGGATGATACGCCTGGGAGTGCTTTTGGCTCCATTTCATCCCCTTCATCAGGCTTCACATTCGGTTCACATGGGCCCGGTCCGAGAGCAGTGGGATCATCACCCCCTCCGCCGCTACCACCTTTGAGCCATCCAGCATTTAGCACCCTCGATGAGAACAATAGCAATGTTGCTGTTGGTAATGACGGTTCGAAGGACGAGGAGACAGCATTCTTTTCTGACCACGGGCCTAGACCATCATCTTCCATGCCTGCCATGCGATCCAGTTCGCAACCAAGTTCAAGCTGGTTGACAGAATCTAGCTCCAGACCGAGACTCCAGGATATCTTTTCCAGTCCCGTTTCCTCGCCAGCAATATCGCGTAGGACATCCAGACGAAGCACCGTCAGCAGAGGGTCCAACAGACAGCGCCGACATAGATCAAAAAGCGCAAGTTCTAGCAGAAAACGCGGCGAAAGTGGCGGTGAAAGACATGACATTTCTGGACAAGGATCAAGGCGTGCAGTTTTGACACCATCCGAAAATGGTAATCAAGCACGTGGGAACAGTGTGGGTCCCGTCCTCGTTTTCGTCTTTGTATTGTTCGTCTTATTACTCTTTTCTCTCTTGGGGGTTATCGTTTCGTCCTTGTTCTTTTTTTTTGTTCGCTTTCGTAGTCCAGTCAGGTGTTTAATTTGGGGTCTCCGTTCTTATTTCAAGGCATTTCTGTCGGTGCGTTCCCTTATCTTCCCACTGTCACGTCGCAGGCGACTCTAATTAGTGGTGTTCACGATCCTAGCGTACCCCCATCCTCATAATTTATCGGACACAACCACTTCTTCAATACCAAGTCACGAAAAATCAGCAGAAATCCTCATGTCTATCGATACAGTACCCGGTATCTCCAACACGGAAAGCAGTAAAACTCGGAGTCAGAGTCGTAAAGGCGGAAGTGCCAAACCCCAGGTTTCCTCTACCTCCCGGGCTTCTGCGGTCCCTGCTGCTTCCTCTATCCCTTCACCTAGATCGACGTCTGATCAGCCATCCGACCTCATGGTACCACCCCTGTTGTCGGTCACCGGGCCAACACCAGAACCATCACCTATTGCCGAGCCTAGGACCCCGCCTCCCAGTTCGGAGAAGGGAAAAGGGAAACGCAAGGCCGATGAAGTTGAGGGTGGTGGGACGCCGCCAGAGGCCAAAAAGAATAATAAGACCACCTTTGCTGCAGAGAACCCAAGACGTGCGTCGGCCTCTGCCCTCTCTCTAGTCGCTCTAACTTTTTTTTTTTTCAACAGCACACCGCGCTTCCGGAAATTCGACAGTTTCGCATGCTCCATCCTCTTACCAATCCTATCATCGGAACAAACGTGCTAGACTTTCCGGTGTTATGTCGGCTGTTGGCGAAGATAGATATACGTATCAGACGTACAATCCCAATCCCAGTGGTTCATTTGCGTCCAGAGGTAGTAGCAGCGGAAGGCAAGGCCACCCTCGGACGCAATCTCGCCCATCTTCTTTTCGCCCAAAGCCCTCGTCGATCGCTGGTTCCCATCAGGCCCCGTCAAGAAGAAGTATTTCGCAGGCCTCCATACCGATTTCAGCTCTTATCTCCCCCCATGCACCATCCATATCACAGCGGTCAACAAAATATCATATGCGCGACCCTCGGAAGCCTCCACGGGTTCAGCCGACACCCTGGACGTTAGCATTTCCTGTTCCAGGGGAGGGCGACGTTGGATACTTCCAGAGGTGGAAGTGGTGGAAAAAAGAGAATAAGGGACACCCAGTCGGATGGGCCGATGGTGGAGGTAGCCCTTTGCATGCTTGGCTTTTCTTTCTTGGATTTGTGTTGTTTCCGATCTGGTGGGTGGCCGGTTTGTTGGTACGTATACCAAAGACGCGGCGGATTGGAGATGCGGATACCTTAGAGAAAGGGGTCGTGTTAGACGACCCTCAAGTTGAACATGGTGAGCTATACGATTTACGCCAGTCGTGATCTTCAAATAACCGTTTGCACAGATGCAAAATCCTGGCGCAAACGATGTCGAATCATGGCCGCCGTTTCGCTGGTGACGTATGTTCCGTTCATCGTTCTCGTTGCTGTCTTTGCCAGATAGCAAGCTTTCTTGCACTCGCATTCGTTTTTCGTTTTCGCATTATTCATCTTTGCATTGTACTACCATCCCACGCATCTGGCATACCCTTGGACACTGGACATACTATCGAACACCTATCACCCCGCCCGCCGCTGGCTTTCCCCCTCCATCCCCACCCCCCAGAGAGAAAATACACTATCCGTACAATAACTTGAACCCTCACATTCTTTTACTATCAGTCATTCTTTTTGGTTGCTGTTGTCTGTAGTTGTGTAGTTGTTTTTAGAGTGAGTAAGTTATGGCCGCGAGCATTTAGTATATGTACTTATGAGTAGTTGTCGAAGTACTTCTATTTGTATGCGGTTCCCGTAATTTATTCAGCTTGCTGTGTGGCTTGCTGCTATCGTTCCCAGCGCGTGTCATTCCGGCAATGATTGCTGTTTGTTCCGGGCTTGAGCAGACAGTAGCCGTCGCGACTTGAAACAACGAACTTCTAACTACGGTAAAATTAAACTCGCAGTCTTGTCCATTATTCCCAATCCCGGGGACATGGAGCCGTGCTGAGTCTGTCGTTGTCATTTTTCAGGCCTTAGAGCGCTTTGTTTCGCCGTACCGAAAAGCTTATTTTATTGGCTAGAGTTAATCAGTAATCAAACCCACGAGGCCGTACGTCGGGTAGGATGTATCACTAGTTGAGATCTCTGTCCCACAGTGTATCTCCCGGTCATCGTCGATTCAGCATTTTCGGTGGCCAGCCCCTGGTGAGGGAAGATTTAGGGATCGCTGAGAGCGGCAATCATTACCTCGATCGGAAAGGAACCGACGTCGGGGTTTACCGCTTTGTTTCCAAAAGGGAAAAGTGGTCCCTGTAAATCAAATCCACGCTTTCTCCCTTGTTTTTCTCGTCATTCTCTTCATGTTTCAAGGGCCTGGAAAACATTGAAGCTTGATTGAGCGACATGTATAGAGCTGATGGTACTATATTCTGGTATCATCTTTCTGCCACTGGGCGAAAGTACAACCATTTCTCGTCCTGGAAACAAGTTCTCGCTACCTCGAGGATAGTGCTTCATGCATTCATTTCCATCAATCATATCCGAGTCCACCATCTCGGCAGAAGCGTATGAACCTATCAAAACGTCCGCGTCGCGGGTTCGTACACGCTCCCGCTCTTTCTCAATCAGGCAGTCTTGGTCGATCTTCTGGGTAACCCTGGCCCATTCGAAATCACCTGAATGTCTTCTCGACATCGAAGCGAAAGTATATAAGCTTCTTGTGGCTTCGATTTTGACTTTTGGTGCTCTCACAACCTGCGTTTGCATTCTTCACGCCTCCCGACTCTCGTTTTCTAGCTACTTTCTCTCAAGGTTTATGTCTGATTCAACGACGGTGATCTCGGTTCCTCATAAGACTCTGGGAGCGCTCTTGATTGGTCTAATTGTTTCGAGTGTGTAAGATGGATTCTTACCTGCTCATATTGGAGAGTCGCTGACAGTTTTGCTCGTTTAGAATATATGGTATAACATGTGCTCAGATAATCCGATACTACCGACAGTATAGATCGGATTCGACTCGTCTGAAGCTTGCTGTAAGACTGTTGCGACACTCTCTGCGATTTTGACTTTATATTGTCTGTTAAGGTGGGCATTGTCTGGTGAGTGTCATCAGGTTACCATAGGCTTCATTCTAAACCCGCCTATCAAGGTTGTCGGAGACAGCTAGCCAAGTTATGATGGTGTATGCGCTATATCATTACCTCATTCGTAATCGGACGAATATCCTCGCCTTGGTGGACGTTAATTGGAGTCTAGTGGTAAGTTCACCGCGCCTATTAGTTTGGCTTGTTCCACCCATCTGACATCGCCAATCATGAGGTGCCATTCGGAACTAACGTGCGCAGCTAGCTGTCGAGCTGTCTTTGATGCTGAAGCGAGTTCTCCGTCATGATAGGGACTAGCAGCATTAATAATACAAGCGTGAGTAGTGTCAGTCTTTCCTGTAATCCGATCTTTAACATGTATTTAGTATCTTCGCGAGACAGGTTTACATCAGTAAAGTCCTTTCCAATATCCGAAATCATGAACTTGCTCATGATATTACCAGTGAGCTCGAGGAACATATACATAACGGGATTTATCGTGCGCTTCTGTTCCATTTTGTACTGGTTCATCCTGACGTGGTGGACGTAGTACTTGATGTCTATCGCTCAGTTTGGTACGTCTGGTCCCGGTTGTGTCCTGTTCTTCTACTGAATTGGTGTTGATTCAATGTCCAAAGTTTTGGCCGTGGGTAAGCTCGGACTTTGACTTCCCCCTAGTTGATGAACACGCTAAGATGAAATTTCACTTAGTTGTCATGACGAAAGGGTCAGTCATCTTTGTTGAATATCCCGGATCACCTCCCATACTGCGCTTCTATCAGACTACATAGTGCATATGTCATTTACGACAGGTTCAAAGTGGGTCGTTCACTCTTTATTTCTGTTCCGCTGCTGATTATGACTTCATAGGTCCTCGCTCCACCGGCATTTGCGATCACGGCAGCCAATGATATCCTTATTGCGCTTAGCCTGAGTTATTTTCTTCATAGACATAAATCTGGTATCGCCAGGTGCATTTTTATAACATCTCTATTGCGCGCCTGATCCTGAGCTAATCTTTTGGCAAGAACAAATGGCATCGTGAACCGGCTCATCATCCTGACAATCAACAATGGTGCTTTGTCGAGGTTCATATATTCTTTTCAAGGATGACTTCGGATTCTGACGGTATTTCATAGTGTCTTTGCGTTCGCCGCTTTGATATGCATGCTGACAGCACCAGAGACGATGGTTTCAATCGCAATGAATTTCCTCCTTGGAAAAGGTGACCAATGCTTACACATGGTGCAATGACGATACTCACGGATGATTCTTGTAGCTTATACCAACACGCTTCTTGCTAGGTTTGTCCGCCTGATATGCCGCGAAGTGGATGGGAGACTAATACACCGCCCAGTTTGAACTGGAGAGAAAACTCAAGGGACACGCTGCTTCAGCAAAACATACCTATGATGCCTAGACTGAGAACCGCTAGTAAGGTGAGTGCTTAGTTTCTTTCGCTACATGTTAGATTAAGCTCAATGATTTGTAGAGCACATTTTCAGGGTCTGACAAGAGTTCGCAACGAAATGTGTACTACTGGGAAACGAACGAACTTGACTATCAGAATCCACCTCCGAGTCCCAGACGAGCTCTCGACCAGTACTTATATGTCAGTGGAGATAAGACTAAGACCAACGCGTGTGCAAACAGTCCGAATCTGGGGTAGCTTTCAGTACCTCTACCAATCCGGTAAAACTTCATGTACATATTATTGCAAGCTGTCAGGGAACTTGTAAAGCGCCAGTTTAGAGTCAAAAAGGTATCAGACATGAACACAAGGACATAAATTTAGTATCATATGCGCCGTTTATTTTCTCTGGCAATTTTCTGATCTGGACCACGAATAATTTACTAACATTGTAGTTGTGTCACTGTGAAGACAGGAGCTCTTCCTGTTTTAAGTACTTTTTGTTTTATTTATGCAACCAAAATAAATAATAAATTAATTCGTCGTTCAGTGATTACGTAAGCGTTCCCTTGTGGGAGAAAGAGAGGTCACAACTCGGAAACGTACAGCGAGCGAGACAATCCTCGAAATTACGACCGTATCTTCAGCGACAGTACACCAAACGTATGTCTCGCCATTTTTATTCTCATATCTTCTTCTGATTTTTATCATTTTTCCAGAATTTCTACGCTTTCTTTCGACATACAAAAGGCATGAATCGACAAGGTGAGTGGTCAGGATATATCTCAGTCGTGAAACGTCTGGGCACCGTCTTTCGACCACTGAGAGACCTTTTTAAGGCCAACCTAACCAGCGTCCACCGAACCTTACCCCAAATCCGAATCTCGCCGGCCAATTTCGACCTCCATATCCCTTTGGAATGCCACCGCGAAGTGTAATACAGACGGGCGGCTATGTCCCAGGAATACAACCAACGAACCATCGGACGGCGGTACAGCAGTCACAGACACCGAGCATAGTGCCACCGTCGCCATATGTATCGCAGCGGGGGCAGAGCAGTTACGCGTTTGGTGGAGGGCTCCAGCATCATCCAACGTCAATACAACCGCCCCAGCAGTCACAGCAGTCGCAACAACAGCAGCAGCAGTCATCCTCAAATGGCACACCTCTACCACCATCCAGTATTGGGGCGCCCTCGGTGTCGTCGACGAGTGAGGTGGGGTTGGACCCGAACGATTTTCCGGCACTTGGATCGACATCAGGGAACAATGGCTCCAGCAGTAACAACAACGGGGCTGTTGGTAGTGGTGCAACGACGAGTTATGCAAGTCAAGCAGGGACTGGTGTAGGACTGTCGGCCTCTGGTGTTGGAGCGGGTTCGCTGGGGACAGCAACAGGGGTGAACAGCGCAGGCCACCCGAGGGATTTCACGCCAGATGACTTCCCAGCGCTGGGCGGGCAGTCGCAGGGCCAAGGGCAGAATCCGACATCGCAAAGTCAAAACCAGTCGCAGGAAAGTCATTCACACCCGCCAGGTCTAAACGGATTCCAACACTCGGACCATGCTCATCAACAACACCGGCAGAATCTATTGGGTGCATTGAGCGGGCTACAGACGCCCGGCATGCTTAATTTGGCGCCTACGCAAGCGAGGAATGTTCATCCTGGATTTCAGACGGAAACGGAGAAGCAGCAGCAACAGCAGCAACGGGTGAGTATTCTTCCATCATTCAATTCATTTCTCCCCATGCCGCGTATTCTTCTCTGTTACAATTACTCAATACTCGTGTCGAGTAATGGTCTCACACCTGGATTACACTTCTTTCGGGCCGAGCAAATGCGTGTGGAATGGGCAGGAAGGAGTAACCTGTTGTTTCTGGGACTTTGAACATGGCGGGATCTGTTGGCGATATCAATCCCGACAGATTTGCTATGGTCAAAACGAAGCAAAGTGTTATTTCTTTCCGAGCCGTTCCATCCTTTGACTGGCACGCAATGGTGATAAGCCACGGCTGCTTTGCATCTTTTTTTTTGACTTTAGCTCAATTTGCGTGTCTTTTAGAATAACTTCGCATTGAAGCTAAACCAAACCTCACACCCGGCATGGAATTCCCCAAACATCAATCCAGGACCCTCTGCACAAACTCAGCTGGGCACGGGATCATTTGTGAACCCACCACCAACAGCATCATCGCAGCAAAACGGCACACACCAAAACTCGTCTACCACGGCCCTTAACGCGCCTCCCGGAGTCCCCCCACCGTCAACAAATTCGTTTGCCCAGCAACAGCAGCAAACGAACTCCTCGGCCCCTCCACCATATACAGCGAACGGCATGGCAGTAGAATCACATCCCAATACGAACACCAACTCCAATCAAATTTCATCATCACATGGATTACAGCATCCCCAAACGCCAGCGCAACAGGTGCTTGTTAGCGCCGCCGACCGATGGGGACTACTAGGACTGCTGTTGTCCATCAAGAATGCAGGCCAAGATCCAGATCAAGGGCTTAGCGTGGTTGGCACAGATCTAGGGACGATGGGATTAGATATGGGGTATGCTGGGTAAGTCCTTATCTGGCTGTAGGTGTTCTGACAGCTCAAGGACTGCCAGGAATCTGTATTCGACGTTCATAACACCTTGGGCAGACCAATCAGCTGCGCGGTCCGTCGAGCCGGACTTTCATCTACCTGCATGCTACAACGTGCAACCGCCACCGCCCGGGCCTGCCAAAGTAACCGCTTTTAGTGACGAAACTCTCTTCTTCATGTTCTATTCAAGTCCAAAGGACGCACTGCAGGAGATCGCGGCCCAAGAACTGTACGTGACTTCGAGGCTTCTGTCCGGTGATGATGGAACAATAACCTGCCTTGTTACAGATGGAACAGGAACTGGAGATTTCACAAGGACCTGCGGTTGTGGATAACCAAGGAGACAGGCATGGTGCCTTCACAAAAGGTTCCCGGTGGCGAGTCGGGGCAGTATCATGTTTGGGATGCTGAAAACTGGGTAAAGGATCGCAAGGACATGACTGTGATGTACAACGAGTTAGAGGAGAAGAACGTACCAGCGTTTCTTCCCGGTCCTGGCATACACCTAGCGAACCCGCCGCCGACGCCACAAGTGGGGCAGCAACCCGTGCAGACGACACGAGGAGCATCATTACAGGCTGGCATGGCATTGTAATCGGTAATTGATGATTTAAATGGTCATTTTACGCATTCTCTCTGGTGACTACTACATCATCGCCATATCATCGACATACATCGAACTTATTATCTTTCGTCCTTCACCTTCTATTTTGCTGGTCCATCGAACTGTACCTATACTTAACGTTTGTTCTACATCTTATCCATTTGCTGTTACTTGTAACAATGGTGACGCAAGATGGTTAAAAATGGGCATTACGGTAAGGATTATACTGATATGGTGCCAAATTTTGCAACGATCCGCTGCCCTTTGGCCAGCCATAGAGGCCATCGATCTATCTTTTCATAATTTTTAAGTTGGCACTCAGTAACAAATATTCGCTGATGATCGAGCGCCCTTTGAACTTCTTACCGAGTGACCGCGATGAATGCCCATTAAAACTGCTTCTTACGCTCTTGATTTCTTACTCTCACTATGCTCGACGCCCCATTGCCTTCCTGTGGTCGTTTAGGACATGTAGGGCACGCCAAACGATGCCTCGCAGGGCTCCCGAGCTCCCAGGTCGACCTGGATGCTTCAACGTGAGCCGTGTCTCTGTCTGATAGACGGATATTGATTATCATGTAAATTCTGTAGGATGGCGGTCGTATTCTATTGCATCGGAATCCTGGATCTCCTTGGGATGCTACAGGGGAAGACCTCTGAGACGGACCGGCAGTCTTGGCGCGATTGGGTATGGGAGCAGCAAACTCGTGCGTGATATTCGTAGATCACTGTATGAAGCTCACTCAAGCGTGTAGATGGTCCCAATGGCTCTGGATTTCGCCCCAGCACTTATATGACCGCACAGAGGCCACCGAATGTACAGGTGAGATCGCGGCGTTTATCGCGTAGCTTGGCGCTAATTACATGGCGATTGTAGGAAGATTGTACTGACTACGATGGCCCCCACGTTATAATGTCGTATACGGCGCTCCTATCGCTAGCCATCCTACGGGACGATTTCTCCCAGTTAGATAGGCCTGGATTGATCAAGTTCCTCAAGTCGTGTCAGCGGGAAGATGGCAGGTACTTTCACGATCTGCTCCCATAGATATGTTTGAATGCCGTATGAACTACTCCGCGGCGGTGCGATCCCCTTTCTGGCGTAAATATCACCTATGAATCTCATCTTCTGCGGCTTATTAATTTCATAATTTACTAACATCTATTCGTCAGTTTTTCTACTGTAACTGGGAGTGGCGACACTGATCTTCGCACCCTGTATTGCGCCTTTGCAATCAGTAGCATGCTGGATGATTGGTCTGGTGTTAACGTGGAACTTGCACTGCAATTTGTCGCGAAATGCAGAGTGTGTCTCCTCCCTGTTTATGCATCAACATCCTCATAATCTTTCTCACAGACTTATGAAGGTGGTTATGGCCAGTCACCAAATTGCGAGGCCCAGGGGGGAACGACTTACATCTCCATTGCGTCCCTACACCTTGCCCCTGGATCGCCATCTACTCGATTGACTCTCGCAGAACGACAGAAGACCATACAGTGGTTGATCCAGAACCAACTCCTGTCTGGAGGTTTTACTGGTCGCACTAACAAAGAAGCGGACGCCTGTTACTGCTTTTGGTGCGGTGCTGCGCTCCAGGTTGTCATCTACTTTACGACCACATATTATTTCCTAACCAGTCTTCCCATAGATTCTTGGCGCTCGTGAGCTAGTGAACGTGCAAGGCCTCGGTCTGTTCCTCTCGAACTGCCAATTCAAATACGGCGGTATTGCAAAGACACCCGGGGAACATCCAGGTCTGATAGTCCCCATTGAATACATTTGGTGCTAAACTCTCGTGAATCTAGATCCATATCATACTTATCTCTCGCTTGCCGCCTTATCAATGTATCCCCCAGAAGCTGATCCGACGTGGGCATTCGAGCCTCTCGATCCCCTTCTCAACGCTCGCGTGGAAACCTCAAATTGGGCTCGCGCGCATATTCCTGCTCGATGAGCTACTAAATTACTAGATCTGCCTTATCGGAGAAAGGAAATTTAACTGGACTAATTGAACCTTAACTCAGTAGGTGTATTATTGCTGATTTACTGGAAAATAGATAATGATAGATCCGCTTTTGGAAACTAACACCTCGGAGAGAGGACAGATGTGGCGTTGCATATCTCAAGAAGCGTTCACGTGCGACTCCTCAAATACCCTTGTTTCTGTGGCGTGATCATGGAAAGAACTCGCCTTTGTTTAGTGGTCCGCGTCGGCAACTTGACTGCTGTGCGAATATTCACCTGCAGCGTTTAAATTTATCACTTGCCAAGTCTGCGGTCGCTCTAACGTCAGTTCCCCTTCCTGACAAGATCTGAACCAGTTTAATGTTGAAGTGTGCGCTCAGAACAAATCGGTGAGAGCACTGTCGGAATGAGCATACGAGGAGAGAAGAGCTGGTCTTCCTAACTAATGCTTCTTCAGCAACGGTTAGACCCGAAATCGTGTCACAAGCCAGGAAATATTTCCAGATCTTGGCCCACTTTGTCTTTGTGTCTGTTTCTCCTGACGGAGCATTCCGACGAAGGATGAGAAGATACATAAGACGTCCCTTTGCCCTAGGCACAGTGCTATATTAACCATGTAGGACGAGACAAGGTCAAGAGCTAACCAACATCATATTTGCAGAACATAATGAACTGGGAATCAATGACATCTGCCGAAGCGGCTTGGTCAGAAGCAAGTTTATGGCGACTCATCGAAATCAGAACTCTTCCTTCAGTCTTCTAACCTTTGCTTTTCTTCCAGGACTCGCAGTCTTCCGAGTCCGAGGAATCCTGCTTCTACTGTCAGTGCTCTGCAATACCACGAAACTAGCGTGTGTTTTTCTACTGGGGTTTTGTTGAATAGGTCATTCGGGCATGATTATTGGATCCAGCCAGCATTGTCCTTGTGAGAACTTTCTATGGCTGTCGTCGACCAACTTCGCTTGCTCTTCTCTCTACAATATACATGATTTCTCTACATCGACTCGGAGTACATCCTATGCAGGATCCGGAGCCACTAGCATAAACGTTCCTGCAATGGGGTCTCCTAGGCCGACCTTTTCACTGAATTCTTTGATGCTGAACATCGTGATGGGTGTGGTGGCGCCAACGACAGTCTGGTCATTGAAACCTTGCGGTTGGTTGAATGCCAGAAAAATATACCTTCAAAACATGAATAATGGTCATTGAAACTTGGCGTATTCAAACATACCTGTGAGCATCGGAGCCAGCCGGAGGAGCAGGCTGACGCCAATTTGTAACAGCTGCTGTGGTATTCTTTAGGACGACGATGCCAGGAGATAGGAGGGATGAGTCGCAGTCTCCCTCGAAGTTTCCTCCGAGGAATTGTCGAACTTGAGCGCTAGTCGGGTTCTGCGGAGTGGGAGCGTCGGGATCAACAACTGCAATAACAAAGGGCCCGTCGCTGACACCGCGTCCAACGATGGTGAACGAAGGTGGTCCGACGGTCTCTGTCGAGTACATTCAGATCTGTTATCCCGAAGTGACGGTCGAAGACTTACTATCGCGGGGAAGCTGGACGCCCGCCTTGAGTACGATCTCATCGCCTGAAGTCTGGGAGAAGGAGACTTCAAGGAGGAACCTAGGGTCGAATGGGAGATCGATATCTTCGGGGATCTTTGAAGTAAAAAAACAAAAGTGAGTAAGGGGTATCTACACAATGGTCGATTGCGGACACTCACGTTGGCGTTGTCGAATGCTTCTTTTACCTCCCTTAGGCTAGTATCTTGAGAGAACACCACCTGAGAGAGGAGAACGAACACAAAGGCGAAGGTAGAGGCTCGGAGCATGTCAAAAGGATATGAAAATAGACGGAGCGGGAGCGTTTGCTTTATATATGTAATGGTCAGCCTGCTTCTGTGAGTCAAGTTCGAACCCCGTACACTGTAGGAGGCGGTGAGTGACTTTCATGTGAATGATGAAAAGCGAATGTTCTTCAATCTGTGTCATGATACCAGCATGTGAAAACTTAAAAACAATGTCAAGAGCTCTAGTACAGTAGTGTTTTTGGAGTAGCGTCTACCGTATTCATTGAGCTGAGTGCGTGTAACTACTTCCTTCCTTCCTTCCTTGAGCATGAGAAATAGTCAGACACATAGTTTGAGAAGTTTCAACTTGGATTCCCTCCTCTGCGTATGTAATATCCATCTTCTGCAGTACAACAAACTCCCCAGCTTCTAGCCTTCTCATGGGGTGGACCGCACTTTGTTCAATGCTTAGTAATTTAGTAAATTATTCGGACGTGGTTCTTGGATGCGGTTAGCATTGTCCTTAGAGAAACCTTGGATCTGTAGCAATTGCTGACGAATGTCACCGGCGAGATCTCTGAATATTGTCCAGAAATACCAAGCATACATACAATCACCTTGTACCATACACAATTTTTTACAAAGTACTTCCTACGCAGAATCTGCAGCTACTAACATGAAAGTTCCTGCAATGGGGTTTCCGAGGCCAACCGCTTCACCAAATTCGCTGATGTTGAACATTGTGATAGGTGTAGTGGCGTTAACAAGAGTCTGGCCATTGAAACCTCGTGGCTGATTGAACACCAGGAAAGTATATCTGTAACTTGTGAATAATAACAATAGATACAAGCCTATATAAGCACACCTATGGGTACCAGCAGTAGGGGTGGGCTGACGCCAGTCCGAAACAGCGGCCGTCGTGTTTGTTAGGATAGCACGACCTGGAGAGCGGCGCGATGACACGAAGTTGCCTCCGAGGAAATGTCGAACTTGGGCATTAGTTGTATTCTGCGGACTGGGAGCGTCGGGATCAATAGCCGCAACGACAAAGGGACCGTCCCTGATGTCGTGTCCAGCGAGAGTAAACGAAGGCGGCCCGACGGTTGCTGTCGAAAAAACTCAGACGCATTATATCCCAGCAATGCCGGGAACGTACCATTGCGAGGAAGCTGGACGCCTGCCTTGAGGACGATCACAGAGCCTGATGTTTGGGGAAGCGAGACTTCAAGGAGGAATCTAGGGTTGAATGGGAGATCGATGTCTTCCGGGATCTGCAATGAAAAGGACAGATTAACGAAGGGCATTTCGACGAAAATTGACCGCGGAAACTCACGTTAGCGTCGTCGAACGCTTGTTTTACCTCCCTCAGGCTAGTGTCTTGAGAGAGCACCACCTGGATGAGGAGACTGAGCAAAAGAGCAAAGCTAAAGACTCGGAGCATCTGGCAAAGACAAATAGTGTGAGCAGGAACAAGAGTTCCCTTTACATAAGAACAAGACGTGAACAACTGCTGCGCCTGTGGGTCAAGTGCGAACCCCGCTTGGCATTTCTATACCATATGAAGTGGCAATTAACTATCATGGGAATGCTTTCACCAAGCTCTCACTCTGCATCTTGATAGTACCACAAGCAAGTCGCCATCCAAAATAGTCCTCAGGCTTAAGATGATGTCGTTAGAGGCTCGACCATGGTCCTAATGTTTTTAAGACGCGGTTATGGTCTTGGCCGTATACTATTTGTTGAAAGGAGTAAACGGTGCGGCGTGGTTTGGGCATGGGAAAAGACCAAACAGACTCCGAGAAGCTGGTCATTTGTGCGCGTCGACAACTGGTTGAATGAAGTGTCTTCGCACCGTCCGAGAATTTTCCGTGCTTTTTCTCCCCTACGCTTGTGAGGAGCCGGACTGCGCATACCTGCTTAGCACATGTGATCGACGCCATGGGATGTGGGTTCCCCACACAGTTAAGATGGCTGCCTTTGCAATAACCGTGGCAAAATATGGGTGGACACGAATCCCAGAAACTAGCATCTCCACTGGCATGTACCACGTGTGCGCAACGGTGGATTATAATAGCTGACACAACCATCAGCGTACAGCACGAGTTAAGGATTAGAGTGTCCTTTCTGTACGAGAATTAGTGCTGGAAGTTGATCCCGTTTTCCATCCCTCGTCGCATCTCCTTCGTCTCTTCACCAAGTTTTCACAATTGCCGACGATGACAACGGCATACCCTGAGAGACGGAGATTTTTCATCGCTGCCGTGGCCTGAACATCAACGCTATCCAAAGAGCTGCGTAGCTGAGGCACAAGCGCATGTTTTACAAGGTGTTCGACGACCTAACGCTTCCAACGATGTTCGTTTCGTGATTGAAAGGAAGGAGCGGTATTTCCTCAGTCGGCATTTGTTTGAATAAATGCCTCTCGTTCCAGGGCATTACTGGCAGTAGGCTCTTGACCGTAGGAAGAAACAGTAATCAGGTCCACAGGGTTTGTTCTTGAGCTGTAGGAGGATGAGGTCTCTGTCCGTCTCGACCATGATAGAAGCCTTTGGATCGTCCCCCCCGGCTGTGCGGACAAGGCGAGTAAGAAAAATAGATAGACGTTCAAAACTGAGCTAACCAACTTTGCCGTCTTCGGTCTGTGCACGATATGCGTTAGCTAATCACTTATATTAAGCTACTGACCTTCTAACAGGATGTTCATGTTTCGGACGTGATAACATGTTATTGAAGAAGACGGAAAACAGTACACCTGCATGCTCCTTCAGTTTCTTCTCGTGATCATAGGAGAATGAGGGTTTATTCTTGAACGCATCAATAGCCAGCATAAGACAGTACATGCCTAGAATCCTGACGACGTTCATGGGATCATCGAGTCGTAAGGCATGCATGAGGTCAATAGCACGCCCTTCCCACTCCATGATACTTGAGATTACTTGGATTGCCACAGCGTGATTGGGTATCCTGAGAAACTTTGTCGACTCGTGAGGGTCAAAAGAGGGGCGCTCCATAATACACAAGGAGTTTAAGAAGGGTCTGATCGTAGCCATCTGCATGCTTCTAGAAGGCAAATTGACAAAGAGCAGCAAGATTCGGTGGAATATAGATCTTACCAGATCAGACATTTGCACAATTCGAAGATAAACATCGTCGTACTCTATAGGCGTAAAACTGTAGCCTTGGATGCCGATAGCCTTTACCAGCTTATGGACGATATAGCTGTCCGAAGCAACGATCTCGGGCAAACCTTGAGACACTAGGTTCTCTGGATACTTGAAGACCTCTTCATGGGCAACGAGATCGTTTTGGCAAATTTCCTGCTTGAGAAGTCAGAGCAGCTGTTTAGACCTTGAATAGCATTTACCTGGAGGGCGGTCAAACACGCGTTGGTATCGTAGACCGGCGCCGCCTGAGCAGCCTGAGAAAAGAAGTATTCGTTGGCATACTTCGTCAGTGCAACCTGTGAATTTCAGTTCATACGCCGAGCACGTAATGATTTCCGCGTCCAGTCAACTTCAACTCGAATGGGTCGTGAGTGTGGTTTTTAAAACACGATTACCTGTATCGGTGTTTCACGACGTGAAAATCGGACATCCGTAAGTCAATGTCACGAGAAACAAAAAGATGGTACTGAGTGGCTGGCTGTTCTTCAATTTCTTCATTGATGTAGATTTCAATGCGAGTTTTGTTGGTAATCTGAATGCGCGAGTTCTTAGAGTGATCCCGGTTGAGATTCCTGTCACCTATCGGCATGCTTCTGCTTTCGTCGTCACTGAACGGTTGAGGCTGGCGCGGCACAAAAATCTTGTCTTCTTTAGGTACGAAGAGGTGTAATTAATACGATTTTCATCATTTGCTCTAAGACAGTTAGCTTCGATTCCATGTGAAAGCAACTGAAGACTCACATGTATATTATACGTAAGCCCTAAATCCTTCATAATGATATGTCAGGGCTATAAAGAAGTCCATTGTCAATAATCGTGAAACTGAGCGAACGTCAAGCTACCTGTTCTCTACATGCGTGACATCCACGCAGTCGTAATCAAACTCGATACTACATTGACCTTCGACTCATGAGCATCAGCTTGAAATAAAACACGCATATACTCACCTGATTGTTCGACAGCAAATCCCAGCCATTGATTCTCTTCCCCCTCCCGACGATACCGGTCTGCTCCTCCCACCTTGTCTCCTGAACCGTCGCGCCCAACACAGAATCCACCAAACTGCCCAGCCCACCTGCAAGTGCGCCCCACCATAGCACCTCCACCCCACCCCATATTGTCATGACAGCCCCAACGCCGGCTCCACCGACCACGCTTGCTACCGTCCCACCCACGCTCATGCCACCATTCGTTCCAGGCGGGACCTTCTTACCCGTCGTCACCAGCCACGGTCCCTTCCCATCTAGAATACCTAGCTCGCTCGCTAGCGTGTCTCCCAAACAGCACCCAAAGTGACCCAGGGCGCCAAACACCAACTGGCGGCTTAGTGTACCAGGCTCGACCAAGTTCTCCGGCGGGGGAAGTGAGGAGAGGGGAAGAAGAATGTGATGCACACTCTCCGGGCTATACACCGCGTTCCACACCATGCAACACACTAGCGCCCCGCATGAGTTACTCAGGACTTGCCAGCCAGTCCTTTCCCCGCCTTCGGTGTACCCATCCTCAAGTTTTGCTTTTCTTTGCTTGCCATCTAGTCCCACACGTCAACACAATTCATATTCATTTCAATTTCAGAGGACTTACACCTCGTCGCCCGACTACCCACCAAGTAAAAGAATATAAGCGCTACCCCAAACACCTTGGAATTCCCTGACATCATGAGCGTGCCTACGAGGAACGCAGTAGCAGCCCCGCTGGGTGAGAGGCTCTTCTTACGCAGGCCATGTAGAGCGAGGAGGGTCGCGAGAAAGAAAGCAACATATGGGACCTCCATGAACACTGCCCGCCGACAGCGACGAAAACCGGAAAACTGGATTGATTGGCAGGAAAAGGTTGTCCGGCCCGGTACCCGCGGATCCAAATTCCATCGTGCTGACTAAGCTAGGTTGATTCTGAAATTCTTCCCCACTTCTTTGTGGGAGGGACCTCGACCGGTTATCTATCTATCTATCTAGTGCGCAAAGCGTCAAGATACTGAAGAAACTTGCTCTTCCACTCCTTTGTTTAGGATTGCCTTTTTATAGTTCGAAGACGGCAATATTGTCCTGGTCAACACACAAGGAACGGGATTTCGCAGCCACCTAGTATTGTCTATGAATGCCACTTCTTTCACGATGTCTGAATGGCCTTGCTTGATGAAGTAAGATTGATTTTACTGTACTCAGTATGTCCGATTCAACCGAAGACCTGACCCATTTTCTCCATGCCCTGTTTACACCCATGTCAGTACAATTGATTTGTTTTTGCCCGCAAAAACTTAAATTTGACAACTTTTCCAGTTCCTTCTAACACGGAACATCCACTCACTACCGTGCTCTAGAATCCATGCTACGTCTGACGAACAAGTGTCTGGTGCGACAACTCCGCGCTGACTCGGATAGAGTCAAACTTCTTAACGTGATATATCCCTCAAGACCGGCGACACTCGAGCAGAACAAAGACTTGAAGATTCCAGTACGTGTCAAACTATTCTGTCTCAACGAATCTCCGCTCTTATGTTTGTTTTGGAAGACATGCTATCGACGAACAAGCCCAGCTTACGCTTTGAACTTTGACATTAATGTCCAAGTTGAAGCCATTATGCATAAACTTCAGGAAGGAGCGTATGGTCGACTTTCTGGCGTTTCAGCACGCACTTTGTTACATCTGAGCCGAACGCTAGTTTTTCCAGTGTTTACTATGTTCAGGTATTCGTTAATACTATTCGAGCCTATTGGAATTTATTGGTTTCTTTACGAGTAATCGTAGCCATGCAGCGCCGATTCTCATGGTCTTCAGATTGCTCCATTTAAAAGCCCACGCTGTCGGAATTGTCGTCCATTTTCAAATGATGAAGATATCGCAGGCTTCTCGTCACCGTTGCATCCAGGGTTGACTCCAAAGAACGGCGCCTTGATGTAGGTACGTGTTTACGTATCAACTTACTATGTTATGTCGCACATTCATCGCGAATGCGGTATGCGGGCACGGCGCGTTACTCCGCTCAAGCCTGAGTGCCGCGCTTGTTTGTTTGTCCGACCCTGGAGATTCAAGACGCCGCCTTTGTAACCGCCGTCTTTTACGTCCAATAAATTCGACCACGAACCGCCATGAGGCCCCAAAAACACCCGTGGTTATAACCCCGCAAGATATCGAGAATGACACCGAACGTTTCTTGTGGTATACGGGATCTCAAGGAGGCCTTCCGGCAGAAATCAAATAGCTACAAGTGCCTTCAGTGTCGCCTGGTCTTTTGTATACTCTAACAAATTTTGATGCCAAGAAAGCGGCGCTGCTGCTGCGACATTCCGTATTCAATCAGGATTAACGGGGAAAGATGAGAAAAACGGATCTGAATTTTCCATTGATACGTTTCTGTCGGAAGACACTGTGCTGTCGATGAACACGCAGCGCGCTGACCCAGGTGCGGTGGCTACGTAGGTGATGCCAACCTAGCCAATTGAGTAGTGAGAAATAGTTATATGAAATATTCGGTCTTCGTTTAAGCGACCGGTCTCCCCATCCGCAGCGCTGACGCTCGTTTCCACACCGACATGATGTACTTTGAGTACCCTGGACAACTCACGAAGCTCAGGGCCACACAATGAATTCAACTCCCAGAAGCTGAGACATCGTATTGCGATGGTAGGTATACAGTGTAAAATTCTATAACAATGAATACGTTTCTATGCAAGAAATATTTGTCTGCATGTCCCGATAGTTGGCATGCTAAGACGGTCTATGGATTTCAATACTAAAGTCCGATACTGTAGCTCTATCACAGCATCTGGACACGGATTATTATGCGAAAAAACCCCTTCAAATCGAGAATCTTCATGGCTGTTCGGGTCTGAATTCCGACACCTGAACCATGGGCCTAGCGGTATCCTGCTCCCCATCAGTCACAGCATGAATTCCCGTGTCTTCATGCTCGTTGTAAGCAGGAAGAATGTCCTTGAGGACGTCCTCCTCCTTTGATTTGAAGATGAGACCTTTCCAAAATGCAACAATAGTGAGCACGAATAAAATAATCCAGGTCAAGACCATGACGATGGTCAGACACAAGTGGATGATATAGAGAAACTCGATGCCAAAGATATCTCCCAAGGTGCGGGTCACCGAGATCCAGCCAACGTTAGGGAATGTCAAAGCCCAGCCTAATCTGCGTTAAACTGGGTCGCTTAAAGAAAGGGGACAACTCACATCCTAGAATTTCATTAAGATTCTTGTGAAGCTTGGACCAGTACGGTAGGACGCCGAAGATGAAGAAAAAGACGGCGAGACCATAGAGCAAAAGACCAGTAAGGACACTGCTGCCATACCAGATTTCACCCGCATTTTCAGTGACATAACCACGCGAGGGGAGTCTTGGAGGCCAGATTTAAAAATTTGTCAGTCGAAGTGAAAGAGATGCAACTCACATGTCCCTTGCATGCTCTGCCAATTTTATCAGGGCGAGAGCCGTAAATCCAGGGGGACCACAGGCGACAAAGGCTCCGTTTGCTTGGTGTCCTTCTAGGAAACCTGTCTGTGGCATAGTAGTCAATGAATTAATATCGAGGAAGCAACACAATTATGAAGATGTACAGTCATGACGCTAGGCGGAGCCTCAGTTAGAATTGCGGTAAAGCATACAAGGATATAACACACCGAATAACGTAGATGCAGAGGTAGAAGAAGGTCATGAAAGACCCTAGACCTATGGGTACTGGTTTATACAGATACAGGAAAGGCACGGAACTGACAAACCTTGGAAGAAATAACCGACGAGAAGTACGCCTAACGCTTTTGGGTCGGATGCATCTATTACCCTCAAAACATTGAACGAGACAACGCCGACCAGCATCTAGTCTGATATCAGATAGCGGAAGGTATTTATGCGCAAAATAGGTTACCATAGGAAAGATCTAGATTCCAAATTAGAACAAGCGAAGTGATGTCTTAAGAGGTCTTACCAGGAAAGCGTATGCAGGAGTGAAATGCATCAGATCGTGTGGCTTGTTGAACCATATCATGATCATCGGGAAGCAAGTCAAAACGGCGAAGACAACATAAACCCTGCGGCGAATTAGGTAAGAAGGATAGTAAGCGCTGGAGAAGACCACTTACCAGAATAGTGCGTATATGAATCCTGCACTCGCATGTCCCGAGGGAAAGGCGTAATTGACGGTTCCAATGATGATGGTAGCAAAGGAGAGTACCTGGCGCGAATATCAGTTTTTCCATACGACTGACAAAAAACGCAACGAACAATTAATGGAACAAAAATGCCTTTGACAGGGTCCTGTACTAGGCGCCAGGCTTGTCGAGGATACACTGATTTGGATGTTGTGAGTAACCAAAGATATTATATAAAATGACGCACGGATAGTTTGCAGTAAAAGAGTACCAGTATTGACGACAAAAAGAGCCATATTTATGAAGTAGAACCCCGTCTCAATTGTTGTCAAGGCATTGAAACGATCTTCTAGACCAGAAAGCGTGACATAGACGGCACCTGTGCCCATTCCAATGGGGAACTAGAGTCATAATCAGGACCTACAACAGGAAAACGCGTAGAAGAAAGATGCTCACTGCTTGCCAGGTCCAGCCATGAATATAACGAGCGAAGGCGCTCACAGTAGGTTGAGGCGCGCTTTCTGCACCGCTGTCACCCATCTCAGATAGAGAGGAATTCGGCATCACAAAAAGAGAGTTGCAGTGAAAGAGTGGGAGAGGAAGAATCAGCGAGAACTTGGAGCGCTGAGAATGCTAGGTCTGGCAGGACAGACAACGAGGAAAGAAGCGTGCCGCGATAGACAATATGCCAGGGTCAGCTTTCATCACAACCCTTTTATACATGGATGTTGTCCGTTCGCATGGTCACCGCCAAACTGGAACAGAATGCTCTTTCTGCGGAGCTCGAAGCTTGAACTTGATGCATATGCTTGATGAGATTTCCCGCGCTCCGCGGGAGAAGAGTGTACCCCGGCACAAAATAGCTGTTATTGGAGTGGCCTCGAGAGCATAGACTTGAGTGCTTTCAAGACTCGTGACATCGTTCCTACATACATACCCCATGTGTCGCACCAGCTGTTGCACCCTCCACGGAGAATCCTAGGTAATTTTTGACACCCCGTTTAGCGTGAATATCCTCGCCGGCTTGCTAACGACGAACGTTCGGTGAAGTTAACTAATTAGAAAAAACTCGAACGCGTGAAGCCGAGAAGAAGCAAGGTAAGTGTCTACCTGCGGCCCGGCAAAAAGACTCACCGGCGTGAGAACGGCTTCTGAGAAAACTTCCGTTGTTATTCTATTTTTAGCCGTGTTGTTCTGAGTGAAATAATCGATAATTCTTTACAAACTTTGATAAGTTCGAAGGTAATTATTATTACAAGCCTACAACTCATGTCTTCATCACGATTGTGGGCACCCGAGGGTCAGTGTAGGCTTGTGAATCATGATCATCCATAGGCTGTGCAATTTTCTCTGGCCGTCACTACTGTCAGAGATGCGGGAGAACCGACGAAACTTCTATTTGAGAATTTTGATGTTTGTGTATAACACCTAGAGAAACCCGACATCTATGTTCTATGTTCAAACAATCTGGGTCAAAATTTCGATGCTTTCCCTGGTTAAGCCGGCGCAAATCGGTTACCTGCCGGTGAATGTGAGTAAAGTACATGCCAAGAGCTAGATTATTTTCCACTTGGAGTACTGGAGCATACTGCTTTTAAACGGATGAGATAAGTGCATGCCTCTCCGAGTCCGTTTGCGACCCAATTTTGATTAATTGTTACCTTGAATTTCGTCGTTACATAGTCGCCCGCAGTTCTTACTCCATATTTCTTCGGACGTTTCTCAGATATGCAGCAAGGATGACCCAATCAACTTAGGCAACTCACAGAGTGAGAGGACGCCACCATGAAGAGGAAGATCGCGTCCGGTTTGACACCGTTAGTCTATTCCACAAGAAGACGGACAGTGGGCAGCAGCGAATGTCATTACAATTACTTGCGTAGACCTCGATTAACACATTTTTATTATATCTAGAATATACCACATACTAACCTAATAATGTTGGATGGGAGTAGGTACTAAATGATGTAGTTGATAGTAATTAGAACTTCGTCCAAGTTAAGGGGAGAATAGCTACTGTAGTATTTCGACCGTATCTTCATGGGGTGTTACGCGTTATGGACATCTTCACAGGGCCAGATCTTCACACGGGGTTGTCACCCGTTACGGTCAAAACACATCTTCATTTTGTCAGCAGATTATAATCAGGTTAGTAGATAGGGAAAAAAATGTGTCAGCTATACAACAAGAAATATCTGGATCCGAGTTGCTACCATGCCTTGCTAAACAACGCCTGTCAATGCAGTTGATGGCGCAGTTGTTTGCTCGGCAGTTGCAGAAGCCGACGACGCTTCAGCCATGTTACACAAAGAGGATCCTGAGCCGAAGTTAGAGATGCCTGTAGTGAGCATGCGAGGTACAGACGTTCCGAAAAACCTTGTCCACAACGGTCCGCTGCGGCGCTGGCGACAGAGACCTTGCTGGAAGGAAGCTACCCATGTGCACCATACCTATTTTCAATGCTTCAATCATTTTAGAATTCAGCTGGTTTCTTTGCTAGGATGATACCAAAGTGGACTGCATAAATGACCCGTGGTATTTAAGTGGGGTGGGTATAGTAAAATACAGTTTCACGGGACGTGCACCTCTAGGTCCAGGCTGAAATCCAACATGTAGGAGACCGGGAGTTAGGAGGGTCGTGGCCAGAACACTATGAAGGTGAGAGCAAGGGAGTCGGACAAGCGCAATAACTTGAAGGAGCTGGTTCAACCTGCTTGATGCTTTTTGCCAATTGAGGACGTTGATGATCTCAACATTCAGCAGGATCTATGCCGTCTACACTTGCTACATTCGGACGCTTCGATGGAAATGCTGCTGCATTCAATGTCGACCTTCATGTCGTCTTTGTCAGTGCATTGGATTCAGAAATGGATGGGAGTTACGCCATGCATCGGGGACATCATCATAAAATGCACTGGTGACACTGAAGTCTCAGCGCTAGTAGCCACAAGGCTTAGTATCAAGGTTGGACTCCGTCACCGCACATGGCCATGTCCATGACCTCTGCCCTCCGCGTTTGCCAAAGACGTAATGCATTTTTGCCACTCACTTCATTTGAGAATTGCCCGTAATTCTAACACCGTTGCCTCAGTCTCGAGTGAGTGGTTATATCTCGATCCCGGGTACCTGAGGATGTTGAAACAAAGAAGCCCCAGATGAAGCGAAGTACAATGGAGAAACTCGGATGATCAGGCCTGACTTACTCGGACTTCCGCGGACACCGTCGGCTTGCAGCAATGTACGCTGAGTTGTGGTATTCTTTAGATTATAGCAGAATTAAAAGACATTTCTACACCGCTACTGGCTCAGAAATGCTTGATAAGGTTCATTGGGGTAAAACATCAACACTGACTCAGCCCTCGTCACCATAACAAGGTTATGATCTGGTCGTAGGACCTATGGAGCCAATTGCAGGAGCCGTTGAACCTCTGGGTATCCGGCACCTTCGTGGCAAGTGTTCGGCTTATTGCGGGTGGTCGGCATGTGCAAACGGATAGCGACGTGCAAATTTCGACACAGCACGGCTTTCTCTAGACCCACAAATAAATTTATTGTGCATTACTGATTATACAACGTTGTTCAGTTGTAACATTTTTAAAAACGAGGTTGTAATTTGTTGATATAGAGTGTTTAACGTTTAACGCTAAAAAGCGGACTTGAGTCTTGAGAAAGCCAGTGATGTAATGATAAACTGACACTGCATGGTAGCTTCAATATTTAATGTTAAAATATTGAAATCAAAAGATATTTATTTTTAACAACATCTGAACCTAAAATATCTAAGAAATAGTCAAAATATCTTTGCAATATTCATGATTTCTTTGAGTTTTGAGGCAATTTTCCCAAATATAGAAAATATATTCAAAGATTTCTTACTGTATTTTAGACTTAAATATCATTAAAATAAATATCTTTCAGATTCAATATTTCAGGCTCAATTATTGAGACCATCATGCAGTGTGAGGAATTGACAATGGCATTGCAGCAGTAACTTCCACGATAGTCAAGAAAATACCATAGTACCATAGTACCACTGAAAAATCACGATACCTGGAGAGTCGACAATGCATAGACTCTCTCGAGTGTCGGAGTCTCGAAAGCATCCATTTTCATTTCTTCATGTACATTTATTATTTTCTAGATACTATGTCAGTTCGGACTTTGTGCCTTTTCTCCTCTTACGTCTAAGTTCGACATTGAATAATCGACTCAACACTGGCCCCGGGGCAATCCGGCAGATAAATAGCAAGGTGCCGAATAGTTGCTCAGGAAGCGGATGATACCGAAGTGGGGGATCGAGATATAACCACTTACTACAAACTCCCGTTGCCTTAGCGAGGCCGTTGAGGTCACACCATTCTTGTTTTCTGCTCGCTGTTGTCACTGTAAGCCTATTCGAGGGCCTTAGGGTCGCAAATTGCCCTAGCTCAGCCGAATTCACCCGTGTTTGCCTGTACGAAGGCCGAAGAGTAAGCACTGTGCCGCTGGATGGTGGAGTTGGACTGGTGAGATGTCGTCGAAAAGCTGATGGTTACCGTCTCAGGAGCAGTGAAATCAGGCCTTCAGGGCCCGCAGGATTGTGTTGGAACCGTGGAGATTGCTGGGAAGGTTTTTACCGTAGGACCGTCAGGATCGTCGTTTGAGAGGGTGCAACATCTTTATCGTAGGTCTCATCGTCTCGATGTTTAAAGCTAGGCCAGATCCAGAAGCTCGCGCCTTGTTGGAACTCTGACTGGCAGGAAAGAGGAATGTCATATTGGCAGGTTTCGTGTACCGAGAGGGAGGTTGGCAAGATGAAGGGGTGAGCAAACAAAGACAAATGTCGATTTGCAATTGGCAGATTTCGGGAGCAAATATGGGTGGGAAGTTTCGGGTCGGGTAGACCTTGCTTACCAGCAAGGTAACGGTTGCCAAACAAGGCAAGTAAAAAATAAAAATAAAAAAATGCAAGAAAATTGTGAAAATAGCATGGTGCCTTCATTCGTGAGTGTAATGTATCATAAAAAGATTCATTGAGGATGTACGAGGTGTATAGAGGTAATGTAACAGGTATGAGGCCAATAGGTCAGTGGTAGGATGTCATGAGCGGGGTCTGTGCTAGCGGTAATGGGAGGCAGCGGCGGAGCATTAGAGTGGTGTGGGAGGCTGTGGAAATGTTTTCTCCCTTATAAACAGTAATAAGTCGTTCCAAAATGAAAGTGGATAACTTCCCTTGAAGATGTATGTTTAGCATACCAGTCACTGCGCCCTCTCCAAAGCTTCCCAGTCTACAACGCCTGAACCCCCACCAGCCCAGTCCTAACCATGAAAACTGACGAAATAAAGCCAGGATATTCAGTTGCAGGTGTCTTTGTCGCAGTGAAATGGTGCGGGCGGACTATGGCATTGTGTTGCAGGAGACCGGGAGCTGTCGACGTCCAAACTGTGGCAAAATCATGGCGGCGGCCTGCTTGACTGAATGCAGAATCGTTCTTCAAAGCTGTCTTGTCTTTTCTTGTCTCTTGAACGACAATGATGGCAAGAACGAAGGTGTGACCGGCTGTTCGGTGCGAGACAGCCTGAACATGTAAATCTGGCGGCGCTCACTAGTTCTTCATCAGTCAGATGCTCTTATTTCAAGTATTATCTTTACGGCACACTGCAGCACCCATGGATCATTAAATTTGTATCTTTCTATTAAATGACACCCACAAATGAAGTCTGTATGCTATTTCTATGATTTTCTTGTATTTATCTGATTTTTTGATTTTACCTGCCCTTTTTGGCAGTGTGGACAAGGTTTTTCGGAACGTCTGTAGGAGGATTAAAAGGTCAACTGGTATGGAAATGAGGAATGGGAAAAGTCTTAGAAGCACTGACAGCGAATTTTTACGCTTTTGACAGCCCAATACGAGTTTTTTTGAGTACAGAATATATGATCTTCATTGGGCCTTGTTACGCGTTATGATCTTCGCCGATCTTCACATAATGGACCCCCGTTACGCGTTATGTGAAGATACGGTCGAAATACTACAGTATTAGTTGGTGAGGGCCAGCGTATCCGCGTAGCGGGTTCGAGTCTTATCTCGTTGTTTTGATTATATTTGAGCATGGGCGCGACACAACAGTCGGAATATTCTAGGAGCCACAACGGTAATAAAACAAATTTCCTTCGAAGCTCCTTTCACGTCGGCCTATAAATAAAGTGATCAAACACATTCTTGTGTCAGCTTAACACCGTCGTCCGTCGTTCCTTCCGTAAAGTATCTCTCGTAGACCATGTCATCAACAAATTGAGCGGTGGAGTGACTATAGCCGTAATACACTGTTGCAATGAGACGATGCACCACTGGGGATAGCTTCCGTTTCTGCATCACCATCCGGCGATGTGATGGTAAATCCGGTGGCTATTCCCACCAGAGGAAGCGCGTAAACATGCTTATAACAGACTTTGTGTAACGATTCAATTCGGAGGAAATATTGAATAAAGAATAGACGTACAAAAGCAAACGCCAGGTTAAGAGCAAAGTCAACGCTACTGCGGTTCCAGGGAATACAGCTATATATTTAGGCGACATTTGGAAGCAGTTTAGAGAATACTAAAAGGAATTGTTGTCTTCGAATTCCGTGCTCAATCCGGATTTGCAGGGAAAATGAGGAAAATCCGAGTATTTTATCAGCAAGTGTGTTTCTTTCCGAGTCAGAAGACATGCTGTCGACGAACACACAGTGCACTGACTCAGTAACTGACAAACGTGCCGGATAAAGCCAGGTACTCGTGGATGTTTTATCACCCGACGTTGTATGCTCCTCAACAGAAAGATAGCGGAGGATGGCGGCGTACCGGAGTCCGTTATTATCATCGCGTTGCGCCACCCAGCCCATTGGCAATTTGGAGCCGGCGGCGGTCGGGATTCCTTTAAGCTTTCACCCTCACCACGATGTTATCTGATTCAGACTCGCGTCCCGCAAAACGCCAAAAAACCTCTGAAAATACTTCTTCGGCTACTGCACACAGAAAAGACACGACTTTCTGGTTCGAAGATGGCAATATCGTTCTCATCAGCAATCAGGGAGTGGAGTTTCGCGTCAGTATTAACTCTATCTTTCTTTGATTCCGAAGATGAACCTGACAACGATTTGGCAGCTACTTTCACGCAGGAAGACCGACGTCTTACGACGCCCTCGAATCCTTGTTACGAATGCCTACCAAATACCTGGCGCAGCAGCTCCGCTCCGACGTGATCAAACATCTTACCATGATATACCCCTCTAAGATGAACGAGCTTCAAACCTACAGGTACCTCAGGATCCCGAATTCCGACTCCCATAGCCTTCGAGCCATCGCGATGGCAAGAGATCACGATGTGCCCATAATCCTCCCAGCGGCATTTTACTTTGCCTCCGCCATTGCACCCTCCCAGCTTGTCGGGCTTCATCCCAAGCCGAGACCGGATGACCTTGCCGCGATTCTCGCAGGCAGGGAAAAGATAACTCGGGCTGCATACAGAACTGCGTGGTCTTGGCTATTCAAGAGGCTCACGGTAGACACGTGCTACAACACTCGTCTATGTGAGGAGAGGCGCCTGAGCATGATACAGAATATCTCACTGTCTCCGGAGGATGCGCCTCGTCTGTTCCTAAGGGGGATGCCACATGAAGATGAGGAGGATAGGAGAGAAGACTCGGAGTCCAGCGACTCTGATTCTGAGTACGAAGAAGAGAGGGTTTGTAGGCCGTGCTTGGAGGACTGGATTTTTTCTGAAAGAAAGAATTATAAGAAGGTCTGGAACAACTTACCGTTGTATTTCAAGCTCCCGAAATGGGAGGTGCTGCTGAAAGATTCGGAATGAATTTTTTTTTTGCCGTAGCATACCCTGCGTGTACCTCGACACTTTTGTACCATAGACAGAGCGGTTCCGTAGGTCGATATCATCTTCTCATGTACTTTACTGGATTTTTCTAAGCGACATGGTAGTTTTTCCGCCTCGTAGCAATGAGTGGCATACTGCCACACCAAGTAGCGCTGAGTGCTGATCGCATAGACATGCTTTACGCCAGATCACCGGCCCTAAACCTGTCCGCGTGATCGTTGTTTCGGGAAATAAGGACAGATAAGGAGAGCCGGCAGTGGCTGCATACATATTTTGTCTTGCACAATAGTCTTTGTTCATGTTGGAAGTACAGAGGAGAGTATGTGAGAGAGAGAATTAATTAATTAGCCTCTCGAGGGAGAGGCATCGTACTTAAATACAAGTTGTACTACTTCTAGAATTTACTACGGATTACTATATGTGTCTACTTTTGCAGTTAAACGTTCATGCCGCTTAGTCATGCCGAAGCTTCGAGTGCATTCTAGCACTAACTCGGGATTGCTATCCCAACACTCCCCCTCAATTCCGAGTACCTAGAATACCTGCAGATAGATATTCATGTAATGGTCTTGGTAGTCCTTTAGTGAATATATCTGCTAAGTTCTCCTCTGAGGCGCAGTGCTGAACTTTGACTTCATTTGAAGCCATGCGCTCGCGAACAAAATGATGACGGATATCAATGTGTTTTGATCGCGCGTGGAATATTGGGTTCTCAGCAAATTTGATTGCTGATTGATTGTCGACCATAATAGTAGTTGCACCATCAGGTGGCAACCCTAATTCGGTTAGAAGCGCTCGCAACCATATTACTTCTCTAGTTGTGTGCGCAAGGGCCATATACTCTGCTTCCATGGTGGATAGGGCTACGGTGGGCTGTTTCTTTGAGCTCCAAGTAACAGCTCCCCCTGCATAGGTACAGACATAACCAGATGTTGATCTTCTATCTGTTCTGTCTTCTCCCCAGTCTGAATCTGAATAGGGTATCAGTTCATCTGTAGTCCCTCCATATGTAATTCCTAAGTCTAGAGTCCCCTTCAAGTAACGGAAAACTCGTTTGAGGGCTGTGACATGCTCAGCAGCCGGATTCTGCACATATTTGCTTAATTCCGTGACAGCATGTGCAATATCGGGCCGGGATCCATTTGCCGCATACATCAGAGATCCGACACCAGTGTGGTAATACTGTCTGGTGGCTGTGTCAGTGCCTCGGGGGTCACCTTCGGGGATTTTCTCTAGCCATACATTCGGGTCCATAGGCATTTTGACCGGTTTACAGTCTTTCATGCCCATTCTCTCAAGTACCTTGAGAATATATGCCTTCTGGGATAAGGTAATAGTGCCCTTCTCCCAATTCCTGTCTATCTTCATGCCCAATATATGTTGAATCTCCCCCATGTCTGTAACATTTAACTTCTTCTTAAGTTCTTCTTTCATGTTAGACATGGTTTCATCATCCTGGGCAAGCAATGTCATGTCATCTACATGCACAGCTATAATTATGGGGCCTGATTTCGCTTGTCTGATGTATACACATTGATCACTGATCAATCTCGTGTATCCAAGTTGTTACGATTATTCTTTTCTTCTTCCTTTTCTTTTCTTTTCTTTTCTTTTCTTTAGTCAGCCAGATTACGCGGTGCGCGATCATCATGGACTGACTGCGCAGTAGTATTTTTAGAATACTTACGTATATTTAAGTAGAGCCTCAGCTGGTCTGAACCCCAGCTTCGGCTAAGGTTTAATCTACCTAACATCGAACTCCGTTCTTCGTGACTATCTGTCCCATCGACTTCGTCGCCTTTGACTTGCTAAAGTGTCGTCTACCGAAGTGCGAGTAGCGACCTTAGTACGATCTAAGTCGATAGAGTTAGTGGCTAACATTTAGCCGAAGCTCGTCTTCCGTTGCCCAACGACATACCGTTGCCCAACATTTTTCCTGTCATTCTCTTCATCGTTGTGGCACTCTCCGTGCTGCAATTTCTCCTTAACGACCCTCTTGGATTGGTTATCGTAACCATCCTTCAAGTATTCCTCGCCTGCGTATACGTCCCATCCCCAGTGTTTGCAGGACTTCTCCTGCTCCTCTGGGTCGGATTCCTACGCCATCATTAAAAACACGAAACCCTTCATACTTGCCCTTCAGCTCGCCTCTATCTTAACAATCGCGTTGTTGATAGTAACGAGCTCTCCATCCGACGAAACCTGCGAAATCCAGTTAATGAACGGATCCAACTACGAGACCGACCTTAGCTTGATTATCGCCCTCCTTATCGTCCTCACCATACTTGCTGTCTATCAGCTTGCATGGTCAATCGTCGACTTACACCGAGGATAGACCCACTGACGAATGCCCTGGTCAGAATCCATTCTCGCCGTCTTCGCGACTTTTATACTCTTTTTCTTCTCCATTACTTTGTACCATCTACGCCGCTGCTTTCAGCAACAGAGGCGAGTTCGTGCGCAACTCCCATTCCACTACGTTCCCAGCACCCCGGCGTATCCACCGCCGGTAATCGATATCCCTTCGGCATCCCAACAGACAGTAGGAGATGTCGAATCCAACAACTCCGGGGGATCTGGAGGATCCCTCTACACATCGTCGCGACCCAGCTCGCGATCCTCAGAGTCGAGCACCGACTCCTACAGAAGCACCTCCAGTGCAGCAGCCGACTCAATCGACATCACCGATACCCGGGGGGTACTCCTCGACCGAGGAGACTCGCCCTTACCAGGTCTCTTCGACCAGCCTCCAGTCCAAGGCGAGTCTGGCGATGACAGAGGCCGAGGACAAGACACCAGGCATCTGGTCGAGGGCGAAGAGACGCCTGATACCGAGTTCGAAGGGGACGAGCTCTCCGAGTGGGAGAGAACCCGACTCAACGACCTCCTCAACGACCTCTACCCGAACGAGGAAGAAGATGCTGCCGATCTCAGAGACTGTTACAGTGGCAGGAGGAGGACAGACACTCTCTGGCAGAGCAAGAGTAGAAGATACCGGGTCGCCCAGAAGGACGATTTCGACAGCGATTCCAGAGAGCTTGGCCTCGGAGCCTCCACGGCTTCCACCAGTACAGCTGAGCCACAGTCTCTTTCAAGGTCCTGGCCGACCGATAGGGGAGAGCCTGTTGGCTGGCACCCCGCGACCAGCTGGGTCTACGCCGACTGGCGGGAAGAGGCTCCTTTGGCCGGAGTCCCGACCAGAAGAGAGCCCGACCCAGTCTCTGAAAGGCCCGCGACCCCCACGGTCTCTTCCTCCGTCGCCTCGCACGAGCCGACGAGTGGGGAGCTTTGGAGCGAGTTCCCAGACCTCGACAATGAGGAACTTGGAACAATTACCGCTGCCGAGCGCCTCGCCGGAGTCTCCAACTGGGAGCCGTCCGTATCAGGCCGAGCCTTCGCCACCCCCGTCCCGTCCTCCCAGCGTCCGTGGCCTCTCCTTTATCACACGTACATCGAGTCCCTCCGACTCCCTCGAAATGCCCGGGAGTCCTCAGAGATCGAGGCCCAAATGGACCGAGGAAGAGCGCATGACGCATGCATCCGACGTGCCGAAGAGGACGCTCTCCAGGGGCCAGGAGGCTGGTGGGACCTACCTCTCGAACCCGACGCCACCCCGGAAGAGGTCGACAATCGAATCCGCGCCGCCGCCATTCGATATACCGGGGCCGCTCGAAGAGCCAGCCTCAATCTCGAGGCAAGAAGGCGAGCCTGGAACGCCTATCAGGATGAGATCAGCGACCCCTGACTCTGATATCGGGAGGTGGCGAAGGAACAAGGAGATCGACCGAATCGCCAGAGAGAGGAAGGAGGCCGAGGATGCCAAGTCGGCCGCCGAACAGCTCCCTCGAGATGGAGGTGATGACGGCGGTCCGGACTCTCCTAGTCCAACCCCTTCACCCTCGCCCGACAATTTTTAATATATTACCATGGCACGGCCTCTATGAAATCATGATGGAAGACATGGAGAAGGACTCCCAGTGGCTCCTAACGGAGGCGGGAGAAGATTATCGATACGCGAAATCGATGGGGGATGTATACTTGATGAAGAACATCCTCGACGTAGAAACCTGGCACCGGGCTGCACTGGTATGGAACCTAGCGCACCCCGAAGATCAGAAGCAAGAGTGCGCGGCCTACCGACGACTGCAACTGATGCCCAACCCGCTCGAAACTGAAGAGTTTTGGGCAGGGGCTGGGCCCGACGATGATGACATGGACGACCCGGACGCTGGGCCCTCGAACAAGGGAAAGCAGTCCACGGTTCCGCCTCGACCGCCATCGCAACCCCCGCAACGACCCGTGTACCCAGGCGATTACCCTCCGCCTGGGGATAACTACAGGTTACGGTCGCTTCCGCAGCCGCCTAACCCCCCGGTACCACCCTTGATGCCATCACCCCCGGACCCGATCCCTCCGTGGACGTTAGCCGCGGGCAAGGATAATAACCCGTGGAATGACGTCAAACCCAAACTTATTACTCAGCCCGAGTACTTTACTGGGGAGTCTGAGGACATCAATCGGTTCCTTCACCACTGCGAGATGTACTTCCAGGTTTTTCCCCTGCACTTCACGATGAACGATCAAGGTCAAAATCCTTATCGGATCACCTTCGCGCAGGGGTACCTACGGGAAAAGGCGAAGCAGTGGTGGGGCGATCAATACTATCGATACCGGGACGAACAGGGACACTGGAGATTCCCCACTTGGGTGGAATTCTCCCGCGACATCACGCAGGAATTCCGAGAAGTGGCGGAAGTCGCCATCTGGAAGGCCGAATGGAAGAAGGTTCGACAATCGGAGTTCAAGTCCGCAGTCGAATTCTTCGCGAAGTTCGAACGATTGGCCCACAAGTGCGGGGAGTTCGGAGATGAGAAACAGATGTTCGAAGCAGTCGAAGCGGCGATTAGGCCAACGGTGCGCAAGACGGTTATGCATGGGGACAACGAGCGCCCCACAACCTACGCACAATGGAAGGCGCGAGTCCTAAGGATCGACGCCAACTACCGATACGACGTGGCCCAGGGCCTCGCCAGTAAGTCCTCCCCGAGCCAAGGCGGCTCGGGTCGAGGCAATCAACAACAATCGAAGGGTTCGGGTGGCGATAAGAAGGATGCCACGGGAACCACGTACGGCAGCGCAGGGCAGCCTATGGAAATCGACAAGCTCCGATCCGATAAGCGCTGCTTCAAGTGTGGGAACACGGGATGGAACCCGAAGCATAAATGCCCTGACGACAAGTCGAAGTGGCTTCCCGTCAAACTCCCACCTCAGAAAAAGCCCAACGTCACTCACCT